CGCCATAGGTCTAAAGATAAACCTCATCAAACCCTCACCATATCCAAATATCCAACACCATAATTCTCGTCATATCCCTTACCATTAGCCTCACAATGAATCTCATTATAACCCTCACCATAACTCTCACCATAACCTTCACCATAACCATTGACATAAATCTCACCATAACTTTCACCATGAACTTCACTATAACCATTGACATAAATCTTACCATTAATCTCACCATTAATCTCACCATAACTTTCACCATAAACTTCACTATAACCATTGACATAAATCTTACCATTAATCTCACCATTAATCTCACCATAACTTTCACCATAAACTTCACAATAACCATTGACATAAATTTCACCATAACTTTCACCATGAACTTCACTATAACCATTTACGTAACTGTCAACATAACTCTCACCATAACTCTCACTATAACTATAACCATAACCATGACCCTCACCACAAACCTCATCATAACCCTCACTATAACCATAACCATGACCCTCACCACAACCCTCACCATAACCCTCACTATAACAATAACCTTGACCCTCACCATAACCCTCACTATAACAATAACCATGACCCTCACCACAAACCTCACCATAACCCTCACTATAACCATAACCATGACCCTCACCATAACCCTCACTATAACCATAACCATGACCCTCACCATAACCCTCACTATAACCATAACCATGACCCTCACCACAAACCTCATCACAAACCTCGCCATGACCATCACCATATAACCATTACCACAACAGGTTGCATCAACACTTTCTAGTTCTGCTCAACTTTCTTTTTGGTCCACGACGAGATACATCTGCGCTTGCACTGCGATATCATCGTCTTTAATCAGTCACAATTTTTGATTATTTAGGAGACCAACCTGTTTTCTAGTGTTAAATGTATTTACTGTCGCGAATGAGCTATGGCAGGCATTACCTAAGGCTCGACGGCACTTCAATGATCGTAATGTTCATTTTTACTGAATATGGAGACGCAAACATACCATATCAATAAACTATACATCTATCAATGTCGTTTTGGCGACTCCGCAATCGGATTAAAAGTGATTACCATGCATACGCTCGCCTTGGAGGGAGTAACTGCGTCATGCAAGCTCCTTTATGATCGCCGCTTTGAGGTATTTTTCATTCACAAGAATTCCGTTTATTTAGCAGTTTAACTGCGAAGTTGGTGTGAATGATCTTAGTAGCGGCTTTACCGTGATTTGTGGCGCGTGTCACGATTTAAGGTGAAAAACAAACGAAGAAAAACAGATTAAGGATTGTTTATTTTCATTTGTACAAAGCGCTGTTTACTTTTATTGCGTTATGTGATGACCACCGACAGTCCAGGCGTCTCTCCTTAAAAATAGTAATTCCGTGAACAGAATTACGAGACTTGCAACAGAAAATTTAGCTTAGAAGTCGATTAAAGGCTCTTCGGCCTCATTTCCTAAAATGGTTTTAACATTGTATTCTTAACGTGTGAATAATAAGATTACTATATCAGCATTCGAACGTGACTCATCAAATTGGAGAGCGAATAATTGGTTTACGGAAGAAATAGACGAAGTGCATAAAATGAACGTCAGAGAAAAACCGTTTTTTAAGAAAAATGTGTTGTTGCCAAATAATTGCGCGGCTTCTCTTAAGCTATCAAGGAATGTATGCACACACAGAGAGTATAGCTGTAAGAATAAAGTAGGGTAAGCAATCAAATTCAAAAAAACTGAAATAGCGCGGCTTCTCTCTGGCTATCAAGGAATGTATACACAGAGAGAGAGTATAGCTGTAAGAATGGGAAGTAGAGCAGGCAATCAAATTCCAGCAATTAAAATAGAGGGTGCTGGTCGAATTTCAGCCAAGTAAAGATATGTCAAAAACATGATTGTGCGGCTTCTCTTAGGCTACTATCGTATAATGTATAAATAGAGAGAGTTGTCTTCTTAAGAATGGAGTAGAGTAGCCAATCAAATTCCAGCAACTGAAATAGACAGTGTGGCTATAATTTTAGCAAAGTAAAGTCATGCAGGAAACATGAATGGTTTGCTCATATCTATTTAGGAATGTATATAGGCGAGTACGGTAGCCAATCAAATTCCAGCAGAATAGCATCAAAGACAGCTTGTATTATGCTGTATTTATAACATTATTGCTTGGGGCCTTATTGCATGATCACTTCTGACTTGTCTCCATTATGTTGTGGTTCCTATTCATTCTTTTGTACTTGTGTACGTAGAAAAATATTATTAAAGATTAATTTGTAGAAATTAGATGAAAATTCTCTGATAATTAATACTCACGGTAGTTTGTTCATATAGCTAATCATTTCTTTGGCCAAACACATTTTACACTTTATCTAAAGCATGTGCACTTTTCTATCGCGCTGAAATAAACAGACAAGTTTATTTTTTCAATTTTTGATGATGTTTTGTAGGATAGAGCGATAGGCAGCACTTCGCTTTACGAGGTCTTATAGTTTTATGTTTTTGTGCGTCGCAGTTTGCGGGTGTTGTATTCATGACATTTCTGTGACTATTCAAGGTTGTTCTGCGTTTGATTTCGAACTGCGGGACGTCCGTCTTTGTATGTTTTAGTAATTGATTCAAATTTTCCTCTAATGACCGCAGTCTGAAAACCAATATCGACCCCAAAGAGAGACGCATGAAAAATTCAATATGGCGACCCACCGTGTTGTTATGACAATAAGCTAAATTTGGTCATCGAATGTCTCGCTATCGTGTTGTGAAAAATGTTTTTGTTTATCTTCATACAGTTATACTAATATCAAGCCTTAGACGCTGAGTAAATCCTATTACTTCCATAGCTCCCTTGTGTTCATAGTTGTACACAAACATATGTACATACATATACGCTGTGTTCACCCCATTCTTCCGAGCACGTTGAGTCACGCCAGTATATAGATGGCGTTTATGACAACTGGATACCTGTTTGTCGAAAAGACCATGTGTCATTATGTTCACTGCATGTAAACTGCGGAGAATTTTTATCGAATGGTAAGCCTTCATGGTCTAAGAATAACTAGACGAGTCAATAAAGACTTAAAATTATTGAGATATTGAGTTTGAAGGTGTTCTTTCATTGAGTGTTATTAATTGAAATTATACTTCTCGACGAGCGTAGAAAGCGCGTTGCTTTTGTCTTATATTTCTTGAAATGTGTTTTGTATAATTTTGATATTCTTAAAGGAATTATATATATACGCGCTGATGACAAAAAGGCGTTTCTCCTTCAAAATATCTCTCTTCAATATTACGCTCTTTTTTTGACGCAGCAAAGTTTTCACCTGTGTGATCCTGACCTAAAGGCGTATGCTTTAAAACAGCTGGTCAATTGCGGCTCGAGCTTCAATCTGCAGTAAACGATAGGTAGAGAAGCTTGTTTTTGTGTGGAAGACCGTTCCTTCGAACTCGTAAGAATGTATATCACAGCACGAGGGGCTTTACCGCAGGTGGTCACGAAAGGAATCGTGAAATATCAGCGAAAGCATTGTCATTCAAACCATTAGGGCGTATTATCATGCAATTCATCCACACAGGCTTATTATGTTCGTGCTGTTGATGGAACGATAAAGGCAACAATAGCTTGCCTGCCCGCTAGCTTCCCAAAGCAAACATCACGACAATACCATTTTGTCTTGTTGTGAATACAAATTAGATATCCCGCGATTATGTTGCCATAAAACAACTGTGTTTAACAAGTTCATGTGTATACTCGTGCCTCGTCAAGCTGCGCGCAGATTTAAAATCTCCTCGACTCCCTTTTATGACATGCAATGCACGATATCGCGCGGGGCAAGAAAGCAGCACAATATAAGGTTGTATTTATCACACCAAACATCGCCACAATCTTATTTTAGGAACTGATAGAATCGCATGGGCATGTATGCGCGTATATATAACTATTGTGTAGACGTATACATTTGAATTTGTATTACAAATGAACGTGGTTTATACCCGGCCAAAACGGCTGCTCTTGTACGATAAATAAAACGTTGACATGTTGTTGGAAACGAAACATTTCAGTTATGCGCATGTGGGCTTCTGCAAAGTTGTGCACTTGATAAAAGACGAGGCAGTGTTAGCCGCTAGCTCGGTCCTTTGTTTCGTGTCAAGTGCTCGAAACACTTGAGATGAAACGTGCGTACCGCCCGTCTTTCTAGAATGCATGGCTTGTTCCCTCAGGAAAAGAACCTTGAAAATAGAACACTTTCTTGTATAGTGAAGCCTGTACAATTCCTCGACCGATGTACAAATATCCGTAACCAAAGGAGTTCTTTTTCTTGTTCATTCTCAACCCACTCGCAAAGTTCCGAGGAAATATCTCTACAATGTTTTATTTCACTTATAGTCGTTTTTCTGACAACTGCCCGATTTAAGCTTGTAGGCGCAAATCGCATCATATCGCTTTAGTCTCTGTCTCTGATGTGATCTTAGTGATATCATCGATAATCAGACATTTCTATATGCCTTCAAAAGAAGTCGCTATGAGCATTTAATCTTCGCGAAGTTTCCTGCTGGAAAATTTTCGCACCCTATTTATCATATAATCATTTCACGCGTTACTTTCACCGAGTTTTTGTGTTATGCTCTTGTGTGCTCGCTCGTCGTGCGCTTTCGCTTATTTTAAAGCAATTTTGGCTACTTGTTGTAACCATTTCAACATGCAGTCATTTATCAAGACTGGTCATTGCGCCTTTCAAATCGTCATATGGTCGCAACAATTTCACACGCGAATTGAATCTACTGTCTATATATCCGCAAGAACTTGACCGAAACAGCCACGATAACGAAGTTCGATGATCGCATGAGCTGAAATGAGTGAAAGCATGACCTCCACCTGTTTTGGATCCTTGTTAATTATGGGTTTCATTCAAATTGCACATGGAATTATATGGCAAAAGAAAAGTGTATTATTCTCGTGCGAAATAACGAATCGAACAATTTACTTGGCGATATAAATTATGACACCTGTCTACGTCTTCTGTAGTATTTGCCAGAATGGGAAACAGTCGCTGGGCTTGTGTGAGATAGCCAATCAAGAGCCCACGCCAGACAACGACGTCAAATTTGTGGAATAGTTTTGGACGCGTCTTGACCAATAGTCTTAGCAGTTCGATCACGTGTGCTAACAAAGACCCACTGCCTCGGTTGACTGATAGCTAGTGCCTATGACACATAACTCATGGAACGTTCAACTGTGTACATCTCCATTTGTAGTGTATGTTGCGTTAGCGCATAAACACGTCCACCGTTGGCATTCGTTCTCAACATCACCATCCGCCATGTTGAATTCGACAGTGTTGCAAAGTAATGTGTCTTGCCATCTATGGGCAATTTACACCTCTATGTACATTCTTATATATTTATATATGTGTATATATAATATATATATTATATATATATACATATATGAGAGTGGCGATGCTGTACTGTATATTGTTTCTCGAGTATTCTTTGATATGAATACCGCGGCACTCTACTAAAGGACATTATTACGGAATTGCATTTGATTCGCATGAACTTTGACAAATATGGCTTGTTTGCCATGTCACACTTAGAAAATGCTCTATATATACATATGTGTATGTGTGTGTATCCAGAACCGTTGCCCTATACGTATCCTAACAACTTCGACTCTCTTCATTAGATCAATCTTCACGGAGGATCGCGCTTTGCGTTGGATGTGGAGCTCAGATCAACGATAAATTTCTACTGCGTGTCTCGCCGGACCTCGAGTGGCATACCACTTGTTTGAAATGCTCTGAATGCAGCGTTGCTCTGGACGAGACTTGTACGTGCTTCGTTCGCGATGGCAAGACCTATTGCAAGCGGGATTACTACAGGTATTTCAGTCTATTCGATGCAAGCATAAGCAAGCCGTGCGGTGTAACTGCTGCGAGTGCACAACACACAAATGTCGACAAATGTATACAATTGCCATGTCATGTGTGAAAATGATAATTGCAAATTGCCTGATCCAATATAATTTCCGTCCAAAGGAAGAAGTGATCACTCGTGTTTATCGATGAAAATGATTACTTGCGAATGAGCTGACTCTGGCAACATGTCTTAGCTCATCTCATAATTCGGTATTTATGTATTAAAAAACCCCCGCTTTCTCGGACGAGCCATTAAATACCTTGTTCGACTTGCCAAGATCTTGTATGCTTTGACAAGTGAGTGTTAAGTCGACAGCCACACGCTACCTCAATAAATGTAAGAGAGATATTATCCACTCGTCATTGGCGTGTTAAAGTTCTCTCAGTGGTCAAGCGATTATAGCCTCGGAACCTTAATGTTCAGCTCGATCAGATCGCTCCGCCTACAAAGTTTAACTTCATCCAGATCTTATTGATCTCTCCCGCGCTATTATATGCAACGAGCAATAATATCATCAGCTCTCGATTATCAGAACAAAATGTCCCTGGCATATACGTTTCCATTGTAGCTCCGCGCATCTTTGCACTCGTCTGTTTGCACGCTTATCGACATGAGACTTCGGTTTTCGCGTTATCTTGTTGATTTACCCCCGCATTTTGGCACAGCTTAACTAACGCCAGGGACTCTTTGTGTAAAAACGCGCATGTATTGCTGGAAAAACGGTCAGTACTTAATTCATGCCTATGTCAATTCTCAAGTCTTGCCAACGGAGCATATTATGTACCGTTGATGTTCTAATCACATGCTCCGATTTTATTTATAAAGTATTTTTCTCGCATGAAGAACATAAGTAGCATGCAAACTTGAGCCTCCTTTGTTTGAAATAATCATTTGACCATTATATGACTGTTTACTCTATTCATTTGTCGAGCGTGTTCGGGTATAGATCCCGTTTGAATGGCACGCATTTACAGCCTTGTATACGATCCTCAAAAATTACATCATTTGCCGGTGAAAATTACGAACGAGCGCGCTTGCGATGACTTCAGGCAAGTGCGGATCATTTGCCATGTTTTCAGCTGAGATTCGCGTCCATCCATTCGTTGGATCGCGCTAAAACGGAGAGACGGCATTTGCTTGATAGCGTTTGTCAACATATTTGCGATGCCTTGCGAATGTTCAACATGCGTATATTGGTATCACTGTTACAAATTCAACATGTGTTTTTTGTCCATTGACAACGTGCTGTCTTCTTATCTTGTTTGGTGCCCTGTGTGCCATAAATCTGCCCGAATCGCTCCGGTTTCAATGCGTTTGCTTGAGGTTTTTTGGCAAACGTGGTGTATTTTTTGATCGAATACGCTTACTGAAGAGATCTTCAGGATTCGACGAACGCGTCATTGCCACGAAAGACTGTTATTGCATCAAGAAAACTCGATGGATTTAACGAGTGTTTTTGCACTTTTGCCAACGCTATCAGAGCGCCATATGCAAAGCGCGCACATAGCTACAACACTTATTTTGTATGATTTAGGTTGTTTGGCAAGAAATGCGCTAAATGCAACCAAGGTTTCAACAAGAAAGACTACGTTATGCGCGTTAAGAACAAGATATTCCACGTGGAGTGTTTCAGATGCGTTGCCTGTACTAAACAACTTCTACGCGGCGACGAGTTTGCGCTACGTGAGGATGGATTATTTTGTAAAGAAGATCATATTATCCTTGAGAATGCTAGAGAGTCATACACGACGGAACAACATTGCGCCGTTACACTAAATACAGGTAAGACATCCGTTTTTTAATTTTTGAATCGACGTCGAAAAGTACTCTCGCATAATCAAATCGATGCATAGTAGCTTAAACGTGCGGTATTCATAAATTGGCATTGCGATAGATATGTACTGTGATGTATATAGCTACAAAAAACGTTACTCCTTTATTATTTTATACAAGGAAGTTTTATAGAGCTGCTCGTCAACGATATTTTAACACTACATAAGCGCGGGAGCAAATTGTCAAATGCAGTTTTGTAAAAAAGATAGCGTATTTCCCTAAATAACGGTATAATGGAGTCATTCATCTACAATGCACGTCCTTCTTAGCTACATTCATCTAGAATGCACGTCCTTTTTAGCTACATATTCAACAAGTGCTAGCGACTCGTTGAAATGTGTATGTAAAGTCACAAATGAGAGACGAGTTTTGCGTGATGTTAAATCATGACCCAAATGTTATCTGTACAATGATATAGAGGCGCTTTTGTAATTGTTGACTTGCGCACGGCTGGCTTCATTTATCTTTTAAAGAAATTATGTCATTAGATTATGTGAATTGTCAGAATTTAATTCTACAAATATGTCTACAATTTTTTAATATATATATATATATATATTCATATTCTATTTTCTTGTAGTTTACTTTAGTGATACATGTATATTAATATGTTGAATGTCTCATGCTTTTCCCGCATGTAAACTATCAAGATGTTTTGAATTACCTATTGAATCTAACCTTTTTTTATATGTTTAATCTAAAGTTATTCCAGCATGGTTTTTTATATGCATTTGTCATATCGGCATGCTTGCTCTTTCTCCTATTACTCTATCTAATATTCGTGCGCTTTCGTACGACCTGTCTCTTGAAGGACTAGATGCTAATTGATCGTCTCTGATGTAGCTTGTACTTCGGGTGGGAATGATTAGTTCGCGCGATGTTTTCATGATTTAATTCACGGATTGTTAATCGTCTCTTATCTCCAGTCAATCAATGCGTTCACGGGAACGCGAGCGTAACTTGGGAATGATATGGCTTTTAAATTGCTCGTAGAATTATCGAAAACGCTCTGCGGTAGGTCCTCTAAAAAGGCTTGTGTAAAAATACGGAGGCTGGTCTTATGCAGTTGTCAAACAACGTTTGTCGAGTGATGTCTTCATTAGGACAATTGTTCATCCCTCCCTGATTTTTGACATGAGCGCGCCATTCGTCGCATGATTAATTGTCCGACACTATAAGCTAAAAAGCGCAAACAACGAACGTCCGTTTTTCCTTTCATGAATGACTAATGCGTCTCGCCACTTCAAGTAAAGGTTGAGTTGCGTGTTTCTGCGTTCGTTCTCCATTTATAATACCGTGTTTTTTGTTCGTGAAATAGTTTACGTGTCTATACATGTGCGTTTGAGACCTAGGGGCTGATTACAGCAATCAAGCTGCAACCGACAGCTCATTTGAAAACTGAATGTCAGAAAAGTAAACGATTTGATGCGGGTTTTTTGTCCAATCGGATTAGCGTGAGGAAGTCGTTTCTTGTTCCAAACCCTAAGCAAATGCCATATCAATATTTGAATTGGCCACTTCGTGATGCTTTGCAAAATTCATATTTTGGCATTCATCTGTATAAGACTAGCTTCTGTAGCCGTCCTATCCATACGTAATTATATCTAATAAATAGCCGAATATCTAACTGTTGCTAACATATAGCATTCGTTGAACCGATTTTTTTTATTTTATATTTGATAATGTAGACGATTATACGTTTCAAGGTCGCTTATTCATTCATGCATTGACTGTAGTGTTTGTAGCATGTGTTTGATGAGGAACATGGCGCCCGTTGCCTTATCTACTATCATTATACATTTAAAATGTATCTATAAGTAATATGTATTTCTTTATTGTCTCGAAATACTGTGTCCTAGAAAGGCTGCTATTCCTTTACGATCCGATCGACTGTTTCTTGAGGTTTTTCATTGTGCAGATGTCGCCACATCGTCTGTGGACGGTTATTTTGTTTATAATTTGTAATATCTGCACAAAAAAAGGATTGTGAAAGTTTTAAGACGAACGTAGACGGCAACACAAAACCTTGAATTTTTACATATCACGAACAAATTAAGAATAATTTGTCGCATAAGTGTGTGTTAATTAGGGATATTTCCATCGCCTGTGAATGCAGTTATTTTAAGCGTGTCTTTATTGTAAACGATGTTTTCTCACGATCGTAGAGAAAGAACATCTTTCATGTGTTTTTCTTTTGTATTTACACAATTTACTTTCGCTTACAAAAATTCACCAAGCCATATAAATTGCGTGTAATAACAATCGAATTTATTTTCAAAACCGAAGCATCGCGTGTCCTTCAACGTTGGCATGAACTCTATACATTGTTATTTCTTGCTACGCATGAGAACCGCCAGGCGAGTTGCGGTGTTCAGCCACATAATTTCAAACAATAAAATATGAAGTTATCGTTCAAACTGTATCGCTTGTGACCGCAAATGATTTTTTTTACTTCGCTTTCCATCGCGCAGACAAGTTGACTGCAAAGCTTTTGATAAATAATTCGTGCGGTTTTTCTTATCGGCGATTTAAATGATTTAGCGCGACTAACCGTTCGATTGAACTCCTAACGTTTTACATGCAAAGATATAAGTAGTTCGTGCGCCCAGCAAGCCATCGAGCAAATGACATGTGGTTGTTATCTAGCTGTAGTATCATAAAGGATTTTCATTTTTGAGTTTAATCGATTTCATTTGTATTTTCTCTTTAATACATGATGAAATTTTCTGTCTTCAATGTTATTCAAAAACTCTCATTTGAATATCTATATTTTAATACAGATATTTTGTTATGATAACAACAGTGTGATACACATTTCTTCTTGCATCGATCTCATATTCTTCCTCTCGCACATTATAGCAAACATGATTCCTTACGAAACAATCACGACTAGGGGGGGTTCTAAAAAATCGCTACTTTGTCTCCTACTGTCAATGCCCGCGGTTATAACGTTGGTTTTACGTTCGCATTTGTGTACAGCCGTCTAGCAAATCCAAATGTTGTGCATATTTTCCAATATTCAAGTTCTGATTATGCATTGTGTTTTTATAAACAATGAAATCTGTGCCTACTTTGAAACACTTGAATGTATACTGAATATGAAAATACCTATTTGCCTCTGGGTTTCATGATATATGCTCGGAGATCTGCCTGTGATACAATATATGGATATTGTTGACTGATGTTTTAGATTGTAAGGACTATTTTTCATCTACCAGTTTAAATTTTGTCAAGAAAGAAGTAATTTCGCTAAAAGTTCGTCCATCGATGTTTATGCTAAATTTAAAGTAGAATCCTCCTTAGTAAGAGAATTTCAACACGATTTTATTTTTATCCCCGAATACTCAGGAGGAATACATACGTTTTATTTATTGTTACTTTTGTCTATATGTGTGATTAAAATTATATAACGTTCCCCTTGGATTTTTTACCGTTCACATCAAAGTTTATGCTTGTATTGACCATATGTCTACATAGGATGTAAATCATTGCCCTCTTCAAACTATTGCATGTAGTTAGAAATGGTATTCAATTATATTCAAAAGCGATGGCTTCCGCCACAGACGGAAAGCATGTCGTTATAGGTTTATATTGATTTTAGTTTGGCACAAAATTCTGTCGAATCAAACTGCACTTTCCTTTGCTTGAATGAAAGCAATTTCCTTTCTCAAACAAACCAGCGAATAGGAATATTTACATGTTTACATAGGTATTTTTGTGGGCCATAGGCCACATATTTTGAAAAAAATTTTAAACTTGGTTGTGTTTTTACTAACCGCTAGCAAAGTTGAGATTGCGTTACGTTTGAAAGCATTTTGTACACTATATACGTATAATTTATTTACACCACGCGGCAAAATATCTGTGTTTTTTTGCATTCTTGTGTTCATGACGTCAGGGAAGTCCAGTTCATAATACAGCATTTTTCTTGTCAAATCCAGTAAAATCTACATCAAACTCTCTACACAACGCCATCGTTTACAAAATAGAAGAACTCACAAGTTGAGAGAATGTTTTGTCTTAACACAAAGATTCTCAGTTCATCTTCTTTTGTTTAGCTTTGCATGTTGATTTTGGGCGTTTTGTTTATTATCTATCTTGAAGAATGTGTTTTTTCCCTGCAAACTACGATTTCCCGAATTGTTCGAACAATATTTTTTTAAAATGTAGTGGAAAACACGAGACAAGATCGACAGGAGAATCGTTACATAATCTATTCTAATGCATATTCGAATATTCTAATGTTATTAGAACATTCTAATGTATATTAGATCATTCTAATGTATATTAAACGTGGCAATGATAGTTATTATCGTGTAACATAAATCGCAATCAGAAGAGAATGTGAAGAATACAAAAGGCGGAGCGTCGTTGGCGTTCTCGAGATTCTTATCGTTGAGAATTTGTCGACGTCGAGACGATAGAGTGACTAGAGATAAATTTAATCGTTCAATGCAAATGTTGTGTTTGAGAAATTGTTTTTAACGTCGCTGATCGCTGCGTTTGCCTTGTTTGGCTTTTTTCCACCAACTGTGCACGGCGTCTTGACGCTATACATATCGATTAACCGTGGGAACGACGATCGAAAATTGAAATGGGCTTCAGGATGATTTTGTATTCTATACGCTTGTCTCTATTTCGAAACTTTGATGTCATTTGAACATTTCTTTGCCCAAATAAACGACAATATTACTTGAGCTATTCTATAAGTTATGTATAATACATTGCACTAGAACAAGTACTATGCACATTATATTGGCAACGCCTCAAAAAAGGGTTCTTGTGACAATTTTAAATAAATCTAACATAAGTACGATCCTATTGATTGAGTTATTGACTCCAGTATGACTTGAAAAGCTAAAGGAAAGACCAGCCGTTTGAATTTACGGGAGAAAATATCGTAATAGCTTAACCAGAGAAAATAGATAGTCGCCATACGCGTGCCAACTTTGTGTAAAAGTAATGATATTCCTTATTTTGTTTCTTTATTTTGGGAGATGAATATGTAGATATGGGGCTGGGGGGATAGGGAATGGATGGGTATATAAGGGGATGGATGGATTGATGGGTGAATGATTTGATGGCTGGTTGGATAGATGAGTGATGGAGAGGGTGATTGAATGAGTAGATAGGGTAATGGATTCATGAGTAGATAGGGTAATGGATTCATGAGTAGGGGTTGGGTAATGGATAGGGATGGAATGGATAATATATTTATCTATGAAACACAGGTCGGCCAACGTATCAGGTGCGTCACTCGGTGCAACACGGTAAAAAGGTAGAGAAAACAACGAGGGTACGAACTGTTCTCAACGAAAAACAATTGCAGACACTGCGCACGTGTTACGCTGCTAACCCTCGACCCGACGCCATGATGAAGGAACAGCTTGTTGAAATGACGGGTCTCAGTCCTAGGGTGATACGAGTTTGGTTTCAAAATAAACGATGTAAGGATAAAAAGAAATCCATACAAATGAAACAGCAAGTCTCAAGGGGAGCTAGTTCGCCTGAAGATCAGGTAATTTTTGAATTTTTTTTATATGCAATCTTTATTATGACATAAATATTGGGAGATTAAGTAAGTACATTGACTTCTTATGTACCATCCTCACTATGACATAAGTATAAGAAGATCATGTACATTGATTTCTTATGTACCATCCTTACTATGACATAAGTATAAGAAGATCATGTACATTGATTTCTTATGTACCATCCTTACTATGACATAAGTATAAGAAGATCATGTACATTGATTTCTTATGTACCATCCTTACTATGACATAAGTATAAAGAGATCAAGTACATTGATTTCTTATGTACCATCCTCACTATGACATAAGTATAAAGAGATCAAGTACATTGATTTCTTATGTACCATCCTCACTATGACATAAGTATAAAGAGATCAAGTACATTGATTTCTTATGTACCATCCTCACTATGACATAAGTATAAAGAGATCAAGTACATTGATTTCTTATGTACCATCTTCACTATGACATAAGTATAAAGAGATCAAGTACATTGATTTCTTATGTACCATCCTCACTATGACATAAGTATAAAGAGATCAAGTACATTGATTTCTTATGTACCATCTTCACTATGACATAAGTATAAGGAGATCAAGTACATTGATTTCTTATGTACCATCCTCACTATGACATAAGTATAAGGAGATCAAGTACATTGATTTCTTATGTACCATCCTCACTATGACATAAGTATAAGGAGATCAAGTACATTGATTTCTTATGTACCATCCTTACTATGACATAAGTATAAAGAGATCATGTACATTGATTTCTTATGTACCATCCTCACTATGACATAAGTATAAGGAGATCAAGTACATTGATTTCTTATGTACCATCCTCACTATGACATAAGTATAAGAAGATCATGTACATTGATTTCTTATGTACCATCCTCACTATGACATAAGTATAAAGAGATCAAGTACATTGATTTCTTATGTACCATCCTCACTATGACATAAGTATAAAGAGATCAAGTACATTGATTTCTTATGTTCCATCCTCACTATGACATAAGTATAAAGAGATCAAGTACATTGATTTCTTATGTAACATCCTCACTATGACATAAGTATAAGGAGATCAAGTACATTGAGTCCTTATATACCATCCTTACTATGACATAAGTATAAAGAGATCAAGTACATTGATTTCTTATGTACCATCCTTACTATGACATAAGTATAAAGTGATCAAGTACATTGATTTCTTATGTACCATCCTCACTATGACATAAGTATAAAGAGATCAAGTACATTGATTTCTTATGTACCATCCTCACTATGACATAAGTATAAAGAGATCATGTACATTGATTTCTTATTTACCATTCTCACTATGACATAAGTATAAAGAGATCAAGTACATTGATTTCTTATGTACCATCCTCACTATGACATAAGTATAAAGAGATCATGTACATTGATTTCTTATGTACCATCCTCACTATGACATAAGTATAAAGAGATCATGTACATTGATTTCTTATGTACCATTCTCACTATGGTATAAGTTTTACGGATATCAAGTACATTAATTTATTATGTAACAAAATAACGACAAAATATCGCTACATAGGTTTGCTATATGTTTTTGCATATGGTCGTTTTGACAAGTCATAAGTCATTAATTTTGATATCTTTCTGTATTATGATCTTTAAATTACATAACATCACATGCGAGCAAGATGTCCGCAGGTGATGACACGTATCAAAGGTGATAATTATCGTCAAACTAAGGTTACTCTCTCTCACACACACACATACACACATGCTTTATTGATTTTCCCTCCTCCTGCGTGTAACTCACCCAAATGATTTAAGACAGACTGTCTGGCAGCGTATTTGATAAATGAATTTCTCATTTTTTACATTGTTGACTTAATGTTGCCTGCTTGCTTTGGCGATTTCTTTGTACTATACAAACAAAGTTGAGAAATCCCTATAGCTGGTTTTTATACGAATGAATAACGCGATCGTAAAATTCACCTCAATTAAAGCTTTGATTTTTAATTATGAAAAATTTTGCAGTCGTCCTGTGGTCATTTGTCTGACGTTGCGTTACAACAATCCATGCAAGAAAGAAACAGTCTTTCGCATGCGCTAGTTACATCCAGTCCGGACTCGGATCCAGGCTATCAACCTTGGAAAGCGCTCAACGACTTTGCGATGCAATCAGAAATTGAAAGGACGCCATTTGAACAACTCGTAAGTACAATCCTTTTGGATAAGATTTCCGTTTGGATGAGATTTTAATCTACCTTCTTTAAGCTGCTCTTCAATTAAAGTTGACCTTTGCGTGATTGAATCTCAGTTCATCCCTTCCTTGCCCAACTTTGGTGGATGGTATGAGAGGGATGTATTTATTTATGCTGTTTAAGTAATTTTTGAGTACAATGAGGAACAACTTTGTTGGATGGGGGAGAGGGATGTATTTATTTATGCTATTTAAGTAATTTTTGAGTACATTGAGGAACAACTTTGGTGGATGGGGAAAGGGATGTATTTATTTATGCTGTTTAAGTAATTTTTGAGTACATTGAGGAACAACTTTGGTGGGTGAGGAAAAGGGATGTATTTATTTATGCTGTTTAAGTAATTTTTGAGTACATTGAGGAACAACTTTCAGCACCACGTAAACGATTCGAAAATTCGTAAAAAATTCGTCCGAAAGGTTTTTCATTCATAAATTGAGATCTTGTCGAGACCTTACAGACATGTTTTTATGATCATGATATTAAATTGAGAATTAAGATCCAGGTTTCAAAGCAAAAAAATGCAGACTCTCAGTCAATTAAAGTGAAAGCAACGAAAAATGTAAACGCTTACAGAAAATTGTACAAACTCTTTCGGGCCCTATGTAGACTGTGTGAATTGCTATCAGAGGGGGTAATTTTTACAGCTATTAAAGCTCTGTGACAAAAACCTATCAACCACACAGAAGATCGTTCAAGCTCAGTCAGAAAAGTGAAATTCGCTTATTGCCTTTTAATGCCAAATGTACAAAAGTTCTTGTGATGAAGTTTAAAACCTCGTAAGAAAATACAAGTCACATGAATTTGCAAGTTTAAGGGATAATTTCAGCTCAATTCAAATTATTCAATTTCATTTCACCTCAAATGTATTTCGTGACAGCTTAAAGTAAGTTGGCCCGATCTTTATTCACAAGGTTGTTTTGTGGTTCATCAAACCCATTAGATGGTTGGTTTTATGACATTTCAAATCGAAAATGTGTTACGGCAGCATGATTGAAAGTCAACAGTCAAAAGAAATCAATAAAAAATACTCTCATCATCATTACGAAAAATTTACATTTTAATGAATAAAGCCAACCTGGACAAGTAGTAACCTTCTAACCAATCTTAGTGCAACCAACCCTTGGTAAACTGGGCCCTGGTGTTTACATGGGCAAGTAGTAACCTTCTAACCAATCTTAGTGCAACCAACCCTTGGTAAACTGGCCCCTGGTGTTTACATGGGCAAGTAGTAGCCTTCTAACCAATCTTAGTGCAACCAACCCTTGGTAAATTGGCCCCTAGGGGTTTACATGGAAAGTAGTAACCTTCTAACCAATCTTAGTGCAACCAATCCTTGGTAAACTGGCCCCTAGGGGTTTACATGGGCAAGTAGTAACCTTCTAACCAATCTTAGTGCAACCAACCCTTGGTAAACTGGCCCCTAGGGGTTTACATGGGCAAGTAGTAACCTTCTAACCAATCTTAGTGCAACCAACCCTTGGTAAACTGGCCCCTGGTGTTTACATGGGCAAGTAGTAACCTTCTAACCAATCTTAGTGCAACCGACCCTCGGTAAACTGGCCCCTAGGGGTTTACATGGGCAAGTAGTAACCTTCTAACCAGGCTTGGTGAAACTGTCCCTCGGGCAATGGTCCCCATGGGGGTTTTGATGGTCAAGTAGTAATCTTATAACATTTTTTAGGTTAATTTTTCAGAGCAGAATCCAAATGTTAATACATTATTGACAACGACAAGTTGAGGAATGGTTAAGACGAACAACTGAAGAATGAAATCGCCATGTCGTCGCCAGAATTGAATAAATTTAACGTGAATTAATGTTGCAAGAGACATGTATCTTATATTTATTTAAATTAGGTAAACTAATAAAGTAACTTTTTCTCTGTTCATATTTTTTTCTATCCTAAGTCCTAACAGCTTTTCCTAATGGAAATTACTATATTCATTGGTACAACTATTTTTCAATTAATTTTTGGTGGCACACATGTTCAATCACAATTTCGGTTCATGAAACAAGATGTCTCCTCCAAGACAACCACTAGCAAGCAACAATTCAGAAGGTGAAAATTTGCAGCAAAGTACAGGTTGCGAATGGCCAAGCACTATTTTTACTTCCTTAAGGGTTTTTGGCAGGGATTCTCTCATCCACATTGAACAAGTAGAATTGAAAGCAAGAAGCCTTACACAATGTGCAAAAGGTGAAGCTACTATCCGACCATCTGCACTAAAACTTTGTTCTTTGATATATCCTTCTGCCGAATCAGAATCCTGGATGAAGTGACTCAATCTTTTTACTCTACCTAGGCAAGTTATCAAATAACTTATTTTGCATAATTCACTTTCTATTCAATCACAAACCTTACCTTGACAACTTTGAACATCATAGATGGCTGTATACTCGAGATTGTTCTGGGCAATTAATCGACAGGCAAAGCATTCACCATGTGGATGAAATTGCATCGAAACAACATGTGTGGGTTTCAGTGGATAATCAGAATCTGTATCAAAAGTCTCAAAGAAATTTAGTCTATCATCAACAACACCCTCAGTACATTCTGTCACTGGATTGTCATCAAGTTGAATGTCTTTCATGGCTCTTAAATCAAGATTGTGGATAACACTGATGGTACCACACGTTATCACCATTTTATCACCTTTGGGACTCACACGAGCACAATATAAAGTATTCAAATCACTAGCATACACAATTTTTGAATCCTCATTCAAACTGTTTATATCCCATGTACGTATAGTGCCGTCAAAAGCAGCACTTACAAGGTAACCGGAATTCTCATCATAAACCAAGCTTTTTACCCAGTGTGTGTGGCCGCTAAGCGTTGTTATACAATTATCTAACATTCGCATGTCCCACAAGGCGACATTACAATCGTCTGATCCGCTCGCAAATATCTTCTCATCGCAAAAGCAAATGCAATTTATGCTATCGTTATGTGCGTTAGATATAACATTTATGTGCTTTTTTGTCTTCGGGTCCACGAAAACTATACTGGCTTCTTCACAAGCGGCTAGCAAAACGTTACCACTTGGTGAGAATTCTAGGTTAAAGATGGCGCCGTGCTCATCTAAAAAATGTTGAGTTTGTTTTATTTTTTTATAGAATTGAAAGTGTCTGTAATATTTCGAGTTTAGGAAAGACTGACTAGTAGTATTAATGCCGATTTCTCTCATTTTAATCATTGTTAGCGTTGAGTAGAGACGTTGTCTTCTTACCTTGACATAATCCATACCTCTACAATAAACTTACATGAAGTACTGCAAGAAAGTTTTGACCTCTGTGACTGAGCCCACTGTGTTCGTAAGTTGTTGTGGACTCTTTGCAGACATAGTCACGCGTATTGTTATCAACTGAATTTTTTAAACAAATCGTTTGACCAAGTGCTCAAAAATGTGAAAAGAGTAGCTTCATAATTTGAAAAAAGTTAAAATTTCAAAACAGAGCGTTCCAAATCCAAATAGCCTCCTATTTGCCGCTACTCATAGTTTGCTTTCCGTGGGCTCACAATAAGGATTTTCGTTTTATCACTGAACAGGTGACAGGAATTCAACAAATTATAGAAAAAGCTTGTTTTGACTTATTTATGCTTGAGGAACAGCTTTCAGCACCATGTCAACAATTTGAAAGAAATTCTTTCGAAAGGTTTTTCATTCATAATTTTGAGATCGTGTCGAGACCTTACAGACATGTTTTCAAGATCATGATATTAAATTGAGAATTAAGATCTAGGTTCCAATTCAAAAAATGCAGACTCTCAGTCAATTATAGTGAAAGCAACGAAAAATGTAAACTCTTACAGAAAATTGTACAAACTCTTTCGGGCCCTATGTAGTCTGTGTGAATTACTATTAGAGGGGGTAATTTTTACAGCTATTAAAGCTCTGTGACAAAAACACATCAACCACACAGAAGATCGTTCAAGCTCTGTCAGAAAGTGAAAATTCACTTATTGCTTTTAATGCCAAATGCAGAAGAGTTCTTGTGATGAACTTTAAAACCTCGTAAGAAAAAGCACTTCATGTTTGTAAATGTAGATCGTCCAGGTTGGTATAGTCCTGAGAAGGACTGTTTTTGTTGTTGTTGACTGACGTTTCGACAACCTTAGCGGTAGTCAACAACAACAAAAACAGTCCTTCTCAAGACTATACCAACCTGGACGATCTACATTTACAAACATGTAACGATACTCCCATGTTCAAACCATTTACTTTAAAAAGCACTTCATCAAGCACAATGCAAGCAACACGAATCTTCAAATCAGAAACAGGGTGTTAGTTAAGGTTGAAGGCATGAAAGACATTTTGCATATCTTACATGGGGTACCTATTGGAGAGAAAACCAAACATAAAGCAAAACTTCATATAAAATGTTGGAATCAGTTTAAGAGATCATTTTAGCTCAATTCAATTTCATTTCATCTCAAATGTATTTCGTGACAGCTTAAAGTAAGTTGGGCCCGATCTTTATTCACAAGGTTGTTTAGTGGTTCGTCAAACCCATTAGATGGTTGGTTTTATAACATTTCAAATCGAAAATGTGTTACGGCAGCACGATTGAATGTCTACAGTCAAAGGAAATCAATAAAAAATACTCTCATCATCATTAAGGAAAATATACATTTTAATGAATAAAGCCAACATGGACTAGTAGTAACCTTCTAACCAATCTTAGTGCAACCAACCCTCGGTAAACTGGCCCCTAGGGGTTTACATGGGCAAGTAGTAACCTTCTAACCAGGCTTGGTGAAACTGACCCTCGGGCAATGGTCCCCCATGGGGGTTTTGATGGTCAAGTAGTAATCTTATAATATTTTTAGGTTAATTTTTCAGAGCAGAATCCAAATGTTAATACATTATTGACAACGACAAGTTGAGGAATGGTTAATGAGTTGCGCTAAGACGAACAACTGAAGAATGAAATCGCCATGTCGTCGCCAGAATTGAATAAATTTAACGTGAATTAATGTTGCAAGAGACGTGTATCTTATATTTATTTAAATTAAGTAAACTAGTAAGGTAACTTTTTCCGTTCATATTTTTTTCTATCTTAACAGCTTTTCCTAGTGGAAATTACTATATTCATTGGTACGATTATTTTTCAATTAATTTTTGGGGGCACACATGTTCAATCACAATTTCGGTTCATGAAACAAGATGTCTCCTCCAAGACAACCACTAGCAAGCAACAATTCAGAAGGTGAAAATTTGCAGCAAACTACATGATGTGAATGGCCAAACACTATTTTTACTTCTTGAAGGGTTTTTGGATGGGATTCTTTCATCCACATCGAACAAGTAGAATTGAAAGCAAGAAGCCTTACACATTGTGCATAAGGTGAAGCTAGTATCCGACCATCAGCACTAAAACTTTGTTGTACCATATATCCTTCTGCCGAATCAAATTCCTGGATGTAGTGACTAAATCTTTTTCCTCTACCTAGGCAAGTTATCAAATACCTTATTTTGCATAATTCAATTTCTAATCAATCACAAACCTTACCTTGACAACTTTGAACATCATAGATGGCTGTATAATCGAGACTGTTCTTAGCGATAAATTGACAGGCAAAGCATTTACCATGTGGATGAAATTGCATCGAAACAACATGCATGGGATTCATTGGATAATCATAATCTGGATAAAAAACCTCAAAGAAATTTAGTCTATCATCAACAACACCCTCAATACATTCTGTCATTGGCTTGTCATAAAGTTGAATGTTTTCTATGGCTCTTAAATCAAGATTGCGGATCACACCGATGAAACCACACGTTATCACCATTGTATTACCATCGGGGCTCACACCAGCACAATATAAACTACTCAAATCACCTTCATATACAATTTTTGAATCCTCATTCAAACTGTTTGTATCCCATGTGCGTACAGTGCCGTCAAAAGCAGCACTTACAAGGTAACCGGAATTCTCATCATAAACCAAGCTTCTCACCGAGTCTGTGTGGCCGCTAAACGTTGTTATACAATTATCTAACATTCGCATGTCCCACAAGGCGAGATTACAATCGTCTGATCCGCTCGCAAATATCCTCTCATCGCAAAAGCAAATGCACTTTACGCTATCGTTATGTGCGAAAGATATAATATTTATGTGCTTTTTTGTCTTCGGGTCCACGAAAACTATACTGGCTTCTTCACCAGCGGCTAGCAAGACGTTGCCACTTGGTGAGAATTCTAGGTTAAAGATGGCGCCGTGCTCATCTAAAAAATGTTGAGTTTGATTTATTTTTTTATAGAATTGAAAGTGTCTGTAATATTTCGAGTTTAAGAAAGACTGGCTAGCAATATTAATGCCGATTTCTCTCATTTTAATCATTCTTAGCGTTGTGTAGAAATGGTGTCTTCTTATCTTGACATAATCCATACCTCTACAATAAACTTACATGAATTACGTTCAGAATGATACAACTGAGCCCACTGGTGTTTGTAACGTGGACTCTGCAGTGAGCTGAAATAACCATGCAAATGTTTTGACATTCTTTGCAGACATAGTCACGCGTATTGTTATCAACTGAATTATTTAAACAAATCGTTTGACCAAGTGCTCAAAAATGTTGAAAAGAGTAGCTTCATAACTTGAAAAAAAGTTAAAATTTCGAAACATAACGGGTTCCAAATCCAAATTGCCTTCTATTTGCCGCTAGTCATAGTTTGCTTTCCGTGGGCTCACAATAAGTATTTTCGTTTTATCACTGAACAAGTGACAAGAATTCAACAAATTATAGAAAAAGCTTGTCTTGTCTTATTTTTGCTTGCTAAAATGGCAGAAGATGACTGGATAGCAGCAGTAAACGAACAAGAAGGTGTTTTTGACAAGGTCTCTGGTTTTATTTAACATATTTGTATTAAATCGTGGGACACATTAGTAGCGTTTAGTGCGCATGGTAAACTTACCTCGTAAAATGACAAGTCCAGCGTTTTGGTATTTTTAGGTTGCCCAGATGAAGATAAACCATGAAAATGCTTCAGATACGCAAACTTCTCTTTCCAAGGACGATAATTGGGGTTAGTAATCATAATTCAATCTCACTTCTTTTCGGTTTTTTAATTTTTGTATCTCTCGTTGAAGCATTACTCGTGACTTAGGTTTGCTGCATGCTCATATGTATTCTTGTTGGAAGAATCTTTTCATCTAGATTTTAAGGAAAAATTGAGAGAAACTTCTCAAATGTAGTAGAACTGAACTTACTACAGGCCTATCTTTCAAATCATTTTTCTCAAGCAATTTGTAGCGAAATCGAATATAATTAAAGGCTTCTCTTCCTTGCATTTTCATTCATTTGTTGTGTTTACGATATTTGAAAACTTTCAATTCAAATATCAGCATAATAATGATGACAAATATTTCATAATGTATTATAAAATAAAAACAATAAAATGTTCAGTGATTGGTCTAGAGCTGTGTTTGCATTAGCCTGTGCAAAACCCATCTGAGCTCAACCAATCAAATCAATAAAACAATCAATCAGTCAAAGAGAATTGCTAATCGATCATTAATACATTTCAGAGGAAAAATTAAAATGTTTGTCTTTTTTGCATTATTGTTGTTTTATAAAAGAAATAAAAGATGTTTTTCGAGTTTGCAGTAACTTATCCAAACCTCGAGATGTATGTGAAAACTTGAGCATGTGCAACCCTCAACCTTTGGTATCGGGCTTGCACTGATCTGTCCTTGAATTCTCCCAAAGGTCTCCTCGGTTTGCATAAGCCTGTGTAAACACAGTAAACATCTTTTATTTCTTAATTCAAAGGCAAGTTGATGCATATGACTCCCAAAAATTCTTTCAAATCCCTCAAAAAATATAAGTAACTGTTTTGTAATTTAAGCCAGTTCAAGTTTCTGTGTTTCTTAAATGTTATTCTTATGCCTGATTCTTTGGATTTTTGGTTTGTTTCCTCACCCAAAGTCTGCCTATTCCTTTAGATCTTTTTGCTCAAAATATCTGAACTTATTCTTTTAGAAGGGACAGATGAGAAACCCTTGTCGAAGGAGGAAAATTCCCTTCTTACTAAAGTATTAAGAGCAAAGCTTGTTGAATCAACTAAGGAGGTTGAAGTTCAACAGAAAGACCCCAATTCACCTTTATTTTCTGTCAAGTCATTTGAAGAACTACCCTTGTGAGTTTTTTTATGCTTGTTATTCAAACTATTGTTGAATCAACTAAGTAGGTTGTAGTTCAACAAAAATATTCAAATTCACCACTATTTTTTGTCAAGTCATATGAAGAACTTCACTTAAGAGCTTTTTATGCTGATTATGTCAGTAGTATGATCAAGTAAAAGGAAGCCATTTTTTTTATTTCAAGGAAAGAATCTTTGCGTCGAGGTGTTTACGGAATGGGTTTCAATTCACCTTCCAAGATACAAGAGACAGCACTTCCAGTATTGCTAGCAGATCCGTATGTATCCCATGGTATCCCATATTTCATGAACAACACAAGTTATCAATACTTCAGTCTGTTTTCAACCATTTAGACCATGCAATATGATTGCTCAGTCGCAATCTGGAACAGGAAAAACTGCCGCCTTTGTTTTGACCATGTTGTCTCGTGTCAACCCTGAGATGAACTATCCACAGGTATAGTGTTACCATAAGAAAATTTATTTGAATATTGATTTAGATATGGCAATCTCTTGTTATTCATCGTATTGTATTCACAGCAACTCTCTTGTGCTCATCTTTCCTAATTTTTGGACTTGTGTGGATGAGTGATTACTGAGGCCAATTATCTTAGGAAGCATGAGAAATATTACAAAATGGCCGACAAGCAATTTGTAGATTGGTTTTATTGTATACAGCATACGGTATGCCTTGTTATAGTCATATTCAATCTTGCCTGTCACCATTCAAAGTTTAGTTTTGGCAGGTTGAGAAGTAACTTTTAAGCTTCTTGTAGAGCGAGTCTGCTCTATATTTCAAATGTAAATGTTTCCATTTTAACTAAGAAAATGCTTCAAATACATCCTTTTTCTGTGGTTAGAAAACATTTTTGTCGATTATTTGCCCATTAGCTAGAAATGATCGTCAGATGACTGATTATTTCTAAAAGGCCGTCTCTCATCTCCCACACTTGTTTCATTTATGTTTTCTTTGGACATGAACTTTTCCTAGGAGATTTCTTTTAAAAGTTCAATGCTTTTCTCAAAACTTAGCAACACACTTGCAATCATCGCTTTACCATTCTTCCAGTGCTGTAGAAGTTGGGGCGCTTGTTGGAGGAGCCAATCTTCTACCTTTGAAATGGGTCATTTTTCATAATTTTATGGCTTCAGCTTTGTCAAGAGAGCCCCCTCTGATAAATTTAGTTCTACAGCACTGCATTCTCCCATGATATTTTCATTACAAAATGTCTCATCTTAAAAGTTCAATGCTTTTCTCAAAACTTAACAATACACTAACATCATCGCTTTACCATTCTCCTATGATATTTTCATTACAAACTGTCTCATCTTAAAAGTTCAATGCTTTTCTCAAAACTTAGCAATACACTAACATCATCGCTTTACCATTCTCCCATGATATTTTCATTACAAAATGTCTCATCTTAAAAGTTCAATGCTTTTCTCAAAACTTAGCAATACACTAACATCATCGCTTTGCCATTCTCCCATGATATTTTCATTACAAAATGTCTCATCTTAAAAGTTCAATGCTTTTCTCAAAACTTAACAATACACTAACAATCATCGCTTTACCATTCTCCCATGATATTTTCATTACAAAATAACTTATTTTCACACACAGAATATATTCATGATTTGTATTTCATAGGTTATCTGCCTCTCACCCACAATGGAGTTGGCCAAACAAACGGGGAAAGTTGCATCTCAAATGGCCAAATATTGCGAAAATATAAAAATTGTTTATGCAATACGAGGCAACAGATGTGAGTATGAATGCCACGTTCAATACATTGATTTTTTACTTATGTATAGATTGGTTCAAACAATGGACGGATTTACTGAAGGGGGGTGTTACCCCAAACATCAGAATTCACTCCTAAATAAATTGTTCGCCCCTCTAAGCACGTGCAAACACTGTAAACATTTTTTATTTCTCATATATATAAATATATGAGAAATATATATATATATATTACCTATCCCCTTCCATTTACTTCTATTTACTAGAAAATTCTTACTTTAGTGTCACGTGGTGAGAAAATCAACGGTCATATTATTATTGGTACACCCGGCACCATGTTGGATTGGATTTTGAAAATGAGGGCTTTCGATCCAAAAAGATTCGCGTGTTTGTTTTGGATGAAGCGGACGTGATGATCGACACTCAGGGACACAAAGATCAATCCATCAGGGTACACAGGTGAGAGTAGGGATCTGCAAGGTTTGTGGTGTTATATGTTTGAAGCATCTCCTTTAAAGTGCCTGTGACACGAAATTTTGGTTACCTTAAATTAAGGCCTGTTTCAAACATCGCTTTTTACATGAGCCGAATGCATTTAAAAGAAAAGATAATTACGAAGTTTGAAAAAGGTCTAGGATGTCCTATAAATTAAATTAATGTGCGCGTGCTTTCCTTTTGAACTATTCAAGTACAAAAAAATTTTCCATTTTCATGGCGAATGGATTATTTAATAGTCAACTTTGTGCAACCATAAACTGAATGACCAACAAAACCCTTGTTTTAAAGTCAACTTTGTGCAACCATAAACTAAATGACCAACAAAACCCTTGTTTTAAAGTCAACTTTGTGCAACCATAAACTGAATGACCAACAAAACCCTTGTTTTAAAGTCAACTTTGTGCAACCATAAACTAAATGACCAACAAAACCCTTGTTTTAAAGTCAACTTTGTGCAACCATAAACTGAATGACCAGCAAAACCCTTGTTTTAAAGTCAACTTTGTGCAACTATAAACTGAATGACCAACAAAACCCTTGTTTTAAAGTCAACTTTGTGCAACCATAAACTAAATGACCAACAAAACCCTTGTTTTAAAGTCAACTTTGTGCAACCATAAACTGAATGACCAGCAAAACCCTTGTTTTAAAGTCAACTTTGTGCAACCATAAACTGAATGACCAACAAAACCCTTGTTTTAAAGTCAACTTTGTGCAACCATAAACTGAATGACCAGCAAAACCCTTGTTTTAAAGTCAACTTTGTGCAACCATAAACTGAATGACCAACAAAACCCTTGCTTTAAAGTCAACTTTGTGCAACTATAAACTGAATGACCAGCAAAACCCTTGTTTTAAAGTCAACTTTGTGCAACTATAAACTGAATGACCAACAAAACCCTTGTTTTAAAGTCAACTTTGTGCAACTATAAACTAAATGACCAACAAAACCCTTGTTTTAAAGTCAACTTTGTGCAACTATAAACTGAATGACCAGCAAAACCCTTGTTTTAAAGTCAACTTTGTGCAACCATAAACTGAATGACCAACAAAACCCTTGTTTTAAAGTCAACTTTGTGCAACCATAAACTGAATGACCAGCAAAACCCTTGTTTTATAGTCAACTTTGTGCAACCATAAACTGAATGACTAGCAAAACCCTTGTTTTAAAGTCAACTTTGTGTAACCATAAACTGAATGACCAGCAAAACCCTTGTTTTAAAGTCAACTTTGTGCAAACATAAACTAAATGACCAGCAAAACCCTTGTTTTAAAGTCAACTTTGTGCAACCATAAACTCAATGACCAGCAAAACCTTGTTTTAAAGTCAACTTTGTGCAGCCATAAACTCAATGACCAGCAAAACCCTTGTTTTAAAGTCAACTTTGTGCAACCATAAACTGGATGACCAGCAAAGCCCTGAGCTTCACAACGATTTCTGTTTTGTCATCGACGTGGAAACGTACTTGTTGAAAAAAATTAGTTTTATTTTACTTCTTCACAATTGTATCGCCATTGGTTTTCTAAAATGAAGCCTTCTGCACCTTGATCATCAACTTAGATTTTTGCCAAAAGATTGCCAATTGTTGTTGTTCTCGGCAACCTACGATCAGGAAGTAATGAAATTTGCCGAAAGCATAATTCCTGAACCTGTCGTGATCCGTTTACGTCGTGAAGAAGAGAGCCTAGAAAACATCCGTCAGTATTACGTCTTGTGTAACGGCATGGAGCAAAAGTACGAGGCCTTGAGTAACATGTATGGCGTACTATCGATTGGTCAATGTATCGTTTTTTGTCGTGTAAGTTATCGCTTTTTATCTTTATCTTTCTTTGTGTACGCATAATTTCTCACGAATCTTAAAACTGTTTTACCAAGTTCTTTTAGAACCCCTCAAACAGTTTTCAGTACTAAGATTATCTTATTGTCGATCGCAAGTCACTTTTCAAAACATGCCTCTGCAGTGGTTACGATTTATTTTGCGATTTCATTATAATTGGTCGATCTCGAAAACAGAAGCTTTGAAAGTCACGTGTTCGTAAACATGTTTTATTCAGAATGAAAACATATTGTGTATTTTAACTTATTGCATCCTCTGGAATATGATAGATTTGACCGTTTTGAAAAGGAATAACAGTTGCAGACATTTCGATGATCTTTCGTGAACTTTCTTTTTCGAAGAAGCATTTTTGAAGAAGCTACGCACACTCAGAGCAATTTACTACCCGTAACTGAAACAAGTTGTGGAACCGTGTTTAAAAGTCTGATTGCTTGAAATAAGTTCTTCCGGCTAGCTGGATTAACCTCACGAGACTTTCGTTGTATTCTGTTTTCAACTCTTAAAAAAAGTGTTCTGAAATTGAAGATTCTACATGTAACTATACAGACACGATGAATTTCTTTCATGTCTTATACAGACAAGAAAAGCCGCCGCTTGGTTGTCTGAGCGAATGTCACGTGACGGTCATTCAGTCGCTTTGCTATCAGGTGAAATCACCGTGGAGCAGAGGATAGCTGTTCTTGATCGCTTTCGAGCTGGCAAAGAGAAACTGCTGATCACAACGAATGTCTGCGCCCGTGGTATCGACATTCAGCAGGTTTCCGTCGTGGTGAATTTTGATCTACCCGTCGACAGAACCTTATCAACACCGGATTATGAAACTTATCTTCATAGAATTGGAAGAACTGGACGATTTGGACGATATGGCTTGGCCGTAAATTTCGTGAACGAGGGCTGGGATTTGTCAGTTTTGAAAAAAATCGAAGAACATTTTGGTCGTCCGATAGTAGAACTCAACGCAAACGATCCGGATTCGTTGGAAAAATTAAATGAGTAGTCGAATGGTTTGATTCGTTTGTTCAAAGCTTGGCATCGTTCAACTCTAATGTGCCATTTATGAAGTTTAATTTACGGAAAGATTGTTTGGTTGAAAATTAGTTTCTTGTTTGCTGTTCTTTTGTTGGCTGGCCATAACGCTATCTATCTCATGTCGGTGTGAGGAAAGTTTGACCATGGCGCTATCTGCTCATGTCGTTGTAAAGAAGTGGCCTTTTTAAGATGAACACAACACAAGAACTTTTATAATGACAATTCTTAATTCTTCATGTGGCAAATTCAGTAAAACTTTATCGTTTTATACAACTTTATTTTATTAGTTTCCCAATCTATTTGGGTATTGTAGTTTTATTTTCACCATCAAAATAGGATTTGAGTGCGTGTCATAAGCATATTTCAGTTGTGAAATTGTCTTCGCGTTCACTTTGTATAGCATACTTTATGTAGTAGTCATTTGCTGGAATCTGATTGATTGCGCTTTATCCGTTAAAGGTCTGGTGTCGAATTAACGTGATCTCTTTGTATGCGTGTCGCCCGCACTCGCACCCCACTGTGTTTTTGTGGTCTCTGAACATAATATTTTGTTTTGAAACTAAGGCAACTTGATAATTTCACGCTGATTGCTTCCTTCTTATACATCCGTCACTTGTTTTTGCCCAGTTATGGCGAAAATACTCGCTAAATGGTTCCTCTAGAATTAGTTCGTCTTCTTGATGACGTTGTGCTCGTGCGCATATTTTCCTTGCTCGTTTTTTTACGACTGAAAATCATTCCTTAATTATGTACTTGTAAAACAACCGCGAGATATATTATTTTGTAAGAAAAACTTCCGGAATTATATCTCTTGAATTTTCTCGTACATTTCCTTCCAATCTCCTTTCTCCTTTTGGTGAAACTTTGTTGTATGAGAGTTTTGGTGACAGAACCACGCTTCGCGTTTCGTTTCAAGCTATAATGTTTACTTTGTAATCGTCGCGGTTTTTTGTGGTTATATTGAAGTTAGGGAAACGGCCTTCGTTTTCGCAATCGCCATGACAATTTTCAAAACATTGTGCTTCGAACATGACTGCTATGCATATTAAGCAGTTGAACAATTTCGTGATGCCAGACAAAGACATAGAATTTACAAGCCGAGACATACCGTGATTTCTTAAAATTCACTCGAAATATCATTGCTTATGGCGTAATTGTGTAGAAGGAACATTTGTCAGAAACATGATTGATCGTTGGATCGTAAATCCCTGGTACTTGTTCAATAGAGGAGAACTGTTGTCGACTAAAGAGCGAATTCGATCGAATCTATATTCAGATAAGATGGAATGCATTGCCATAAGATAGATACCTCTGAAAGTGAATTTATTTGACATATAATCATTATAGAATGCTATTTTGGAAACATTGTTTTATTTTGTTGCTCGTTTTGTCGACCTGGACATCCCAATCTGTAGCCGATGATGATAAAGGTTGGTTATATGAAAATACATGTGACAATTATATGTGCAATAACAACATCACGCAGTTATATTAGTTTGCTCGCTCTACATTACAATATACCACGAAAAACTAGAATATTCTTTCCTCGAAGGCAGAAACAGTAGTATTTATTTGATTTTGTCTTTGACTTCATTCATTCACTTGTGTCAATGAAATTGCGCATTTTGTTTACAGATTTGCTAATTTTGTGTTCATAAGTCGAAATCAATTTGCAATCATGTTTACATGAACCCCATTAAAGCGGCGTTTATCATCTTCACGATGGCGTTAAACTGTCTCATCGTGTCGCATTAGCGTTTTCACAACATTTCGGTCTACATTGATTTAGGGAAAGTTTTTCATAAAAAAAACACATCCAAACTGACAGCTTGACCTTCGGGCGTTTTGCGTTCTAAGTAGTTGTGTATAATTAAGCTCTGTGGCGTCTATCCTAACTTAAATAGTCTTGTTATCTAGAAAATATTTTCTGACAAGCACCACAAAATCAAAAAATTCTCACTCTCTGCGCATGGGCATTTTGAGATTTCGGCATTATAGTCTCGCACATGTTTTGATTATAACATCCTTTGTCATTTGAACTTTTGTCAGTTTCGCTCAAATACATTATTTTTACGGCATGCCATTGTCTGCGTGGCTTCATAACTTTGACATGTTTTATTTTTCGTTCATTTGTGTAAAACCGGCGAATAATTATCGTATTTTTCCATTTAACAATGTGTTTTTTGTTTTGTTTCCAAACAACCGGTCATTTAGTTATTTGTCCAGGAAAACGGAAGATGAAATTGATAATGTCGCTACAGTAACCATCAACAACATGAACACAAACATCTTTTTATGGATACTTAGTAAATATTTCACACATATTGTTTTTGTGACATGCTAATCTTGTACAGGAATGAATGTCAGTGACGTGTTCCCTCACCCACTCTCCTTTCCCACGTTAATTTCATAGAAATGTAAAGTGAACTTCTTCCCCTTCTATCGCATGCATTTGGTAAATCGTCATGAGGAATTCGTTAGCTCGAACGGATATATTTTACATCGAGTTTCAAACGAACATTTTGTGGTGAATTGTTTGAACTCGGGAATATCATTACATATATGTCGATGTATATCGTCCTGGCCGTCATAAGAAGGATATGTTTGTAAATGTAGATCGTCCAGGTTCGTATAGTCCTGAGGAAGACTGTTGTTGTTGTTGTTGACTGACGTTTCGACAACCTTAGCGGTAGTCATCTTCAGAGTCAAACGAGGAGTAAACGTCAGGTTAGCCGTATTTGTTATCTGGTTCTTAGATACGGCTAACCTGACGTTTACTCCTCATTTGACTCTGAAGATGACTACCGCTAAGGTTGTCGAAACGTCAGTCAACAACAACAAAAACAATCCTTCTCAGAACTGTACCAATCAGGACGATCTACATTTACAAACATGTAACGATACTCCCGGGTTCAAACCATTTACTTTATAAGAAGGATAGTTGGTATTCTAATTGAGTGACGTCATAACAACCATAGTGGTAGTCATAATAGAGTCAGTTGACTCTATGAAGATGACCAACGACAAGACTGCGCATGTTTGTTGCCAATTGCATAAACCGTCTAATCATACCTACAATCACCATCATTATACCTATAATAACTTACCAAACCTATAATCACCATCACTTTCCCTATGATCACCATACCTACAATCACCATCATTATACCTGTAATAACCTTAACAATACCAATAATCGCCATTGCCATACCTATAATGACCTTTACGATACCTATAATCACTATCATCATAGTCACAATCGGATAATTGTAAGTATGGTAAACGTGATTATAAATATGATGATGATGATATATGTATGGATATATATGGATATATATGGATATATATGGATATATATGGATATGCGATCACCACAAATTTTATTGATGTTGTCTTCATTAAAAATTTGTAGATGATGATAACGCTAAAGACAACTCTGACAAAAAATGTTTTCTTTGGAAGAAAAAAAAATGTCATCTAAACAACAAATGTTCGACATTAAAATCACACGATGTCGCCTGTAAACCACATTGTCTTTCCTCTCCACGAACCACTGTCACTTCAGCCTCCGATGTTTACATTTTCAAGACGATATATGTTTGTCCGACATCGACGACTACACAAAATACACCAAGTATGTCGCTTATTTCAACAACCGCTGATGGCATTGCGGTCGCTAAAACTGGGAAGAATAAGAAGCCACGAAAAACAGTCTGCAAACGTCGAAAATCTTCAACGAAACTGGATGAGAGCGATGAAGAGTCTGGTGACGAGTCTGGTGATTCTCCCGTGAGTTCAGGTCTCCTTTCAACGTCTACCCCGGTCGCAACATCTGTTTCAACATTGATTTCGCCAAGTTACACAGAGCGATCAGTTGTTTTTTCCAGTATATTTTCAAGAACTCCTACACCAAAAATTTCAATTGTGGCGAGTGGAACTTTTCCTATGGCATCTAACCTCTTATCGTCAACAGGTGAATAACTGTGTATTTTTCCTCATTTTTATGTCAGCCTATGATGTTGAATGTTCATATTTCAGACATACTGAGACATCATCAAAAGAACTTCAAAACAATAGGATATTTCCATTTTCTTTTAAATCATTGTCATGTTTTAAGTTCTCATTTTCAAGTGATTGAAAAAATCCTAACACAAAATTTCTCTCGAATTTTTTTTTTGTAGTGACCTCTTACAACGTTGATCGTATGAGTACAAACGTCGACTGTCGCTCCAGTGGTCAAGGCAAGTAAAAATATGACGAATGCATGCAAAATTACTTTCACCGGAAGTGGAGAAAGCCTTCACAGGAAGTGGAAAAAGCCTTCACAGGAAGTGGAGAAAGCCTTCAGAGAAATGTTCAATCCTTCTTTGCCTGTTCTAAAGCCACCATTCGTAAAGCGGTTGCGTAGTCGCTAGCTAGCTCGTATGTTTGGGCTGGCGAGTTGATGTTTTTGTATTCACTCTCTGTAGAAATTATAGATATCTAAAGAAACATTTTTTGCCTTGGAAATAAAACTTGAAATTTACAAGGCACGATCAAACTTTCCCGCTGCCTATGCCATTGTCTTGAAGAAAATACATTCAGATTTTCCCCATTATGTTCGATGCCCAATGAGCATGCGCTGATAATTTATTTTACAATGGCCGCTTGCTTTTTCCTCTTCGTAGATGATGACGATGACAGTGATGATGATGATGATGATGACGATGATGATGATGATGATGATGATGATGATGATGATGATGATGATGATGATGATGATGATGATGATGATCAAAATAAACCAATGAAAAGTGATAGAAATCGCACGATTCATAGTGATGGATCGTCTAAGTCGTTGTCTCGACGAAAACCATGTCATCCCTTGTCATCACGGCGATCCCAGGCCATCTTAAATCACTCGTCCATTACTACGCTCTTTTCTTCATCCGTCGACTCGACTCCCAAGTTTGTCTCAAGTCATTCATCCATTACCTGTTATAGTGAATCGAACACGATCAGTCCTACAAAGACGAAGATGCTTTTTTCTTCATCTACACACTCGACTCCACAGTTAACCTTTGAGCAGTCGTCCACAACTTTTTCATGTAGCGAATGGAACAAGATCAGTCCTACGACGACGAATCTTTTCGTTTCTTCGTCTACTCACTCGACTCAAGGTAAAGTTTTCAATTATTTTTTGATGATGTTTATGTTTCCAACTTCGTATGCAAAAGCACATTTTATCATCAATTTACGATTGAGTTAAGAATTTGAAGTGAGCCGTCGAAATCTATGCCTCGTGTCTGTTGCGCTTCTTTGAAAAGATGGTGGTATTTTTCCATGAAAAAAAGACTTTGCTGTCTTGAATTTTCGTTTGTTTTGCGGATTATTCATTTTGAATATTGGTTTTTGCCTTGTGAGAGCTGTTTTAAAACGATAAGTTATTCCCATGTAGTAGATGATATACCGTTTTTCACTGCTCTTGCATCAGCCCCCATCCCACCTTCGGTTTTTATGTAGTTGTTTCCATTACATAGTGCGTTGTCTCCTAGACAACGTAGCCATGATACCAATTGTCTTACTGGTATAATGACCTGTTTCACAAACAGACATTGAGTTATTTTTTTATTGATTTGTTCATTTCAGGTTGCTGTTCGGGAGGCTTAAGTGGTAATAAGTTCGAGAAAGGAGTTCTGTCTTGGCCAGCCACTCCAGTCGGTAAACGCGCAAACGTCTCTTGCGTCTATAACGACAATGGAAGTGCAATAGCGTATAGATGGTGTTTATTTAATGAGACCTCGGGAAAAAAGCGCTGGGGTGATGTTCACGATGAGGAATGCTCAGTTTTAAAGAAGAAAGCGGTGGCTGAGCTTGTTAAGGTACTTTGTCTTTTAACTTGATACAAGAGATAAGTTAAAAAAAAGTCAAGAAAATTCATAGCTACAGTTCAACATGAGTACGCAATAAAATAAATCGCTTGCAAATTCTGCAGTGGATTTCCTGATCGTCTTTAAGGTAGTAGAGGTTATGGGGTGTATTCATATGCTAGATAATTCTCTATCTTTAGATAAAAGTGACCACGAAGAATGAAAAGGAGATAGCGGTGATGTTTGATTACGCTACATCATTGTCTAAAGCTAATGCAACTGTTGATCTTGTCAAGGATGGTGCAGAACTCCTGGAAATTCTCGTGAAGAATGCCACTAATTTGACCAATGTAAGACCTTCGTTTCCTTATTAAATGAAGTAAATATGTACGCATGATCATGATTGCATACTGATCAATTTTATGTTTGTCGACCGCTGACCGTAATCCTCAACGCATTCAAAACTCATTCTATCACTCCAATGGTTCTATAGATCAGAGAAGATTTGTTGAGTTCGGTAAGCAACGTTATGGATGCAGAGGAAAGTGTTCTGGCGAAAGCAAATGAGGAACATCGATCCACAATGAAGTACGTTGTTTCTTGAATGCTTTATTTTCTAAGAAAGAGAGCCCAGTAATCTGTGACACCTTTCTATTTTTCGCCCTTTGACTAAGCAAAGTTAGCCTAAAAAACAGTTTTCTGCATCGTTAATGGGTTTTTGGATGTTAACTTCGAGAGAAATATGGCAAAGTATTTATCGGGCAACACTACCTGAGTTTTAGGAGTCTTTTCCGCTCATCGCAAAATGCTCTCGCTGCGAGCTTGCGAGTCTGTTCGCGCGATCAAAAAATTTTGTTCAATTAATTTAACTATGCTGCGAGTCATGGTAAGCTCGCTGCGAGTAGCTCGCAGGCACTCGCAGCGAGGTAGCGAGTACGTTTTGCGATGAGTGGAAAGAGCCGTTAGTCAATCATTGTTTTGATGCTCTGTCTTCATAAAAAGTACTAACAGAAACTGATGGTTTAACATTAGAACTGTGTTTTGTTTTGTTTAATCGGGTGCACTGTGCTTGCAATTGACGCAACAAGGTGGACTGGGCGCTGCAAACATGCAATTAATAACTAGAAAATGTTTACTGTGTTTGCACAAGCTTATGCAAACCGAGGAGACTTTTGAGAAAACTCGAGATCAGATCAGTGCAAACTCGTGACTAATGGTTGAGGGTTGCACCTGCTCGAGAGTTCTCACAAACGTTTCCGAGGTTTGCATAAGCCAGTGTAAACACGAAAAACATCTTTTATTCCTTTTATAAAATAACAATAATGCGACACAGACTTAAAACAAACGTTTTTATTTTTCCTCCAACTTTTATTCATGATTCGTTTGCAAATTCTCTTTGATTGATTCAAGTCGATTTGCTCAGCTAATGCAACCTCAGCTATGGATCAATTAGCGCATGCGTCGTATTATGGTTGTATTATAACCTACGTCGACACACTTATCCTACAAGTTTTTCTACAAGTATGTTGGTAATACATGTTTTCATGAACTGTTTTCATTCATATGTTTATATCTCGTGCAGGATGCTGAAGAATGTTGATTTACTATTGGATAATATCAATCTCCGAGGGCAGAAGTTCGTACGCGAGAATTATACGAATTTAGTAGTGGAAGCATGGGATGTAGCGAATACATCAAAGAATCTCACATTCACAAGCGATGGGGATGGTGTTGTGTCATCAGTAAAGCTTCCCGGTTCACTTCTGAAAGGCTTTAAAAAGGAGAAGAGAATAACTTTTGTTAGCTATGCGAACGATAATTTCTTTCCAATGAAAGGCGCTCCCGCAAAGAAGAAGATCATCAACAGTCAAATTGTTTCCTCTAATATCAAGGTATTGTCATTTGGGCATCTTTTAAGACTTATGTGGCATTTTTTTATGGAATTCCTCAAGACATGACGACCTCTTAGTGTATCTTGATGATTACCGTTAGTCTCTTAATGTATATAGAAGTACCCAAGCGTACCCTTCTGACTGAAAGATCGTGCTTTACATTTCGAAAATCTCTTTGATTAAGTTTTTAAAGTTTATATCAAAAGTCGTGGAGATCGTTTTGTCTGGAGCAATCCGTAATATCACTGCTGACATAATTAAACAACCGACCACGTGCCAACTTTTCCTATTTTTGCGCGAGCTTTTATATTACTTATTTTCAACTATTCATTTGTGGAAACCAGGGTACATCAGTGAAGAATCTGTCCGACCCCGTCGTCATCGAATTCAAATTAAAAAATCGTAGCCTCACGGAAAACAGTACGTGTGTCTTCTGGGACTTCGAGGGAGATAATGGTAGTGGATCTTGGTCTGCCAATGGTTGTGTTTACGAGAACTTGGGAGGTGGTCGATCACGCTGTAGTTGCGATCACCTTACGCATTTTGGTATTTTAGTGGTAAGATACTATATTACGTATTGGGAAAGTCTTCAGCAGTAGCTTATCTAAAGATCTTGTTTGTCATGTTCGGTATGATATGCACAACCTTCAATTTTTTCTTGAGTATTTCATTTTTTATGCCTGTCAAATATATATTTAGAAAAATACCAATGATTAGTTGATTGGAATCATTCTATGCGGTAAATTCATCGACAGCTAATACTCGGCACAAGATCATTGATGTTATTATCTCAAGCAAATTGCTCATTTGTATCATTTTATCGTATTTAGGATCTTTCTCCGTTGAATGAACCACCCCCCACTGATCTTCTTATTTTGGAGGCCATCACCTTCACTGGATGTTATTTATCTCTAACTGGTTTGGTCCTTACCTTATTAACCTTATTATCGTTCAAGTATGTTGACCTTAGTGACTTTTATTATAGTTCAAGGATGTTGACCTTGTTAATTGTTTGAGGATGTTGAACTATATTAAACATCCTAGTGCCTGTAGAATTGCAAACATCAATCTTCTTATTTCAGAAAATATCGCCATGGCTTGAGTGGTCAAATCCTTATGAATTTATGTGTTGCTCTGATTTTCTCGCTTCTTGTCTTCGTTGTTGGAATTAAAGAAGAACAAAACGAAACCGTTTGTATTGCTGTGGCGGTTTGCCTGCATTACTTTGTGTTAGTCGCTGTATTGTGGATGGGCATCGAAGCACTTCACATGTTTATCATCATTGTGCTGGACCGCGTTCACGAGGAGTTTGGGAAGAGATTCGTCATCAAATGTGCTGTTGCTGCTTGGGGTAGAAATTATCGCATTATTTGCATTTGTATTATTCTAATTAATGTTCTATTAATATTTCACCAGCATTTGAAAGTAAACAAAGCCAAATCTTCTTTTTCTTTAGGGCTACCTTTGCTTATTGTCCTCACCGCTGCATTAGTCAAAGACGATGATTACAGAAATGAGCGATAGTAGGTGTTAGCTTTTCTATTTTAATGGATCTTGTCTTTTTCTTGAAGCGTTTCTACTTTGAGTATAACACAACGGGAGGCACATATGAAAATCTGCTTAATCCATGGTGCACCATCAAATTGACGTGAACCCGGCTAGACAGAGCATAGCAAAACCTTAAATAATTCAAGTTAACTGAAATCAACCGATATTTTTCATCTGAAAAATTTCATTCAATAAAAACTAATTTGTGCCATTTACCAGAATGGTTTGTTATGGCGCTCGGTAAAAGATCAAAGCTCTTACTTTTTTTTTAATAATATTTTCACAGCTGTCGTGTGCACGGAAATTCATTTTACGTCGCATTTTTGGGACCGACCGTGATTGTTCTTGTATTCAACATTGTAATATTTGTAATGGTAGTCAAAGCGCTGTTGAGCGCTCGCTTTCCAAGCAGCAATCGCCATAAGGAGAGGATCGTGCTTTTTCGTCGTGTGCTCGGAATCGCAACGGTGTTTGGGATCACGTGGATATTTGGTGTACTTGCGATTGGAAATCTAAAACTTGTTTTTCAATATTTATTTTGCATCGCCAACAGCTTTCAAGGATTTGTAATATTTATTGTGTACTGTCTAACGGACAGAAAAGTCCGCGAGAAACTGGTGCGGACTTTGTGCCTTCTACCGGATACAAATCAAAATGACGTGATGACGTCAACAACGACAGCGCGTCCTAACGACTTAAGCGTGATCGAAAGTAATCTATCTGATGGCTCCCGGCAAGGGTTAGGAACATGGCCGATCTCTGGTTCTTTATATCCTGGTGTTATGCCTGGAATGAAGGAAATAAGCCAGTCTTCAAAAAGTCGACCAAGTCTCACGAGAAATACCTTTGGTAGAAAAGATGCATTTGACGAAGAACACGAGTCCGATGTTCATGGTTATATGTTGTATACCCAACCAAGCTACCAGGTAAATGTTGGTCGTGACCGCAATGAGTTATGGGATTATGAACTGAACACGTTTGACCAGCGTTATGACTATTATAATGAGTCCGCTGCCTACATGTCCGTTGATAGTGAATTTTGCGGCGACAAACTTGTCGAATCGACGTTATGTCAGCTTGAACGAAGTGGGGGCGAGTCTTCTTTGCAAAGTGCCAACTCCGTCGTGTTCTTCGACAATGGGAAAAAAGTCGAAGTTCCTAGACGCCCCGAGCTCAACCATGATTATTGTTCTATAGATGAGATAAAAGGAGATCCGTTGTGCATTCAAAGAACATATGGTCCTAGTGTATATGCGAGAAAGAACCATGATCGTCGAGTCTTTAGTTTTCATGAAAAGTCTCTAAATACAACACAAAACTCTGTTAGGAATCCTAATGCTTTGGGAAAGAGGTTTGTTCAGTCAGAGAAAAGGACGAAATCAAGGAGTAACGCTGTTTCTTTTTCAGAGAAACACTTAAAACCTCCCAAGAGCAAAGACGAACGATGGAGTGACGTGCTTCACTCTCCTCGCTTAAAAACTCGTCCTCGACCCACGGGTGTCTCCGAGGGCAGCGAACATAACACATATATGTCACGTGCTAGACACGAGTCACTCAGGAAATTTACTCAAGGTGATGGAGAGAACGCAGGGTTTTCGTTTGACGAGCAAGATGTTGCTCCTGCTTCTACGGTGAGCGTGCAATCGCCGGCTCTGGCCACTGATGACGTAGAAGAAAAATATTACTCGAATTACGATAATGAAATCGGTAAGTGAATTTTATTTCTTTTTGTGGTCACATTGACTGAACCGTGAAACCACGATATGAGATGAAAGGATTTCTTTTATTTCTCCTTATCAGATTTAGAAAACGAGATTTCCGTTAATTTTATCGCTGCCGCCGATTCTAAAAAAGCCAGAGGTTTAGCACTCCGCACTTGTGGAGATGGTCAAAGTGAGCAGAATCTTCAACAAAGCTCTGGATCTAGCACATCAGAAACTTCAGGAAGTTCAGTTGATAGTTCTTTACGATTGAGTGAGTTGCCTTTCGACTCAGGCTTCAGGATCAGGACCGTTGGGTCCCACAGTCAAACCACATTTTCAGATACCGTTAGCACTGATGGTACAGACCGAGTAAGTTACATCACCAATTTTTAAAAATTGTTGCACAATCTGTGCAGGTGCAACAACTGAGAATCGACTTTGCAAGTGAACATGCAAAGTACAAATCTTGCCGTTATTGGTTGTTTACTTGATCATTTTATGACATAGGCACGATAAAAACTCATGATGCGCTATGTGGTCTGTAGGTACATTGTTATCTGTAACATAAGTTTCTTCAAGCTTTCATAAGAAATAGTCGATTACCGGAAGAAAAATTGATGCTTTAGAAAACATGCTATGTAAATACCAGTTAATTGCAAACACTGCGTCCAGTGTGAAGAGGTTTTTGTAGAGAAATTCACCACTGTATAAAATTATTGTTACCCAAGAAATTTACACTAAATATGGAAGTCTTCACAACTGTTGTATTTGTGATCTTTTCGTAAATTGACGTCACTTTTTCTTGACATTTCAAACGTAAGTGCATTTGTCGATATATCTTCTGTCACGTGCACGATTGATGGCTATCTTGCAACGTGTGGACGCACAAAAATTTTTGGGCTCAAAAAGAAAATTCTCATTGTTCGCCCCAATCTTCTTCAAGCTACCCCTTTCTTTACATGTTTGTAAAGAAATTTACTTTACTACCCCTTTCTACCACACAAAATTGAATATTCAAAACGTTATATCATTATACCATCATGTTTTTGGGGGATTATATCAGGTTGAAAGGTCAATTGATTAGGCTTAGAAGAAGTACTCATATTTTCTTTGACAGTTAATTTTAGCCCTGTTTTTATACACATAAACCAATGAATGGCAATTGACTCTCTGGAATTTTACATGAACAAAATCATGTTTGAAAATTTGCCGTGATTTTTTACTAAAAATGGTAAGAAATTGTTATGATACATCCAGTTACAGTGCTACGTCAGTCACGTGTTTAAGAAGGGACTTCGTGATTGGACTGAAATTTTCCCGCTTTTGTCCTCAAAACTCCTTCAAGAGAAAGTTGTCCCAAGAAACAAGAAGACAAACGTTTTCTCGATTTTTGACTGTATTTTTATCTTATTCTTGGGTTCGTATTGCAAGAACCTGTTCTATCTATGAAGAATATTAAGTTGGAGGGAAAAAACAATGTTTTCGAAGGTAAAATTTTAAAGAATATAAATTCTACTCGCATGCTATTTGCCGAACTTTAGTAATTTTATAACAGAAATCATTCCCCCAGACAGTTTTTATCGTATCTGTGGGCATTCAATACTAAGCGGAAGGTTTACCAACTTTCAAATTGTCGAAGAATGGGAAAGCATAATCTTTGGCTTTTGAAATAGGGAAAAGTTCCGAATGTCCAAGTTTTGTTTGCTTTGCGGAAGTACTTATTATATATTCAATATGGCGGATCATATTTACTGATATTGAACAACAACTGCACGCCACCGCCGATATAAATAATTCAAAAGTGCAAAGCATTGCAAGAGTCTTTCTTTTGTAACGACATACTATGGCGGTTACAAGTGCGCTGGTGTTAAAGCTTCTCTCGGAAATTGCCAAAGAGGAAGTAAACGCGGATTTAACCGTCACTATGTCGGCAGCCTCGCAAGGTGCCATCAAAGTTGGTGCTACAACATTGATATCGTCTCTCTTTCTCGGTCCAGTCGGCTTTATAGTCGGTTCTGTTGGTGGTGGTGTGTGGGCATATGCTACGAGCTCAAATTTTAAGCCGTTGCATGCTGTTCTCGAAGAATTGACTAAAGAAGAGAAAAATAGACTTGCACAAGTTGCTTTAAAACATGCAGGAGAGATTGGGTTGGATTTAGGCATGGCGACCTTGTTGACAAGTTCTCCTGAAGCTAGAGCATTTCTTGTTGAAGTTCTGAAACGGCTCGGTTTATCAGTTAAAGATTGACGATAATCAGAGAATTTAGTCTCAACGAAACTCGAATTATACAAAAATAGTGCAATGCCAACTATTCATCGAAAATTCCTGATAAGAAAGTATTTAATTTAATATGTGTTTACTTAGTATATTAAATAATGAGTACCATTCTTGATCCGCGTAATTTTGAAAATCTGTGTTAAATTTTAATTCCTTAAATTCTCTAGAGGTTTTGAATTACGTTGTAACCAAAAGATATATACATGCTAAATTTCGGTCATTATTATCGAAACTTAAAGCCCCTTGCTTGTAGGTGAACGATATACATGCATGCTTGGTGTTATTTATTCCAAAGCCATCATCATTAGTGTTATTGTCAATTGTTTTTCTACTTAATCCCCCAAAATATGCATAACCGAAAACTATGTCACAGTATGTTCGGTGTGTGATCCTGTAGCGTGAACGGCGTAAATATATTATATGACACACCGACTGGTGTAAATATCCTGCCTTGTCATATTCACCATCTTAATTTTACTTCCATCATCGTAAGGATTATAAAATTGTTAAGGAGATTAAAAGATACAATCATATTAATGCAAATATTGCGAAGATTTCCTGTAATAATAATATTTATAACGATAACACCATTACAGTGGGGAAGTTGGTTCATCTTGCCCTTTTTTTTGCGATGCGCCTAAAGTTTTCTCGATATTGAAAAAGCTGATATTCTAGTAACTTTTTATGGTTGTACTTGAAATATAGAAATAATGAAACACAAGGATATGTATAGCTAGACGTCGAAAAAATAATTTGGCTTACAATCGACGATTTAAAATAGATAAATCAATGTGATTTATTACCTGTCTTTTTCATGTGTTATTTTGATATATTTAACTTCTTACAGAAAAAAGGCTTTGCAGTTAGCTTCACTATACAGGGCAATATGATTGAATTAATAATATGTAGAAACGAATCTATGATTTCCTTAAACTCTGAAAAACGATAATTGGGTTAACAATATGTAATTTTATACACTGTATCTTGTTCACATATTTGTCTCGTCGATGTCTACGTATATCGTATTGCATCGTTTTTCATAGTTTGAAAGAAATTTAGCAGCGTGTGTAGTGATCGCGTTTTTGGTTAAATAAGATTAGGTTGCTGTCTAAATTTTCACGCTTCTTTAATGTAAATCTTCACGCAATTTCCGTAGAATTGTTATCATATATCTTGGAAAGTAGTGCGATGCAATCATTGAGAAGCACTTACATGCATAATCTGGTTCTCGTTGTCATTTCTTATTTTGTCCGTGAAGTATAACACAACACGATCATTTCATCTGTTTGCTGGTTATTCCTAAAATGGCAATTAAGGTAAACATTCAGATCCATCCATTTTTATTGTCTGTTCGCGACAAGTCGTAAATTAATCCTTTGTTTTTCTTACCATTGATCAATTAACTGTCGTACAAAATGTGTTCGTAAAATAAACTGGCAGCTTTCATCATTGGTGATTCTCCGTATTTCAAAACTTTCAAGTATGCGTGCGTGATTCAGGTACATTTAAGTGCGGAGAAACGTGCACACACTCACGGCAACCTTCTGTAAAGCTTCATTTATTACTCATTCATTTATTTAATCCGTGTTTTTTACAAATGGAATGTACCATTTTACGTTGTTGTGAGATTTCTTATTATATTTTTTGTCGAGTTTTTGTTTTAAGTTTTTAACAGTTTTCACGTTGGCCATCGCAAGCCATGTACTTTTATAGTTACCAGTAATTGCTGACAGAACAGCCGACTTAAATCCACATGACTGACTTGTTTCGCAGAAAAGCTGACTCAAATCGACAAACTGATTTGTTTCATGGAAGAGCAGACTTAAAACCACTAACTTCAATGAAGAACAGACTTCGGTCCATATACATACTTGTATAACTAGAGAGCAGGCATAACTAATCCCACGCTGACTTGCCATCAGAGAAGGGTCAGACTCACTGCATTCGCAAACTTTCTTCTGTCACAAAATTCCAAAACTTGATTTTTAAGAAAAGTAAAATTCACGCAATGAACGTTGATTTTAAGAACCTTGCATTCATTTAAACATCTCACCATGTTATGTACATTTTATGTACTCTAATTTTTGAATTCATTTTCGTAAAAAGCACTGAAGGCTTATTGCAAAAAATTACAGCGAGCAACTTATTAAAATTAGCAGAGCTTGTCATTTCAACACGAGAACAACCTTGCAATATATTAAGAATAAAAAATTCTTTCAATTTTATTTATTCGATACATAAAAAAGTAATAATGAAAAACTCAATCTGTATTATGATGTGTTTCTGCACCATTATCGAGTTTACTGTTGAGGCATGACTGACTTGTATAGAAATAATCCCCATAATTGTACGTATGTGTACCTATATATACTGATGTGAAATAATGTACACCTGTTTATAAGTATTGTAGCATAGTTATATAAATTTATGTTAAAGATGTGTGTGTGTGTGTGTGTGAATGCACAAACGATGGTACATGCTATTTTGCATCAAATGTTATTTTGTATTCGAAAACACCATCTATCGAGAGATAGTACAAGTAATTATAGGAATGGTTTTTTTAACATAACACTCTGTCGTTAACATTTTTTTTAATCTGGCATAGTAGACATTGTGACCTATGTCTTGGCATTAACCGACATAGTTAAAATAGTTTTAAATCATACGACATATTTGGAAATGTAACATTATAGATGCTGACTATTACAGATGTGCCCTGTTGAACGTCTTGTTTGCATTTATTATGAAAACAATGAATCTTGGTTGATAATTTGATAAAATACTCACATTATAGATGTATATATGATTTACATGTCCAGCATGCATGAATAGAATGAGCTCTTATTAGGACTAGTTATCTTTTGTGGAACACTACGATGCACAAAGATACACGTTTTGGTTATGACATCAACTATGATACACAAAGATACACGTTTTTGCAGTGATATCAACTATGATACACCTGTGTGATATCGTTCAACAATCATATAGAAATCAAAGAACAATAGTGGAATAAAAATCATCAGTCTGGCGATTGCGTGAAGCAGCGACGTGCAAACGTAATATTTCGTCGGGTATAATTCACGTTTGTGATCAACACTAAGTCTCAACTGGACAACCGTTGACAGGAGAGCGTAAATCCATCCTGCAGTTTCCGCCCACTCGTTTTGTTCGAAAATTTCATGTTTTTCCCGTCGATGATGTTGACGCACGAAATATCATTAATGACTAGTGTTGTGTTGTGATAAACAAAATTTTTCACGAGCGAAAGCATTTTAATGCATCGCGGGCGTTAAAACTATCACTTTTTCTTCTGAATAAAATAATAGAGTAGATCAATTAAAAAAAGACATGCAGTCATGCACTGATAGTTGGTTCATGCCTTGCTGTTTCTCCAATAGACATATATCACCAGTCTGATTATCATTGCACTTGCAGTTCGATCGATACTGCTTGATTTCAGATGATCTGTTCAGTATTTTTGTACATGTCTGTGGAAATGCTTATTTAACTTCAAAAACGTTACAACAGAGTTAACTTTTTATCGATAAAAAAACATTCCTTATGTAAAGCTCGCTTTTATCGGCATCATTAAAGATTATTTTTATTCAATTTGTGGGAATGCCGAGCATGCAAAGAATAGGTCATTTTCTAAATATTGATATGTTCCCTAACAAAGAGTATCGGCAAAGAAACTTGACTTTGTTTTCAACCGCAAGAGTTTCATTGTGCTTGTCGTTTTAATGTTACTGATTTCATTTAATAAATCTTAAAAGAAACTCTACGTATGAAGTTGAAATATTAGTAAGTTTACTTTGTATGCTCGTGTTATGAATGCATATACGGGCGTGAGTTTGGCGTTGAAGCAAACAGCTGTGCTACTTTTGAAAACCTTTCACGCAAAAAGAATTCAATAAAACATTTGATGGGAGTTTTGAAAAGATAATGACCTAATAATCAAACTGTTATGCGATACGAAGTCTTCTACTGTGTTGCTGTGAAAATGCCATATTTTAATTGAGAACACATTTTTAACTAAATTTTACAACTTATGGTAAAGTTTGCAAGTATTGTCGAGGTCAGGAATTACTCAATTTTCTTCAACTTGACGTAATTCATGCATGCTACAAATATACTTGATGGATTTTCGTCGTGTTCACTCATTAAATATGGATGTTTGGACAAACTTTAAATATAAACACAAATGACTTCCGCCATTGGCAATCTTCCACGTTCATCACGTGCTTACCTGTGTGAAAGTGATCAATTAGTGTTGTTTTTGATCTCACCTCCATCTTGCGTGCAACATAAGAAAAATGACGTAAATGTATTCGCATCGTTGAATGAAGATGACAGACGCCTGTATGTTTTTTTGAATTATTAAAAAACTTCACTTAAATATATAGGAGATGAAGGAAAGAAAAGCTCAGTTGGCATCGAAACTTACGACGAAACTGCATCTTCAATCACATTGATATCATATAAACTATCAACTGCAGCAAAAGGTGAGAATGTGTTAGTTATTATGCCCGGTTTTTACAAAATCCGGATAAAGTTATCTCTAGACGGCGAGCTCTTGAAAAATAACGGAAACATTTTCTTTGATAAAAGTATAAACATAGGAATCAGCGCTCTTTTCCTGTGATTTTGAAATTTTCAACCATCTCTGGATGTTTTCCGAAGTGTGTAACAATGAAAAAATCGCGAATTCGTTTATGCTTTATCTGTCATTTATATGAACGTATAAGGCAAATAAAAAAAATACATATTTAAAGTAATGATTTGCCAACGTATTGTTTGTACTAATGGTAAAATGAAAGAAATAAAATTTCATGCAGAAGACCTAGCTGAAGCATTTGGCCATGGGGTTTGACTTTCCCCTCATTTCATCTTCTGTTCCATCACTTTGGCAATCGATGCCGCTATGTAATCATGCACAAAAATCACCAAAAACTACAACTTCATCCCGACAAGACTGTTTCGTGATTTCTCCCTCTTCAGGGGATTTTGATAATAAAAAAATCCTCTGAAGAGTGAGAAAACACGAAACAGTCTTGTCGAGATGAAATTTGTAGTTTTTGGTGATCTTTTCGCTACCTTTACTTATACATACATTGTCAATGAATGGATTACCAATCTGTAAACTTATATGATATATTATCACGTGTTTAGAGTGTTGAAGCTGGTTTATGTAGTTTACGTACTTGCGTCTAAAAAAGCCACATGTTAGTGCAACACTTTTTCTACCTTCATCAAGCTATATATCTTTTATTCATAAATGTACCATACTTTCCATGCGTCATAATGTACATTTTGTACCTTCTTGTACCAATAGTGTACACATTAATTTGCGTGTCTTGCATCCATATGCTCCTCTTGTTGGTTTTGATTAAAATGTTTGTCAAGAACGCCTCCACACTTCATTTTCTACCATACTGACAAACGCAGCGTGCTGTTTTCGTTCAACAAATTATCAACGGCGCATATAGACTTTTTTTACAAAGAATGCTTTAGGGCATTTGGAAATCTTGTTTTATTTATTCTATACAGGCTAAATGTATATCCGAATATAAGGTTACCCAAAGGATTAGACTTGACTTGAGACATTGTTAAATGACAACTCAGCGCCGCCATTAGATTATTATAGCTGTAGATTTATAGCGATTACCAAAAATATGTTTTGCCTGACGAGAAAAAAGTACAGCTTCCTTTTTTGTCTATGAATGTAATTTAATGCATTATGTCATTAATGATTAATGATTGAGGCAATGACGACAATTCAAACTTACAATCAGTTTTTCGTATGTGTGTTGTCATTGCTAAAGCTTTTACTTTCAAAATAGAAAAACATTGAAAATCACTGCATTTCTAATCTTCTTGTGAGGGCATGCAATAATTTTGATTTCCGCGAAAACGCCACAGAGATTTGCTAAACAGCTTTTTGCTTAAAAAATTTCCACTTGTTGAGAAACTTTACCCCATTAAGTCTGAAAATTACCAGAAGATTCGAAGTAATATAATAAAATCGACTGTTGAAAAAAACCCGACCAGTTTATCGACTAAAGATCTTCGATCAACTGGTCCCCGAAGCTTTCAAAACTTTACACGAATCACGTGTCACGACACGCATACCTGTTATTTCCATGTCTAAATAGTAAGATTTTAAGTAATGCGACCATTAGTTCCCAAGTTATTGCGTAAGGTGTCACTTCTCATATACGGTGTTGATGGCTGCGAGGAGTGAATGAAGTTGTTCTTTCAATTCTTCTCTTTGGTTATATTTTTCAGCGATTGGTGTTTTGGACGTTGTGGCAGGACTCCTTGACGCCCTATTGGCGCAACTACGCTGTCAAGCAGCGAGGGTTTGTGGGTGATCTAAGAAATTTATCATCGCCTTGAAGTTACGCCAAGCCTACGCTGAAAAGAAATAGTTCACTTGCTACACACAAGCACACTTGAAAATCCTAGTTTTTGGTTGAAGTCTTCAAGTATTTGTGGACGGACGCTTATCTTTGCCGGATAATTTGATCAATAAACGCCATCCTGTTGAGTTACAATTGGCTATCAAGAGACGCTGATAGTGGTCAATTTTCTATTTAAAAACTTGAATTTCAAGAGATAAGTCTTAATTAAACAGAACAGAACATATTGGCGGATTGGCCGAAATCATGTCGAACAATACAAATAATACAAATAATACGTCAGTACTGAACGAAGTGCCAGAAGGACTGCGTATTGTTGTAATATTTCTATCCGTTTTTATCATGATCATGGGTAAGTGAGTTTTCTTGCTGTCTTATTTTAATGTATTTTACATGCTTCTATTGCGTGACAAAACTTGATGCGTAAAATATTTATTTTTCCACTTGATGTGATGTTGAATACGTTTTCGCTGTGTCATCAGTGAATCATCAATAAGGATTTTAGGAACATGTTATAGCAACGACGCATAACAAAGATTTTCATATTCATATATGGTTTGATGGTCAGGTCTTTATCTAAAGCTGTTTATGCTATGATATTATATGCGTCGTTCTATTTTTCTTTTTTTAAACTGTTTTCGGTCTTATAAGGTCAGAGGTTTGAACTGGAATTATATATCGTTTTTCTGTTTCTGCGTATTTAAATAAGTACTTTAATACCAAGCGCTTTTCATGAATTTTTTTCTTCCCAGGATAAAATATGAAAAATGACTAAACAGGGATAATCTAAATCACATTATGTAAATAAAAGAAGTTGAATTTGGCGCATATGTGCGAATCAGGCAGCGCGCTTGATGTAAACTAAATCTTATGGTGCTCAGATGTTTAAATTCTTTACTCATGATTGTTCTTTTGCTTTTTATTTCTAAAATAAAAAGAGTAAAGTACAAAAGTATACCAGTATGGAAAGGTTTCTAAATGTTGACATATAATTTTCACCACAAGAACACAACAAATGCAATAAAATATTGTTCACATGTGGTTTATATTCGTCAATAACAATACGTGTTACAACTGACTATTATCTTTGTGGTTATCTTTGAAATGCTTTTAAACATATCAACAAGATCATCAAAGTAGATTTGTTGGCCGCGAGCCTTTGTCATTTAACGTTTGATACGTTGTATACGCGCACTTTATTCAAGATAATTGTGTATTTTAATTTAAGGATAGTTGCGTGTGTGTTACCGATTGTGTGAGATTTTTAACAGCTTACAACACACGAAAAATGTTCTTTTACCGCAATCGCGTTTTTTCTTGAGAAAATAAGGAAATTGCCTTTGCGTTGCCATTCTGCATTTGGCATCTCCCACTGCGAGTTGAGTGGCTCGACTTATTCTTTTACTATCATGCGGCCATGCGAGTGTCAAGTACATGAATATTACTAAATAACGTCGTGACCAGCACTTGTTTTTTAACCAACTGTTTCTTCTTCGAACATTTAGCAAACGTACTATGTTAATTGCTTTGTTGGTTTCTGAACAATTTATTGGTGGTTGAATGAATCGAAGAATACTCCTGTCTGCTGAGGTCAATTGCATTAAGATCGGATAACGCCATATGCTGCAAAATTTCGTCATTCTTTAAAATTCTCTTATAAAAGGCCAAAGGATGCGATCTCAATTAGAAAATTAAAGAAAAAAAGATAAAAAGACATGAAACAAAGTTTCATTCTCATTCTCTCATAGAAAATATACTCAGTTTTAGTCTTTGTCCGAGGGACAGCTCAGGCAATCAGCCGCAGGAGTTTTCTTCAAAACTTCAGCTCGAAATTCACAGAAATCTCGCCGACAAAGGTGGCCAAAGATGGGATTGAACTTTTACCGTGATCTTCATCTAATTTTAAAGGGGGAAGCTTCGATTTAAATCACTTTGATCTTATTACAAAATCAAATTAAAAATCGTAGCAGTGCCGCCAATATTGATAAAATAAACTATGCAGTTTATTTTATTAAATTTTCCATGTGCAAGTACACTTCGTTTCGGTTAGCAGTATTTTCACTTGTAGTTTATATGCGTTACTTATTTTACAAGTTTGCCATCTTAGAATATTTTTTATTTCCGTTTTCTCTTCCATGCGAGATTTATGTAGCAATTTCGAGCTTGTTTATATTTAATCATAATTCGTGATGTGAGTTCAGGAAATGCCTACTCTTCCTTGGTGAACCAATTCCGAGTTTACCTTCCCTCAAGTATGTTTTTTATCACCTGTGGTTGGTGTGTATAATTCATGTCTTTACTCGTTTTAGGAATCTTCGGCAATGCACTGGTGTGTATTCTGGTTTATCAAAACCGCAAAATGAGAACAGCGATGAATTTTTTCCTTGTCAACTTGGCGATTAGTGATGGTTTGATTTGCTTATTTAATATTCCAGTTACACTGATCTATAATGAATTCAAATTTTGGCCGTTTGGCAAGATTCTTTGCAAGACACTACCAGGTAAATGTAGCTAATTTTAAACGACTGTACTTCACAAATGGCTTCGACAAAAATATTTTATACAACTGACTTCTTTTATAGCTCTAAGCCAAGTACTGCTTGCAGCTGCCGCTGGTTCCTTAGTCGCCGTATCATGGGAGCGATTTAAGTGGATTGTGCTGACATTTAATGAAAAAATGTCTTTAAATCAGGCGAAGATGATCATTATCATAATCTGGTTGATAGGCTTGCTAAACGGCCTACCGGTTTTTGGCGCAATGCGTTTACAATTTGCTGGATTCTCCAGCTGCAGCGAGGTTTATCCGGCAATGATTTACAAACAGGTGTACACTGTTGTCAGTTTTGTTCTGTTCTATTTGTTACCTGTCCTGTTCATTACGCCACTCTACATCATGATGATCATGAAATTAAGACAAAAAACTGACACTAGCGTGCAGTTGTCAAAAGTTGACTTGAAAAGAAGAAAAGCGGCTTTAAAGATGCTGCTCGTTGTTGTCGTAACGTACGCCGTTTGTCTTTTGCCTAACTACATTCTCTTCATTTTATTGGATTTTAAACACGGTAAGGCTCTTATCGTTTTGTATGAGTTTCAAATTACGAATTAACTTGTCCTCAAACATTTTGTGTTTCTCAATGATAGATATGAAACCATAAACATAGTTTGTCATTATATGCATTATTATTCTTTAGTGAACGTTACATCGTCGTTTATGATCACATTGAACATCACAACATTGCTTCTGTGGGCCAATTCCATGATCAACCCAATAATATATTGCGCTCAAAGTGGAGACTATGCCCGAGGCTTTATTAGAATCATTTGCTGTGGATCGCTCAGGAGTAGACTGATGTTACGTATTCGACGAACACGTGGGCAGTCGTTTGGTTCTTGTGACCAAACTACAGGAGCATCGCAGTACGAACGCGTGCAACAAGGTGCAAGTAGTAGCAACAGCAGCTGCTAAATACAAATAATATTATTTTGTAGGAGCGTCGGTGCATGGCTTGTTTTTGAACAAATAGCAGCTCAATGTAGATCGCTGTCGTTCATTGTCTACTCCACTTACAACTGAAGACCGTGTGACGTAGAAATGTCTTATAAATGGTAACCACATTTTGCTCCATCGTTTTTTTGTGAAAATACCGAAGTAAAAAGCAAATGCTTGGTATATTTTTGCATTTCGATGGTTTGTAGTTTCTAAAATGAATGTTTCATCTTTACTCATGGGAGTTTGATGTAGAAGTTTAAAATAAGAGGTAATGTTTACTTAACGTCTGCATTTTTTACCATCATCCATGCATTGACATCACCACTTTTTGGAATCAATCATTTTTCCTTGTGACTATGTACGCTGTGATTTTTGTAAGGAAGCAGAAGTCCTTTAAAATCGAAATGATTTTAGTAAAGGAGCTTTTTCCCAATAGATATACTATAGCTAACTAATGAAACTTATATATACATGAAAAAATATGTATGCTTATTGTAACTAACTTAACTTTGATATGGTTATGTCATAAGTTTAAATTTTAACTGCAGTTGCGACTTGTGAATGATGCTGAAAACAAAGAAAATACTGGAGGTAGAATTCTTTGAGATTTTATTGAATTGTTTCGTTAATGGCTTTAACTGTTGCCTGCTTTCTCAGACGTGGTTTTCTTAGCTTGTAGTTTCCTTTAGTTGTCCAAATAATTTTCGTCTTTGGGTTGTAATTAGTGGTGACAAAACCATTAACAAAGTCAACCAACTACCAATTTCGAAATTTGGTTTAACTTCTGTTACACAACAACTATCACATTATCCAATCAATACAGACAGCAATCTCCTGTTGTCTGAATTGATGTACATTTTTCTCTGTAGAGTGTTTGCTTGTGACTCCAAAGCGGCCATGTTGGGTGGTTACATCAGAGTACCGATGCTCAACACAGCATGAAATTCACATAAATTCTATTCATTATATGAAATCCCCCCTCTCCAAACATGGCAACCGATGAAAACACTCTATTCTGGTCTCTGATTTGCATGTCATGCAACCGAAAGAGAGGCACATTAGAACAATTAGTGTATTGGTTGAACTCACAGATGAACAATAGCGCTTTTCGATCAACAATAGTGTGATGAAAGAACTTTCAAAAGAACACATTTTATTATAAATTCTGTCAAGTGACAATCGCTGGGATGAAACAAAACTGATTATGTAAAATAATAATGATAGAGCATTTTCACAGCAGCAAATCCATTATTTTGAAAAAAATTTTCAACAAGAATAATCATAAATGCTGATTATGCGGTCATATGGGACTCATCTGTGTTCATTATGTTTACATAAATTAAGCACAAAACATTAAAGCATAAAAGTGCGATATTAAAAACAACATTACAGCAAGTACAATGTTAGGGCAGGCGACAAATCGAACTACACAAGAAAAGGAAAAGATTAACCAGCGTTTTCAAGTCATAGCTGATAGTTGGGCACAATGAAACTGGTCTGTTCAGGAGCAAATCGAGTCATTTTCCGATAGTTTAGGTGGGACCAGAGACCACGTGGAAGAAAGAAACCAAGTCAAGTTTAAAAGCGATTCTCGATGAAAGCATTACTCTAACATTGCAAGCTCTCACTACAACGTTGAAACACTGTCTACGAGAAAAAGCCATTTATGAAAGACAATGTTGAAGATATCACATTTTCGATCACAACAAACGGTAGCAGAACGCCACTAACCAGATATTGTAGAACATCGTCTTAATACACAATGATGATTGGTTCCATGCAAGCATTCTGGAAATAAAGACTAACGTGAAATATGTGGTGGACAAGAAAACAAGTGTGAATATATAGTTGATTATTTCACAAGTTCTTGGTGTTATTAATCATGTTATTCAAAAGGATGGTATGACTGTTGAAATATTTACGGAATTTCTGGACAATGGAGATCGCGACGTCTGAACAACAACAAAAAGCATTACCTATTATATAAATTCCATCACCTCGATAACGGCAAAGGGTACTAATGACACCATGCGAAGATATTCTTTAATTCATCTATGGTATTGAGGAAATTCGACAAATATTGACGGTAGCCGCTTTAAGAAATCTGCATTGCAAGGCCGTTATGAAAACGTGCTGCATATAAAAATTTTGTAGCTACAGACGTATTTTCCTCTATGTCTCTTTCGATAGAACTTATCCCGGGGCTTGTAACTACAAATGTACTCCTCATGTATGATCAAAGAGACAGTAATATCTATTATTTATACTTACACTTTTTCTAGCTTCGTATTAATTTTACGATATTTTAGTTTGTTGCATTATCTTTAGAACGAAATTCTTCTATAATCTTGATTCGAGAACTTTAATGGTCATTTTTTTTTGCATTAATTACCACAAAGCAGGAATATAACGTTAAATTAAACATCCAACTCCAACGAACTCTCTGGTCTCGTCAGAAGACACAACCTTTCGAGGTTGAAAGTGGAGGTTCAAACCCTGGCTGGAATAAGATGTTGTTAGGCTATACATAGGATGACTTGAGAAATGGGAAAATAGTGCTGGTTAACAGTAGCAAAATGGCATTTCTATTAGTGTATTTTTCGAGAATGGAATGCGACACTTAGTATAATTTCAGAAAAACTCGCTCTCCGATGAGAAGGAGAGCGAAGAAAAAAAAAGATAGGAATCCAAGCAAAAAACCACTCTTAAAAACACTAAGTCTTTTGCTCAAATTTTTTTATGACTCCCTGCGATCAGGGAGTTATTTTTTTTAAATTTTGAAAAGTCAGGAAACCCAAGAGCAAACAGAACGCCCTAATCATTCCTTTCTTACCTCGAGGCACTCGTTCCTCAGTTCGACTTTCTGTCTTCCACATCCGCCGCGTACACCTGCCAAGTGTGTTGGCAGAGGGGCGAACCAAGGATCTTGTGCACCGGAGGTCATTGATGTCGAACTAAACGCCCAACATCGGCCAGTTGAGCTAAGCGCTCATCATCGAAAGCTGTCAGTTTTTTGGCGTATTTACCCATTTTTTTATTAGTTTGAAGGGAAAGAAAACGAGTCGGTCTTGAACCCGAGACGGTGCAATACCTACACCCATAAAATTCAGTATACAACATATTTTAACTAGAAAAATGAGAAAGAAAAGGACAAGATTTGAACCCGAGATGTGGTATCACAGCACCCATAACTGTACCACTCGGCCAGACGAGAGACATGCAACTCCGTTCTCAACATGTCAAGTGTACGAGACAGAACAACATTTCCTTCCATGTCATATCATGTACAAGTTCACAATATATAGTACGTTTGATTTTGGCTTTTTCACCCTCGTTGCAAAGACGAAGAAAGAGCTTTGCTTTGCTTTACTGTCGTAAGTTAACTTTGTTAGACAATTTATGTTCTTCCAACAGCAAAGACAAAGAGGAAAAAAGTATACACAATGTCAGCCATTGCCATGTGGTGAATCAAGACAATAACGCGCATGTTCGTAGTCGATTTAATGGCGTTTAGAATCATTTAAATTGTCTGTTTAAACTTAGCAAACATATTTTTTCCCATCATAAATAACAGAAACACTTTTTTATTTTGTAAGTGATGCTTCAGAACTTATTTATGTCAGTTTGCGAAGCCTTATTATTTCGATGAAAAATCGTTCCCCTTTTTTGTGATAAGAAATCATACTCATGTTTAAAGACGACGTGGTCCGTTTAGGACTAAACTCGTGCAGTTAAGATGTGCTTCGAAGACTGAAAATATTTTCTTTAAAGCTAAACGTGTTTATATTTGGTACATAACTTTTTTAGAATTTTGGCGTTTGACTTTATTTAACAAACACATTTTTTATCATTACACATAACAGTCAACACTTTTTTACTTTGCAATTGATGATTTAGCACTTACTGATGTAAAGTTTGCAAAACCATATGACTTCGAGGAAACGTTGTTTAATTTTTATTTGGTAAGAAATCATACTCATGTCTAAAGACGACGTGGCCATTTAGGAGTAAACTTATGCAGTTACGATGTGCTTCGGTGATTGAAAACATTGTGTTTAAAAATGGTCATGCATGTTTAGTGTTTTATTAACCAGTGGCTTTGGCAATTTCGTACTTTAGCGTTGGGGATAATTTAACTTGTTTGTTTGGACTTAGTTAACATATTTTGTACTATCATACATAACTACTCCTGTAAAATAACGACGTTTTTAAATGTCGTCTCATGTCTTCTCTTATGAAATATTAACTTTTTGAAATGTTGTTCATGTTGTCTGTAATGACTACATCGACTACTTTAATGATATTTGTCTACACAACGTACATTTCGCGATTGTTCAAGAAACAAGTACTTGATGCTTGCTTATAAGTACTCAAACACGTTTTGCTAAAAAAATTTAATGTAATCATGTAATCTTATAATGAAAGTGACATTTGAAAAGCTGTCACTTTATAAGAGTTGGCATTTAACAGAAAGTTTTCATTTTATGGAAATTGTCTTTTCAACGTTCTTTGTTTTCTCTTTTTGTTTACCTTTGAGTCTACCTTTGTGTATACCTTTGTGTCTATCTTTAGCTTTATGTCTACCTCTTTGTCTACCTTTGAGTCTATCTTAGTATGAAACAGACAGATAAATAATCGCCAAGCCCAAAGTACTAAAGTACCAAAGTCAGTAAAATACTGAACGTGTTGGCTGAACAAAACATTTTTCGTCTTCGAAGTGCATCGTAACTGCATAAGTTTACTCCTAAATGGCCACGTCGTCTTTAGACATGAGTATGATTTCTTACCAAATAAAAATTGAACAACGTTTCCTCGAAGTCATATGGTTTTGCAAACTTTACTTTCAGTAAGTGCTAAGTCATCAATTACAAAGTGTTGACTGTTATGTGTAATGATGAGAAATGTGTTTGTTAAATAAAGTCAAACGCCAAAATTCTAAAAAAGTTATGTACCAAATATAAACACGTTTTGCTTTAAACAAAATATTTTCAGTCTTCGAAGCACATCTTAACTGCATGAGTTTAGTTCTATACGGCCCAAGTCGTCTTTAAACATGAGTATGGTTTCTTATCACAAAAAAGGGGAACGATTTTTCATCGAAGTAATAAGGCTTCGCAAACTGACATAAATAAGTTCTGAAGCATCACTTACTAAATAAAAAAGTGTTTCTGTTATGTATGATGGTAAAAATATGTTTGCTAAGTTTAAACAGACAATTTAAATGATCCCCAACGCCATTAAATTGACTACGAACATGCGCGTTATTGTCTTGATTCACCACATGGCAATGGCTGACATTGTGTATACTTTTTTCATCTTTTCTTTGCTGTTGGAAGAACATAAATTGTCTAACAAAGTTAACTTACGACAGTAAAGCAAAGCAAAGCTCTTTCTTCGTCTTTGCAACGAGGGTGAAAAAGCCAAAGTCAATCGTACAATATATTGTGAACTTGTGCATGATATGACATGAAGGAATTTTTGTTTTGAACACTTGACATGTTGTGATCGGATTTGCATGTCTCTCGTCTGGCCGAGTGGTACAGTTATGGGTGCTGTAATACCACATCTCGGGTTCAAATCTTGTCTTTTTCTTTCTCATTTTTCTAGTTAAAATGTGTTGAATACTGAATTTTATGGGTATAGGTATTGCACCGTCTCGGGTTCAAGACCGACTCGTTTTCTTTCTCTTCAAACTAATAAAAAAAAATGGGCAAATACGCCAAAAAACTATCAGCTTTCGATGATGAGCGCATAGCTCAACTGGCCGATGTTGGGCGCTTAGTTCGACATCAATGACCTCCGGTGCACAGGATCCTTGGTTCGCCCCTCTGCCAACACACTTGGCAGGTGTACGCGGCGGATGTGGAAGACAGAAAGTCGAACTGAGGAACGAGTGCCTCGAGGTAAGAAAGGAATGATTAGGGCGTTCTGTTTGCTCTTGGGTTTCCTGACTTTTCAAAATTTAAAAAAAATAACTCCCTGATCACAGGGAGTCATAAAAAAATTTGAGCAAAAGACTTAGTTTTTTTAAGAGTGGTTTTTTGCATGGATTCCTATCTTTTTTTTTCCTTCGCTCTCCTCCTTCTTCTTCTTCATCGGAGAGCGAGTTTTTTCTGAAATTATACTAAGTGTCGCATTCCATTCTCGAAAAATACACTAATAGAAATGGCCATTTTGCTACTGTTAACCAGCACTATTTTCCCATTTCTCAGGTCATCCTATGTATAGCCTAACAACATCTTTTCCCAGCCAGGGTTTGAACCTCCACTTTCAACCTTGAAAGGTTGTGTCTTCTGACGAGACCAGAGAGTTCGTTGGAGATTGATGTTTAATTTAACGTTATATTCCTGCTTTGTGGTAATTAATGCAAAAAAAAATGACCATTAAAGGTCTCGAATCTTATAGCCGAATTTCGAGCTAAAAATAATGCAACAAAGCAAAAACATAATCGTCAAAATTAAGACATATAAAGATTGCAAGCATGGTATAAATAATATACATTAATGTTTGATTGGTCATATACATCAGCATTACATATAAAATCACTAGCTTAGAATAATTTTTATCGAAAGACAAGGAGACAAGTTTGTCTCTACAAATCTTTCATATTCAGCACGCTTTCATACAGTCATATAATAAAGATTTCTTTCAGCGGCTACTGTCGATGTTACTTTAATCAATCCAATTCCACTTGTCGTAGTTAAATTTGAAGATGATCCATTTCTGGCTTCACATTTATGGATCATGCTTTAACCAGCTAGCTGGTAGCTTCTTTTAACTGCACTTCTGTTGTCGTTCACATTTTGCTGTGTATTCTTTGAGAATGTCGTATATATTTCACAAGTTATACCGTCCGTTTGAATAGCATGGTTTATGACATACAGAACATATCAAGCATAAGTTTATATAGTTTCATTCATGACAGTATATTTGAAGACCAAGCCAAATTCATCTATAAATACTGTGAAGAGAAATTAGCTGCCAGAAGGAAGGATTGTGTTTACTCGTGAAGGCGTTCTACAATGTCTTGTCTCTTGCGTTAAACTGGCATTCAATGTGGTTGTTGTACATATAAACAGTTTATCCATCAAATAATTAGAATTCATCCACTGTCAAATGGTTTTTCTCGTTGTTATTAGGCTTTGATTGTTTATAAGTTGCGAACAATTTTAGATAAGAATCCTTTCCAGTCATCCACTAAATCTTTCTCAACATCATGGTTGACGTGGCGTCGCCGTGCACGTCGTCTTTTGTCTAAACTTCTCTCTGTAAATCAGTTTGTATCCAAATCATCTCTTTCTTTGTCGAATATGATTTCTCTATTGCTTTGTCATAGAACTTGTTGTTGCTGGTTCTGTTCACAGTTTAATGTGGGTTGTTTCAGTCGTAATTCATGTGCTTTCATGCTTTTTTATGTTTACGTCACCAATCACAGATAAATCCCACAAGACCATGCACATTTTCAGTCTTTATAACAAATGATTCTTTCTTGCTTATGACTGCTGTTGTGATGTACTTCTATTGTTGTTCTAAAAGTTTAAATTGTTTATAAGTTGATGAAGTTAATACAGACACACTGTAAAAAAAGACTCTTTATTGAAATTTTATTGTTCTATAAGATCACTATGCCATAAAGCCCACGGGTGCGTAAAACATTGTCAGCTACGTGCATATGTTAAATAACTTGTTACTAGCACAAAAGCTCTTTTGCTCTTGGGAATATAATAACTTTTTCTAACAACAAAATATGCACTTAATACTATACGTACAATAATAAATGCTACCTCGTTTTTCGGAATATTTCCTCTTAGAGATTAACACTCATAGAGAATATCAATTTTTATGCCTTGCTTTTTCCAAAACTAAACGAAAATAGATGATTAAAAGGAACAAAAAATAGTGCACTGAGATTTTTGTATCGGAGTTTCTAAGTTTTAACCATTTCAACCCCCGACTTCATATACCATACATTTTCACAGTTATTGAGTTGGTTGGTTGTTTCTCATTTCGTTTGGTGATTGTTGTAGATCTGTTACGCTGAAGGGTTAATCACAGGATTCCAAGTATGATTTTGATTTGCCTCTAACTCTCTAATCTAATCTCTCCTCACAGCCCAACATGGCGGCTATAGTTTTTACAAAATTTCAAGTTTTTAGATGTATCGAGTGTGCAGTTATTATCATTTGACACCCAGAAGTGGTTATTTTAAACCTACTTCTCACAACAGCTTTGCATTAAACGTGAATGCTAAAGAAAGTCGTCAGAATCCTGGCACGTAAGGGGCTTCGAACAATGGCTGTCAGAGAAGCAAATCGTTTAAAATGCGCAACATTCAACATCCTTGCCCCTTGCTACAAAATTATCGAGTTAGTTTATATTCAGTAATTGTGGAAGTTTTTTTTTAACAATTTTATGCGATTAAATAATCCACTCAAAGTATATTTGCTGGTATTTGATGACGCCGAAAGAAATTTGTATTTTTTATTTCAGCAAATGCCAATGGCCATTATGGCATACAAAAGAAAGTTCGTGTCCTGAGCAATATATCCCACGTTATGAAGCGATCATACAGTTACTAAAATCTGAGCAAGTAAATGCTGACATTGTTTGCTTCCAAGAGTTCTGGTTCAAAGATTTTGTGTTCAGCATGTTTCATGAGAAACTTGGTCAAAGGTTTGTCACAGAATTCAAGATACACAGTTAGGTTATATTACCAAAAGGAAACCAAAACTATTATTGCTCATTGTTTCTAGGTACGAAATAATTAAATTGAAGCGTTTGGGTTTCAAAGCAGACGGATTAGTAATGCTTGTAAACAAAAGTTTGAAGTAAGTTTTATTTTCAATTATGTCTTAAAACTTTGTGAAGTTCGTTAAGTTTAAATCAATCTATTTTTGTTTTATCCAGGGTGAAATATGTGGAAAATATATCATTCAATGATGCTGCATCAAGAGTAGGATTGTTGGTTCATATTGAGCTACTATCAAAATATGAGGTTTTACCTTTAGTGTTAAAGTTAAATTTGCTTTGCTAGTATTATCAGATTTTGCTGTTAGAGCATAATTGTTTAGAATTACAATTATTACCCTTAGGTAATTGTGGTCACATCACATTTAGCTTATGGAAACAGCTATTGGGATCAATATTTACGACTGGTAAACTTTTTAAGTTTAAAACTACAGTGCACCTTGAACATATTCCAAAATATTTTGATTTGAATCATTTAAATGTGCATATCCACTAACTTGTGAAATGACTTTGTAGACGGAAGCAAAAAAACTTATGGATGCTATTGATAAATATTCGTTAAGGTAAACTAGGATAAAATAGCCCATGGACAAATATATAGAATATCTTGTTTATATTTTGCCAATTGTAAATATAAATTCTAGGCACAAGAATATTCCAGTAATTCTGGCTGGAGATATTAATGGTCCAGAAGATAGTCCTGTGTGTGAACGTATATTCGAAGAAGACTTTGAATCTGCATATAAAACAATCCATGGTCAAGAACCAAAGGTCACACATAAAGATCATTCAGAAAATTGTGCAGCAGTTGACTTCATATTTTATCGGTAAGCTTTTGATCTGATAATAAATTGTACTTGGTAATATGTGAAATTTGAACAACTTTTTTTATGTAGAAGTACACCAACTTGTGAAATTACACCAAAAAATTCTGAGCTTTTCCCCAAGGAGTACACCGACAATGTATGTAAATGTGTTGAAATCATCTATTTTGATGTTTCAAGTGTCGTTATTCAAATAGTATATTTTTTCAGGAATGGCCTTCTGAATTTACACTTTCTGATCACAGATTGCTAACAGCCGAATTTGAACTGAGGGGAAAAAATTAAAGAGTTACATGTCGATTGCATGCATAATGAAAATATTTCTGTAGTCCAAATCTATGTTATAATTTATAAATGACTACAATGTTTGTTAAGCATCACATTTTGCACATGTATTTGCTATACTGCAATATATATATATATATATATTTATAAGGCTTATATTATAATTTCAAGCCCAGATTCCTAATAAAATACTGTGACGCTAAAATATAACACAAAATAAGTGGAAGACTTCAAAAATTCTTACCGCTCTTTTTGTCATGTACATTAGGGGATAAATAATCATCATTTCCCAATAGATCATCAATGTTCACAGGAATAAGTTGAAACTCCCTATTATGATTGTCAGTTGTCGCTTCACTACTAGAAATGTCAAGTTTAAATTCTTTAGCCAAAGGGATATTTGTGGTAGGAGTATCTAAATGAAATAAAATTCTAGATTTTTCAATTTCTTGTCTTTCACTTCTAACAGAGTCCATGTTAAAATCAACTGGTGGTCTAATGTTTTCAAGTGGTGTTTCATCATAGGTAAAATTTGCCATGGAGAACATTGCTGGAGTTAGAAAACCTTTAGAATGTGGCACATAAGCCTTTTTTGACAACTCTTGAAAACTTTCAGTGGCAGACTGATTCCCCAGACTCTTTGGTATTGATTGTGGAGTAGAGTTCAACAAATCAGAAGTTTGTGGTCGAACCAAATTTTTCTTATCACTTGACTGTCCTGAAAAAGAGTCCTGTTCTTTAATTGGAGATCTGGCAATAACATCCTTACACTTGAATGCTTCTTGAGCTAAAAAGTATAACATTAAAATATTCATGGTGCATTTTACATAAAACTGAGAATTTGTGATTGATAAGCTATATAGACTTTAAAGAAATACCTAAATTTCCAAGAGGGTCCACAATTGCAAACTCCTAAAAAATGTGAGGTAAGTGTAAAATGTATTGAAAGAAATGGAAGAGTCATATTTTGTCATGCCTTGGGAGTAGTTTCATCAGATGAGCTGCAAGATCCTTTAAAAGTAGTAACTGCATCACAAAATACGGCTTCAGCAATCTGTTATGAACAAAACAAGATATCTTGCATGCCATTTACTTGAATAGAAAAGGATGCACAAACACAAGGAAATTATTATACATTATTGTCTATTCTTTCCTTACTTTCTCTGCTAAAATGGTTCTTGCAGGTGTACGATGTCCTTTAGATGTAGATTTGAGTTCAGAAGTCAATGGCGTCCTTGCTTGATCAAGTCTAGCTTTTAAGTTTGACAACTAAAGAAAATACTCATATCACCAAACTTTTCCAAACTTCATGAAGTGTATTAAGAAAAAACGCCAGACTTACATTGTCATCAGTAAATTCTCGAGACAAAAAATCTGGTTCCCCATCTAAACTATGCAAGGCACCTTGTATGTCAATCAAATCTCCAGGATCCAAACTCTTTCTCTTTTGTTTTGTTTTTTTAGCTGTGGTAAAAGACCTGCGTCTCACAGTAGTCTTTCGATCATTTTTCTCAACAGGTGTTTTACTAAGTTGTCTGTACAATGGTTTTGGTATTTTTGATGTGAAAATCTTTTGCTTCAAGGAATCATTCACTGGCATAAATCTTAAAGTAAAAATAATATGTAACTGACTCCATAATTGGCATGAGGGTATGTATTATGAATGAAAAATGAATATATTATTCAAGCATATATACCTTTCATTCACGTCATCACAATTCCAAGCCACTGTTTCATCTAAAAAACAATCAAAGAATAATGTAAAAAGAACCCACTTGAAAGAGCCAATAAACAAAACAACACAATTCAGCATGTAGAAAACTTACCCTTCAAAGCTAATTCCTTTACACTTGTTGTTAAACTTTCAATCACATCTGGTGTGGCTAAATACAATAACAATAATTCACCATTAATATAAACAAATAAAATACTAGATACAACTATTTTCAATCAACCCTTGTCCCCCCCCCCCATACAAAACTATGGCAAATATCAAGATGGTCAGAGAATTTCCCAAGTTCTTTGTGATAATGCATTGGTGAGAGAAAAAACACTGTATACAATACAGTATTCTACACAGTATAGTAACCAAGACTATACATTATGTACTTATAATAAACTCAGCAAAATATAATACAAAACCTCCAAAAAAATTATGTACTAGCCTTGGGTCTTTGGAGTCTTCCTTAATGATAACTGAGGAGATAGATTATCAGAGCTTGGTTTCAGTTGGTCAGATGTTTTGTGCTCAGGAGAAGGAGTTGCCGGCACTAAACCAAGACCAAAGTCCTTTAACAATGAAAGTCAATGATGAACAGTGCAGTCATATCTAATGGAAAATGACAGATGTCTAGTTACATCAAACATATCGTACATAAGAATCAAGGGCCACAAAAGAGTTATGAGATACATCCTCCAAATAAAGGTAGCACTCTTCTTTGAGCAAATCAATTGATTTCTTGATCTCTGGTATGAACTCATTCATCAAAGTAGCTCTGTGATTGTACAAAATAACATTGCTATGAAAAACATTCAGAATCTATTCCAAAGCAATCATCAGAAAAACAACATAGTTCATAGGATTCATATTATTATAAAACATTCTGTTGGAATGTCATTTAATCATTTTTTCATAAAAAAAATCTACCTTAAAGCTTGAGCTTGCAAGAGATAACTACCATGTGATCGAGCTTCAGATTTAACAGTGGGAATATAATGCTCAAAATCTGGGGTACCATCTCAAACGAGAAAAGCAAAGCTGTTTATGCTCTTTTACAATTAAAATATAAGCTTCAATTCTGTTTCAAACTTTTCAAACTATAATTACCAAGTTTGATCTTCTCTTTGAGGTCATACAGAGCAAGATTTGATAATTGAACCAAACTGAACAAAAAGGTAAACAAGAACAATAAAAATGCTGCCTGTTTTGTAATAACAGTTTATACATCATCAACTTAACCTTAACATATTTAGTTTTCCTCCCTCATATGTGTTCTTGATATCTCTCTATAGAAAAAAAAACGCCAAATAGAAAAATCCCGTAACTAAACTTTCTTTATGTAAACAAGTATGTCTTAGTGAAACATTTGAATCAGATCTTATCAGCAAACAGACATTGCCTCATGCAGAGTGTAGTGACTGCATTTTATTTTAGAGACTCCTGCTTTAAAAAGATTTCATCATTCTCATTACAAAATAAACCATATATGTGATAAAGAAAACACAACCAACTCTGTACCATTAGAATGGTGTCTCTGTACTTGGTGGTCAACATCTCTGGAATCTAGAAAATATAAAAGCAAGAATGTGAAATGTCTGATTGATATGAAATTATCAAATGGTCAATTTGTTGCCCAGTAAATCATCATATACTGACTTGTAATTGAACAGATGATCCATTCAAATGAAACTTTGTTTCATTATTTTGTAGTATTTCATCCAAAATGTCTCTCTGAAATAAATTACCACCAATTTCATGTTATTTTTACACAAGGTAAATATACAAGTGAATTTTACCAAAAAACAATAAAAAAATAATTATACACCTTGTTCTTTGTATCTTCATGAAAACGTTTGAGGACTTTCCAATGTTCTCTTACCTTGAAAAAAACCCTTTACACAATGACTAAAATTTCTCAGATATAGCAACAATAAACAAAATGTTTAATAACAATGCTTAAATGTTATTTCTTCAGGAAAATTACCTCCTGAAGCTGTTTACTTTGTTGTAGTGCAACTACATCAACAGAGTTGGATTTTCTGTTCAAAATACAAAAAAAAACCCTAATTATGCAAAAAATTATTTTTGAATATTACAAAATGTACAATCCTTACCTATCCAAGGAATATGGATTGCTACCATGAGGATTCAGCTTTTTCTCAAAAGCTCTTATTTCTTTGCATAATTTTCTATGTTCTCTGGTAGTTGATCTATTGGCAAAACATGATTTTAGACTATGACATGAAAAAATGTAATAACTGTGAGCTTCTCTTACTCAGCATGAGATTTCCAATGCTTCTGTATTTCAACATTGTATTGCACATTGTCAAAAAACCTAAAATAAAAACATCATTTCATTATTCAGAGGAAAAAATACACTACTGACAGCATATTTCAGACTAAAACATGAAGAACAATAAACCAGCACTGAAAAGTTTTTTGAAGAAAGTCAAACAAAAATAGTTATTGTCATCAAATTCTTTACACCTTTGCCTTTCAGCCAATATATTTGCAAGAACTGCTTTATAAGAAATATTGGTAATATTTGGCATTCTTGGAAATTTTTTGGAGAGACAAGGACCCACACTTTCTTTCCCTAAATATTTTAAGAAACTGTTCATGTATTTCAAAAGAAAGTAGTGAGTTTGAAATGCATTCACAAACAAACCATGGCAAAGTTCACAAAGAGCTTTTTTCAACACATGACACGAGAAATAAAACACCACTTCATAAAATCGTTTTCCTTCAAGGTAAAGAATTAATTGTTTTAAGACTAGAGAGCATGAAAACCTTAAACAGTTCCACAATATACGTACCTCCAGGAGATAAAAACAACGTAGCCCCTATCACTGGCAGGTTGGACTCGGGCTCTTCCTAAGAAAATTAGGTTTAAACAGATCAAGGCTTCATGCAAGCACTTACATAACAAAATATCACAAACCTTTGCAATTCGTGTTAACCAAGATTTACATGATCTGCGAAATTCTTGCTCAGCTTTCTTATTTACAACAGGCCAGCAATCTCTGGAAAATATTATTGGAGAAGAGCTATTGCCTTAAAGATGACAGAAAATTTCGCTCCAAATATTTGTGAATATCACCTCAGACTGTACGTTATTATTTAATTTATATCCCAGTGACGTTGAGGCCTATTACGTATAGTACATTTCTTCACAGATTTTGAACATTATACTCCCTGCATAAAAGCTTTTGTACGATCTGTTTCATTTTTACCACTATAAATCTTACCTAAATTCTTGCAAAGCTAGAGCTGTATCCAATCTGCAAAACAGAAAGTGGAAAACAATTTCCATAGCCTTCTTGTTCGGATACAAGAACATATCACTACAAGAAATACAACAGACTGTTAATGGCGTTGAAACACAAGCAAGACGAAAAAGCAAAGTAACTCACCTATTTAATGGTATCCCATGTTTCGACTCAAGAGATTCAACATTAAAACCCAACAGCAACAGATTACTGTAAAATATCTCTTTCAATTCCATTTAGAATGAGACAACTATTTCATTCGTCCAGACCCTCATTAGACCATTTATACGTTGTATGAGCAGCTTCTGATAAATAAGGAGTAAACCATCCATATTAGTATGAGTTAACGATGAACATAAATGATATCAAAGATATCTTTACGACACTCTTTCACAAAATTGTCAGCCATTAATTTCATTCTTCATATTTTTCGCGCCTAAACAAGATCACGCACACGTAACACGCGCGACTCCTCTCGTGTACCCCCGTACGCCGATAATTTCCGATCATTTTAAATGTCAAATAAAATGGCAGACGCAATACCTGTAAAACTTGTGCAAAATCTATCGAAATTGTTTCGTCATTCAAGGATTACTGTGCTAAACGTTAAGTTTGAAAGATTCTCATCAAGTCATTCAGATAAAGAAAACAGCAAGGCCGATGGTAATGAAACAAGCGAAGAATCCAACCTTAACACCAAGCAAGAAGTGAGCGACGCATACGCTGCTTTTCCTGACAACGTAAATCCCAAGACAGGGGAGAAAGGGGGCCCTAGGGGACCAGAACCTACACGTTATGGTGACTGGGAAAGAAAAGGCCGATGTATAGACTTCTAACACAAAATTAGCTCAAAATAAAATGACTGTTGATCAAAATAATAGCATCATTTGTCAAAAAATTTCTATCATCACATCTTTGACCTTTTTACAATAACTCTACAAACATCCATAGCCTATGATTTGAATTTTTCTACATATATAAAATATATCAATGGTAAGACTATTGCGACAAATATAAAAACTGCCACAGCTGATTTCCAGCCACAACCAGACCATACTGATCCTAATTCTTCTGTCTCATTTTTTCTATTTCTTGGGCGTATGCATTGAGTTGTTAGTTTTTTAGTGACATGTTCTAAATCTGGCTCTCTGTTTGAGACACTCTGACATATTTTTTGTAAATCATCATCCATTCTCATTAGAAATTTCTCCGTGTCCTTCATACTTGCACTAATGCTCATGGTTCTAACATTTGTGTTTGATTTCCCATCAATATCTTCATAATCAGAGCCGGAATCATTGTTGACTTGAGAGACATTCTCCTCTTTATTTTCTGCTAGCACTCGCTCAGTCAATAAACTGTGAGGTTGTATGGGTATTTTTATATGTTTCAGAGCATAAAAGTCTTGATCACTGAACAGATTATTTGTTGTTTTTAATTCACCAATCTATAAACATATAAGCAAAATAAGTAATAAAGCCTGCAAGTAATAAAAATCCAGTATATTCAGTAATATTTCAATCAAATCATACCGTGCATCCATACTGCAAAGCAAACTTTGATAAAGTATCATTCTGAAACACAGGTCTTTCAATAACACTAATCTTTTTCAATTCACTATTACTATTATTTTTATTGCCATTTTCTTTGTTCAATCTAGTCCTTGATCGTATTTCATTCATTTCAAATTCAATGTTTTCATCATCACTATCTTCAGGACAATAATGAGAATTGTTCTTGCCATACACGTAAACACGACCAGTTTTATAATTCTGCGGCTGTGCATATCCGTTCAATAAACGTTCCTTTTCTGCCGTTTTTGTGTCTTTACGAGCATTTTCCTTTTTGGATTTGTCAGGTTTAAGCATGATATTGTTCGATGATCCGCCAAGGTAAGCATTTATAAAACTGTAACTTTGCGAAATTTCAGCACTATAAAACTGTATAAAACATGTCGCGATGTGAATGAATTTTACTCCCAGCTCTGATGGAACAATTGGGAAAATGAAAAATAAAAAGTTGTGATCTTTTACTATTTTATAACACAAATAAAATCAAATATATTATTTGATTTTTGTAGTTTTGTGTAATACATTTGAGTCATAGTATTTTGTAATTATCGGCGCATGGCATTATTGGAGGCATACCGCTGTGCAAACGTACTGACAATTATGCTGACAATGCACTTGTGTAATCAGTGCAGAGCATTGGTGCTGAGCCCAGTGAACTGTATAGGGGCCTTTTTTGTTGAAATACTAATGAGGTAACTCAGAATGGTGTATTGCCTTCTCGGCTTCTCCTCGATTATTTTTTTGTTATAATACGACTAGCCTGTAGTGCATTCTAGGTCTGTTGTTTAATGGAGTGTCTGCATTTGGTTTCGACGGAGGTAACTGCATTTGGTGACTACATATAACGACACACCTACGATTTACTAAATTCTAAACTAATTGAATGCTTTTTTTTGGAAAAACCATCCTCTGAAATTTACAATTAATTAATCTCTGTATAACAATCTTTTTAAGTAGCATAAATAAACACCCACCAATCCCAATATTAGACAAGTCTACGATCACATCCTAAATGATCACATCATTTCGAAAGAAACTTGTCATTTTTAAAACTCGGCAAACTGTGATGTCTTCATCGTTTCTTTACTCAAAATAATTTATGAGTCCTTGTGACTTGTCTCATTGTGTTGTTCTTACAACAAACGCTTTCCCTCCAGTGTTCCTCTCCTGAAGACTGCGCATGCGCACCAATATGCACAACACCCAGCTTTGTTGCAGACGCAAAGATATCTTTCGCCTTGACGGTGAAAATCAACATATAGTTATCAAGATCGTCTTCCTCGAGGTCGAAGGCATACGGTTGGTTCCAACAAGCCGAAAACGATCCTTTTCTTGTTCGTGTCTTTCTTTTCACAACAAGTTCATCATTATGGAGCAGTTTAATACTGATATAAAAATCTAGATAAATAATTCAGAATAAGATTTTAAAACAACAATGACATAGAATGCTTTTTAGAAGTAACGTAGTGTTGTTCTACAGGTACCATTTGTCACAAATTTTCTTGGCTTTCGAAGATTAGTCGCTTTTAAAACTATCACTGAAATCCTCTTGGTTCCCCTTTGATATCGTAGCGATAAGGATAATTCCCCTCCATCTTTTTCTTCCGTTTCAGTAGACGAGTTGATCTACAAGCAATTTAAGTTGATTAGTAATTTCCGCAGAGCTTTTAAACGTTACTAGTTAAGGAAGCAGTAAAAAATTAATTATGAACGTAAACAATATTGTGGCAACATTAAATTTGATTTTCACACTACTTCATATTGTCTCGTGTCGTTTTCACGTCAGTTTATGCATGAAATATTTAAAAATAACTTTAAATTATAGTTAAATTATTGGACCTTGAGAATGAAACATACCACAGTCAAAATTGTTCTGTTTGAACAAAGACAATAAGGATGTTTAACAACAGCAACATTTTGAGGCATGTATCAGCATGCAAACTTTTGACATCATTACTGATTGTCCCACGTAAGAAACCAAACTAGCTCAACTGTGTGCAACTCGTTGTATCCAGTTTTTACTGTATTTACTGACGAGTTACAGTAGACAACATGTTTTTCGTTTGTTAAGTAGTTTGATAGAAATGATTTGTTAGAAAAAAAAACCAAAACAAAAAATCAATATAAAGTCACAAATACTTCTAACCTGTAGCATATTTTTCTTGAGTACCAAAGGACGAAGTTCATCAATATTAATGTCACTAAGGTCAACGATGAATTCTCCAAATGACTGCACACGACTAAAGCGATCATATGAGCACAATGACAAACGTAAAGAGAGATCACTCAGTTTATCGCTTTGCAGTGATTCAAATTTAAATTGCTGGTTGAAAATTACGTTGCTCGAGTAAGGCTTTAATTCAGATTTGTGTGGGGTGTTGAAATCCTTGGATTCTGCATTCTCCAAAGAGTTGAAAAGTTGAGTAACAATAAGAACACCTTTAGAGGAATTCTTTTGTTTCGGAGGCCACAAGAGGTTGACGAGAACAACGTTCAACGACTTCTGAATGTAGTCGTACTGAATAGAAAAGTTGAGAACACACGATCGCGTGTTGATATCGGGACTGTTGGACGTTGAGCTGCTTGAGGTGAGTATGTCGTTGTAAAAATCCTCGTGATTGCTTAAAAAGATATTATCACTAGAAGAATTGGATGGAACAGAACTGCTTTGTTGTTCTGTGTATTCGTACTCTGAGAGATCGTCTGCAAGGCTATCATCAGTTTGTCTCCTAAAACTCCAGCGGTTCACAGCCTGTGCGTCATCATAGTCCATAGAAAATCGTTCGTTGTAGTCGGTTTTTAAACGCAAAAGACCTGAAGTCATTGGCAATGGCGGAGTTCGTAGCATAGGTTTGTAGACGACGTTCGTACTCTGTCGCTTTTTTCGAACAAGATAAAATATCGAAGCCAAAATAATGCATGTTAGAAACAAGACTACAGAGAAGGAAACCATAAAGGCAGTAACAGCCATGTTGTACTCTAAAATGAAATAATAGCATATAAGAAAAGGAAATGATTGATTTACTATAATTATATATGTACACAGTTCAGGCAATTTTCCTTAAATGATGATGTAAAACTGCTAATTGATTGTTTGAATGTTATGGTTGACAAAAAACATAAAAAAAAAGTTTTTTTAATACCGTATAAAAAAGTATTTTAATGACTTTGAGATTCTTATATCGGGCAATATGATATTCAAGTGAACATTGAACGAGACAATTCCAAGCTTGAACGAGTATAAAATTTGTCAGCATAATAGAACAATAGTACTTTAACTTCATGCCGTTCATGCGAACTAACAATTTTTAATTAAAAATAGTTAGTTAAATCTTTTAAAAAAATATAAATTATAATATTTAAGTAAACAAACACAAATTTAATACATAGAAATAAGTCGTAATTGTAAGCAATCAAAATTCATGATTAGTTGAAACTAACTTACTCATCTCGATTAATTTTCAAATACAGCAACGATTGTTGTCAGCTCGTAAAATATTCAGCTTCAAAATACATAATTTTTAATGGGTTTGTCAGAGATATGAATATGCGGACATAAAGGAGGAAATGCTTAACACCGAAGGACAGCAGTGATGTATATTGCCGGGTGCATACAGCATAATACATAAAATTAAACAACGATAATAACAACGTTATCATACGCGTAGGAGTCGGTCACCATGCGTTCTAAAGAACACACAAAGAACCTTTGTTTATAATCGATTTTCAAAGCAGCTGAATAATAATCGGATATACGTATCTACACACAAAAAAGACGATGGATGCAGAACGCGGAGGAAGGAAGAACAAGAAATATGAACTAAATACCCAACTCTGCCCGGGCACGAAACGCATTAAATGAAACTGTAGTTTTTAGGATTTCAGCAAAAAGCCTACATTAACACATTTTTCTTTGTTGTAAGTTGTTCTTTCCAAACGAACAAAGAACATGAATGTATTATTACATACAAAGCGTTTTCTAAACCGGTCACAACTTGAATCGGCGGTAGGCATTAATGAGTTTTTAAAGTGTCTATCCCAAATCACATTCCATACATAATGGAATATAAAAAATGAAACTTACTTATATGGCAAACATGTATCTCCTCCCAAAATATTCATGGCAAATTAATCCTGAAAGTGCCTAACTCTCGAGGGACTACATCTTTTAAATGACTGTCGATAAAATGCAAAAAAAGCTATAAAAGTTACTATAAGGGACAAATGTTAATGGCTGTGTAATTACGACAGATGTTTTTCCCTTCTCAACGTCAATTACCATAAAATAAATTGTCTATAAAAAGCAAGATTTTTTAAATTGATTTTTTTAATGCAAAATATGTTCGTCATGATTAGGATCATGTTAATGAGAAAACTTCTTTAAACATATTCGTAGGTAAGTCATCACGTAAAATAAAATACAACAAAAACACTACTGATAAACTCGAAGTTTGTGAGAAAAAATCATTTAATTTTTGAATAAAACCTGACCTGAATAACCTTTTATAGGATCGACGAATTGGAGATAATCAAGTTTAAAACGTCTAAGATTGAATGACCTTCTTTAAAACTGAATTAAGACCCACTACCCTACGCAACGCAGCAGGGTTAAAAAACTGGAAAGACATTATGTATCTTCGATAGTATTAAATCACAAGGTAGTTTCGAATCACCAAGGGGGTAGGGGGGGGGGAGGGAGAGTTAAAGAAACTTTGCTGCTAAATTGTTACTTCGCTATAAAAAAGCAATATTTTGTCATTGTGTGTCTAGTATTGCACCCAAAGAGGGGAGTTGAAAATCACTTCAAAATCGTTTAAATAGGCGTTGGACAGCTGAAAAATTGTTGAACGAGGGCCTAGCGAGGCTTGTCCCCCTTACCACGTACGTGGGAAAATTGTATTCATAGATTACGCAGTGCGTTCCAAAATTTTATCTCACTTGGATTGATGTGAATACATTTCATCAAGAGTTGCTTTCTTTGCAAATCTTTACAACTGAGAGCAATGAAGTAAATCAAGATATCTTGAAGAGAGCCTCCTACGTTTCCACATAGTGCATTATTTGCAATATCCTTAAAAGAAAACAATGTTAACGTTATCAAAAGCATTGTGGTAAAGCAAACGGATTGGTTGAATTGTGTCCACGTGATTCACATAGTGCATTATTTGCAATATCCTTAAAAGAAAACAATGTTAACGTTATCAAAAGCATTGTGGTAAAGCAAACGGATTGGTTGAATTGTGTCCACGTGATTCAAAATCAATGTAACGTACATCGTCCTCGAGAAGACGTGGATAAAAACGTCTTGCTTTTGAGCAAAGACATTTGTAACACGTTGCTATAGTAACAAAACACGTTACTTTGAGGCATCGAAACGCTCAATAAAACAAAACTGTTTTCCTCGTGACTAAGACAGATATATATTTATCATGGAGCATAATTTGACATCAATAAAATAAGAAAAATAAATTTCAAAATGACTTACTTCGATATTTTCACCCTTTTTAGGTTTCTTGAGATTCAATAAAACCGAGAAAAAATTGATAACACTTGCACAACGGGACCTTACAAAGTCATTGTCAGCCAAACAAAGCACATCTTTACTTTCTCTGTAAACATAAAGAAAAAATGCTATAAAAGAAAAATCTGAATATTATACATTAGTAGCTAGGTTCAATAAACAATGTATGGTCATATATTAGCCGTCGCTATGCTACAAGTCACTTGTTTTCTTTATATCAATGTAAGAAAGAATTTTAGCCCTTGCAAGAGCCAACAAATCTCTGTTTCTTTCATAAACAGAAGTCTATCACATGCAATATTGACAAAAAAAATTTTACTTTTTTTGTATGATTTTTTTTGAAACTTAAAGCGCTAAAAGAAAATTCCGACGTATACAACGCTCTACACAAAAGCCTTCATTTCTTAAACATTCTTGCCGACATATTTTTTTGTAACCAAGGATTACCTGATATGATTTTGAAGATAATGGGCAATTCCCAACATAATATTCGCGGCGGAACAATTAGGAACGAGATTTAAAGTCTAAAAATAAAACAATCTTCTATTACCACTTCTAACATAAAATAATAACTTGAAAAGAAAACGCTAATTCAACTCTATTGTTTTACAAACACGTATCAAAGACACGCACTGTAAAAATGCTCTACAAAAAAATTAATGATATTCAATAACTAATGCTTACAACATTATAACATACCTTTTGAACTGCTTCAATAACTAATGCTTACAACATAACATACCTCTTGAACTGCTTCAATAACTAATGCTTACTACATTATAACATACCTCTCGCACTGCTTCAATAACTAATGCTTACAACATAACATACCTCTTGAACTGCTTCAATAACTAATGCTTACAACATTATAACATACCTCTTGAACAACTTCAATAACTAATGCTTACTACATTATAACATACCTCTTGAACTGCTTCAATAACTAATGCTTACTACATTATAACATACCTCTTGAACAACTTCAATAAATAATGCTTACAACATTATAACATACCTCTAGAACAACTTCAATAACTAATGCTTACAACATTATAACATACCTTTTGAACTGCTTCAATAACTAATGCTTACTACATTATAACATACCTCTTGAACTGCTTCAATAACTAATGCTTACTACATTATAACATACCTCTTGAACAACTTCAATAACTAATGCTTACAGCATTATAACATACCTTTTGAACAGCTTCAATAACTAATGCTTACAACATTATAACATACCTCTTGAACAACTTCAATAACTAATGCTTACAACATTATAACATACCTCTTGAACAACTTCAATAACTAATGCTTACAGCATTATAACATACCTCTTGAACAGCTTCAATAACTAATGCTTACAACATTATAACATACCTCTTGCACAGCTTCAATAACTAATGCTTACAACATAACATACCTTTTGAACTGCTTCAATAACTAATGCTTACTACATTATAACATACCTCTTGAACTGCTTCAATAACTAATGCTTACAACATTATAACATACCTCTTGAACAACTTCAATAACTAATGCTTACAACATTATAACATACCTCTTGAACAGCTTCAATAACTAATGCTTACAACATTATAACATACCTCTTGAACAACTTCAATAACTAATGCTTACAACATTATAACATACCTCTTGAACTGCTTCAATAACTAATGCTTACAGCATTATAACATAACTCTTGAACTGCTTCAATAACTAATGCTTACTACATTATAACATACCTCTTGAACAACTTCAATAACTAATGCTTACAACATTATAACATACCTCTAGAACTGCTTCAATAACTAATGCTTACAACATTATAATATACCTCTTGAACTGCTTCAATAACTAATGCTTACAGCATTATAACATACCTCTTGAACAACTTCAATAACTAATGCTTACAACATTATAACATACCTCTTGAACAGCTTCAATAACTAATGCTTACAACATTATAACATACCTCTTGAACAACTTCAATACCTAATGATTACAACATTATAACATACCTTTTGAACTGCTTCAATAACTAATGCTTACTACATTATAACATACCTCTTGAACTGCTTCAATAACTAATGCTTACAACATTATAACATACCTCTTGAACTGCTTCAATAACTAATGCTTACAGCATTATAACATACCTCTTGAACAACTTCAATAACTAATGCTTACAACATTATAACATACCTCTTGAACTGCTTCAATAACTAATGCTTACAACATTATAACATACCTCTTGAACAGCTTCAATAACTAATGCTTACAACATTATAACATACCTCTTGAACAGCTTCAATAACTAATGCTTACAACATTATAACATACCTCTTGAACTGCTTCAATAACTAATGCTTACAGCATTATAACATACCTCTTGAACAACTTCAATAACTAATGCTTACTACATTATAACATACCTCTTGAACAACTTCAATAACTAATGCTTACAACATTATAACATACCTCTTGAACTGCTTCAATAACTAATGCTTACAACATTATAACATACCTTTTAAACTGCTTCAATAACTAATGCTTACAACATTATAACATACCTCTTGAACTGCTTCAATAACTAATGCTTACTACATTATAACATACCTCTTGAACAGCTTCAATAACTAATGCTTACAACATAACATACCTCTTGAACTGCTTCAATAACTAATGCTTACAATATTATAACATACCTCTTGAACAACTTCAATAACTAATGCTTACTACATTATAACATACCTCTTGAACTGCTTCAATAACTAATGCTTACTACATTATAACATACCTCTTGAACTGCTTCAATAACTAATGCTTACTACATTATAACATACCTCTTGAACTGCTTCAATAACTAATGATTACAACATTATAACATACCTTTTGAACTGCTTCAATAACTAATGCTTACTACATTATAACATACCTCTTGAACTGCTTCAATAACTAATGCTTACAACATTATAACATACCTTTTGAACTGCTTCAATAACTAATGCTTACAACATAACATACCTTTTGAACAACTTCAATAACTAATGCTTACTACATTATAACATACCTCTTGAACAGCTTCAATAACTAATGCTTACTACATTATAACATACCTCTTGAACTGCTTCAATAACTAATGCTTACAACATTATAACATACCTCTTGAACTGCTTCAATAACTAATGCTTACAGCATTATAACATACCTCTTGAACAACTTCAATAACTAATGCTTACAACATTATAACATACCTCTTGAACTGCTTCAATAACTAATGCTTACAACATTATAACATACCTCTTGAACAGCTTCAATAACTAATGCTTACAACATTATAACATACCTCTTGAACAGCTTCAATAACTAATGCTTACAACATTATAACATACCTCTTGAACTGCTTCAATAACTAATGCTTACAGCATTATAACATACCTCTTGAACAACTTCAATAACTAATGCTTACTACATTATAACATACCTCTTGAACTGCTTCAATAACTAATGCTTACAACATTATAACATACCTCTTGAACTGCTTCAATAACTAATGCTTACAACATTATAACATACCTTTTAAACTGCTTCAATAACTAATGCTTACAACATTATAACATACCTCTTGAACTGCTTCAATAACTAATGCTTACTACATTATAACATACCTCTTGAACAGCTTCAATAACTAATGCTTACAACATAACATACCTCTTGAACTGCTTCAATAACTAATGCTTACAACATTATAACATACCTCTTGAACAACTTCAATAACTAATGCTTACTACATTATAACATACCTCTTGAACTGCTTCAATAACTAATGCTTACTACATTATAACATACCTCTTGAACTGCTTCAATAACTAATGCTTACTACATTATAACATACCTCTTGAACTGCTTCAATAACTAATGCTAACAACATCATAACATACCTCTCGCACAGCTTCAATAACTAATGCTTACAACATTATAACATACCTTTTGAACTGCTTCAATAACTAATGCTTACAACATTATAACATACCTCTTGAACAACTTCAATAACTAATGCTTACAACATAACATACCTCTTGAACTGCTTCAATAACTAATGCTTACAACATTATAACATACCTCTCGCACAGCTTCAATAACTAATGCTTACAACATAACATACCTCTTGAACAGCTTCAATAACTAATGCTTACAACATAACATACCTCTTGAACAGCTTCAATAACTAATGCTTACAACATTATAACATACCTCTTGAACAGCTTCAATAACTAACTCTATATAATGACTTGGATTATCCTTTATCTGAAAACCAAAAACAAATTATGTCAAAAAGCTCAGCCGAGGTCCATGTCACGTGTGTCCAATGAAAAAAGCATTTACCATCGCCTGTCGTAGAGCAAGATGAGCCAAACGAAGCAAAGAACAAACTTGACCATGACGATATCTATAACATGGAAAATTCATAGCTCTAAGCAATTGATCTTTTCAACATAAAACCCATATCTTAAAGGATAAATTAAATCTACATGCCCTTTCTTGCTGGACACTTGTAATGAGTTTTTATAACAAAATTCAGCAGCTTTAATCAAACCACTTTCCTCATGGAAAAGACCTGAAAACTGTATATAAAACAGGTAAATGAATTTGTACACAATACACATAAATTTTGTAGAACATCAATACCATCCAAGCGTAGGAACTCTCTGCATTAAAATCCAAGACAATTCTTATATCTTGAAGACACGACTCAACATCCACGATGTGACTATTGACTTGAACTAACAGCAGTTGGATTTTGCTCTGAAATGCTGAATCCTTGTTCCAAATTTCAAGTGCCTGTAAAATAATATTCTGAGTCTGAATATTTTGACGAAAAAATGGTTTATGATGCGATTTATATTAAGATTTAAGGTCGCAAACATAAAAGAATCTATAGTAACAGCAAATTTACCAGTATACTAATGCTTTCAACCTTATAACAAATTACCTGTTGACAATGTTCGATGGTATCTTGAAATTTTCGTGAGTTATACAAGCAGTAACCATATTGTAGAGCTAACCATTTCTGATGTTCTTGCAGAAAATTTTCATTCCTCTTCTCCAAACGTCTTTGATCGTTTTCAGTTTGGTTCGCATCTTGAATAGCTAAACATCAAAATTTTAACAGACGTCTACAAACTAAGAAAATTCGAGGAACTGCGGAGTTTCAATGCCTCAATAAAACAGTATAAAAGGATTCAAACCTTTCGTAAGTGCAAAGTTTGTGATATTTTTACAAGTTGCTTTCTTTCGAAATCTTCCCCCAGTCTCATTTGTGGAGTTGGACAACGCAGCTGAGAGTAAAGACCAGTTTACGAGACAATCGGGTCTCATGCGTAGCGCTTTTTGAGTAGATACAACGGCCTCTTTGCTGAAGCCTGACCTTTTACCAATGTTGGAATAAGCAAGCATTGTAGAGACATCCTGAAGACAGGGTTAAACAGTTTAATATTCAAATTGTACAAGATTGAGTTAATAAGGATTTGATTCCCGGACACAAATAAAAGCGCGATAGCTAGTATAATGTTTCAACATTTATCAACACATAAAATACCTCGACATTTTTGTCACCCAACCTGTGAGCGGCTTCAGCGCATCTTCCAGCTTCCTACATAAATTAAACTCAATCCTTGTTTTCCTCGTATTGAAAGGTTATATTTTATAATTATTCAATAAGAATACCTTAAGTTGGTTTGGTTGATAACGAATGATGAACTTTGCGAGGACATTCCACAGCAAACTGCTGTAGGGTCGTCTAAATATGCGAAAAACATAAAACGCAACTTGCCGTCAAAAAACATCATTGTCTATTAAATGTTTTTACAACAAACCTGTGAATTTCTTTTACGATGTAAGTCTTTCCCGTCTTGGGTGTGTTCTAAAGAAAAGATTCGTCTCATTTTATGTTGAAAAATAAAAACAATAAAAATTTATTTAAGGTTAAGTCAAACCTGAAACGCGTAAAAACAGGCAAAAAGATAGCAAGCTTCAGCAACAAGATTTTCATCACCTATAGCGACACAATGATGATCATGATTACGATCGCTTTTCCAGAGAAATTGAACGATTTTTGTTATAGAATGGCGATAATTCACAGTCATAAAACCTTTCTCCCCGATCTTTACGAGTTCCGTTAAAGCTGCAGCCGCCAAAGTAAGATCGGAAGTTATAAGGCCTAGGACACTGATTGCAAGAAGTCCATGCTCACTGGCTGGTTGAAACTGGGAACTGTACACAAAAATATGCAAGAAATGGTCACATGATCAAAGTTGTGAGAGATCCACCTTCAAGTGTTACCTGTTGAACAAAACCTGTTTGCTGACATCAATATCACCCAACATGTACCCAAGCATCCCCAATGCTGCTTTAACATTCGACTTTAGAGAGTCGTTTGAAGACAACTGAAAAGCCTGTTCGTAGGCTGAAATATACAATTCTTTATTTATATATTTTAATACTTTTTCGTATAAGATAACATTAACTCGTGCATGCATACGCTCAATTTTAGCCAAAAATAGATGAAAAACAGCGAATCTGTTCCGAGTAAAATGTACGTAATGTATAAAACTGGAGTTGATATTTTGCCATGGAGAGAACGAAATGCACCAATATTTACTGTGGAATCATTGCTCTCAATATTGGATATTTTGTAAAAAAACTACTACTAAGAGACCCACATGGATGATGTAATAGAATAAAAATATTTCATACGTAGGCGAAGAGGAAAAACAGATTTTAAATAACATCATACCGTGACAACTTTGATTCAAGTCCCCAAGTTTTAAATATGCCAACGCCAGACGCACGACGCAATAAAAATCACTCATGGCGGTGATCTGTTGATATGTATGAATCGATTCTGACCATTTCTCCAATGAACTATACATGAAGTATAAAGTGAAATGAGCAATACTGATATCGCAAGAGATTATGAGAATGATAAAATTTATTCATCATCGTCTTACGATAAAACTCGAGCGTAATTTGCTCTTACGATGTTACAGTGATCATTGTTAGGAGTGACGTTATTTTCCAACAGTCCCAAGGAACTGAAATATAAAAAGAGTATATTGAAAGATAAACAATAGGGTAATTTAGATAACTTGATCAATTTAACTATATTGATAAGAGTACATTACAGAAGAGTAACAGGGTGATTTATAGTATTCTACTTTACTCCATACATTTAAGACCATAGGCGTAATATGGGGAGGGGGCAAGGGGGGCGTGCACCCAAACTGTTTAACCTATCAAGCCTTCTACAAATCCTGGGCAGAAAAAGGCAATCAGGCATTATTCGCTGGAAAGTTGTGTTATTAGCTAATTTAAGATTGGAAATGTACCGACCGACCGAAGCCCTAAAAATGTTGGCCGGTACAGCCATTCATAAGACTACATTAGAAGAAGAGTAATACTGTAGTTTAGCGAACCCAATCTACTTAGCTCTATTGATACTTTATGTTAGCCACAAGTATAACATACGAACCGTTTATAAGCTTCTTCAGCTTGACCATAAAGCCTTTGATGCTCCAATAAAATCCCATACATGTTATACGCACATGAGTTGTTATGAATTTGATCTAGATGAACAAAAAGAAAACATCAGCAATACAAGACGTTACCACAAACTATTCATATTCATCAGGAAAATAAATTTTAAAGCAAAAATTAAGATACTGCAAAAATAATCTCAGATAGAGGCCCCCACTTGTGGAGAAATAAAGCCGCGAGGGTATTGGGGAGAGAGCCAACCTGTGTATTTGCTAAGAGCATCAGAGGCAGCGATGACAATATTTCCAAGTTTCTTAGTTAGGTGCGATAAGTCAGCATATGGTTTTCCTTTCAAAATACGCGATGTTTCGTTAGCTTTTGATAACAGCAAAGATTGACATGCCCAGTGAGAGAAACCAATATAAGCTTCCACCTAAACACATGTCAACATAGTCAACGGCAATCAATGAAAAAGTGAAACATAAATTTCGATGCACTGAGTTAGTATGTAACATAAAAACTGAGCAAAATTAACGCTCACTAAAAACATCAACATGAAAGAGTACAACATGTTGAATAAAAGCTTCACTTCACATGACTTCATAAATGATGACTTTTCAATTCATTTATAAATACGACGGTTTTCTAACTGAACTGGTATCATGATCACGATTACGACGGCAGGTGAACTATCAAACTTACGTACATAAGGGCTGATTTTTCTATAAAATGTCGTAGGTCAAGTATCAACATTTATTCTCAACTAAAGACACTAAGATAACAAATACAACCATAACAAGATGCGCATATCCAAGTGGAAAGTTCGCTCTGTACAAATGATTTCTACTTTTTGCACTTTCAGCTCTTGGTTGTCTGCACAGCGCACTCTAATCCTTATCCTTTATGAATTTTGCAAACTTTCCAGCATGGCGTGCAACATCATAACGCGCATGCGCGTTCATGGCATTTAAACGTACATGCGCACCCAACTCAGAAGAGTGACGATAAAGGTCCATGGCCTCAGGAAGCGCATACATTTCAGCAATGGTGGCTTGCCCAATCCATGCCTGTGTGTACGTGGGATCAATACATTGAGCAGCATTGAATGCAAGGTTCGCCATCTAAAGAAAATGATTTTTCCATTTGAGTGTGTTAACAATAACAGCATACGTATGTAGTAGATGCTGTTCAAAGCCATCATTACAATTATTTACATTGGCTTTGCCATATCTTAAATACAGAACACCAAGATTCGTCCATGCCATTGGATTCTACAACGAAACAAATTCATTAAGACCCGTTGACTGTTGTCTAGAACATGTCACAAGTTTGTTATTTCAATTGAGTTCAACGTTATCTGCGACCAATGAAATTCGATGATATTTCCCTTGAGAATGTGACTTACTTTCCGCGCTTGGATTGATTTGATAAATGAATGTTGACTTAGATCAGGATCGTATACATCTTAAAGGACAAGAGAAAAAGAAATAATGCGATGAATTCGCCATAATTTCTAAACATAACAATTTGAAAATTCCCTTGTCACTGTTTCCTCAAAGAAGAAATTTTTCTTGGGGTATATTTCCTTATGTACTTTGTAAATTGTCGGCTGTTATGAGCTTTAACGAAACCACCAGCAAAAAAAAAACAAAGAATGACTCAACCAGTGTGTGACCATACATGAATAATTTACTATCAAAAATGTGTTGATCCGCGCAGAACACTTTCCCCTGTTTCTAATCTTGAAAATATTTAATCAGGTGGGGTTGTCAAAGCTCATCTGAGCGGATTTGGTGATAAAGGTTACCAAGTCTGGTCACAATGGACTCAACCTTGTTCCCAAGGTCTTTTCCTAGGGTTGCTTTTCCCAAGTCATTTCACCCGAGAAGAGCAATCCTAAAAAAGGCCCTGGGAACAAAGTTGAGAAAGACTAACCATATGATGCAGCAACGATGCCAAGAGTATTCCAGATTATATAATTTGACGGTTCCATGTTCAAAGCTTTCTTTAATGCCTTCAAGTACGTAGCATAGGATGAGAATTAGAAAATAATTGTGAGATAGATGGCAAAAATGAGTACTCCAACAGAACAAAATTATTTTCTTGCCTTCATTGACCGTTCGCAGAGTTTTCTCCTTTCGTTAGTGTCTTTATGCATCTGGAAAATGATCAAATAAAAATCTCATGACGGAATTTGGTGGACAGTTTTCGAGCACACGAAGATATGAACCGTGGATAGTTTAGAACTCACGTGGACATGAACTGTGGATGGTTTTGAGCTCATGAGTGTGTGAACTGTGGATAGTTTAGAACTCATGTGGACATGAACTGTGGATAGTTTAGAACTCACGTGGACATGAACTGTGGATGGTTTTGAGCTCATGAGTGTATGAACTGTGGATAGTTTCGAACTCATGTGGTCATGAACTGTGGATAGTTTTGAGCTCATGAGTGTATGAACTGTGGATAGTTTTGAGCTCATGAGGATATAAACTGTAGATAGTTTTGAGCTTATGAGAATACAAAATGAACAGATGAGAATACACACCGTAGATAGTTTATAATTACTTAAGCCAACATCGTGCCAGAGACTTGCACAAAAAGAGTTAAAGCGCACAGCCTGACCAAAAGAACTAAAAACAGTTATGATAGCATTAATGCAGTTTACAATTGAATAGGCCATGCCATAGACACATTACCTTGCGGCAAGGCAAATAATATCTTTCTTAGTGACTGTAGTTTCTTTATCCAGCTTCAGAAATGTTCGCAGGTTTTCAGGTAAGTCGAGTCTATATGAAAAAAATCAGTGAAACATTTTATTACTGTCTTAAATTGAGAGGTGAAGCTGGCTAATTATTTAATCGATAATCCCCAATAACGCCCATAGTACTATGGGCAAACCTATTTGCTGGTTTATTGCAAACAGCAAGAAACAAAAATAGACGTTATCAAAGCAGAACGACCATGAACAGTACACCAAGAAAATTTAACAGACAGCAAAGTTTATTTTATGACATCTATTTCCATTCATGTCATGTATTTAAATAAAAATGTTTATGTGTACAGGAGATCGGAGGTTAAATTTATGAATAATTCTTCGTAAATCAGTCTGGTATGGTTGCATAAAAACTTGGTAATAGTTTATAAAACTTCAATGATATTCATCCAAACAAATCATTTTTATAAAATGAACACAAACCTTACTTTACTTTCGTGAACGTTAAAAACAAGCGAACACGCATCCCCTAAAGGCTTCCATAGACAAGAAAGATGGCCATCACATTCTATGGCGCTGTCGTAAAAAAAATATGGCACTGTCGTAAAAAATATGGCGCTGTCGTAAAAAAAATATGGCACTGTCGTAAAAAAAATATGGCGCTGTCGTAAAAAATAGTAAAAAATATGGCGCTGTAAAAAATATGGCGCTGTCGTAAAAATATGGCGCTGTCGTAAAAAAAATATGGCACTGTCGTAAACAAACCAGGAAGCCATAATACACAAACGACCAATTCAACACTTCATGAGTTTTTCACCGACAAGAAAAACACGATCATAAAAAGACTGCAACTCGTAAAATAAACGAAACTTTTGACAAAAGTCAATGAAAAAGAAGATATCGTAATGATATACCGAGCAAGAGCAAATATTGCACATTGTACGTGCTCAACAGCTCGATCATGAAAATCTTTAAGTAACGAAGACTTTGCATAGGATATGTATGTTGTACCAAGACCTAAAAAAAACATAAACAGTAGAAATTTTGTATTGAACTTAGAAGTTTCTACACGGATGTTTTCGGGTTATTTTTCATGTTCTACCTTTTAAAGCAGGAACATAATCACTGCGCTCAGTTAAAATACACTTATACATCACAACAGCTTCATCATAAACACCTAAAAGATGCTTCAGGGCGGCAATCCTAAGGAGAAAGAATTTCAAACGATGTGTATTTTATGCTGAGCAAACATGTATACTAAAGTCTACGTGCAGTTTACAAATAGTCTGTGAGTAGTTTGCGTTAGTTCACAAAGCCATCATCACAGAATATATATAATATATTAATCCTAACACGGTTTTTAATATGCACATGAAAAACATGTGACTTGGACGAGATATGAACTCGCACCTTCGGGATACTAGTCCGCCGCTCTACCTGTTGAGCTACCAAGCCCACAGTTAGTTCACAAAAATCTGCGGCAATGAAATAGTCTAACTTAATTGTAGTAGTATTTAATCTCCCCTCAGGACTAAATGTCGCTTTTTTGTTGTATTGGAGGTGATGTACGCTTTTGTACAATGTTGTACAATGATGAACATTGAAATAAAGACCGGATATAAATGATATTTGTGAATCCTTACTGGTATTTAGAGTACAGCAACGATGGATTCAGCTGCAAAAGAAATCGTTTCCAGGAGTCAACCAATCCGACAAGAAAGAAATCATCAAGATAACTAGAAATTACAGAATTTCAAGAAAGAAAGACATTATCAATTTCTCCTACCTCAACTGCACGCATGAATGAAGCAAGTGCTGGATTGTAGCTACCACGACCCATATACGCCTCGCCGAGGCATTCCATGGTTGTTCTACGCAAAGGCAATAAACATCAATAAAATTTTAAAATTGTTTATGGACATGAAGGAAAAATATTTAAGAAATGCTTAACGCACGAATCGTTCGTATCCATCCGTAACGCATCTTGAAAACTGAAAATTGAACACAACGTGTTAGATAAACTTTATTTGGAGATAAAAAATAAACTCTACATAATGTCAAACAAATTTTCACTACTTGCCAATGAACAGCACCATTGTAATCTTCTTTCTTAAGACAATATAAACCAAGCCTAAGGACGGCCCATTTAACCCTAGGAGAAAAAACAAGGCTCTTATTTCCAGGCTTAATGAAGGCCCACTTTATACCCTAGGAAAGATATACGGGTCTTAATAAATAGTATCACACTATAAATATAAAAATCCAGGCTTAATGACGGTAAAGATATACGGGTCTTAATAAATAGTATCACATTATAAATATAAAAATCATGTTTCATTCTATGAAGTTAAGCAAGATTTTTTCTAGAAATATCCGTTATCAATGTGGTAGCAACAATATCAGAAAGCCATCATTACAATCCTCGGTTTTGATAAATGGCTGTTCAAGTGAGCAAGGTTTGTTGTAAATTGGTGCAATAGTAAGTATTTTAAAACACTGAAAGAAAGGTGCAACAGTAAAATTTGGAGCGCTTCATTAAGTTAATGTTTACATAATTATGCAATCAAAAAATATGGATGTAAATTTGACAGATGATAAATACTTCATCGTTTTAATTACAAAAGTCATAAAGTAAATGGTTTGAACCCGGGAGTATCGTTACATGTTTGTAGATGTAGATCGTCCAGGTTAATAAAGTCCTGAGAAGGACTGTTTTTGTTGTTGTTGACTGACGTTTCGACAACCTTAGTCAAGTTAGGAGTAAACGTCAGGTTTGAAAAGTCATATAACGTCTCACTAAATCTTCGTTAAGTACGTAGCTAGACTCATGAGCAACCAATATAACATTTTATCAATTCTTCCACCTCGCACAACATCAAACGCAATACCTGTAAACATTAGTTTTTGAAGTGAATTTACGGCAAACTTCAGCAGCCTCGTCCTAGAGTTGAAATGAAGTTAATAAGTAATTTGTATGGTTAATGCTATCGTGGTATCGATAAATAAGCAAAGAACTGTTGCCTGGCAATGAAATTCAGCTAGTAATCAAAAAGTACAAAGTAAAGTCAACAAAGTCGCTGTACTCTACTCAGGATGGATACGCAGCAAAAAAAATTTATCATATTTATCAAATACTACATTGTGTAAACTGTACTTTAGTTCCTAAATGTAATTTTCTTCGGGGAAAAAGCGAGTTTGATTTTCCTCAAAGTACTTGTACATAATAACCTTGTTAATGATACAAAAGCCAATCACACTTTAAGTCACCTCAAGCCCCAACTTCATGTAAACATCCACCAGTGCTTCAGCAATCTCATCGGAACACGGGTTCAAAGAATGAGCTTTTTTGTAACATTTCATAGCTTTGCTAAAATAATTATTTAAAAAATCGTCAAACAAAAGACTACATATACATTTCACGTGTTCATTTAAAAGACTTCATATACATTTCACGTGTTCATTCAAAAGACTCCATAACCATTTCATGGGCTCATTCGTACGTACCTATCATTCACTCCGTCTTTTTCGTAATAACGACCCAGATAGAAGAATGTGATCGGGTTGAAAACGTCCATTTTGGCCGCCTATACAAGTTACAAACTACAGTAAATCTCTAACCAAAAGACCTCGACTTACATAAGTTCGCAAGCGCGTTTTTATATGGAAGAAGAGTTGTCAACGGGAGTTGCCAGTGCATAAACCATGTGATACTGCATGATTTGTAAACATTACACTATTAATTATAAGGCTTTGTATTTTGATAGACTTTTCTTTGGAAAATGTTAAAGGTCAGGATAGTGATGGGCAGCATTCATGGAAGAACTTGCACACAAAGAAGCTTACGTATAAAGGGGAGGATTACCGTATTACAAAAAGATCCGCGTAATAAACTTTGAATTAACTATGGATCAAAAGACCGTGTAAAGTTTAAAGAAAATACTGCCTTTATTAAACTCCAGTGTTACGGTGAAAACAAACATCTTGAAGTGAGGCTTTATGATTCTCAATTAGAGAAAAGATTTTTTTGACTCTATGTTCTTACAATACTGCAAAGATTCCATGGAAACTTGACACTAAAAATGTAGTCATACTTTCAACAAAAACTGCAGCCATTTTTCCTTATTCGTTTGCCAAACTTCGCCCATTTTCCAGTAAATCTTCCCAAGATTAAGATAACACTCAGATGCAATTTCTTCATGTTCGACGCCAAGTAGATAACTAGAACGAACCATTTTATACATTTTATTAATTCGTTTGCAGAAAATGTAACCTTTAATATGTAACCTTTCAACAGCCTTTTCAAATTCCTCCTCGGCGGCGTAAATTTCACCCTATAAAAAGAAAGTTTTGATGGAATACTTTTAAAATAAAGCAAAATCATCGAGATAATCATGTGTTCCCGAACTTGATACCTCCAAAAGACAATACCTCCATGAAAACGACTTCGCAACGCTGCTGGCACGTACTAAAAGCTAAATATTTTTATTTATATTTAACTTCAAAAAAATTTTGATAGATGCGTCCTATATTTTAGACCATACCTCTTTTGCACGATCTAAATCTTTGTTCTTGACAAATATCCTGCCAAGTGTAATAAGAATCTCCCAATTTTCTGGATCAAGTCCCAACAACTGAAAGTTAAAACCTTCATTCAACAACATGGCAGCTTGATAATAGTAGGGAGAAGAGGGTGGATTCAGGAGATGACATTCACGTGATCAAATATTAGATTATTCAAAAGTTATTTTATCTTATTCATATGTATATTGAGGAACCTCTTCTAGAATATGGATCGCTGTACAAATATCTTCTTTTCTTAAATGAGAGCATGCTCTTGCCTTGCACAAGCTGTAAACAAAAAACGCGAGGAAATAGTGACAATACAGATAAAAAGACTATGAACAAAGTAAAAACGGCACGAAATTTCTTTGCTTGCCTCAAGGAAAGGGAAATAGAATCACTTCTATATGCATTAGGATCATCTTTTAAAATAGCTAAACCTTTGTCAGCACTGTTAACAGCCTCAGTATACTTATGTTGACCAATAAGACACTGTGAATAAAAACACCAACCAATAGAGGAGGTTGAGAGAAGTTCTAGACCTGAAAAAGCAACATCAAAACACCATTTGATACAACCCTGTCCTGATCATTTGATTTTCAGGTATGATAACTCTACTCAGAGCAATTTTTCGTACCTTTTTCAAGAGTTTCTTCAGCATTTTGATATTGCTTGGCAAACAGTTTTTGCTTTCCAGCACCAAGAAGGGCAAGAGGTGAACTAGATTCATCACAAAGACACGACAATTCCTCATATACTTCTGCCTCATATGGATCAAATTCTATAGAAAAAACTTGCATGCTTTATGTACAAGTTGATAGAATAATGTACTTAGGGCTTAGGGCATCAAATACTTCAATGTGCATGATGATACAGTAATGTATTTGAAAGGATCACATGCTTCAATGAACATGATGATACATTGATGTATTTGGAAGGATTACATGCTTCAATGAACATGATGATACCTTGATGTATGTGGGAGGATCACATGCTTCAATGAGCATGATGATACCTTGATGTATTTGGAAGGATCACATGCTTCAATGAACATGATGATACCTTGATGTATGTGGGAGGATCACATGCTTCAATGAACATGATTATATATTGATGTATTTGGAAGGATCACATGCTTAAAAGCATGTGATGAGAACAACTGAATATAAACATACATTTATTACCATCAATTTGCGAAAGAAACAGCTTTGCCAGAAAATTGAGAGTTAATTCATTTGCACCAAAAACATCTTTCAGTCGCACTGCTTCAACTAATGTATCTTTAATTGTAATGCTATCATCTTTTGGAAGCAACCTTGTATAGTCAAGAAAATATCGCTGCAATTCTTTAGAATCCAAAATTCCTGGATGAAGAAGTGTTTTGTACAAGGCCAGCAACTGGAAAAAATAAATTTTATTAATACATGTTGTCATTGTCATTGTGTGTGCTACTCTAAATATGATCCAAATTTAAACTTCCAAAAAACAAACCTCATTTAATTGAGCTGAAGTTAAGTTTTCCTGTTGAACAAAAACAAAGAATAAAAATTGAAAATTATGCTTCATTTATCATGCAAATATCATCATAAAAATAAAACGTACCTTATTTTCATGAAGAAGGTCAACAGATTGACATAAAACAAACTTCTCATCTTCGACATTATGATTTTGAATAATTTGAAGGACATTCAGTGCCTAAAATACAATAAATAGTGAAATAGTGAGGTAGTAAAGCAGACATTTAATAAAGAGAGCTAGAAAATACCTTGTCAATTTGTTTTATTGATCTGTGGAACTCAAATAGTTTTAAAGCAAATTCCGACCATTTCTTGGAATCCTTCGCATTGTAATGTTTCATCAATCTTCCATAAATATTAGGGATTTCATCATTGGGTATCACTCCAGGTTCTTTATCACGCAGTGACGCCATACCCTAGATTATAAATTGAATTTTTCTTGACAAAGATGCACATCTTGGGTGATCTTTCCTAAATGCACAACTTTGGCCACACAACTAACAATAGTGAAAGCTAGATCACATCTAAAACCCCCTGCAGATCACAATAAACATGGGAAAGAAGCCTACCACAAAGGAAAAGTTATTAGGTATGAACTGCATATTTAGACGTACCTGCCATGCTAAGATATTTTCAGGATCAATGTTGATAGCTTTTTTGTAAGCGAAAAAAGCTTGCTCTGGCTTTGCAAGCTCAAGACTTGCAACACCAATAAAAACGAATGCATTATAATTTACTTTGTCCAACTTTAGCGCAGCCTACAGAAGAAAATCAGTCAAATGATTTATAACCATTCGAAATAGATGAAAAAAAGTTTCCCCACTCTCACTTTGCAGTGTGCTATGGCATTTTGAAACTCTTTTTGTTGAATAGCCTCGCGTGCACTTTTCAGTTCTTTTTTAACTTCTTTGGAAGCCATATTGAAAGCGGTTACAACTTGGGGGAATGGATCGAGCGTACTTTGTTATATGTTGGCTGCTACCATTCATGGTTACAAGGTTACAACTTAAAGGTAATGTTACAAATTACTAAATTTAATTAATACTCATGCTGGACACTTGTTTAATTAAATTGCTTGCAAAAGAAGGCACAAGATTTTTAAAATTAACGTTCTCATGAAAATTGAATTTATGTCAAGTAAATTTGAGGTAATCAACGTTTTCAGCCAGTAATATTTGTGACAAACTTCAATTACTATTGTGTTGCATTGATTTTAACTACGTATCTCGTTTTATAACACGAGTCACAGACATGCCCGTTTTCCAAAAATGCTGTCCAAAGTCTTTCAAGCCACTTTTTTAATGCTTCACTTAAATCGGCGGAAAGATTAAAGACGGCCATAAGACGAATTATAAACGTCCAGGAGATTTTTGCGTTTTTCGTCTTCACAAAGGATAAAAGTGTTATCTCGTCTTGATCAATTGATTGAAGACTGAAAGTAATGGTATAAATGATATAATGGATAATCGCAGAATAAATACTGAAAGTTAATGTGATATTAAATGCGTACAACGCAGAATAGCTAACATTTTTGTAACCAAAAAGACGCAGCCCTACCAATGCAAAGTCCAGCCTCGTATTCGGTGGCCAATTATTTAGGCTATTTACTGATACAAAGAGCGCATACTGTACTGTCATCACGAAATATTGATCACACGCGGATTTTAACGGCAAATAATCTCATATCCTGACTCAAAATTTACTTGCTTCTTTTTGGAAACTTGGAATTTCTCAACATGTTTGATAATGAAATGAGCAGGAAAGATAATATTTTTCGACAATGCAAAAAAAAGAACACATGTTCCGTGATTTTTCATTTAATGGGCATTTTAATTTCAACAATAAGTCAATAATTACAGCATTTTATATATCTGAGCCGTTTATGTAGCGCGATTTTTGTGGATTGTCCAAGGATGAATGGAATGATACACAATCACAAGTATATATGTAATAGCTTTGAGAGCTGAATCATGCAATAAAGCAATATCTTAACAAGCATTTTCCGGTCAAATTTTTGTGCCGCTTCTACAAGTTGCCTAGTTGTGAATTGCCCACAAAAGCTTGTTCTCATTGCAGTCACATGAAAAGTTAAGAAGTCTATAAAGCTAACACACGAGATTTAGAGATGTCACAGCGTTCTTAGTATGGGTAAGTAGTGTGGTGAATACAGAACATACCATGTTTTCTGATGCTAAGCGATGATTATCGAGTCTACAAATATTAGTGAACTTTTTAACAAGGACTCTTAGAATTTCCTAAGCTTATCTATTATCACATAATAACGTATAAATTATCACAGCTGTCTAACATAAACATCACTGAGAATTGTATTTTTAACGCATCATAGTCACCTGCACCAATGATTATTCTATCAGTAATTTATAGTAGAGTTTAGGTCTAATACTAATTTAGTGATAACTAATCGTTTGTAAAAATTTCTCTCAATTCTTAGTTTTCTACATCATCCTAGTCAGCGGGCTGGCAATTGTTTTCGGTTTTGCATTGATAGTCGTGTTAGTGTTGTCCTTAAAGCTGAAAAAGGAAAATGAAAAACAAATGATCGTAAGGGAGGAATCGTTTACTCCACACGAGAAATTGAACATATTCTCGACCGAGTTTCAAGATGCTAATGATGACGTGTTTGATGAAGACGAAAGCTTAGCACAAACAGTCTCTTTTGCTTTATATCACAACAAAGAAGAGAATGTATTACTTTTGGATGTATGGCTCGTCCTTAACACCCCTCCGGAATTCACACAAGGTTTCATTGAAGCGCAAATATTTCCATCTGATTTTGAGACGGGACAATTCATCACGAAAGTGCGCGAATGTATTGATAATTGTGTTGTCTACAACGAAAGTTTTTGCTTTACGGGCATCACCCATGAAATGCTTTCTCAAATTTACTTAAAACTCTTTCTTTACAAAATGGAATGCGACATCCTTCCAAGGTGTGTTGGTCATGATGTTTTCGCGCTAAAAGAAGTACAATGGAAACGGTTTGGGAAAACACAATTGAAACGACAATTACAACATGTAAGTTTTAAACTGTATCTTTAATTAATTACTGAATCAACTGTGACATATTTTGTTATTTTGTCTCCGGATGAGACGGTATATCAAAATACGCATGTTGCTTTTCCGTTTGACACCGTCATTAGCGTTAATACCGGCAAATATCACGCACAATTTAACTTAAAATGTCATGGGTTAAAGAGTAGTAAAAATAGAAAGGCCTCTTTATTCAAGTTTAAGAGTTGCTTTTTTAATAAACCACATCTCTCGGTTGTATAGTAGACTATGAACCGACAAGTTACTACTCATTGGGAGAAGCACTAACGCAGATAACTTTACTTGTATTCACTTTTCAGCATGAAAAGTGCGACGCTTCATTCTCACCTCAAATATACACGATCATGGAGGAGTCTCCCAGTTCCTCGCCTTCGCGGGCTCACAAAGGAGAACTGTACATTTCTCTACGCTATCAAAAAAGCTGTGGTCGAATCAGCGTGGTTGTCATGAAGGCAGAGAACATACCGAGAGGAAACATTTTGCAGAATGGTAAGAAAATTTCATGGTCTTTGTTTGCAGCAGAGAAACAGTTTTAACATTCGCTAGAAATCACGATACTTTCCGCTTTTCTTTAAAGATACATTTGTTAAAGTGAAACTTCTTTATGATGGTAATGTGCTAGAGAAGAAACAAACCAGGACACAAAAACGTACAAATGCCAGTCCATGCTGGAACGAACCATTTGTTTTTAACATCGATGAAGACAAAGGCCTCAACAACTACGAGCTTGTATTTTTATTGCGCAGGCGCGATCTTTTCACGCCCCAATCAACGATAGGTATTGTGCGTATAGGTGCCCAAGTTGGCGGTGCAGGTCAATCACATTGGTACGCTATGTTAGCGAAGGGAAACCTCATGACGCAAGTAGCAAGACGACACAAAATAAAATAACAAAAGCTCGATACTTGACTGCATTAACGAAATATGATTTCCTATTCTCGAGTAGCATACGAAATATATAGTACATTTATTTTATAACGTAGAGCAATACTAAATAAGTCTTCATAAAAACAGCTACTACTTTTTTTCTATACAGATTAAAAGAGAACATGTCGCCCATATGGCCAATTCACACGGTAAAGATCCTGGCGATTTAGGCGTTTATCGTCCATAAGGGTGGTAACCCCTAGAAGCACCAGCACGGGTATCATACATATTAGCAGGATAACCAGCAAGGTCCCCCCCTCCATTTGTAGCAGCTCCGCCACCGTAAGGTGTCGTTGATATTGCATTGGCACTAGCTGCGCCTCCTATATAACCTGGGTCAGAAAGACCTCCCCTTGTTGGTCCATATTGAGATGCCTCTTGCGGATAACTTCCTAAACCTGTACAGGGGGGGAACCCCATAAAAAATTTAAGAAATAGTTAAAGATTTATAATTGAAGTTTTCCACGGGAAAGAGGAGAATGACAAATATTACAAAACCTACCGTAAGCACCATAGCCAGATCCAAAGTCTGCCGCCACAGTTTCAGTCTTTATAGGATGGCCTGCAGGCGATTGAGAAGATAAGGATTGAGGCATACCTTGAAGTTCACTGTATCGACCAGGTCCGGGACCATACCCAGTCACTGAAGCACCAGCTCCAGTAGCATACCCAGTCATTGAAGTACCATAAGCTGAAAATTTGGTTATTAAAATTGGCGAGTTTACTTGATGACTTTGAAATGAATACAATTTTAGTAAATATCGGATGAAAGTGAGTAGATTTTCAAATCAAGCACGATTTGAACAACATTTTTGAAATACCCTTATCATCCAGCTTCCTTTGCGCCAAAACTGAAAACTATAGTCACACGGTGTACTGTGACTATGTAACGCCAATTGGCTCAAAACGTTTAGATGAACTGGTGGAAGTTACACTATTTTTTTAATGATAAAGAACTACATTTTTTCTTCCCACCTCCATAGGCTTGAGCAGCAGTTGGATCCTGTGACAATACACCCACATTTCGGTCAGCATACGAGGCAGGAATAGCTGAGACAGCACCGGCTGAAACTACGTTGATGCAAGTAACATTTAACAAAATTATGATAACATTCGCCCGAATGATGTAACTTACCATATTGAGAGTATTGAGAAGCTGGTACCGATGAACCAGGTATACCATACGAACTTGCTTGAGCAGGCTGACCACCATAACCAGCCCCATACACAGCACGAGCATCAGCACCACCACCATATCCTCCCATACCATAGCCTGCATAAGAAGGATTTTGATTCTATTAGTTTGGTCAAACAAATTATTGGTCTAATATATAGTCAATGCATATGTAACAATTGGCAATCATAATAAATTCAATGATGAACTTATATGATAGATGCCAATGGTAATTCATTTTTTGCCAACATTGACACTATAGTTATCATTCATGTTTCATAACTAAGTAACACTAGTGGCATTAATGTATGTTTACAGACTAATGTACGTAGGTATGAGCCGTTATTTTCACTAAGAACTCACTTTGGGCATACGGACTTTGAATTGGAGCCATAGCACGATTCATACCACCACCATTTGATCCAATCACGGACAAGCTACGACTATCTCTAGGTTCAGCCTTCTTTGCCTCCACCTTTAGAAAAAGTAATAAAGTAAATATAAACAAGGCAGAAAAGAAAACATTACGTACTTTCTTTATAAATTTCTGTGCATCATTACGTTAGCCATCTACTTACTATAAATAATAACATTTTGCTGTAAATTCAAACAATATACTACAGCCAAGACTAATTACTTCGATTACAAAGGGAAGGCAAAATTTAGTAGTTTTCTAAATGACTATTAAAACTATGAACTACACCGTTTTTCCATTGATTTGGTGAAAGCGTATTGCACAAATCTTCGTCACCGGTTCTTCCGTATGAAATCCAACAAATCCGAATCCTTAGATACAACCAAAACACCATAACGTTCAACAAATGCCAGCAAAACTTCAGTGGTTAACCATCTCTCAGCAAAATGCTTTCACCAACACACGCGCATTTGTTTTTATAAAATTTGTCGCAGTTGTGTTTGTTAAAACACTTATTGAATTTTTTTGATTTTTTTTCCTTAGCTCACCTATAGTAGCCTAGTACTTTAATGTAAAATACAGACAGACTATAAAAGTTTCTAGCCTATAGTAGCCTAATCTTAAAATAAAATAGCTTATGTAATAAACATGCCATATTTCAACTACAATAGTGAAAATATTTCAATAAAACACTTTTTGAGGATTTTTATCAATTTGTGAAAAAATGCTGGGCAGTATAATTTATAGTTAACCAGAGAAGCATAGCTAGAAAGGATATTTTCAAGACTAAATCTATAATATATAAAAACATGTGTAGGTATTAGTTAAACTTAAACTACAAGAACCGAAATACAATAGTATACAAATAAATAGAATAATTTTATTCGATGTCTGTCAACAATTGCAAACACAGTAATGCATCAAGGTCTAATTATCCACCTGTGATAATGAGTGCTAATCATTGAACTAAATATAACCAGAAGGCTCCCTTCAACCGGGTCATTTGAAGCTAAAGTCGGCAGTATTGTCCCCAGTCTCTCCAAGCATGTGATAAACATGACCAAAATAAAAAATTCGGTGTTTTTGAAAAAAAAATAATGTGAAAAAACTGAAAATAAATGGCAATAAATCATTCCAGAAAGATGTAAAATGTCCGACTCATTTATAGTAAAACTTGTAGGATAATACATCATTAAAACAATTGTTTTTGTGAAAAAAAAAACTCAACAAAAAATGACAAATGCGGACATTTAACATTTTACAAAGCTGCTGATGATTGTGTTGACATTTCTTAAAAACATACTTAACCATTAATGAGACTGACACAATAACAAAATCGAAGAGCATCTGAACACAAACATATCTATGTTTTAAAGTGTCATTTACAAAAAACATCTTAGTTTCTTCTCACTTGGCACTTATGAATCCAAGCACAAACCTTAGCTTTTTGTAAGTTTCCTGTGTAAAAAATATTTGTACGACAGGAAACTTAAATTTCCTATCTTAATAACACAGGAAAAGGCTGTGAAGCAGAAAAAATCTGGTTATTTTCTTTCCTTTAGCTTTGCCAAAATTCTCTTTGACATGTTGTTTATTGTCTTTCTTTGTTTTGTTTACAATCAGTCAATCATGTCTTGTGAATTGGTTGTGAAGCTGAACTAGAGAGATTTGACATGCGTGTCTGGTAGTCAGATCACAAAAAGGTTCACTTAAATTTGTGTTACCAATACACCGTATCTCAGGAGGCAACCCTCCAGTTATATTTAGTTCAATTGTGCTAAGATGTTGGTGTGAAGAAAGACACACAACTGTTTTGATTAAAAACATCACGGTTTATCCAGTTGAAAACCTTCACGTGAAACTAATTCCCCTGTAGGTAATAATAAATAAGGATAATTATAACAAAAACAAATTACCTCTCATCCTTCCAGTTCTTACATCTTTCATCAGTGAAACATCAGCCACCTAGTGAGATTATCACATTCTTTATGAGACTAACTCACATGTACATACATATATACCATGCTCTAGATTTCATAAATTCACTCACAGGCCCAAATGACTGGAAAAAAAATTTTAAGTCCTCTTCAGAAGTTCCTTGAGCAACACCACCAATGAATATTTTAAAACTTCGACTTCCTGTTGTTCTTGGAATAGGCATCTAGGCAAAAGAGAGAAATGATGTGTAGTCTGAGAGCACGACTGGATGAAAACAGGTTATCTCTTACCGGCAAACTTCCTGGTGTTCGAGGAACAGCTGGCTTTGGATCAATCTAATTTTAAAAAACACAAATACATCCATATGCTAAACATACATTCAAATACTCTTGCAACTTTTCTTTTACTTTAAAACCACAAATTGATGTTTAAAAATGCTACCTCTTTGTTGTCAAGGTAATGCGGACGACTATCAATGACTTTTTGAACACAACTTGGATCATGAAATGTCACAAAACCAAATCCCCTGTAAATATTTACAATCGTCAGTGAAAGATATAAAAGATGCACACACAAAGGGGTATTTTTCTAAGGGTCAAGCAAAGTTAAGTACCAAAGCTGTAAACTGCAAGTAAGGAAAGCAAAATATGTATGAAAGAAGGAATGCTATGTAAAATTGGGAACAGGTGTACGTGTTAAAAAATGTAAAAGGAGTGTTTGCGTTTTATATTCAGCGATAAAATACATATGTTAAAAGAGTAGTTAACATTTTGCTAACATATAGTTCATTTGCACATTTAACTATTGATGTATTTGACAGTTGAACTTCGAAAGCGCTAAAAAAATTCCATCTTTGGGTAAGGAACTTTTTATAAAAAATGACCTTTCCATATTTGGTAGTGAAAGAACAATTTGGATTGTTTTGAAAGGGTCCTTATATGTCAATGTTCTTAAGATGTAAATCTATATCTATTCTAATAATTATGCAAATTGCAACTTTCTGCAAATTATATGAAAATATACCAGCATTGTTCATTGATATCAAGCACTTTTTCATCAAAAAACTCCACTGAATACGAACCTCAATTTACACAAAATAATTTGTTGTTTAGACATTTGAAGTAGCCTATGTTTACCGAGATCTCTCAATCCTTGGATCATCTTGGTCCTTTGCTTTCATTATAACACAATCTCCAATGGAACCAAATTTTGAGAAGTAGGTTTCTAGTCCCTCTGGAAAGATCAGTTATGATAAAATCAATAATTGATTGTGAATATTGTAGTAATATTCAAGCAAATCGTCACAGACGAAGCATATTTGATATTAACCTTTCGTTGTTTCATAACTTAGACCGCCAACAAATATTTTTCTATATAAAAAATAAAAAAGTTGAACGTATTTATTTTTGGCTTCTAAGCGATGTTCTTTCTCCTTTTTAATACATGTACACTTAGTCCCTTCCTCCAGAATTTTTTATCATACCAACCCATTTTCGTCTCCTCGAGGCATTTTAGCAAAAGTTGGAAAGAAAATATATTCGGCCTCGTGTCTTCTATGGCACCTTACTCACAACTCAAGATGGCGACAGTTGTATTACGCAATAATGCTAATTAACGACCTCGTTGTATGATGGGAATTATGCGCGGCACAAGGACGTCTGGGGCATATTAACGTTACCATACAATACCAATACTTGTATCAACTACAGTACCAACATAACCAACCAATGATATGGCCAACCCATCCTCTACATTACAATGGCTATAACAGAGGGAGTTTATTCTAAATATGATACTTCGTAAATGTTCCGATAAACGCCCCCATTAAAAACTCTTATGTAAAAACCCCCGCATATTTAGTCTTAGTTTTGGAATATGAATTCTGACAAGATTATACACCCTAAAGTAATAGAAATCATAAACAGTAAAGAAATAGAAATTATACGAACGCTTCTCTGTTAAATACCTTTAACTCGTATCGATTTTTCCCTCCCTACCCTCCCCAGAACCGGCAGAGTTCGTGTGAACTATGAACTGGAAAATTTTTACAGAGATGAGTTAAGAGTTGGCCTGCCCTCAGTAACTTATCTTGCCAAATTATTACTATTTCAGAAGGAAGAATAACAGAATTTGGGTGGAATAGGAATCTCCATGGTTTTTTTTATTACATTTAACAATTTGCGTCGATATTTTGAATCGTGCGCGCGAACAGCAGGGAATAGTGTATTTCGGTCAATAAATCATGTTTTGACATTATTGTTGTGTTGATTACTTTATCTTGCTTCTGGCAAGAACGTTGACAACCATGAACGTCACAATTGCGTAAACAAATGTTTTTACGTTTAATAATGATGATTCTATATTATAGTATATATATACAACGACCAATGTAAGAACAATAGCAAGACTATGCTTATTATTAAACAATGAAGTATTTTACTGTGATATTTGTAGTGTCTAACATTTAAAATGTAAACAAATCACACATATAGCAAACAAATTTGTCAACTTCTCTAACTGACCAATTTGTGGTATGTTGCTCTCCCGTCAACAATTTGCTTCCTGTGCCACGGCGACAACAATTTTGACGATAAGCAAACATACACAGGATGTATCAAAAAAAGAAAAACTGTCTATTGTAAAAAATTCAATGCCTGAGCACTATTCTAAGTCCACGGGTACACATATATGCATCTGTCAGAATGATTACAAACGACGCAGGGAATTCATCTAGACCTGGAGTGACTTTTAGAGCATTTTACTAAGCCAGTTTCTCATTTCCGACTTAACTATTATTTACACATTGGTCCTTACGCACGAGACACGATTGTCTATAGCATAGGCACGCTTTGAGGAAATGTATGTACACACCGAAAGAACGCGTCAAAAAATAGTGTTGTAATTAAACGCATGCATGTCCAACCGCTGAAATGTTTATTATTGCAAGATCTGTTCTGGAACAGTCGCTCTCTCTGATGTCACCAAAAAAGGCAAGGACCAATGGCCTCATATATGAGTGGTCTGAGGTGTTGTCATAATTTAATACATCGATGGTGTTTTCAGCAGGAGTCGCCACAAAAAAGATAAGATATGCTGTGTATATAGATATGTGATTAAATACATCTGTAATCAAATCCATGTAGATTAAAAATCTAATTATTGGAATCTTTAGTTCTATTAGATTCATATCTGTAATAATTACAGAAGAATAAAAATTTCCATTTCCCGACAAAAAATCTTTCATCAACGTGTCCACATTAGAGTCTGTCCAGCGTTAAGAAAATAAACTACAAAATTGCATTAATACTTCAGATTTTATTCTTTAGAATATCATAATCAATGGTAAAGTTATTTTGAACTTACAATATTTGACAATTTTGGCTTTTGCTCATTTTACTCAGCAATTATCCTTTATCGATGACAAATCACATTGCCAGTGTTGAGTGTTCAATACAGCACGTTTCAACAGTCGCAACACTAGCTGAAAGAAAAATTTAGCTTGTAGATTCTTGTGAAATGTCAATGTGTTGTAAGAAAAGTGGAATGCTGAGCCATAAAATCCTTTTATATTCGTTTTTACTGTGACCATCATTGGTAATTCCAGCTCGTTTTTCTTAAAGTAGAATTTTACCATTAACAAATCGTTGAAATTTGATCTGCTGATAAAACAAATGTTATTTTAGCACTCAAGTGAAGACGAGATTGCGTTTGTTCTAGTTTTTCATTGATCATTTTACGATAAGATGAAATCCGTCGGCAACAAAGTGCAAAAACTAATGTTTTACTTTTGACAGCCTCGTACAATGCATGTTGGTTATAAACTCTTACTGAATATAATTTCTTTTTTGTTATGTACAGTGTACACTATGAAGTTAGGAAATTCAAATCTGTTAAACCGATTCATTTGTGCTCTAAATTGGATCATCTATTGAGATCGTCGGTAAATTTTATTTATATATTTCAGTACATCCTGTGGTTAAGCGTACCAAGGTCAGACAATTAAAAAAAACGTGCTGTATGGAAAATAATTTTACTCCATCTTTTGTAAGTTAATGTCAAATGAACAAAATACATAAGAATGCTATTGTATTTCAATATTTTGCTGCAATTTCACATCACGTGACCAAACGCTCCTACTGCATCAACTGCTTGTATTTGAATCAAGGTAATTTATGACTTATGTTCGAAATTATGATTGGTTTTCAAAAACAACTGATGAATGCCTGGTTTCATCATGATGTAAAGCGGCTTCGAGGAGGAACCAGTTTTGTCGTACCTGGAATCTTCCATTTCATCGACGAAGCAGATCAATGCTTTGATAAACACGGAATTGAAAATTCGATTTCCTAATTGGTTTACAATTTTTTATTAGTGCTCTTCTCGAAGCACGAAAGCGTGGAAAATCCTTGAATTGTTGTTTTCGCTGATAGATGTATAAGACAGCTTTAAAAGTGCGACATTTTTTAAGCATTTTTAATTGCTTGCAAAATGTGGAGGATTCAGTAAATTGATATCTTGACGCATCGGGAATCTTCGTCTACAAAGAATCATGTTTCCACCAATAGAGTATATAAAGGAAAGGGTCACGCACCTCACGGCAGTCTACGAATTTTTAAGTCCACTCTAGTGCACTTTATATCAGCAGAAGAAAAGAGTTTTTGCGACGCAATATAGCTCAGTGGAAGTTCTTAATTTGGTCGAGAAAAATGATTTCTCTTCGGGCGGCGGTTTTTCTCTGCGCTTTAACGACGAATGTTATTGCAGGTGTGATTTTATGTTGTTTTACTAAATTTGATTAAATATGCTGTTATTGTACCATTTTATTTGTTACAGGAAATGTTTTATCAGTTTTGGAAATGTTTTCTCATTTTTGTCGCATATTTTTCCATATATATTGTTGTAGAACTTATACCACGACGTTCCATTCCGGTCATTCCGGTTCTTAACGAGAATTAAAACTACGTTCGATGAGCTATAGCGACAATCAGAGACAAATCACTTTCAATACAAAAATATTTAGCCATGCAAAAACTTATGTTGTGTTAAAAAAAAAGAGAGGAAACATTTCTGAAAGATCACGTTGACTTATAATCGATTTTATTATGCGCTATATTCACGATGTTGTTAATTTTTCTCAAAACGTTTTAAAATAAGATCAATTTAGGTTTTAAATGTTCTGAATGCAAAAATAATTTGCCATCTTGAGTGAAAGTTGCGAGTTCTTAGCAAGTCGTTTGTTAAATATTTGAGGGTTTTTTTACGTCAGTCATTATCGATCTCCTGCTGTTAAATGCTTTCTTTGATTTATCATGAGTGAATGTTACGAGTTCTTAGCAAGTCGTTTGTTAAATAATTGAGGGTTTTTTTACGTCAGTCATTATCGATCTCTTGCTGTTAAATGCTTTCTTTGATTTCCGAAATGACCTTTTGTTAATACCTTTCGATCAAAAACATGGCGTAAACATTGAAGTGCACTTTCAGCAATGTTTATTTTTACTTTTGCAGATATACTGCTCACAAACAATAATCTTGAATATCTGGAAAGACGTATTACTGAAAAGGTGAGACTAGTTCAATGAATTCTTCTCTCTATTTTTTCATGAAAAAGGACTTTTTAAAACTGCCTTTTTCTATGCAACACATGTTTCGGTGAGTTGCTAACTGTTATTTTTATCTCATTATCTCTCTAAGATTATGAAAGAAATGAAAGGATTGTTAAGTGAATGCGGCATTTGTCGACCATCACAATTTCTATACTCAACGGGACGACCTTCTTCCGTTCAGCAACTTGTAGAATCAAAGCAATACAGGATATTGAAAAAGGGTGATTCTAACAACACAAAGAATGAGAAAACCGAACAGCTCAATGTATTGACGAGAAAAAACATTAGCCATTCCATACAGCATTCAGGACCCGACCCAAATAAAGAAGACAAATCGAAGGGTAACCATTCAAACACTAAAAAAGGTGAAAACCAAAATCAACTCGACGTCTCTACAACTGGCTACTTCACCGAAACTAGGAAGCCAAAATTAGATATGAGACCTGGTGATTTTATTACAACAAAATCTACATCAAATTTGACAAATGAAGACTTTATTACAACAGAGTTACCATCAGGCTTAAGATTTGATGAATTTATGACAAAAAACTCAAACAATAACAGTAAAACGCCAGAAAAAGAGGAAGGAAAAGTAAAAAAAATAGTTTCCAATCTTGTTAACTCAACTAATACGACAATGCATTCATCGGAAAACAGCTCAAACACGAACAAAGCAAAACCGGATGAATTTTTCAATAAAAAAGTTTCCAAGTCTGTGACAAAGAGTGGACCATGGCGATTATTGGCTTATATGTTGAATAGAAAACGAGCAAAATGCGTTAATGGTAAAAAAGATTGTGTGTACATTAGCGAATGCTCCATCGATTTGAGAAGCATGCAGTCGACCTGCAAGGTATTGGTGTGATTGCCAGATTTATATTTATTTGAAGGTGAAGTCAATGTAATTTGTAACATGGTCTCATGCTTACAATTCTGTAGTGCAAGGTTGGTTATGCTGGTGATGGAAGAACTTGTGGTGAAGATTCTGATCTTGATGGTTATCCTGATGTGGAACTAAATTGTACCGATGTACGTTGTAGGAAGGTGAGACAGTGTAATTTCCATGAATTGTCGACTGTTATTCATAGAACTTTCTCACAAGATTTTTTACTCTACTGTTCTGTTCAACATTTCCATCACGTTTAAGGACAACTGTGTTGAAAGACCAAACAGTGGTCAAGAAAACGTCGATGGTGACAGTCTAGGTGATATTTGTGATCCTGACATAGATGATGATGGATTAGAAAATGAAAATGTACGTGTATACTAAGCATATGTGAAAAGGACTGTGACAAAATCTTTTATTTTTTCATGCGCATTTTGCTAGAGATTTTCCACATATATGCACGCAGGGAAATGAATTTGGACACCAACTAAAAGATTTTCCACGAAGGGCAATAACGAGTTTATTGCATAAAACAGAAATTTCTGAGTCTTTAGCTATTTTTACATGATAAATAGCCCGCACGCAGGTTAGAGTGATCAGGGAGCAAAACATTCATGCATGTCAAATTAATACCTACTGTGGCCTAACTATAATCTTTAAGCCATGAAGGGAGGACGTAGAAAGATCGAATTGTGCAGGAGGGTAGAGACATATTCATATGCGCATGATCGAATTGTGCAGGGGGGTAGAGACATATTCATATATGCATAATTGAATTGTGCAGGGGGGTGGAGACATACATATGTGCATGTTATAACTCGTAGAAAACAATGGATTTCAATAGAACTAAATACGATGCATCATGCGTTACTGAATATCCTCTCCCCCTCAGTCATCAAGCTTTATATGTCCATGGCATAAAGTACATACGAAATTGCTCTTCATATCAAGTAGTAGTTTGTAATTGCAAGTTTTGTTTCGATTAGCAGCTCTGAAATTTTGTGCACTGGAACGCACAATATATTCATACCACCATATATTTTTGCTATTTGTCTACAGGACAATTGTAAAGAGCACTCAAACCCGACACAAGACGACACCGATAGAGACGGAGTAGGAGATGCATGTGACAATTGTGTGTCAAAAAGGAACCGAGATCAAATAGACACGGATGGTAACGGCGTTGGAGATGCTTGTAGTGACGACCTTGATGGCGATGGTATTCATTCTACTCTTCTAGTATCGATCTGCTTGAATTGAATTGAATTACAGAGAAACTTCAATGAATTATGCCTGGCTTTTACGAACATTTTTGAAAAAATTTCTATGCTGTTAGCAAAATCACATAAGATAGTAGAGAAACTGGGCAGTGAAAAATCGTACGTTCACAAAATAATTTGTCATTCTTTAAATTTTTTGTAGGAATTACGTCCAATGATAACTGCCCATTTGTGAGCAATGCAAATCAGCTAGACAGTGATGGCGATGGATTTGGGAATCTTTGCGACAACTGTCCGTTTGTACAAAATCCTGATCAGGTAATCCTGCGGTCAGTTAATGTTTGTATGTCCTGATCGACCACAAAGCTTTAACAAAAAATGAACTACTTTTTTTTTATAATGCAGAGGGACAGAGATAATGATCTACGAGGAGATAAATGTGATACAGATTACGATGCGTAAGAAACTTTTCCTTTGTGTCGTGTGAATACATTAAGTCAACGCTAGATTTTATTTTTCCCGTTACATTGTAATTTACGTTTGTTGTATATGTTGCTAAAATGCTATAATTGACCTTTCCCTTTCTTTATTTGTATTTGCTAATTGGTTCCGAAAAATTACTAACCAGAATAATTTATGTTTTGAAACATTAGCGATTCAGATGGTGCTGATGACAGTGTAGATAACTGTCCTCGGGTGAACAACCCCGATCAAATTGACACTGATAAAGACGGAAGAGGTTAAGAGTATTTCTATAACATGACACTTGTAAGATGAGTAATTTGACGACAGTTTTGAAATCAAGATATTTTAATCTTCATCATGATCAGCGTATTTGACGAATGATATAAATTGATTACAGGGGATGCTTGTGATTCTGATGATGACAACGATGGTATTCCAGATGAAAATGACAATTGTAGATTAATTCCAAACGTGAACCAAACGGATAGCTACGGTAAGTAAAATATGTATGCATACAGAGTCTCATTTTTGGAAGTTCTTTATACATTGTCGATTCTATGAACATAATTTTGTTCGTTCGTGTTAAATTTATCTACATAGAGATCCAAATAAACTTGACCGGAAAACAAAACAACAAACAGTCATGAGAATCTCTATCATTTTTGTGTTGTTTTCCAAGGTTATGGGATAGGAGATATTTGCAGAGAGGATTTTGACGGTGACACTGTGGTAAACGCACAAGACAGCTGTCCAGAAAACGCAGAATTTGCAGTTGCAGATTTCAAAAAATTCCAACCGATAAATCTTGATCCAAAGGAAGAGAGTCAGATCGATCCAGTTTGGAAAGTTTTTAATGACGTAAATATATGATAAAAACAAACTTCTACTTTGGCAAATTCTTATCAGATATAATCATTCAAGGAGAAGCATGTTTTAGACCAAAATAGACTCACTCAAACATTGTAACTCGTTTCCTGTAAGAATATCTATAATATCTTTATCATTGCGTTCTAGGGAAAAGAAATTTCACAATTGGAAAACAGTGATCCAGGTTTAGCAATAGGTGAGCTTTAGCGAAGTTCACATTTTGTACTCCATTTCTTGTCGTCTAATGTTGACGATTAAAAATTCATCTCTTTCTATCATATCCTTATAAGGATACCAAGGATTTTCAGACCTTGACTACGCTGGAACGTTTTACGTGGACACGGAAAATGACAATGACTTTATTGGAATTGTGTTTGGTTACCAGAGTAGCAGCCAATTTTATGTTGTAATGTGGAAGAAGTTCGGACAGCCATATTGGGATGAGAAGCCCTTCTTAGCTTTAAGCGATACTGGTTTGACGATAAAGGTAACACGAAGTTGTTTTAGAGCTGTGTTAGTGAGCTTAATTTTACTGGCCATAGTTTTAATCAAGGTATATTATTAGATTCAATATTTTACATAAACTATACTTCTTGATTTTGACTTATAACTTCTTCAACAAAACATGTGCACCAACGTGCATCTTAAAGTCACGTGATCAGCTGCCAAAAAGTATTATATAGTAATTTTTACTTGTTCCATTAATCTCTCGCTTGCTCCAAATCGTCGTTATGTAAAAATGCAGCAACATAGGTCTCTCGCGTTTAATGTTTGTCACAACAAAAAAAATTTGTGCCATAAAAAAAATAAGGAGTTTTAATGACTATCTTGTTCTCGAAAGAAAGAAATTTTTAATGCTTCTCTTTAGGTAGTGAATTCAGCAACAGGTCCTGGCCCAGAACTTCGTAATGCTTTGTGGAGCCGTGGTCCAGTGGTCCCTGATCAGGTAGATATCATGATATTGTCCATGTAACAATTTACTTTCGTCGTAAATTGTAAATTAATTTATGGTTGTTAACAGGTCAGAGTTTTATGGAGCGACCCAAAACAAATTGGGTGGAAAGAAAGAACTTCATATCATTGGCAATTGAAGCATCGTCCTGGAATTGGTTTGATAAAGTAAGTGTGGAGTGTATGCAAATGGCGCTTCTGGATATCGGCTCCTCTTTTCCATATGTTAATATTTTATTTCAAGTTGGAGAGGCTTAGCGTACTCATATGATTTAAATTTTTGTCTATTTCAAATTCTGTTCAAACAATCTTCACGAAAAGCTTTCTTGACTGGTTAAAGCAGAAGTATTAAATTGACAGTTTTGTATTAAAGATTTGAAAAGCGGCAAAATAGCAAGTTTGACTTTCTTCTTTGCTTTAAGATTTTCGTTGTCCGGTATTTTATAGTAAAGAGTCCTTTGAAATTTTACGATAAGCCCGTGAAAAAACTTTTCTTTATTCTCAAAGGTTAAAAATATCCGATGGCAAAAAGGTGATTATAAATTCTGGTAGATTGATAGACACTACATACAAAGGAGGGCGAATAGGAGTCATGGCATTTTCTCAAGAACAAATAACGTGGTCGAATTTGGTTTGGCAATGCAAAAGAGGTAAGATCAAAAATCCTAACGAGGTAACACTTACCTACTTATAGACTTTTGATCAATAATATGATACACACAGGATTGATTATTCATACTCTGCAAATTTTGACCAAAGAATTTTTTATAGAAAAAGAACTAAAGAATTTGGCCATTGAAAATGTTTGATTCAAGTTCTTGTCGACATGTCGTGTACAATTGGATATATATGAACGCACAGGATATTCGTTGATTGCTTATACCTTTGAGAGAAGACACCGACATATAGACCAATTAAAAGCTAATAGAAGGTTATATCGCTAAACTAAGTACAACTGTTTTATCTTGACAAGCACTGGAATGCCTGCGACATTAACTTGGGAATTGGACGAACATTTATATAGAACAGAGATCGGTTGCACGAAGCACATAGAATGCAGGATTACAAAGCATTTGGTTGTATTGGGTGGGCGGTAAACTTCATCATTTGTAAATTTGATTGCCATTTAAGACGAACAGTGAAAAAGGATAATTAGCTACTGTTGTTCGTGCAACCGTCTCAGAATAATATATTGTATATTGGTAAAAATAATTCACTGAAAACAATTGCAGGTGACACTTGCGAGTGTGAAAGAAATATTTGATGTATTTTCTTTTAGATGTAACAGATTAAATGAGCTAAAACAAGAGTCATAAATTGCGTTGTGTTTTGTTTTAAATTTTGACCGATCACATTAAACCATGGATGCTTACGACCTGTTGTCCAACATATAGCTACATGCTAAAAAGAAACACAAAAAAGTTTGCAAAACCAACCTAAGCCGGAACATGTGGCTCAGGGTACGCTTCAAACTGATCAACAGTTTAATGAATACCCTCGTGGATGTATATTTATAAAAATGCCAATGCTAGATATTTTATTTGCCAACTGTTGGAATTAATCCCTTCAATTAATCCCGCTACGTAAATTCTAAAGGATTAACTACCATTATTAATTTCTTAATGAGAAATCTATTGTTCTAGGTTCTCACGGTCAGTGAGCACTAAAATATTTGCCTGATGGGAGTAAAGAAGACGGGATGGCTACGATACTAGAACCATTATTTTCTTGAAAACCTTATTCGTTGAAAACATTTAAAACGGTTAGCACTATTTTCCACCCAGCAAACCGCCCTTTACTTTACACAATCGTTAATAAATTAAAGATGGCGGCTAATGGGAAAGAACCAAAAGCTAAAAGATAACCATGCATGCACTGGTGCTAGGTCGTTTTGAGATGGCGAGTAATTTTATATTTTTATAATACAGTTTTTAATATCAACATATGAAAATATTTACAGATAAATGTTGCAGTATAAATTTTCATGCAACCACCTTAAGTTATAAACTTATAATCCAGGCTGGAAAATATGTCGTTTTTCGACGATTGTGTAAAATATTATATAAAATATTATATTGTGTAAAATATTAGATTGTGTAAAATATTATATTGTGTAAAATATTATATTTCAAAGTAAAGGGCGGTTTGCTGGGTGGAAAATAGTGCTAACCTTATCTAAAACTTGCCTTAGGGGGCTGATCCAGAGCCCTCTATTAGTAAGAGTTGGGACATCTATTGTTATCCGTTTAGCTTACGTTGATTGGGCAATATTGATCACCTGATCAATTTCCGCCATTTTGGTTCCTAATAGAGGGCTCTGGGCTGATCACCAAAGCCGCCATGCTTTTACGTCACATTTTCCCGCGTTTTCCACCATATATAAATTGTGACCTTTAATTTGCCAGTCAGTAAATACAGGCAGGAAACGTTGAATTACTTGATCGACTTCACTATATTACCGCAGTTTTTATCATCATGCCTGGCATAGAAGAATGGCTTTCTAATCCACTGTTGATAGTTGATCAGAAACTCGGTAGGAGCCTTCGTTGTACGAGCGATTTGCTCGAGGCTGATAGTTTAATCATAACATCACGTCCATTTTCGTATTCATTTAATATAGATGAGAATCATGAGATCTTTGAGAAAAAAGTGCGAGAATATTTTGAGGAAAAAGTTAAGAGAAATGGCATACATAAAGTGTGTATAGTATTTATACCTTTACGTTATATTTAATTATAAAGTACTGAACATTAGAAGTACAACATTTGGCTCCCATTTAGTTTTATATTCAATATTTAGGTCCAGTCGTTGAATGATAAACCCTTGGATGAAATTATACCCAACACACTGGTGCGATTTCGTTGTATGATTCAAGATATGTTCGAGCCAGAGTATTATCTCGCTCGTTATGAAACCGTTAATACATTGGATGGGACAAAGGTATGTTGAAACAGACGGTGAATGGCAATGAAGTAAATTTGTCGTGAAAAGTACGTTAGTGTAAGCATGATCCGAACATAGAATATGCAGCTGTTGATTGATAACTTTAAACAAACATTCGACAGTTGAAACACGTATTTAGATAGTGTTTGTGTTCTGTACTTTTGTTTGCAATGTAGTTGTCATACCATTAGTGTGTCTTACAGGCCTGGATTAACCTCTCTGACAACCTAGGGCTTCATGGTGGATGCGCTTTCTTGCCTAATTTTATGTTTTCTAGAAAATTTCTATTGTAATACATGATGTACTATAAGATTAAACATTTTCAAGTGCATCTATAACTGCAAGTGCATCAAACAATTTAGGAAAGAAAAGATGCGACTTTTGTCATTCAATAACCACAACCAGTTCCTAAACACAAATTTCCCAATGGGATTTTGTAGATGAAAAAAGAGAAGTGATGCATTTTTGTAAGCCTGTCCTTTGACCCTTGTCATTTCTAGGTTGTTGAGCTGAATTCTTTGACAACAGTTTTTACTGCATTGTTGAACATTTTTTGCAGTTAAATATTCCCATTGGGATTAAAGCTAGCTTACAGTCCAATGTCATTGAGGTCTATAACTAGTTGTTGTTCAATACCATGAGCTTATTTTTATTATTGGCATTAGTTCCATAGATATCACTGGTGTCCTTTTTAGCTCTTTTGAGTGGGTGGCCTGGGGCTGGTATCTGATATGTTACCTTGACTTGAAGTTCTGGCATGTATCATATATTAAGCTTTGACCTTTTTAGGCCATGCATCTTGGTTACTATCGTGATGTCATCTTACAAAAGGTTAAAAATTTCTTTTATCTTTTATTTCAATGAAAAATTTAGCAATGCAATCAAACCTCAACTTTGTAAATGTTAATTTTCTTTGTAGCCTAATCATGAGGCAAACTTTAATTCTCCTGAAAATTTAACAAAATCAAGGAAGTGTTTCTATTGTGTTCCTATTCCTGGTGAAACAACATGGGCAAAAAGAGTATCCTTTCATGAATTGTCAATTCAAAACTGTTAGATGTATACCTTAAATACACCAAGCAAAACAACCCTATATTTCTTTTAAAAACTGCAATTGTATTTCTTTAACTTTTTTTATGCATATGCAAAATCTTCATGCAATGCTAAGATGTATTTTAATGACTCAAAATCTTCAGGGTCCATGAAGAGAGACATAGATGAGATGGAAGAGGATTTTTTTCTACATGGTGGTACGTATTATTCCACTAGTACATAATTCTTGAATGCATGTACCTATGTATGTTTCATTTTAATTTTGCCAACATTAAATATGAGTAATTAATTGAATATACGTAGCAATGAGCAGCAGTGAAAACAAGAAATCGAAAACAGAAAGTACTAATTCAGGTGAGAAGAATGTCAAGTCAGCTAAATATAATGTATTCACCCTGAACTTGTCCACCATGTCCATAAGTGAAAGATTAATTTCTTTTTTAAACATTAGGGAATATTGACAATCACCAGTTTGAACACAATCATCCATTACCTAATGAAAAAGGTCCTGTTTGTTTAGTCAAGGTAATTCACACATGTCTCTCTTACTACTCAATGTGTTCTTTTGATAAACAACAATTTCCATTTGTATCAAGGTGTATGGCCAATCAGAAATGGTTCGACTCAATGATGTTGTGGAATTCGTTGGCGTTTTGACTGTTGATCCAGAACTCACAAGATTTCCAAATCAAAGGTTTTTAGACTATTTGACGAAATGTATTTTGCAATACTTCGCTCTTGTAGGAAAGGAGAGGCGCATGTGTCCCCCCCCAACTTTTCAACTTTCCAAATTTTTTATCATGTGATTTATTTTCAACCAGTAGCTCAAGTGCTTCAACTTCAGACATCATTAATCCTGTGATGAACATTGACGATGACAATCCTCACTTACTTCCATCTTCCCTTGTTCCACGACTGCATGCCATCATTGGTTATAAACGACAGCATTCAAATCCTTGTCTACCATTTGCTCTATCAGACTTAGGTTTGATCATCAACATTGTTTAATTAACCTGTAGAGAGGCTCATTAAACTTGAACCGGATTCTCTAAAGTTACCTCCCTTTAGAACAACGATTATCCGAAGCTGCTCAAGTCAGAGAGAGATTATTGAATACATTCAAAGATATGTTATGTGGAGATCGTCTTGCTGCCGAGTACTTGCTATTACATCTTATTTCCACAATGTAGGTTTTTGATGATCTTTCTGTGCCATAGTATAGTTACTTCGTGAATAATGGTAGCGGTATGACGTTCACAACTCTAAACATCAAATAATGCAGAGCGTATAGTAGTCGATGTTGAACATATGAAAACATTCTGTGTTAATACCTGTATTACTTCATGGTATAATATACTTTCAATGTTGAACTGAAAAAAAGTATGTTTGGGGTTGGGATATATTCTTTGATACACGATGCAAACGTATGATTGTTTGTGTTTAGTTACTGTCGTGCTGATGTGTTGGCTATAGGAAAGTACACGTTGAACCTGTGGGGATGCCCAGAAGATACTGCTAGAGAATTGTATAAATTTATTGAACTATTTCTTACCAAAGTGCGTCGTTTTTCATCGAATTTTCTCCTTCATGGTCCATTGACCACTTCTGACTGTTCTATGTTTTCTATAGTGTAGTAAATTTCCTTTGAGCATTGAGAATTTGGACAACTCAAAGCTGGTACCGAAAAAAGACTACAAAAGCAACAGACTGATGACTGGAAAGCTTCAACTTAGCAACAGTATGTTTCAATTATTTTCTTAACAAGTACAGTATATTTCAGATATTTTTTAAACAACAGTGTATTGCAATTATTTATTAAACAGCAGTATGTTTCAAATATTTTCTAAACAACAGCATATTGCGATTAAACAACAGAATTTTTCATTTATGTTTTAAGTAACAGTATGTTTCAATTTTTTTTGAGCAACTGTTTGTTTCGATTATTTTTTAAGCCACGTTATTACACTAAGCACAGTTTTTAAAATGTTTTTAGACACACATCTAATAATCGATGAAACAGTTTTAGAGGAGGGAAGACTAAACGAAAACGGCAAGAATTTTAAATTGTATTCTGGTTTTAATTTTAGAGCATACATTTTCATGTTTAAGATATGACCACCCTAGTGTGTGCGTCATTGACTACAGGCAACAAAATAACGTTTGTTTAGGTACAGCAAATCTTAACGTCATAAATCACGTGATATTGTGGCAGAAACTTCCATATGATTTTGTATTTTACAAGACCGATTTCCTCACTAACTTGGTAAGGCAACGTGTTGTAGGATATTTACAATTCATCTTTAAACAAACTATTTGTATTCTTTAAGAATATTTTGATATTATCTGAAGGAAAGAGTCTACTAGAAGTAAGAAAATGAATTATTTTCATTTATGTCAGCTGTGACGTAGCTAATCATTTGACGTCTCCGACAACATTCTACACATTTTTCCAGGTAGATTCGTCTATTCGCTTGAACGTGGAATACCCGTCTCCTCCTTTCGAGGAATTTATAACAACTTTAGACGAGAATTTCATTACTTGCGTACGAAAATTCATTGGCTTAGCACAGCTCATTAACCACGAAATCACTGAAGACGTGCAAAAGGTAAAATAACTTGTCTCTTCAGGGGAAAAGTCGTTCATTTGCTATGTCTGTATTATTTTTCATTTGAAGTATCTTCAAAACGACTTCGTTGAAATGAGACAAAGACGTCCACAAGAAATGACCAGTGAAAGATTTCACTCTCTTCTTACTTTGGCAAGGTAGTGCAATTTATGAAATATTTGGGGAGGGGCTTGTCCCCAAGACACGAGATTTCCGTGAACATTCTAACCGGATCAAAAAAAAATCAAGAAGGCTTAAAGCGTATGTGGGGCGTGTATAACACAGACGTCTATCAAATCTTCATTATTTTATATGACAGTTACGGGGTATAGGTATGATTTGTAGTGTTTTGTTCAAGATTCTTAGTTTTTTAACCTTATTGTAGGGGACTCAAGCTCCTTTCTTCTCCTTGGTATATTCCACTGAATACAAATGATATGAAATTTGATCAATTTACTTCAAAGAAATTAGCTTATCATGTTTTTGTCGGAAACCAGCTATGCGTCGTAATCATTTAGTAAAACAGAAGAACTTCTGTGGATTCTAAGAAGTAATAACTGCCTCTTTGTTTCTTATTAAGACTAGTGGCAATAAGTTGTGGAAGAAAGAACATTACAGTAGAAGATTGGTCGAGAACGAAGCATTTGGAAGAATTAAGGATTAAAAGTATTAGCTAAAAACATAAAAAAACGAAACTTCTTTCTTACTTACTTTAGCCAAATAATAGAGAACGATATAGTTTGTTTTATAGTTTGAGCAATGGACGTTGTCTAGCAAGAGTAACGTCATTGTCTTACGTTTCTTTTTTTTTAAACCTTTCTTATTCTCATAACGAATGTTAAATACATGAATGTGATGCTCATGCAATGTGTAAAAGCGTATGATATCAAGAGGCAAATACACTAATTATTATTTTATTTTCATGACAAAACGGTGCAAAAACCTTTAAAGCATTATTACGAGAGCTGGCGAAATGTGTTGGCATTGACGTCATTTGACACAAATAAAGTCCTCTCTATTTCAAAAACTTCATACATGTAGAAGGAAAAATGAATAAAATGGGCTAAGCACTCAGTCGAACGAAGAAAATTCATGGGTAAAACACCACGTTGAATTTTGAAAATGGGTCAAACATTAATTTCAAGGAAGAAAATGGGTGAAACACTAATATAAACGAAGAAAATGTATTACAAACCAAGTTGAACAAGGGAAAGAAAATGGGTAAAAAACCAAATGAAGTGAAGAAAATGGGAAAACATCAAGTTGAATGATTAAAATGCTTATCGTAATAATAATATTAAAATTTTTTAGGTCTTTAGCTCAAGCATACATGTAAAGCCTTGAAATATTGAACACAAGTAGCTGAAATTTACTACTCCATTATTTCTTACGGCAAAAAATACAACCAAATCTTTATATAGTTTGATTCATCTTTCTTCGAGTGGATCGGGAATCCAACCCAATAACCATACAATCCTTACTGCAGGTCCCAGGCATGGCCACCCTTTTTTGTTATTCTTTAGAGTGATTCTCTAAAGATGAGGGAAACCGGCGTTTCGCCGGAGGAAAACCCTCGGACCTAGGATGTATATACTACCAAGATAAACTCAACTATAATTTTTATCTTTACATTATGATCTTTATACTTGGTTACGGTCTTAATTATATTTACAAAAATCAATTAGACTGTCTCTATTTTTACAAGGTTTTCTAAAAAAGTTTAACCAAAGCAGTATACACCCTTGTAAGACATTCTTCAAAAAAAAAAAACAAGCAAAAAAAAAAAATCCGGATCACAACGCCATTTTGAGCTGCGCTTTTCTAGCTCATGCGCATCCTTAGCTAACCCTGTCGATCAGTGGCATGAGATAAACGATTAGAGCATCTACCTATACTATCTAAGCTACAAAAAAAATTAAAACAAACCTTCCAACGATGAGACACCTGTAAAGCAACGTCACTAGTTAGTACCCGAGCCGAAAGGGAACCTAATGGATAGGGAACCGCCTCCCTGGGCCCTTATACTTTACCAAGCAGCGTTCCAGTTCCAGCCATCGGCAACCAATCCTTCTTGTGCCCAGCACTCGATCACCTAGGTACCAACTTGGCACCGTTTACAATTATTTCTACCTGAAAACTGCACTAAATGTATCCGATTAGTTCGCCACGCTATCAAATCATCTTCCATGCATCAAATTGTAGAAGATATTCTGTTTGATTTCGAGACGAGCTAAGCCGACACATGAAAAACATATAAACTACTATGATAAACCAGACAGATTTTCTTTCAAGTTAACTAACACTTGATTATTTAACTTGACATGCCACTGTTATAACATTGATTTTGCCGGCAAAAACAATGCCAGGGTTTCATGCTCCTATTCTGTTTTCTTGTTCATCAGAACACATAGACAGCTACTGCTATATTATATATATATTACTCATAATGATGCACATCACTCATTTGTTAAATACCATTTATAAAAATTTGGACTTAAATCTTTTCGTTTCCATTCATAAATTGAATAAACATCATTTGAAGTGCATGGTTCAAAATCTTAACAAATCAGTCGAAACGTGAAAATATCTAACCGAGCATGCATCATCTAGAGAAATATATCAGACATTTAATAATTTAGTTTAATTTAGTTTGCGTCATGCTGCTGCTGCTGCTCCGCCATTACGGACTTCGTGACGCCGAATATTGCGGTAGAACGCGAACCGAAATTTTTTGTGCAATCTGTAATTTTGTAGTTAATTACTTTTGTGCAATCTGTAATTTTGTAGTTAATTACTTTTGTGCAATCTGTAATTTTGTAGTTAATTATTTTTGTGCAATCTGTAATTTTGTAGTTAATTATTTTTGTGCAATGTGTAATTTTATACTTAATTTTTTTTATGCGATCTTTGATTTTGTACTTAATTCTTTTGTGCAATATATAATTTTGGGCTTAATTTTCTTTGTGCAAACTGTAATTTTATACTTAATTTTTTAATGCAATTTGTACTTTTGCCTTAATTTTATTGTGCAATCTGTAACTTTGTATGTAGTTTTTTTATGCAATCTGTAATTTTTGTACGTAATTTGTAATTTTGTGCGTGATTTTTATTGTGCAATCTCTAATTATTTGCGTATTTTTTTTCAAGTCATGCGATCTTTGATTTTGTGCGTATTTTTTTTGTGCAATCTTTAATTTTGTGCGTAATTTTGATTTTAGTTTACGATTCGAAATTTAGTTTTTGTACACGCCATTTTGCCTTTATCGGCTTTAGTTGTAGAAACTATGATACATACATATTTTTTATATTTTAAGAACTATAATACACACGACCAAAAACTCAAAAAAACCCATGCTTATTTCCTTGAGCTTATGATCGTGTATCCTGGTGATCAAGAAAAAAAACCAGCAAACGTTATTAGTGTTTCAAAATGATCAGACCACCTGACTTTTACGCTATTTTCCTATAAATACTGATATTCTTACATTGTCCGAGAGTGAAGAAAAAGCTTTCGGGCAATAAAGGAAATACCGTTATTTAAAGGCTCGTGCATGCACGGAAAAGCACTCTGTAGTGCTCAAACTATGATATAAAAGCAATAGAACAAAAAACACTAACAAAAATCTGAAGAACAACTAACATTGTATTTTAGAACTCTGCCAATGTTCTATCATCTTCCTGTTAATGTTGATCACCAGGATTTAAAAAAAACAACGTTAGAAACTATTGCACCTGAAATGACGTCCTAAATCTTCGATTTACGTAATCCTTAGTTGAAAGACCCAAGATTATCCACGACAACCATGACGTATAATCCTCGACAACCACGATGTTATCCAGTACAACCATGGTGTAACCCACGACAACCATATTGTTATCCAGTTAAACTCTGGTGTAACCCACGATAACTACAATGTAATCCATGACAACTATAATATAATCTACGACATGTAGATTAGTGGTATAAGCCAAGACAGTTATGATACAATCCACGATTACCATAACCAATGACAGCTAAGATGGATTGATATAGTTCACCAACAATGTATCCTTCCTTTAATGTAAAACATAGTATGAATCAAAAAGTAAAAACGTTTTACAAACTGACAAAATACAATTAAAACAGAAAATAAATAATCCTACTATCGAGTTTTACTAATATATTGTCAATCACGTATCACTTCCCGCAGTTGAGGAACGAAAAAAGGTGGAAAATATTTTCTTCCACACTTCTGGGAGCCATATTTTGGATGAGTGTGGCGGGTGGTGTAGGTTATATCAACCATTTAGTTGTTGCACCCGCACTGCTTAAAACGAGTGCCACCCGCCCATCCAGATGAATCACTACAGACATATATGTAATTTGGTATTCAAGACTGTTTTGTTTAGGCTACTCTGAGTAGCAACTAGGCCTTAAAATGGTAGGTGGCTAGTTGTTAGGACGAGTAAAAATGTCATGGTTCACAGCTGTGTGTGAGATTATATTTTTTAAATATCAGAGTAATTTTATATCATTTTGCTTGAAGAAAAAAGCTACAATTATTTTCCAAAAAATGCTATCATCCCGTTCTTGAAACATAACTCGCAGTAAATTTCAATTGTTTTTAGAATATGAAATTTTCTTAATGGTAGCAACTCTCAAAAAACTACCAACTTCCAATTTACAAGAAGACTTCAATACCTCAAGGCTTGTAGTTATAAACAGTCCACTGCTTCTCCAAAACGTTCAGCATTACTGGTGATGATTTTTTCGTTTAAGAAGTGAATTTTCTGAAATTAAAATATTTCAAAGCATTGTTACATATATTCACCTAAAACAAAATTTATCGATATGTTTGCTCATAAACAAATTTCAACGTATCAAGTAGAACTTACCGAAATATTTGAGGTATCCTGTGGTCACATGGTGTTAGACGACGTTTAGTCTTCATATAAATAGACTTTAGTTTAATCCTCGTAACTTTTTTGGAAGTTTCACGTTATGTTGCCAACTGATCGTGTTGTCGTGTTGGTTTTCTTTAGCGTTTCCATCATACAGTTCAATACAAATGTTACCCATCATTGGACGAGGCACATTGATCGTATTTGACATCCATCTTTCATTTTGTGCATACTGTAGCAGCATATTAGAAATTTACTTGTGCACATTTTGTCGTAAAATCATATGTAATTTGAAAACAATGGAAATGACAAACTTTATGAACTTAAGTTCTGTATGTAAGTAGTTATGGTCACGACATCTGCCTCAAGAAGCCTTCAGTAAAAACGTCACGCTAGGGTTAAAGTACGTGCAGTTTATTTACAAATATTGCATGTCATAGGGTTCTTGAAATGTTTGTTTTGCAGCATTTCATTTATTTTTCTTCAAAAGATTGCTTTGTCATTTTGTCTTGCATCATTTCATCTTTATTATTCTTTACAAGATTGATCTGTCATCTTTGTTGAGATTTTTTTGCATTTCTGATTTTCTTTCCTCTTTACTTCACATTTGACTGCCTGATCTAAATTTGTCTGACACTTTCCTTGTTTCACGACACTTGCACAAAGAGAAGATGCTGCACTTGAAATACAAAACCCAAACAACAAAAAAGACTTTGCTCCCAGGAATCGACGGCAACCCAAACAACAGAAAATGCTGGCACGCAAGAATTGACGGCAACCCAAACAACAGAAAATGCTGGCACGCAAGAATTGACGGCAACCCAAAACAACAGAAAATGCTGGCACGCAAGAATTGACGGCAACCCAAACAACGGAAAATGCTGGCACGCAAGATTGACGGTAACCCAAACAACGGAAAATGCTGGCACGCAAGAATTGACGGCAACCCAAACAACGGAAAATGCTGGCACGCAAGAATTGACGGCAACCCAAACAACGGAAAATGCTGGCACGCAAGAATTGACGGCAACCCAAACAACAGAAAATGCTGGCACGCAAGAATTGACGGCAACCCAAACAACAGAAAATGCTGGCACGCAAGAATCGACGGCAACCCAAACAACGGAAAATGCTGGCACGCAAGATTGACGGCAACCCAAACAACGGAAAATGCTGGCACGCAAGAATTGACGGCAACCCAAACAACGGAAAATGCTGGCACGCAAGATTGACGGCAACCCAAACAACGGAAAATGCTGGCACGCAAGAATTGACGGCAACCCAAACAACGGAAAATGCTGGCACGCAAGATTGACGGTAACCCAAACAACGGAAAATGCTGGCACGCAAGAATTGACGGCAACCCAAACAACGGAAAATGCTGGCACGCAAGATTGACGGCAACCCAAACAACGGAAAATGCTGGCACGCAAGATTGACGGCAACCCAAACAACGGAAAATGCTGGCACGCAAGAATTGACGGCAACCCAAACAACGGAAAATGCTGGCACGCAAGAATTGACGGCAACCCAAACAACGGAAAATGCTGGCACGCAAGAATTGACGGCAACCCGAACAACAGAAAATGCTGGCACGCAAGAATCGACGGCAACCCGAACAACAGAAAATGCTGGCACGCAAGAATCGACGGCAACCCAAACAACGGAAAATGCTGGCACGCAAGATTGACGGCAACCCGAACAACAGAAAATGCTGGCACGCAAGAATTAACGGCAACCCAAACAACAGAAAATGCTGGCACGCAAGAATTAACGGCAACCCAAACAACAGAAAATGCTGGCACGCAAGAATTGACGGCAACCCAAACAACGGAAAATGCTAGCACGCAAGAACTGACGGCAACCCAAACAACGGAAAATGCTGGCACGCAAGAATTGACGGCAACCCAAACAACTAAAAGACGCAGCACTCGTTCGGGAATTAAGTTAGCAAAGCCCTTACAGAACAGAATTTGTTGTGGTTGCAAGAATTAAGCAGACAGCCTCGAATGTTCTCTCCCAAACCATCTTATATCTCTTCCAATGACATCATTTGTTCAATCCACGTCATTAAGTTTACTGCGTTGTTAATTTTTTTCTATTGTCGATCACTAGCGTTTCTTGTTCCAAAACGGTCATTTCTTCATTTTCTTCCGCCACATGCAATGAGCTTTTTTCTTCATCTTTTTCTTGTAGACTGTTGGAGAACTTGTTCTTTTCAAAGTGTTACACTTTATTATACTATTATACCATGCAACTGACAGAAGTCTTATAGACTTCTCTTTTAATATTCATGAACATTTCTTTCATAGCAACTTTTATAAGTTACTGTTTTACATCTAATCGTAAAAGGGAATACTGGCGAAAGAAGGCTTCAAGCTGCTGATGTCTGAACCAACACTGAATTGTGTTTTATTTTCTCCATTATAATTTTTTTTGACATCTTATATATTGATTCTGATATAATTGTAACCTTAGACTATATCAATAATACTAGTGTTAAAAAATTTTATCATGCAAATTTTTCTAGTTTTCAAAACAGTTTCGAATTGTGCACAAGTATATCCCCCAAAATACTCTCAGTTTTATCATGTCTTTTGATTGAGTTTCCTATCAATTCAAGTTAACCAAAATGAGCACAGGGTGTTTTCATCTGTTTATATTCGTACATTATTACAATAGCGTCTTATAATTTTCGTTGCTTGCAACACATGAAAAAAAAATACTACCGAAAAACAAAGTAGCAAATCAAATCAAATATAAATAGCAACTCAGTCGACATTTCCTATACCTTAATTCTTCGATTTCATGCTCTTCCAGCTCTATTCATCTTTATTCGTTACATGATTTGTTGACATTTTGACTATAGCCTCGTCGATAGGAAACTTTTATGTTTATTTATTCCTCGAAAGTGAGCAAGATTAGCTTCTTATCCTACAAAATTCGCATTTTAATCACCCGTCGAGTATTAATGAAAGTATTTTACGACGGATTAATGTCAAAAATGAGTGAAAAATAGCGCGCTGGCGACAAAACTCGACATGCTAGTCGAGATTATTAAAGCCATGATAGCTATATAATTCATAAAAAGTTTTTTTTGGCGCAGAAGATGATTTGCCTTGCTCTTACTGTACAGTTTCCAATATCTTTTAAATGTAAAATCTGTCAAATTTTATACAAGCAACATTTGTTTTGAAGTGAAGATTTTTATTGGGTTGTAATTGACTTAATATTACATCAAAAATCTTTCATACAAAACTGGTAGAATTACCCAGATACGGAGTTGAAAAATCTTTTAAATGGCCCACGACATTGAAGCAAACAACATCTCTAAATTCGTTTTAAATCGTTGTCGTTAATTTTCCTAGTAAACCTGACGAGACTGAAAATTTTGATTCACCGATCAATGCGTTCAGAAACATTTGAAAAAAATTCTACAGAAGGATGTAACAGCCCGCCTTACAAACAAATTTATTTGCACCGTGAAAGTTTTTAGCTATATGTGTTCTTGTATAAGTTTCCTGCATCCGAAAAATTTTCGAGAATTTTCAGTGAAAACTGATTTTATAACATGAAGTTCAATAGTTCAGCTTTGCTTAATTGGTTCCCAGTGTTTTCCATCTTCACGCAGACGAAAGAAAAAGAGCGCGAAATTTTCAAAATGGCCTTTCAAAATTTTCAGTTTTCTCAAACATTTTCGGTATTTTTCTTCAAAAGAGCAGTTTTTGCCATAGAATATTGAATGTAGAAGTAAGAAATGTTCTTTCTGTTTATTTCTTTGCCATTCTGAAACTTTTAACTAAGAATTCTTTCATATTTTGCGTTGAAATGTGAACTCTGGCCGGTCGAGCAAGTTGGTCGTTGAAAAGATATAGATTCACAAATTCATGGTTTAAAGCAAGATATTCAGCAAAACTTCGTTTCCAAATATTCGAAAAACAAACAATAAGCACCACACTAAAGTAAAATTGAAAAACATCCACTGAAACATAACGAAATAGTCATTTTTTAACGTTTATGTCTTCGAGCAGACAAACGCACCGACAAAAATACGCCGTTATACGACGAATTGCATAAAACATATCGACAAAAACAATTCAGAATTCAAGTGATGCCTAAATAATACGTCAAACAATGATAAGCACTAACTTTTGTCAACATTTGAAGCACTTTTTTAAAAAAAATGAACAAAAATTTCACAAACCTTAGTTTCTTGTTCGAGTCCTGTCACATCTGGCAGACTGGTGACTGGCAGTATGTTAAATACTAAAGTTGACGTGAGCAAAGACCATTTGGTGGACTGATTTCATTGGTTGTTTTGATAGACTGAAAGCTGCTATTGGATGCACTTTTCTTGAGCTCTGCTCTGATTTGCCAAATTATAAATCAAGGGAGGACGATTCACTGGTTCAACCACTCACGAGAATTAACCTCCCCCCCCTGGAGAAACTCGAGTTTCTGAGAGTATCGCGCTGTTGCGGGACAACAAAATGTATTTGTTGAACGTTGGATTGTTTATGTATTTGAAAACGGTGTTGAACTTTGGTGTTTATAATTTCTGCCTCAGTAGAGAATAACAAAATGTTAACATGTTTTCTGTAGGAGATATAGTTTGGGCAAAATCCTCTATTCCTCGAGAGATTTTCTGGCCATCTATGGTAAGCGAAGACGACTGTAGACTTACCAGCTTATTTAATGTTCCAATTACAAATAGTAAATAGTTCAGTCAATAAATTCTAGGAATAAAAAAATTTCATCTTCCTTCCAAAGGTTGCTGAGTATGATGATGATATGAAAACAGGCAAACGCAAAGGCGAAGTTGTTGCATATGTCAGGTTCTTGGCAGAAGACACGTAGTACGTGAACTTGTTTATTTTGACATGAAAAATATATTTGAAAATATAACATTTCAACGCACTTTCAAGTCACTGGAATTAAAATTTTTGGAGCTCTTCATTAACTGAAGTATACAATTAATTTTTTTATTGTTTTTGTTGTTTGCTATATGCTAGAAACTGTTTTTTAGTGAAGCAATAAGGAAAGCCTCATGTGTAAAGATTTTCAATTGCCCAGAGAAAGTGAAGTTTCTTCAAAGAGGTCAAAGTTAGTACTGATGTAGTTTGTCTCAAGTCATTGTAAATATGTCAGTTATGATTATCTTACATAGTTTGAAGTATAGGTGTCATATTTTTTCTTTTGTTGCTACGCATTTAGGTTTGAAAAATCAAGCAAAGAGGCTTCTCTTCCTTTCAGCTCTTAGAGAAGCAAAAGGGCATCTGGGGAAAAGTAAGAATCCTGCTGAAAAAGTAGTGGAACTGAGATAAATAACCTTGAATTTAGTTTTGATTTAATTTTCTCTTGTAGAAAATCTGAGTAAAAAACAAGATAAATTGAATTCCAGGAGTTCGTTGTTTTTGTCCAAAAATTCTTCACCAATTATATCATCAAGTAGTTGCATGAAATCTTCAAGTCCTACCAAAATGAATGAAACTAATGGCCACAACCATATTAATATAGCCAATACAACACCAAAAGCATCAACTTCCGTAAATATTAAGAAGAAAAAGGGTGGAAGACCACCTGCACCAAAGAAGAGCAAGTCGCTGGATGCTTCCTCCTGTGATAAAAAACATGAAACTTATTCAGATATGAACAAAGATAAGAATTTGATGAGTGAAACCTGTGGGGAAAACGTTGACAATAGTGAATGTACAAAACTTGTATTATCTTGTGAGATAAGGTTACAGAACAGTTGTGCAGACTTTAAAGATTCAATTATGTCAAGTGCAGTGACAAACAACATGGCTGACCATGAAAATATTGCTGATGAGTCACTGGTGAATTCGAATGAAATCAGTGGTAATGATAATGATCTGTGTGTGTCTATCTTAAGACTTTCAAGCTTTTTCGAATAACTCTGACCATGCTGTCAAGTTTCTGAAATGATGCATTTTTTAAATATATCTCTACACAATTACAGTCAATAATTCAATAGGTTACACATATACCCAATTTCAATGATTTTCCAATCATTATTTGTATAGATGAGAAAAGCAGCTCTGATGATGATGATTTACTTCAACCAATAAGCTTGACCCCAGGTATGTAAAGATGGTCGACTTTAAACTTTTGATGTTTGTATTGCAGTCAGGGGAAAATGTACTAAATCAACACAAGCCAACCACTAAATGTCACGTTTATATTTCAGCTGCTACTAATCAGTTTTCACCCGGTGATGTTGTTTGGGTCTCTTATCGTAAAAGTCCATTTTGGCCTGCAGAGGTATCGTGTGTTATTGTTGTATGTGTAGAGAGTGTTTGTTCTCTAGTGATTTTTATTGTATGGTGTTCTTATTTGGCCCATTTCAACCAAACTAGAGACAGAATTTTGAGTAATCTGTCTCTTGTCATCAGTTGAACAACTTGGGTTAATTTGCCTTAGAAGATAATGTTTTCTCAACATTTTGAACAAAGTTTCTCTTATGTAACTTATGTAACTCTGATGACATTTCTTCAGCCATGTTTAATTTTAGGTTCTGAGAGCCGGTAAGAAGAAAAATTACTATTACATAAAATATCTACCGAAAACCAAGAGCAAAGGGTGAGAAGTGAATGATGGAAACAGACCATTTAGTGTTAATGTACACTCTCCTATGATTATGTATTTTTTATTAGCATGCAAGTACCAAAAAACAAAATGGTCTTGTTTTCGCAATCTCATGAAATCTATCAACAATATAGAGTAAGTTATAAAATTTATAGAAATTAGCAGGAAATGTTAATCTGTGTATCCTTTCTTCATCTATTCATTTGTAAATTACCGTACTTGAATTGAAGATTTATTGCTTGAAAGAGGTCGTATTTATGCAGTAAAATATATGTGTTCTTATAACGAATGCATACCGTCATTGTACGATATTCTCTTTGGGATTTTATGTAGAATCAAGAAGTAGATGAAATTCAGAGGAAGGAATTTGAATTAGCAGTTGAAGAGGCTGAAACCATATTAACTAAAGGTATGTGACGGTGTGTGCTATGGAAGTTTGTAAAATTAAAGTACAATAAATTAACGGTAAAATCTGAACATTATTTCAGTTTTTGAAAAAAATGGAACACAACGAACAGATGAAATTGAAAGTAAGTTGATTATTACCATGCACATTACCATGCACATTATCATGCACATTATCATATCCATTATCATGCACATTACCATGCGCATTACCATGCACATTATCATGCACATTACCATGCACACTACCATGCACATTATCATGCACATTACCATGCACATTACCATGCACATTACCATGCACATTACCATGCACATTACCATGCCCATTATCATGCACATTATCATGCGGAATCTTACATGAACGACTTCTATTCTTTACAAATTATTCTGAACTCAATGCAACGTTTTACTCTGATATCGACTTAGCGTATAGGTTTTGTATCCACACAACAGAGAGTATGGTTTACTATTTACACAAAAAAGAGTTTATGGCCTACTAATTGCACAACAAAGATTGCGGTTTTTATTAAGCGACAGAGACTATGGTTTGCTATTTGCACAAATGACTGAGATGGAGGTTTATTTTTTGCACACCGACAGAGATTTTTTTGCTACAGCCTATAAACGATATAGAGCAAGCGACTTCTCGTTAAGTGTGGAAATGTGTCTTCTACGAAAGTATCACTTACATAAATGCAACGTAGCCAAACTGTTAGCTTTATCGTTAAGAGTATCGTGATTCATTTCAGAGCAAATCCAGTATAAGTCAGCTTTAAAACGTCGTACCTAATATATTTGATTATAAATCTAAGTATATTGTATTGATGATAATATTTATTTCTAAGATATCCTTTGAAAATTTATTACTGTTGCTAGTATGATATTTACAGTGTTTTTTTAACGTGTTCTGTCTTAATCCGGATCTGCGACTTATTTGATCGTGAGTTCCTTTGAAAATTTATTACTGTTGCTAGTATGATATTTACAGTGTTTTTTTAACGTGTTCTGTCTTAATCCGGATCTGCGATTTATTTGATCGTGAGTTCCTTTGAAAATTTATTACTGTTGCTAGTATGATATTTACAGTGTTTTTTTCACGTGTTCTGTCTTAATCCGGATCTGCGATTTATTTGATCGTGAGTTCCTTTGAAAATTTATTACTGTTGCTAGTATGATATTGACAGTGTTTTTTTCACATGTTCTGTCTTAATCCGGATCTGCGACTGATTTGATCGTGATTTCGTGTTGTTCAAATCGTGTTTAAATGTCTCTGTGTTTCACGATCTTTATTTGTGTTTTGTGGCCTTTTTAAAGATGGCCAGGTTTCTCACGTCAGTGAAAAGAATGAACCAAACGAAGAGCAAGATAATTCAGATACATCTAAGAGAATGAGTGAAAAAGACATAGATCGGGCACATTCCCCAGAACGTTCTCCTCACAATTTGTTTGATGGAAATGGCAACGATGATTCAGACATGGACGATGAAACTGGTCAATCGTATAGGACATGTTTGAGAAAACGAAAAAGGTATGAAAATATGTTTGTACGAAATCGCACGAAAGTTGAATTTATTATTCAAGACATATCAATTATAATTATTAATTGTGTTATTTACTTATGAATGCTGGTGAAATCTCCATTTTCAGGACATGTCCAAAGTATGCCAATATTTTGAACGATATGGAGCATTTTTGTAAGGTTTGTAATTGAACTAGACTGAAGTTTCATTTAGACGTGAAAGGCATGTATATGATTTTCTTATTCGTAAACGACAGCAAAGACTGCTTGACATCTATCATGAAAAAGTATATTCTTGGCGCCACAGGATCTTTAAATATGGATCGACAACAGAACGGAATAATTTACAGAAATCGTCGGGATTTGGTCCCGTGAAAGATGACGAGATGGTGAGACATTTAATCGCATAAACAACCTGCTAGTTCATTCCCGATACGTAAACGTGAAATGATTACTATTTTAATGATTCTATTTTTCTAATTGTGACAAAAAATGTTTCCATCGAAGGAGTGAAAGTTCGGGCTATCTACACTATTGTAGACATTTTGAATAATATAGGGCCTACCCCATCTCTAATCGCTAATTATAAGGCTTGAGCCGACGTAACTGCCAGTAAGCAACTCTACACTATCATTTTATGTACCGATATAAATTTTGTTGACATTTTTGTTCCAGTGTACCATGGTACTTTTTTGCAACTCACGTTTATGAAATTTTGCTAGTTTTTAGCACCTTGTTTCCAAGGCATGTATCTCGCATTATAAAAACCTTGCATGTTTTGATACTTTGTGTAAAAATGTATAGCATTGCTCATTATTCATTTCATAGAGATCTGTTGTTTTTGGCAGTCGGAAACACACACATAAATTCACATAGCAGGACCAAATTTTCAGGCTTTAATCTTGATTGAATTTACCGGAGAGTGAAGTTGTGAGTTTTTTGTCATTCTTTATCAATGATGCTGAGTTTTTTTTTTCAACTTCAGTGTGAAAAGATAACGAACCGAATTAAGTTTTGGTACGACACTGAAACCAAAGAAAAGTCGATTACATTTGATTATGTTTGGGGTGTTTGGTTGCCTGAGGTATTGTCAGTTTCAACGTCCAGAGAAAACTAGATGGACTAAATCACGTGATTTGTTTCAGGCTATAATCCATTACATACAGATGATCGAGAAGGAGTCACGTGAACGGGCCGAGGAGATATATTCGGATTACAGGCAACACACCGATGACGATGATGTTGAAGATGTCAAAAATTATTTAAAGAGAAAGAAAGTAGACGAGGCGACTAGAGAGGAGACCTTGCAAAGAGCGAAAAATCTCCTGACTTAAATGTTGTATTTTTCAATGAATTGTCGTGAAAAGCAGACGTGTTACCTGCATGAACATTTGTAGGATGATTACATTTGTAGGATGATAAGTCTCGGTCTGTTGAAATATTTGATAACTTCTCAACCCTGCAAGTTGGCGCAACTCTCTTTGTGTAATCAGCCTCTTCATCTACCAAGGATTGAAATTTGTGCGTGGAATGGATTTTCAAAGAACTTTCGTCATTTTTTAAATCAAAATTTCGCTGAATGCGTGTGATAACCTTTGTTATCCGTATTAATAACCATATCTTAACCAAAATTATCCTGGAAATTTTTTAGAATGTGAAAGTGTATGTCTTGAATGTGGAAGAATTAAAGATAATGAAGATTTCCTGTAATGTCATTGTGTTTTCGAATCTCATGGTCTGATCTCATGTCTATTGGATTGAGCGATTGGTTGAATTTTAGCTAGATTCGGGTTGGTAGGATTAGGTTTATCCTATGGGGTTATCCTATGGGTTATCCTGGGAATAGTTGTCTGCGCCTTGGAAACCTAAAAGCAGCGGTATATACATACCAATTTTCAAAACTATTTTAAGGAAATTAAATTAAATATTTCCTCAATTATAAAGATCTTCGCTAAAATGTCTTTTAATGAGATTTCAAGAGAAATTATTCTTTAGGAATACATAGTAGCGTACTTCGTATAATCTCTGGCATATTCTAACTGCTGCGATATAGTCGCTTAAAGTGTACAAAAAGTGTTCAATAATTGACAGTAAGAATAGAAAATAGAAATTGTTCAACATAGTTATTTTTCCTGAAAATTTGCAAACGACATTCGTCGTAACAAAGGTATTCGCCTAAATTGTTTTTTATTTGTACATATGCAAGTCAAATTTTTCGTTGGACGTATTAAAGCAAAAGCATGTACATCAGTACATATGACGTATCATCTGATTGTATTTTCTTAATAGAGTGGATTAATTTTGTGGTTTGAGTGCTTTCCGACGATAACGGATGGCATCCGTACAGAGAGAAAGAACTCCTCAATTCAACATGCCCAGAAGATCCCAGCAGCCTGGAGGACAGTTGCCCAAGAACAAGCATTGCAGATATGCTAATGCAAATATCCCCGTGCAAGCAGAACCACATAAAGATGAATCCTTTTCAGCAAGACAAGCAAAAAATCCTGGCAAATCAGCAATTTATAGGCATGGTCGAAAGCGAAGAGTGTCAGAATCACATGAAGGTCTCCATCCAGTTGCCAGAAAGAAACGAACTAAATCAGAGGGAGAACTGCTAATGACTAAAAGTGTTCGTGCCGGTCCTTTGAGTGAGCTTAAGTCACTGACTGAAGAAAGAAGTCTTGAGAGGGTATAACTGTATGTGTCCACTATTTTAGCAAGTTTTATTTCTCATGTGTTCTTTATATTTCATATAGCTGACACATCAAATTTGGGATGATTATCTTATTACTAGACAGGTTCCTCAACGCTATGAGCAAAAGCTTCATCTCAGAGACTACCTTCTATCTATTTTTCGCACAGCATATCCAGGTAATGGTGTCTTCATTGTGCATCGACAGCTGGGTTCGAAATTTAAATTTTTTTCAAGTGTCAAAATAGATGCCAGGCTTTTAAATTTTCTATACCTCCCAAAAATGTAAAAACATAATTAGCTGGCATTTCATTATCTGGGGTCAGATACAACATAACCAGTGGCTTACTCTCATCTGTCTATGATTCATAATGCAGAAGCTCCTTTCGTAAATTTCCACTTTGCAATTTATTGACTATTGAAATGGTGTATAATTATTAAACTTTGACCCCATAAGAATTTATTATGAATACGTGATGACCATATATGACTAATTTGTTATCAAAAATGTGTTGATCCATGCAGAATGCTTCTCCCACTTTTCAATGTTGCAATTATTTAAAGCAGGTGTCAGGGGGTCCAAGCTCACCAGAGCAAATCTTGTTATAAAAATTACCAAGTCTGGTCAACTATACGGCTACCTATACTTGATGTCTATTACAGCACTGCTTAACAAATCAAAATGATAGACCAGTAAAAATATTCCTGTCCTTTTTTGGAAAAATCAAAATTGTGACATCCCATCAGGGTACAAGTACAAACACTTGGTATCCAAAACAAAACTTCTTTATCCTTTGGATATCGGGACACTGCAAATTTCAGACCCTACCTGCATGTTTACAAATAGAATGCTATTATGGTTTGTTACTTTGTGAATGCGAAATCTGCCATGTAATTGTGTTCTTTGTTGTCAAGGTTGTTCTTTACATATCTGTGGATCAACTTGCAGTGGACTAGCAACTAATGCAAGTGACATTGATCTTTGCTTACTTTTATCTGAGACAAGAGAGGTGATAAGCTCTATTTTATTGTGACTTAGCTTTAAATTGTGAATTTAAATTAAATTGCCTATCTGATGAAATTACTCTAAGATTGATCAAAGATTTGAAGCACGAAGAATTCTACATCAACTGAATTGCATGCTAAAGCGTTCAGGTGAGGGAATGTTAAAGAACAACATTCCAGTTCAAATATACAAGTCTGTGTTTTAGTAGTACTTTGTGTGTAATTTTAACAACATTCCAGTTCAAATATACAAGTCTGTGTACTAGTAGTACTTTGTGTGTAATTTTAACAACATTCCAGTTCAAATATACAAGTCTGTGTACTAGCAGTACTTTGTGTGTAATTTTAACAACATTCCAGTTCAAATATACAAGTCCGTGTACTTGTAGTACTTTGTGTGTAATTTTAACAACATTCCAGTTCAAATATACAAGTCTGTGTACTAGTAGTACTTTGTGTGTAATTTTAACAACATTCCAGTTCAAATATACAAGTCCGTGTACTACTAGTACTTAATATGTAATCTTCATCAACAATCTCAATATAAATTTCCACATATAAATACAAAATCTTATGTTTCAGCCTACATTCAAAAATGTCGTGTGATTCATGCCAAAGTCCCTATCCTTAAATTCCGTGATTCCAAAAGGTTCAGTCCATCTGTCTTTTGAAATTTATTATGCTGAAATTTTGGTCATACGTAATGTATTGCTTGCCTTTTATAGTGGCTGTGAATGTGATGTGAACATCAACAATACAGTTGTTAGTATATCTGAAGACAAATGAAAATCACAGATAATTATTTTGATGTCACATTGGTATACTTTGTATCTTTTAGGGTATAAAGAACACACATTTGTTGCAAGGATACTGTGGCTGTAAGACAAAATAGCTCCTTTGACTTTAGAAGGAGACAGTGTGACTGTATATGCAATTTTTTTTGCCAGATTTGGTCAGATGGCCTTTAACACCCTATTCTGAATGTTTCAACCCTATAAAGCAGGTGGGAAAGTCAAAGCTCATCAGACCAAATACGGCGAAAATGCATATATGGTCACGTTCTAGTTTTTCATTTCAGTTTTTTATGATCAACTGTGAAGTACAGAGATATATTATGTTTATTCTGTCGATGATTATAACTGGGTCGTATATATTTCAGATGACTGGAGAGTACCCTCGTTAATAATGATTATTAAGAAATGGGCAAAACGTCATAGGATAAATGATGCGAGTCAAGGAACTTTGTCTAGTTATTCATTGGTGATGATGGTTCTCCATTACTTACAAGGTACATTCACTTCTTCTTCTTTTTTGACTTGCTGTTTTTTTCATGCCTGCTAGTTTGTAGAATAACGATAGAGTCGAAAGTTTGAGTATTTTAGGGTACAAAATCTTATTCGCTTTCTTCTTCATGTAGAACCATGTCAACCACCTGTTGTTCCCAGTCTTCAAATGACTTATCCAGTAAGTTCAAGTTGAAAGTGATGTAAAAACCCGATGCAAAAAACGCGGGAAAATGTTCGTGCAACGCGAATGATTGATGGGCGAAATAACTCGACTTTAAAAAGGAGCATCGCTTCCGTGCAAATCTTTTTACCAGATTTGGTCAGATGAGCTTAAACACTCCCCCCCTGTTGTGAACTTTGCAACTATATAAAGAAGGTGGGAGGGTTTAAGCTCCAGACAAATGCTCGTAAAAAATTGCATACATAGGGACACTGATTGTTTACTACACGAACAAGGTCGACAAGTGGAGAACGGATGTAAAAAGTGTTTTTAAAGTGCAGTAGCTTGGACACCCCTGTGATATTAAACATTTGGTGTTTGCTCCCGGGGGAAGTCGCTCGTTTTGTTTTCCAAGAGTCTCAATGTTTCCCGAAACGAAGTCAAAGGGAACATTGCACGAGGCTCTGGGGAAGACAAAACTCACTATTTCCCATGATATGAAAATGAACGGGCAACAATTTTTCACTTATTTCCCTGACGGCACACATTTCATTTATTTTAAGTCATGTGACTACGAATGAACCAACCAGGTATAACGTACAGTTGATTACCTGTTTGATTATTTAGGAAATATTCAACGGATCTCGTAACATACACGATCTAGCGTTGGAGAATCCAAGTATTAGAATTGCACGCCCTCTCAAGTATGTATGAAGGCCACCGATTTAGCTATGTGATCACTTAGTTAGCAGTCGAATTACTCAGTAATTGGTATGGCTGCTTTTTTAGCGGTCTTGTTACCCATTGCCCAGAAATATGTCTGGTTAACCAGTAATCCGTATGGTTACCCAGTTAGCGGCCCAGTTACTAGCTATATAACAGAAGTCTCTTATAACGCTTTTCGATTTGGTGAAAACAAACTTCAAAATGGGAGTCTTGATAAAATTTTGTCACTATGCATGTTGGAAGGTGAATTATAAGATATTTATGTTGGAAGTAACAATTCACTTTTGCTGTAACTTTATGTTGGAAGTAACAATTCATTTTTGCTATAACTTTATGTTGGAAGTAACAATTCACTTTTGCTATAACTTTATTTTGGAAGCAACAATTCATTTTTCCTATAACTTTATGTTGGAAGTAACAATTCACTTTTGCTATAACTTTAAGTTGGAAGTAACAATTCACTTTTGCTATAACTTTATGTTGGAAGTAACAATTCACTTTTGCTATAACTTTATGTTGGAAGTAACAATTCACTTTTGCTATAACTTTATTTTGGAAGTAACAATTCACTTTTGCTATAACTTTATGTTGGAAGTAACAATTCACTTTTGCTATAACTTTATGTTGGAAGTAACAATTCACTTTTGCTATAACTTTATTTTGGAAGTAACAATTCATTTTGCTATAACTTTATGTTGGAAGTAACAATTCACTTTTGCTATAACTTTAAGTTGGAAGTAACAATTCACTTTTGTTATAACTTTATGTTGGAAGTAACAATTCACTTTTGCTATAACTTTATGTTGGAAGTAACAATTCACTTTTGCTATAACTTTATTTTGGAAGTAACAATTCATTTTTGCTATAACTTTATGTTGGAAGTAACAATTCACTTTTGCTATAACTTTATTTTGGAAGTAACAATTCACTTTTGCTATAACTTTATTTTGGAAGTAACAATTCATTTTTGCTATAACTTTATGTCGGAAGTAACAATTCACTTTTGCTATAACTTTATTTTGGAAGTAACAATTCATTTTTGCTATAACTTTATGTTGGAAGTAACAATTCACTTTTGCTATAACTTTATTTTGAAGTAACAATTCATTTTGCTATAACTTTATGTCGGAAGTAACAATTCACTTTTGCTATAACTTTATTTTGAAGTAACAATTCATTTTGCTATAACTTTATGGAAGTAACAATTCACTTTTGCTATAACTTTATTTTGGAAGTAACAATTCATTTTTGCTATAACTTTATGTCGGAAGTAACAATTCACTTTTGCTATAACTTTATTTTGGAAGTAAAAATTCACTTTTGCTATAACTTTATTTTGGAAGTAAAAATTCACTTTTGCTATAACTTTATGTTGGAAGTAAAAATTCACCTTTGCTATGACAACTAACATCAGAATACTCTTTGCTTTCTCGTTGAACAATTTACAACGCTTTAAAATCAATTTCAAAACTATAAAATTCGCTTTGTAAACAAAGACACTGCGAAAAAAATCACTTTTGAACCACGGTCAAGACATTGTAAAAAGTTGCCCGCTAAGGCAGCCAATCAAATTGCCGGAAATCAAAAAATCGCTTTGCATGCATAAATAAAAAAAATAGTAACAAGATATTTAATTGAAAAAAGAATACTGTCAAGTGCCCTACTACTTGATTCCCTGCATGCTTGTATGAAAAAGTTTATATAGGAACACATCTTTTTATGATAATTTCAGATCTGGCAATCAAGAGACACTTGGAGAGTTGCTCGTGGGATTCTTCAGATACTACGCTGAGCAATTTCGGTACAGTGAGAAATTGTTTATTGTATCAGACTTTTGATTGGCCGGAATCTGACTAGCCAATCAGCGTTCTTTCCTTTCAATGTAATCTCTCATTCCTTTATCAAATTCAGCCGCAGATATCTGTACAATAAATGCATATGAAAAAGGTCTGTGAGACTGCGATAACAAGTCCTTGAGGATTTTGAATGAAAACTTTTCCTTGTAACGAAAAATTGGCTTTTAAAATTATTGTTTCATTGAAACGAACCCTTAAAATGGCAGAGGACTTTCTAAAACAGTTTATTCATGTCTTTTTGCATTCTCAAGTTATTGGAGTTTTGTGACGAGCAATTTATAAAGAAAGTGACGTCACATTGCACAGTGAAAATTTGAATTACTAAGAATATTTGCTTCTATGTTGTATTAACCGGCAGAGGTTCTGTCGTAGTTAAGTTTTATTGGTTTAAAATTCTGCATAGGCATTTCGTACAAAGCCTGACAGGAAACTGAAGGATTTCAAAATTTGCAGCCACTCATTATACTAATGTTACATCACTTTCTGTATAAATCGAACACCACAAAACATCAATATCTTGAGAAAGCAAAGAGATATGACTGAACTGTTTTAGAAAGTACACTGTCATTTCACGAGTTCTTTTAATGAAAATATCCTCCATATTCTAAAAGCTCACTCTCACCCACACTAATTGAGTACGACATAAAAATTACGCTCTGTCTAATCATGGGTGAAGTCGTTTTTCCCCAGCGATGGCAAGATTTTTGCTAAAACATATCATATTAGGCAACCGGTGAAGTGAAAATGCCGTTTTCAAATAATTATTTTGAAGCCCCACTCAGCGAGTGAGAGTGAGCTTTTAGAATATGGGGAATCGCTTTATTGGCCCTGTAAATCATATGAAGAATTCTTAAGGTTTTGTGAAATTATTACAGATGGGAAAAGGATGTGATCAGCGTGCGACAAGGAAAGAAGTACTCCAAAGGAGATTCTAGAGTTTGGTACAATAAATTCATATGTATAGAAGGTCTGTATGAATGTGAAGTTATCACCTAAGGCTTCGGCCGAACGTGGGTCTTTTCACGAGCAAACCTAATGCAAATGAAGTTAACAAATTGTTAGTCTTTCACGTTAGGATAGTCTTTGAGAAATGAAATGTTTGTCATAGGTTTCTCGTTATGGGGAAAAGCGAAGTTTGTCATAGGTTTCTCGTAATGGGGAAAAGCAATGTTTGTTATAGGTTTCTCGTAATGGGGAAAAGCAATGTTTTCCTAGGTTTCTCGTAATGGGGAAAAGCAATGTTTGTCATAGATTTGTCGTAATGAGAAAAAGCAATGTTTGTCCTAGGTTTCTCGTAATGGGGAAAAGCAATGTTTGTCCTAGGTTTCTCGTAATGTGGAAAAGCAATGTTTGTCCTAGGTTTCTCGTAATGGGGAAAAGCAATGTTTGTCCTAGGTTTCTCGTAATTTGGAAAAGCATTGTTTGTCCTAGGTTTCTCGTAATGGGGAAAAGCAATGTTTGTCATAGATTTGTCGTAATGAGAAAAAGCAATGTTTGTCCTAGGTTTCTCGTAATGGGAAAAGCAATGTTTGTCATAGATTTGTCGTAATGAGAAAAAGCAATGTTTGTCCTAGGTTTCTCGTAATGGGAAAAGCGATGTTTGTCATAGATTTGTCGTAATGAGAAAAAGCAATGTTTGTCCTAGGTTTCTCGTAATGGGAAAAGCAATGTTTGTCATAGATTTGTCGTAATGAGGAAAAGCAATGTTTGTCCTAGGTTTCTCGTAATGGGAAAAGCGATGTTTGACCCATTAGATCATACACAGTAAAGCTCGTCTTTATTTGATTTTTTACCACCTTTATTGATTTTCTATTCAGAACCGTTCGACTTGAGTTGCGTGACTCGAGCTGTTCACAAGCAGGAGAAATTCGACTCAATATGTCAGCGCTTTAAAATCGTAAGGGTTTTGTGAAGTAATAATGTCAAGCGCGTTAAAAGATAATAAAAAACTCGTTCATCCATTTTGCTCTGTAATTTTTTGTACTATAGGCCTACTACACTTTGACGGTGTCGCCTTTCTTGGAAAGTATCATGTCTGGTTCGTAACGACTTCTAGTTTGTGCTGAACTGAAATACAACCCTTCAATAAAGTTGGGCGAATTGAGATTGCTCCAAACCTGCAGCACAAACAAGAAAAAAGATTGTGTCGACTGAAATTGATCTATTCCAACCAAGCAAAGATTGTAGAGTTAGCTTTGCATTGTGTCCACCACTGTGTCGAACATTCACTTAGTAAAATTAGTTTGCACTTCATTGGAAAAAGTTATGAAAAATCAACATTTTATGCGATTTTCGATACGTGGCATTGAATAAACTATTATAATCGAAGGGAAGGGAGGGTGAGTAAAATGCTATAAAAATTCTCCACGTTGAGTTTTAAAAATAATATATATCAATATATCATAGATAGAGTATTTATAGACTTATATTGTGATAAACTAGTATATGAAACAAAATAAAAGATTTTGGTGTGTGCTCTTCGCCGTCACTTGAGATAAATCTTTATGCACAGTTCGCATCAATATTTACGCACTATACAAGCAAATTCGCGCACTATTTCAAATTTATTCACCTATGTAAATAAACGAAATATTTACGCTAATTTATGCACCTGTGTGAGAGTGTAAGTTAATATATGCAAATTTATGATATTGCGTGCGTTTCGCAATTTATGCAAAATGCAAGTTAACGTGATCAACTCAAATTTATGCACGAGTGCAAACAAAAACCTTTACGCAGTTTCATCAAATAATTTAATGTATAACTTTATAATAACTTACAATAATATATATATTACCCAATTTAAAATATTTAGTAAATATAAATATTCTTTGCAATGTTTGTTTTTATAGGTAGTTTCTGTGATTAAAATGCCCTTTTTAAATAGATCTTATTTCATAACCTCAATAACAATAGTTTCAGTAAACGTAAAATAAGATGAAATTTAAATTGTGTTCAATCTTCACATGTCCATCTAGGTGTTCTTTTCATAAATCTTTTTCCTGATGGTTATGTATGGCAAGCCCCAATTACCAAAGACGGGTGGCCAAAAATTTAAATCTGAGTTGAATTCCTTGTGTTCTGTGTGTACATGAAAATAACAGCCAAGGACACAGGCAATGTTCGATCCAAGGAGAATAAAAACATGCCAGGCACAATGAAAGTATGGAAAAGCAATAGTTTTCCATATGTCACAGAAAAGGCGATCGCTAAGCCACAACATGACGGCAATGAACCACCAGAGTATGCCAATATGGGCTAGCTTCACCACCTTAATACTGTTACATCTAAACCGAAGAGTATTATTTAACTTAGGGAAACTTAGAGCTGAGAGAGTTTCATAGAGATGCACTCTACCTCTGAATTTGTTTCCACAAGATAGGTACACAAGGAGCTCCAAGGATCATTAGGGCTATGGCATTTGCAGCAGGATAGATGAATCCCAAGATGGTAGCTATTACAGCCAAAAGAACAGCAGATAATATGAAAGCGTTTCTGAATGAAAGAGTTGAATCTCATGATAACAAAACACGTCTGTTGATGATAAGGAACTTACTATGTAATACCTTGTTTTGAAGAGGCCCATGTTCTTTATCATCCATTCAGGAGTCCACAAGGTATATCCTGCTAGCAAAACCCACAATATAGCTACCTCATCAAGCAGTTGACCAACAAGACTAAGAGTAGCATGGAAGTACGCAGAGCTAGCACCAATGACCATCATGAGAAGCCATACTACATTAAAACTCTGGCCAACTTTGCTTGAATACTCTGAGAACAAGTATCTATTGCAAGAGAAGATTGTTAGTGTTTTGTGAAGGAAAATGTACGCGTAAATAAATCATGATTACGTAACGCACGAAAAAAAACTTACATATTGAGTGGCGGAATGACAAAGTAGATACAATTGCTGATCTAAAACGTAATGAAAATACCGGTATTGAAGAAATTGCCTTGACATAGCATCGTCCCGAGACTTGTATCTTCAAATTATAAACGTACCGTGTTGAAGAATTCGGCAATATTTGGTGAAAATTCATAGTTTGGTTCACACCAATCTATGTGCGCCGTACCTCTTTGAAAATGGATCGCCATTATGAATCAAAAATACAACTTCGTTCTTGAAATTAATCGACCGATGGTTGTATTTAAAATAGCAATATTTTTCATTCCTGACAGTTAAGACAGTCTTTCTAAAACGTAAATCAAATCACAACTCAGAAGACAGGGTTAGTCACGTAATTCATATCAATAAACCATTGTCATCGCCATGAGTGCTGACGTGATCACGTGACTGCAGTTTTCTTTTTGTTTTTATCTTATCTTTATAAAAATCATCCTTCAAAAGTAGGGATTTTAAATCGTGGGTGGCACAGGTGAGTGACAGAAGTGGTTGGCTCAGGTGGGTGGAAAAAAGGCTTTGTGTGAATGTCATTTCAAGCTATTTTTAGACTGTCTACTATATGTTTGTAGATATCTGTTGATGAGAAAAATAAAAAAATGTCGACAAGAAGAAACAGTATCAACTAAATATCTGGCAGGAGTAACTGAGTAAGATTTACTTGATCAACATTTTGAATTTTGAAGCATTCGATTCCTCCAGTTGCTGGTTTTACATGTTTATATACGTCGCGCTAAACCGCGGGAATCCGATGTCATTATGAACGGTACTTAAATTTTGCCTAATTTTGTGTCAAAATATCCTCATAACACTGTACTTAAACTTTAAAATATACAGTCGATAATAACTGGACTATAGTCTTTGTGTTTTGTAAAATTGATTTACCTTAAATTCAGTGGTTTTTTCTCTGTGTATATAATATTTGCACGGATTTATATTTTGACTTCACATTAACAAACCTTTGTCAGAATCTCGGTTGACCAAAGATGTTCTGAAGAAGATTACTGGTGAATTTGATATAACTAGCATCATAAAACTGAATGCTCAAAATTTTGGTAAATCATGGACTGTTGTACAACAATATGCGTATTTATCACTTCATGCTAAATTAACTACTATGTTCCAGGTATTTGTCATCTGGGTGAGATTGACGAATGTCAAGGATTGATGTATTTGAATCTTTCTGAAAACAGAATTTCAAACTTAACATTATTAGGTGACTTGCACAATAACATCGGATTCTTAACACTTCTGAAACATGTCAATTGACAGTGTCGTTCTTTTTTTTTCAGCTAACCTTAAAGATTTAACATGTCTTGATTTGTCTGAAAATCAGATATCCTGCTTAGGTAGGCCTTGGTTGACAACACTTATGAATTCAATGTCGATACAGTTATCCTTACCAGAATTGTTTTCGTTTCTCAGATGGTTTGGAAGGTTTAGTGAGTTTAGAAGTTTTGGATGTATCAGGAAATCTCATTTCAAGGTAATGTTACCTTGATTTAGGACATTCTGCTGTAATAATATTCAAATAAACATTACATGCTAGGTTTGCTATTTTAGCATTGAATCGTTACATCCACTTGTAAATTTAAAGTTTTTGGAAAATTTATGTTTGCTTGACAAAAAGAAGTGTTTGACAAATCCAGGTATGAAAATCCTATAAATCTAAGTATCCACGATCAGGTTAAGAAGGTTGCACTTCCTCCAGTAAATTTATTCCTGAATGTTTGTAATTTCAAATGCTTAATTTTAGTGTGTCAAACACAACCAAAATACAAGATTTGTGTATGCACATTGCTCCCAAATATTTCCATGCTTGATGGTATGAAAACAAACTTGCTTTCATTGTGATTTTATCAATATTCAAAGATGTTTTTACCAGTATATAACACGACGATACCTTGAAATTAATTAAGGTGAGAAGATTGTTGGTCAGGGCTCAGAAGTTTTTAAAGTTTTTGGAAACTTAGCAGAAAAACTTGATGGTTTGGGGCATGTCATGTGTGAAATTTGTTTACTATTTTATGGATTTTTGTGATTGAACTCTATTTCTGAAGATCTTGAACACAATAAGAACAATGATAACGATCTACATATGGCCGAGAAATTAAAGAATTTGGACACAAAGCAAAATGGTGATTATTTTCATTCATCCTGATAATTTATTGAATGTCTTCGGTAAACATTTAATTTTTCTTGGAATTTATAGCCATATTGTCGGTGAAAACAGCACAGAAAGTGGCTTGGACATCTGAACAACAATTCAATGGTGAGTCATTACACTTATATTAAGATATTCCTTTTTATTAATAAACATTATCTTTTTTATTATCTCAATGTTCCGTGACCAATGTTAATCCAATTTTGCTTCCCACACAAAATGACCTGATAAAATATTATATATAATTTACGTAGCAGACTCTTTCTTCAAGTATTTATTTACCATGAAATGTTAAGTATGAATTCAATTTAGATTTATTAACGGAATGCAGAAGTCTAAATGAAGAAGCAGAGAAGGCAATTTTGAATGCAAAACAGGCTTTGTGGGGTGATCCATGAGTGAAACAGGAACATGACATTCATTGAGCTAATTAAGGTAAACTTTAGTGATTACTATCACAGAGAAGAGTCATTGATGTTGTCACAGGGATTTTTAATCTTGACAGAGTTGGGGGGCTAGTACCGGGGGAAAGGGCCAGGAGAAATTCATAGGTCATTTCAGACCCCTCCCCCACTAAAAAATTGTGCTTTATAGCCCCAATGGAAGAATGATATTTATATGTTAGAATATCAATAGTTGACTGATAAGCTTCATTTCAAGATGTTTCTTTTTCTTGTAGGTTTTTGTTTAGACTTGATATCAAGGTTGTTAAGTTATCTTTTTTAATTTGAAGTTCTTTGGCTAGTTTGTTTATCTTTAAAGTGGACTGCTTCAGATTTTTATTTTGTTGTAAAAAATGAGAAACCTTAGCACAAGTATTGTTTACATCTTGAACTTCTTCCTGTCTTCTTTGGTCATGATTCTGTATTTGATCTTTGTTGCATTCTTGCACTTGCCCATCTAAATCAAATTATCAGAAATCACTTATTGAAACATCCTTTAGCACCCAATGTACCAAGTGATCTCCCAAGTTTAACATGGAAGAAATTGTGATATTTCAAGAATAGGTTTTACAAAATCTGACTGTATATGAGTCAATAAAACGTTGTGTTTCTGATTTACCATATTCTTGAAGTGATTCTCTAAGTTCTTTGTTTTCAATCACAAACATTGGATCAACAAAATCATTGTCTTTAGCTAATTGAAAATCCTCCATAATCTCGCAAGACGTTGGGATTTGAGGTCTACTGTTGTATTCTCGCAGTAATGACATTCTCTAATTAAATAACAGAAAACTAACGTGGAAATGATGAAATTAACTCTTATCTGGACAAGCATTTTTCAACTTGAGCCCGCGAGCAACAAATTTCTGTACCTGCTTCTGTACCTATATGCATATATTGTTCAAAAAAAACTAACGTGGAAATGATGAAATTAACTCTTATCTGGACAAGCATTTTTCAACTTGAGCCCGCGAGCAACAAATTTCTGTACCTGCTTCTGTACCTATATGCATATATTGTTCAAAAATTGTAAACTTTACGTCCATCTACTGTAAAGGATGTAGGTCCCAATTGTCCAATGTTACATTTGTTCATTACGTAGTATATGCACGTTATATTTCTTTGGCGTTAATAGCGTAATGAACTAGGACAAACTTAGATGAAGTATCTCAACAGGTATTCACGAGTGATCATGGCGGAATTTGTAGGTCAAAGATAAACGTAATTAGTAACTCCTTAAAAAATTGGTATTTCTCCAAAAATATACTTCCATAATTCCATTGTTTAGATTTTTCAATGGAATACCATTTAAAGACGGAAACGAATGACACAAACTTAAAGAGGAAAACAAAACTATTTTAATGAGATTTTCTTGTAGTATCTGTACAATGGTAGGTATGTTTTTAACGTACAATATACGTGTCATCAAAAAAATAAATTAAAATTACAATCCCAACTAGTCACTTATTTCATAAGTATGTAGGCGTATATGTGGGCCTCTATTGCATCGTAGTTTATGAAATATTTTCGCAGTTTATGAAATAGAAATTGCAAAGGGAGGAAAAATGAATAAGTAAAATTTTTGTACTTTCTTGTAATGACGTAGTTAAGTTGTTTCGGCTAAACAGGGATAAATTAAATGTTATTCTTCACTCCTTACATTCCTGGCTGAGGTCACGTAGAAAATGGTGCAAAGACACTTGTACCTAGCGGAAAATGACGTTTTCCTTCTGTCAATACATAGGATTATTTATATGCAAGGTCGTTTATACCGTTATGAAAAATTCCATTACCAAGTGCAGCTCTTGTATATGTCAATGCAATAAAAACCATGCGGTTTGTGTAGAAGTTGCTCGTAGCTTTCGAGCAATATTATAAAAAAATAACAAATACGTCAGTTTAACTAGTCCCCACTCCATTCGTTAAAAACAATGGAATTTTGCTAAATGGTTAGCAAAAAAACAGTCAAGCTAACCAAGATGCACATCATCTTGCCTCAACTGTGCTTTTAAAAATAACGCCAACATCAGTCTATCAGATCTACTTCTTGAAGAATTGAACTCGGCTGTTTCTTCGTTTCTTGATGGCGTTGCAAAACACCAGAGTGCAAGCGTTGTTGTTGCACGTCTTCGAATGGTATCCAACAATAGTGTGGAAATTTTTGCAGATTTGACAAACTCGCGGATGTTTTTGGCAGCCCAATACGTGCTGCCAAACGCGTTTCATGGTCTGGCAGTGTTTAACATCACAATTACTGTCACGGCAATTGCATGCATGATGTAATGTCCACGTGCATGCCTTGATAACCTGTTGTCGATGATTGAACAAGTTTTGCTTTGCCGTGGTCGAGACAAAGTGTCCGCAAAGTCTCTTCTCATCAATCTATGGGCAGAAAAATATTGTTTTTCATTAAAACATTGTCATAATTTTGATAACTCTGAAGTGCGCGCCCGTCTCATATGAACAGGCCCTTAGGGTAACTTGAGCAACAGCAATGTCATATTTAGTATTTGAAGGAATAATTTAATAAGAATAATTTAGAATTATTCAATAGCTTAATTCAAAGAACTACTTGTTTTAATAATATGGGAATGTGTTTCGTTTCACTACTAAACGGGCAACCCCACTTCAATATATTTCCAAATAGGCAAAAAGGCATTTCAAAGCTTGTTTTCATGTGGAATTTGGATAGTTTCGATAAATTAAGCATTAACACAGGAATTTAATTCAAAGTGCACGTACAAGGAACTTTTAGATGTGCCAAAATATTTATCCCGCATTCCGTTAACAAATTAGTTCTTGCCGATAAATATTGCAACTGATGTGATTTCTATTGTTTCAGCTCCTCATGACGTAGAGTTCAATTAAGGAACTTTTGAGAATAGAAGCCAGATATGGTGCCAGACATGTTTGGCTTCACACGGGTGTTTTTCAAACAATACAAAGAACATACTGTGAGCTTTGTATTAAGAATGGCACTTACTTTATCCTGATATGTATTTTTTCAATTAAGCGCACAATATTTTGTCATAAAAAATACACACAACACAACATAGAGGGTGTCAATCCTCATAAAAAAGTTATCATTTTCGTCTACGCTTTAATTGGAAGTATCGAATGACCAAATTAAATTTCTAGAAAAATATCCGGCTATTTTGACCTGTGGTATGACCAAAAGTGGCACGACTGAAGAATTCATATGGAGATGTCAAACTGCGTCGTGTTCATTAAGTGCATTTTTTAAGTCTGAAGAAAAATATTACAGATGACCAATACTTTATGTATTTGATTATGGAAAAGCTAAATTTCGCATATTTTGAGAGATAGGTAAACATGCTTTGTGCGTGTGTGTGCGGAAATGTTTAACCTTCGAAACCACATTTGTCGGAAACATTCATTAACTTTTTATTCAAATTACCTCAAGGCAAAACCATGTTTAAGCAGGTTTCTTGTCGTAAAATTAAGGCGTTTTGATCTGGTGGCTACTGGTGGTAGCCACATCACGTATTTGTGATAGCTATTGATGGTCGCAACATCATAAATGCATCGCAGCAACGTGATCCGACTACATATAAAATCCTCTTTATACATACGCTAAACCTATTTTTCTCGACTTTATATTTCGTCAAACAACTACACAGCACTTATTACTTTCGATATTTATGAATATCTAAAATCAAGGCAGTTTTTCGTCGTGATTACGTATGTTTACGTTCAATGATTGCGTTCAATCAATTGGGTTCTTATAAATACAAGCAAAGGAAAGCGGGGGTTCTTTCAAGTTCTGACGTACCAAAACCTTTCATGTCTGCGAAAAAGACTGTGGGGTATTTGATAACGTGATAATGCACACCGTCTCAAAAAATACGTGGTATTTAATCTAAAGTAAAAAATAAATGGCAATGTTGAGATTAATAGCATTGCTTTCAGTACGGCGAATTAACTGATCTCAAACACGACCGACGGTTATATTTTTGACGAAGACTGTGTTTCAACTCCTAGAAATAATCTATAACTTCATATTTGACATTTTTCACGAGTCAAGATTTCAAAATATCGACTATTCGAACGAAATCATTGTCATATACCTAACGATGTACATATAAACCACATATAAGCCGTTATTTACGTAGGCGATTGAAAGAATATATGAGATATAACGCGGTGTACAATTGAGAGAAAGGGCCAGTGTTTCCGTCGCCACTTTCATGTTGTTTTGAATGGTGAATAAAGACTAGTTTGAGGATAGTTGATTCACCTTCGCTATCAATATATTGTTCGTATGTACTTACATCTGAGTTCGAATTTGCCTGCTTTGCCTGCTTCTTTGAACTCTCTTTATCCTTCATATTACGCTCTATCGGAGCCATAGCGGTGTATGTGTTCTTTTTATATATGAACTATTCCTTAATGTACATATAGCTTTCAAAGTAGCGCGTTTATTGCGAAGATCCTGTCTGGACGAGGACGACGAACACAGTTTACGACTGCCAACAGCTGTTTCGGTTTATAAATACGGATGTTGTAAGCTCCGCCTCCAAAACGTGATTCCTTGTAAAACGTGTCGCTTATCAATACAACTTACAGGAAATGAAACTTTAATAATTAAAAAACAATTCGATGAACAATTTCGCATGAGAATATTTAAACGAGTGCCAAAACATTGACAACAACCATGCAACAGCAAAAGTACATTACAACGTTCGAAATCTGAGATGCAGACGAATCATCTTTTTCACGGCATGCAACTTTAGGTCAACCCCGTATTCTTTTCAACATGCAACATAATAAGGCCTTCAAAATGACTATTTCTGCGTTGTTCATCGGAAGAGCTAGACATCCTGAGTCTAGGAGCGTTGTTAAACTCTTTCAAAACATGGAAAGTAGAGCTATTTATGTGTATGAAGTGTGTCGGAATGGTCCATATTTTAGGTGAAATATTTGTACCCGTTGTGTTTCAGTGTTTGCTCCCTGACGTTCACATGAAGCGGCGAACGAAATAACTCGCTGTGTTGTTTCGTTGATTGCAAATAACAAGGATGCTTGGTTGCATGTACCAAAAAAATTTAATGTAAATGTTTTTCAATACAGATAGAGTGTCAATCTCGATAGTTACTTATCACTGAAAAATATCTTAAGGGATTATGGAAGACCTTTTGAAGAGAGATCAAAAATGACTTCTCTAAATCGAAAACAGTCGCTCGGATGCTTTTGATTTATCGTGTAAAAGTGTTAAGATAGGATCCTCTTTATATGAAAGAATGCTTTGTAAATGAACTTTTCGTAAATAGATTTGTAAATTGCCAACCGATCATCCTTTGGGGTCTTCAGGATAATACATCTAGGAATCCAGGAACCGTAGTTATCCTTAGTAACTAGATAAGTCGCTTAACGACACAGTCCATTTTCAAGAATGTTCCTCTTCAGGACTCACATTCATCTCTCCCGTTTTATAGTCTTCAAACCTCTCCTTTTCAGTTACCTTCACTATAACCTAAGGTATCTAAAGTTCGTGGTTTACCTAAAGTCGTGGCTTACAAGGTAGTTCGCCTTCTCTACACATTCCAAAACGCACAAATCCTCAAACGATGGAACCTTACCCTCCGATCACGTAGAACTCAAGTAGCAACCACTAGCACGTTCTCAAAGCCGTAGCACAATAGCATCAAAAAACACGTGTTGAATAATTGAGAGTTCTCAAGAGAAATAATGTTTTCAATATAATTTATTGGCAAGAAGGAAGCCGGGGAATGTTTTGTACTCGGATTTACCTACGCATGCATGGCAAAAGAATGAGAATAACAAATTAATTTATGTGATTTTGAAAATGCATATATCAGTTTAGCAGATGGTTGTGCTTTAATTGCACGATCACATAGCTGTTTAAACTTCTTGGATTTCAATGAATTATGAATAATACATGATAACATGAACGTGTGAACATCTGTTCGCATTTCTTTCATCATAGTTATGACTTTTACTAGAATAAATTTTACTAAAGATTTTACTTTCTCCAGAGTCGATTCCTCTTCCATATATTAACGAAGTTGCTTTTCAGCAGTGACGTGAACTCGTAAAGATGTAGTTAAACTATAGAAAAAGGCAAGAAACATATCTAAGAGTAACATATGTTCACTAGGTTTGATGTAACAGCTCCCTCACGTATTTTTGTAAAAGATTTTATATTTATAGCATCGAAAACAAACAAGAAACCAAACGTGATCTTTAAAAAACGTGAAACAGCGTCAAGCCATTGTCTTTCGAATTTTTTTTTATCGCGTTTGTTCCTGACCGCCTCGTGATGGGTTGTCTTAGCTATACATTTCCCAAAGCTTCAGCTTCAGATGCTGGAATGGTTATATTACTAAAAATATGTTTACTCTCGTAACGCGCTAACACAAAACCAACATCCAAAAGTGTAATATATAATTGCATGTCTTGTGAAATAGTTCAAATTTGAATAAAGAAGACGTATGCTAATCTCATGCGTGTACATATTTAGTCACGATTCATTGATGTCATTACATCACGTTTCGTTTGTTGCAATTATTTCAAATAGAGTGAAATTTTCATTTGAAAACTTTTTAATATTGCGAATGTTGGTTTTCTTTTGATCTCCTTAGGAAGCTTTTGGCTGAGATTAGACTCGAAATATCCAACGGTAATTTGGTTTTCAGCTGCTTGAAAAAAAGTACTATACTGACGTGTTTGATTAAGGGAGTTAAGATCATTATATCCATGTTTCCAAATACGAGCGAGAGTTCTGCTGAAAAGCCTCTCGGCCATTCCGAAAATTGATAATTAAGAACAGAATTTTCTATTGAACGCGATCTTTACGATACGGCAAGACTGAGAAGGAATTTAACTAGTGGGATCGTTTGTGACTGGTATATGAACATATAAACTGTACCTTATTAAAATATTTATTCACAAGAAAACGCTGTCAGAAATCAATTGATTTATACTTCGAATAAAGTCATAGCATTTACTCATTAAAATATTAGAAGATTTTCTTTTGTAGAGAGGTCCATCTGACGATATCAAGCCGGTACTTCTACGTAAACTGTCCTTCTTTATTCTTGTATGACGGGATATAGAAAATCTGTCTTGAAATAAGCGATATCTTACACGCACATTTTGTCGCATACAGAATTTTTAAAGCCAAGAATAATGTGGAGCCTAAAGGGATTTTCACTCACAAAATGTCTCGCATTTGCTAGTGGCTGCAAGGAACGTTTTCCCGAAGCAAAGAACACAGATGAAAGAATAGAAAGAAGGCAAAGAATCGTGCAAACTGCGAAAGCAATTATTCTCATATGTTATTGCCTAGCTTTGAACATATTCCTAGGTTACATAAAGCATTATGGACTTAATTCTTTTTCACACGGCCTTCTCGTTATCTCTCTTCTATCTCTGATCTATATTCTACATTTATTCCTCTCGGAGAAAGTAGACGTTGATTCGGGCAAAATGAGAACTGTCCGAGCATTCTTTTATACGATAGCCATTCTCTATATGCTAATTATGTTTATGTGTTTCGCTAGCTTTCTGGTGTTAACTGAAAAGGACAAGAACTGTGTTGACATATAACTCTATCTATTGTGTGCACCCATTAGCAGAATGTTTAAAATAAAATTGTTCACAAAGGCAAGATTCTTTATTGGGCATTTTCTTTTACGAATACGTAAAACCTATTGACAACATGTATATTTGATACTGATCGCGACACGACAAAAACACTACGAAATCCAAGGGAATACTTTGAAAAGACATTTACTCGCATTCATTGAAGTCCACCTCCAAATATTAAGTTGCAAGCAGCTTGTACATCACCGTTTGTTGCTTGCAAAGCTCGTAAACTCAACGCTTCATCTTCTATGCCAAGATCACGAAGTTGTTGCAATTCCGCCTAGAAGCACAAAGCACATTAGATACACAAATTGCAACACAAAGCAATGAAACCTGTAATTACTTTGAGCAGTACGAGCCATCCTGACAACTTAGAAAAGAATTTAAATTTCATACCGCTTGGAAATGATATTTCTTTCCTTAACATGAACCTCATTTCAGAGATTTTGTATATACTATATTAATAACATCTCTATATCCCAATAATCATGCACTACACCTAGTGTAAAGAGTGACAGTGACAAACTGCACCATCAAGCACAAAGACTTCATAAGCTGAACTCTCTATCATCTTTCCATTCATAGTGTAGATTATAAAACATTAAAATCTACTTTATTAAAATTTCACTCACAAACTTATCTAAGAATACATTATTTATCTTTCACATTCTAATAATGTAAATCATAAAGTAAATGGTTTGAACCCGGGAGTATCGTTACATGTTTGTAAATGTAGATCGTCCAGGTTGGTATAGTCCTGAGAAGGACTGTTTTTGTTGTTGTTGACTGATGTTTCGACAACCTTAGCGGTAGTCATCTTCAGAGTCAAATGAAACATCAGTCAACAACAACAAAAACAGTCCTTCTCAGGACTATACCAACCTGGACGATCTACATCTACAAACATGTAAAATGTAAATCATAGATAAATAGAAATACCAGGGCAGACACTTTATGAAATATTGGGGGTTCCCCCTCAAGGCATGAGATTGCTGGGGAGATCCCAGGGCGTGCCTATAGGCTTACTTTTAAAATTTGACCTCCTGAAATTTAGTTGAAAGATTCCTTCACAAAATCCTACACACACAAGAATGCATCTGCAGGTACATGAACAGAACAGAAGTCTATCATTAAGTCATTATTTAACATCATAGTTATGTTATGTAGGTGCGATTTGAGGGAAGTGATGCAAGATTTTTAATTGTGCAAAATTATTGGGGAAGCTTGAGTCCCCCTTGCCCCCTTCTCTAGTGTCCGACTCTGAGAAATAATATCTGCTACCAACCGCAAAACGATTTCTTTGAGCATTCATCGTCATGACAGAGGCCATGGCTTCATTGAAAAATTCAGTTGATATTTGTGGTGGTTGAGGAGCAGATGGTGGTAATTGAGGAGCAAATGGTGGTAATTGAGGAGCAAATGGCGGTAATTGAGGAGCTGCTGTTGATGTTGACTGAACTAAAAAACATAAAAATGAAAAAAAGGATGCAATTTTTTAATAATGCTTTATCACAGACCTGGTCTCGTACAGTTTCTTACCTGATGCAGTCTGAGTAGATGTTGATACAAGATTTGCTCTGGCTACCTGTAAGGCTGATGCTAAAAATGTGGATGTGATTGGCTGAGGGTTGTTGTCAGTGCCTGTGTTTCTCTCACTTTGATAGGTTTCCTCTTGTGCAGCCATGAACTCAGCTTGCGCAAGCATCTGTATTAGAAGAAATATGTATATGGTGGTTGCAAACAAGTTGTATAACATCTGGATGTTGGATGATGAAATTTTCAAGCTGAATTGGTTATCTTATCCCAGTAAGTAAAAAATACAATTTTGCGACTCACCAAGCAAAACTTTCATTCTATCGAATCTCAAATTCAGATCTTTCGAGATAAATGAAAAACCATGTCATGTTCGTTTTGAAAGAAAAACTGCCATTTCTCTTACCTCAGGTTCAATATCCATCATATCATTATCTTCAGGATTGGAGATTCTTTGAGATGATGTATCAACATCTTTGGTGATTTCAGCAGCAATATGTGATGCAGCTTGAATCAAGGAAGGATGCTCTTTTGCTAACCTGGTAGAGATCACAAAAACTGAAACAACTTTTCTTTATTGACAACGTCAAAGAACACACTTACTTTGAAACATCGCCATTTTTGATAATATTTTGAAAGATTTCTGAGTCTTTTAGAATGGCTGCCAAAACAAAGAAATATCTTACTTCATAAGGAACTTTAGTTTCTTTTTAAAAAATATGCATGCTACTGACATAAAGCAACTGGATCTTGAGCAAGTGATGGTGTCAGGGTGAGGATGTTTGTTAAGGTTTCAGGATTCTTCAATAATGCGTCCATCTACATAGATAATTGCATATTTTTGAAATCCAACGAAAACCCTTTTCTTTAAAGTAAATAAATGCAACTATCATTGAAACATAACTACACAACCTTATCTTTGAAAACAGGACTTGCAGTGGCTGCTTGAAGAACAGGTTTCAGCCCTTCAACATCGACATCAAGCTCTTCTTCTCGATCTACAAGAAACCAGCTTATCTTTACAACTGAATGTTTGAATGGTGATAAGTTAGAAAGCCATTAGAGTACCTTCCTTCTTTTGCTTTCTGTAAAGAACATAGACTGTGGCATCCTCCTTCACACCATATGATTCTAAACTTTGATCATCTTTCAGTAATAAGCCTCGATAAACTATACCTAGGTCATACAAATAGCACCTGAGCACTACATAAACCAATAAAGGTCGATTAGCCTAACTTCCTGTACCATAGTGTTTTTCGTCAATTCCGCTAAACTTTGACAGTTGACTTTTTAAATCAGAAACTTGCAAATTGAATGACACATCATCAAGTTTAAATTTAGTTCCTTTCGATGACGACGCTTCCTTTATCCAAATGCACGGCATTTTATGGCCTGAGACTCTTCTTAAATCATGACATAGCTTTTATGTTTTGGACGCTTTTCTTAAAATAAAACAGTAAACTTAAGGTGGCTGCAGTACACATGTCAGTCGTACATATTTTATTAACTGAATTGCCATCGGACAATTACGTGACTGAGCGGAGCGAAGTCGTTGTACGAAGCAAATACGCATGCTTCGCAACTTTCGTACCAGCTCTCGTGATAAACCACAAGCAAAATAAAATATATCGTATATATATTCATAATGAAATATATGGATGTTGGTGATTCTTCATGGTTCATTAGGGAAATGATGATTGGTATTTCATCTCCTTAGATGACAAGTGGTTCCACCATTGTTACGCAAAACCACTCACCATTCTGATCCCCATCAATCAATCAACTTAGTTGTACATATGATTGTACAACATATGACAGTAGATGTAGATCGTCCAGGTTGGTATAGTGCTTAGAACGGAAGGACTGCTTTCGTTGTTCTTGACTGACATTTCGACAACCTTAGGAAAAACTGATACTCCCGGGTTCAATGGTTCAAACCATTTACTTTAGTAGCATATGATAGACGTGATCATTTCTGACATCCAAAAGTTCAAATTCCCTACTTATCATATAATCTTTTTCGTCAATAATAGTTTCGAATTCCACAGTAAAATTGCGACTAACTTCATCAAAAATACCCGTCTTTACTTCATGAAAGCAATAACTTTTTAAATCGATGATATCCTTCGGTGTTAAGTTATTTAAAACTTTGTACGTTGACTCGTGAGAAGAGCTCACAACAATGAGATCTGTTCCATCCGAGAGGGTGATCATGCAAGGCTTAAAGTAATACTTAACACCATTAAAAAAGACCGAAGAGTTTTTTCTACATTGATGGCACTGTATGTAAATGCCATTTTGATCTTGCTTTAACTGTCTAAGACATGACTTTCAGCCAAGATAGACTATATCACGATTGACGACATTTGTCAACTCCGTTTTCTGATCTATTTTCCGTTCAGTTTCTGTTTGGTACTCTCTCAAAGCACTTTCGGTGATGAAAGCAGAAACAGTTTTTACACGTTACAAATTATCTTCAAGCAACTGAGATATGCTTGAGATGTTTGAAACAGTCTTTTCGAGTTTAGATTTTCGCACGTTGACAGGGAGGCTTAAAAAAGTGGTTTCATTAACTAATTTCTTCGTCGATTGTGGTGTCGTAATGAAGAGATGTGCATTCTACTCGCAAAAGGAAGAACTCCCACATTTTCCCACTTTTTCTCTTTAAATCATATTCCCACTCCGCTTGACTTCCACATAGATAAATCCCCACTTCCTCTGCACCATCTGGATCGCTGGAGACTACATAAAAACGCAAACACTTCACATCAACCAAAAGACTAAGATGTTGATAGAATAGCAACGACAGCCACAACAAGTGTGTCGTGGTAGTGCAACAAATACAAAAAAACAAGAGCAAAAAATCAATAAGTAAATGACATAGAAACAACACTTCTTACCTGCAACAACCTTCATTTCCATAGGTTAAAACGTTTACAATCTTTGCTGTGTAATGCACTTAAGTGTTCGCACGAAACTGTTTTAACGTTTTAATCTTCACATCTTCACAAAGCTGAAAAGTTTGTGAATCATTTGAAAGCAAGTAAGAATGATTGCCGTTCAACCATTTCAACATGAGTTTTAAATTAGCATAGCTGACCGCAGTCAACCATTGGGCAGGTAGAAAAGAAGTATTATCAATGCACAGTTTGACAAGTGTGCTGTTGTAGGTAGTTTGACTATAAAACTCATCCTTCCACTTTTCAATTTTTATATTTTTCATCACCAACACATCTCCTTGCTTTACGTTTAAAACCCATTGGGAAGCACTTCTCCAAAATGTCACTTTGAAGTATTCTTTTGTTTCATCTCCAACAAGAATGGATGACACCTTTCAAAATGTCAATTCATTTATTTTTGGCATAAAGTTAAAACAAAAACAAAGACATAAAGTGAGAATGTTTCAATGCATATATGTAAATAAACAAAGAATTGATGAACAAATGTATTTGGTACTTACTTTTATAAACTGCCCAAGGTTGTCGCCTGATTTCACTTTGACTTCTTTGATAGAATTAACTTGCATTACTCCAACGAATATATTGACTATTGAAAGGAGTTGAGTGCAGTGTTTTAATTTAGTAAAAAAAACATGGCAGTCCATCCACATGATCTTCTTCCTGTAATGAGCTGGAATTGTATGTGTCTTCTATGTGTTCTTCGCATTTAACTTTGAATGTGAAGTACTGATAATTTGTATTGCTCTTGAGCTGATGAATTTTGAATGTGAAGTACTGATAATTTGTATTGCTCTTGAGCTGATTGTTGTGAGAAATCACAAGAAAACCTATTGTTGAAGGTTTTAGAGCTAATGAAGTCCTCGCTTATTTGCTTGTTCTCACTAAATGTGTTTTCCAAATATATCCTCATAGAGTCCCTAATTAACATGTCCTCACAGTTATTACTCAAATCTATTTCTGAAAAAGTCTGTGTTTCCCCAGTGGCCTTTTCTTCCTGAGTACTAGACCTAGACGATAGCCTGTTACGTTTGGATATTGGTTGAGATGTAATGGCTTCATGACTTTTCTTATTTTTTCCCGTTGATTTTTTCAAGTGAAGGAACATTCTTAGTTAAGTTTAAGATAAAAATGATTGCCAAAATACACAATTCAAAACAAAAAAATGGAAAAAAAACACATTCTTATCACCTTAAACTTCCGACATTGCATTACCGACCTTAAATTTTGGTGGAAGAAAAATAAAAACTTTATTGATCTGTAAAGTTTTACTCTTCACTCCTTTGGATTCCGCCATTTTATTTTATATTTCCTCAACATTTTCAAGTTTGAAACCGCAAACTCATCATCCACATTGTGAATCCTATTGGCCGAAAGTTGATTGGGACCTTATCGGCACAATTAATATTATCCTGGGATATGACTTACATTGTGACATTGAACCACAACAGCATTGAACCATTTATCTAAACTTTATACAGTGAATGCTACACTATGTCAACTAGAAAAGGCAATAATAAAAAGAGAGGACAAAAACATCAGAATACTACTACATTTAAGAATAATTTGCATGATACCAGCAAGACAACGAAAACAATCAATAACCTGCTCGTTCAAGGAGTCTGTGAGAGATGTAGAAGTATAATTGAATGGAAAAAGAAGTATAAGAAATACAAACCACTTACTACACCAAAAAAATGGTAACTGTACTTACAATTTTATTCATGATGTAGGGAAATTACAAGGGGGACCTGAAAATCCAAATTTCTGACAGGCTTTTAGAAGAGTTGAAAAGAAAGTGGCACATGTTAAATTTTGCTATGTGTTTCAGTAAATTTTTAGGAGGGCTGTTGCCTGCCTATTACCCAGCTTCCATGTTTTCAACAGAGCTGTTTTGACATGTCAATGTTGGTATTTCTTTATAATTTGAAAAGGCTGGTGTTGTCTATCAACCCATGTCTTCTGATATCCTCTATAGTTGAGAATGAAATTTCATATCAATGTTTGTCATAATTTTTGCTTTAAAGTATATAACTGGAAACATTCGTACTTAGAGTTCAATGGACATAATTTCTGATACATTTTGGTGTCCATTTATTCAAAAAGAATATGGTATACATGGTCAGAAATTTGTAATATCCTGGTATTCGTAAGGTATTAAAATTTGGTTTCGGATGCTAAATATATTTCACTTGTTCCCCAATGAAATATAACGTATTTCTAAACTTGGGTAGGAATTAGTCTTAGGAAGTAGTGATAAAATTGTACATGAAATTGTAAAATAACTCTTGTCTAGCATAGGTAATTAATGTTATATTTGTATTGGCTCATGATTGAATTTGAAAGTTTTTAAAAGTTTTTACACATTGAAACTACTGTCCCAATTTCAGTGAAATGATTTTTCAAGTAAGGAAAAATCAAAGTGTGATACAGATCAGATTGGCAACAATGACATCCTAGAGTTATTCAACACTTTTTCCGATGTGATTTTGATGGATTTCAAATTTAGCTTTGAGCACATACTGAGAACATTAATAATCAATGAGGTCAACGTTTAAACTGAAGCAATTAAGCAACTTTGTCAATTGTTAACATATGATCAATTAAAACATTAAAAGACAGAAAACCTTAGGATTATGTTGTTTCTGACCATGGGATATGAAAAGCCAACTGGTTTTTCTATCCATATTTTAGATAATAGATCATCAGAGGAGGGATGCCAAATTCTAAAACCCCGTTATCCATGCGGAAACTTAAAAAAGTTCAATTTCAGACCCTGGTTTAAACTATGGACTTAGTCTCATATTTGGGCTGGATGATGATTTGAAATTCACGTGATTGCATGCAATATAACAACTATACTTTTTACCTATGTGTTATTCTTGATTAAAATTTTACTTATCTTTCAGTGTGAAATGTGAACAAAAAACAATCAAACACGCGTATCATACAATATGTGTAAAATGTGGTGTGGAAAATAATGTTTGTGAAAAATGTGGAATGAAGGTGGAAGACTTAGAAAGGTATGTAGTCAATGAATGTTGACTTTTGTTACTTATTTGACATGATGTTTTGCAATCTCAGATGCCAAAATGAAGAAGAATCTTCAAAGAACTCATTTGTGGGAGAACAGGTCAAATTCTTGTCAGAAAGACAAAGACGTAGGTGCAAATAACCAAAGTTCATTTTTAGGCAAGCAAATGATTCCAACCTCTACTTTTAGGTACATTTTTTCGCACTGTGGATAAAGGGTTGTTAGCACAAGATGCCTTATTCTTACAAGAAAAGGAGATTCAATGATTGGAAAGTCTTCAATTCCTTGACATTGCTACAAAAGCATGTTTGAAAACAGTATATGAAATATGAGAGAATCTAACACAACTACCTGTCTCAACATGTTGTTTTGGTTTTCAATAAAAGCTCAAAGCTTCACAGGCTTTATTTCAATGGCAAGTTTTATGTGGGAAGCATGGATATGCAAGGTGTTCAAAACATGTTTGAAACTTCTGGCAATAAGTGAATGAAATCAAAGAGTGTCAGGGATTAGTAGTGGCCGAGTATATAACCTATGAAAATGAACAAATTGAGTAAATGGTTCTGCATTTTTTAGAAAGAAAATAGATAATTTTAAACACAGATTTCTATTCTCTTCAAGCCCAAATCGTCTTTCACAAATTGACATTAGTTTTCTTATTCCAAACGAAATATCATCAGTAACATAACTAGTCTGAAACATTTATCTTAAAACTGTCATGATAGAAATGAATCAGACAGGAATTTCACTCACTTAAACAAAAGTTATATTTGTTTACTGGTCTTAAGAGTAAAATGTAGTTCTATAATACAAGTTTCTTTGAATAAAATAATACCAGTTTGCATGTTAAACGGACATTATTCGAATGACAATACATATTGTAAGAAATATTAACTTGAGTACAGTGTTTCTTTTAAGCACGTTCACCACGGATTCGTCGAGCAAGTTGAATATCTTTTGGCATAATGGTAACTCGTTTCGCGTGGATAGCACACAAGTTTGTATCTTCGAATAGTCCAACAAGATAGGCTTCGGCTGCTTCTTGAAGGGCACCAATGGCAGCGCTCTGAAAACGTAAATCTGTCTTGAAATCTTGGGCAATTTCACGAACTAAACGCTGGAAAGGCAATTTTCGTATAAGCAATTCTGTCGACTTCTGATAACGACGAATTTCACGAAGAGCAACAGTACCGGGCCTGTATCTATGAGGTTTTTTCACACCGCCTGTTGATGGAGCACTTTTACGTGCTGCTTTTGTCGCCAGTTGTTTTCTTGGAGCCTTTCCACCAGTTGACTTACGAGCAGTTTGTTTAGTACGAGCCATATCTTCGCTACGATTTGTAAACGATAACAAAATGTCCTTTCTACTTCCCTGTCGCAAACACTTAACGAAGAATTTCGTTGAGCAGGAAATTGTGACGAATTTATACTTCAATCGTCACCTCTCGTGCTATTGGTTAGTTTTAGATCGAAATTAGCATGTTGATTGGTTAATTTTGCAGGTTTTCGATTGGTTAGATTTTAGCATGTTTTGATTGGTCCACTGGTATCCCAAATAGTGTGAAGCTTTAAGAGTTTTAGTTGAAATGATGAATTTACTTTATTTTACTATGTTTAAGATAAATTCGTTGTCTGCATGAAGCATTTTGAAAAGTAATGAAGATTTTCTTGCTATATTTCATGCTTCTGGTGCATGGGACGTTTTACCCATTTTAAAAATGAGATGATTGACTGTACAAATTGCAAATGCTCTCAACAGTCTTTCATCATTATTATGGATAGAAGAACAGATCAAAACAAAGAAATTTGTTAAACATCGGTTCATAATAAGGAAATTGACATAAGTAAGATAACAATCCAAAGATATTAGCCAGAGGTTGAAATGAGACAAAGAAAAAAGCCTTATATTGAATTGTCAACTATCCAGCTTCATAATTTCTAATCATTAGAAAAAATCATTTTTAAACAATTGAAAATGCGTTGCTAAACGTAAGTCGTATAATTTAACAACACTCAAGACGTTCAAAGTTCAAATCAACGTTAAACACATCTATGATACAAGAACTGGGTATTACATGTTGATGTTTTTTGTTATCCATTATGTTCCTTTCATTCCTTGTCTTCTTTAGTTTCTGCAAGTAAATATTTATACAATGGTAAGCCTTCGTGTGTCTTTAACATGTCCCTGTATCGGCTTTCTGCGGTTGACTCAAACACATGAGCTTGATACCCGATAAATAGACCAATGCCGATGGCAGCTGCATGAAAACTTGGCTTTTTTAACACCGGAATTCTGCGAAGTCCGTTGGCAAAACACGACGTAAAAAACCCCCCGGCGCCAAACCAAAATATGGTGCGAATCATTCTTGCAAACACCAAGTCAAAAATGTACAAAATCCAGCCAAACTCCAGCAAATTGTATTAAACTTTCAAAGCACCAATGTTGGTAAATTAATATGGCTGATCGGAGTCACACGGTGCTTGTTCGTTTATCCGAATAGTGACCGAATGTAAAACGTTCCCCTCCGACAATTTGTGATTAAACAATTCAAAATGGCGAGCTTAATTTGTTGCCGACGTTTGCATACAGTGAAGCCGCATGTTCCTTTGATTCTCTTTCCAAAACGTTTTCCTCGTGGTAAGGGCTCAAAAAATAGTACATTTATATTTTGACTTATTTGTAAGGCTGGATATTCATGGATTTTTATTTTCTTTCACTAAATATTTGAAATGCCATTATTAAGTTGACATTTGTCAACAGTTATTCAATTCATTTTCTCCAAATTTCACTGAAGTGCTTTCACAAAATTTCATTTTTGTCTTCTTTGGATTGAAAGAAAGTTCTGTGGTAACGGAAACGCCCAAAATCACTCCAGTAGTATCAGATGGGACTGAAAGAACGTCAAATGCGACGAACAAAAATTATTTCCCTGATTCAGCAATACCGGCAAAATACCTAAGAACAATTATTACACCGGAAGAAATTTCCTTTATAGAGGTATTTGATATTTCAAATAATTTATATTTCATTCTGGCAATTAATGTGACATATGTTTATTTTTAGAGAGGTGGACCTGACTGAGATATAAAACAGATAATCGTGTAGGAAATATCGCAATTTTATAATGTAATTGTATTTAATATTTATAATGCGAAACTTGTAATATAAGTTAACAGTCCTTATAATTTTTATACAAGTCAGTGACCATTGAAGAGTACAATCCCCGCTCGGTTTAAAGAGACCCTTGCCAAAATGCAAGATGGCGGACGATAATTAGTAATTTGATAGCATCATTATTACATTATAGCAAACGTTTATAGTTTCTTTACGGAGCTGTGTTGGCTGTGTTTAAGTTTTCTAACGAATTTTATGTAAACGAAAGGCATTTAGCATTACATAATGCTGGAAATTGAAGTGCGTTTGCTTCGCAGATCCGTTTATTTTGCCGGCGAAACGATACGATGTGAAATAACGTTCACGAACACAGCTAAACGTATTGCTAGTAATTCAGCAGATTCACGTTCAAATCACATTAAAAATTTACATTCTTTACGCAAAAAGGTAATTGGAATTGAAACATTAGCCTGGGCAAGCGCACAAATACATTGCCAATGTACTGTGAATGATTCACGATTGAAAATATCAGACGGAGACAAAGAGAGTAACGTCTATAGCAGGAACGCAGCAATTTATGACGAAGGAGCAACATCTTTTATGCCTTCAAAAGGTTTGCTTTCAATCTGTCGTTGGCAATAATGTTAATCGTAATTTTTGAGTTTGAGTGTTCGAGTCCTCCCATCAGTAAGATCAGTTTGTAGAACCTTTATAGTGGATTGTATGTCGTCAATTTTACATATTTTTTCCCAGCTTTTACGACTTTATGAAGCATTTAAAATAGCGGTTCAATAAATTCAAGTATTAATTCATCACATGTTAGCCGTTCGTGTGCAGTTTGAGCTCATTCTTTCGCAATTATTCAGGTGAACGTGGGCGATGCCTTCTATCAACGAAGCCGAAGATTTTATTTTGTGATTTGACATTGGCAGCAGGCGAGACCAAGTCATGTAAGATGCACCTACTCTGTTCATTTTATCTGCACTGTGTTTTTTTCATCGTGTAATCTTTGTTGCTCATTCAGATTTATATGAAGATATGATGCCATATGATTCTCCTCCATCGTACAAGGGTTTGGCCGTAAAATATTGCTACAAATTAACTGTTGGAGCCAGTCGGTTACACTCTTCTACAAAGTTGGTTCGCTTACCTATTCGATTGTTTGTCTTAGAAGGTACATAACAAGATATGTTGCATTCAATAAAGTTTTGCACAAATTTCAAGCCATTTTTGTTTAGGACTGGAAGATTTAGATCATTTCACATCTATAAACGAGGACCCACCTAATCCTTTTTTAATCGATGGCATTAAGAAACAATCGTTGTTAGATGTTGCCTTGACAAAGCTGACTTCCATGGCTTGCAGGAAAAGTCAATGTATGTTCACACTGTGGCATATCCATTGCCGTCTAATATTTTAGGGATGATTCCTAATTTGTACATTACCTGCTTTCTGTTCTATAGACTTATACAATGTTGTCAACAAAGATGGTCTTGTTGGGTGTTTTATTTTATTCAAATCAGCATACAAAATAGGCGATGAAATCTTAGGAATTTTTGATTTTAGAGAAAGTAAAGTTAAGTGTACAAAGGTAATAACATTAGATGATTCAAATTTTCAAGAGCTTTTAGTTTGTATGCATCATTTTGCTTTAATGATTGATAGTTGAAGCTTTTTCCATATTCTTCATGATAGATTGGTCAAAATATATTACTTTGCTTTGCCTGAAACATGATACGATTATAATATTCGTACTTTAAACAATGCATGGAATATATAACATCTTAACAAATAGTCCCAGCCTGCAAATGTGTTGTTTATCTGCCATGTGCATGGCACTATAAATATATGTTCAATTTTTTCAGTTTATAGTAACCTTACAGAGTGAGGAACATGTTAATGAGGAGTACAAGAAACCTTCTTCAAACCACTTACATAGTCATACATCATACTCCATGCAGCAAGATTTCTGTCTTTATTCAAAGAAAATACAAGTGCAACTGCCGATACCTGTTACAGCTACTCCACAATTTAAATCAGATATGGGTGAGGAAGGTCATCTTGCTATGTTTTCTCCAAATGTGTCGACCCATAAGATTAACTTTCGATGTGATTTATTTTCCAGTTGATGTCCGATGGAGACTTCATTTCGAGTTCTACCTTTCCACTTCCATTTGCCAGTTAGAAAATGTGGAGAATAATGTGGCAGAAGCCTGTGTTGTTGCTCCTCCTTTAATAGACATTGAACCAATGACATGGGATCTCCCCATCACCATTATACCCTGCAATCCTGTACACGCTTCTGCTTTATCACTATCAAGAACTACATCATCAATTATCTTTTGATTGGCATTTTATATTAGTTGGTTTGGTAGCATCTGGAAATGACCTTTTTTCTGCTTTTCCTTAATATTGAGCAAACGAGGGATGAGCTAGGAACATTACAAGTTATATTTTTGTAATTTTGTACAGTAGCTTCAAATTTAATCATATTTACCATTTAGGATTTAAATGGTAATTCGTCAAAGTACTTTGTGGCAGTTGTTCTATGCTTCCATTGATTTAATTTAGACACCCCACATTTGTCATACTGTTGTTTTATGATCAGCCAGCATCAAAGGTTTTCACATTAGCTTTACATGAATATAGAAGAATGCAGTATCCTTGAAAACATTAAGCCATGTTCATTCAAACTTAGACGAAGTAACCGTAATATTTAAACAAAATTTGAATGATCGCTTAGAGAAGTAGTAATGGTTGATCGTGCATACACGAAAGCTCTTCCAAAAGTTGTAAGATATTTGCTATATTTGTGTAAAAGTTTGAGCAACTTATGATAATGCCTTGGTAATTTGATTACTACGAATCTTCTTTCTTCTAATGATTTAAGTTCTGATTATTTTTGCACTTCAGGAGGTGCATGCACACCTCAACGGTTCCATTAGCAGAAACACAATAAAGAAGTTGATAGCATATAAAAAATCACGGTCTCCTAATGGATTTGTTGTACCAAATGAATGGGAATGTTGCATCTCTGGAGACCAGAAGCTGACTTTGGATGAGTGCGTATCTTTTATGATGTTTTGGATTTGTACATTCATCTTCTCTTCTTATTAATTTGTTATCTCTGTGTCAGGGGTTTCATGCTTTTCAAAATTGTGCATAAGTTGGTCGATGACACATATTCCTTAGCAATGGTTAGTTTCATTTTACTGTGTTAATCGACTCATTTTTTTGATTCTTCTGCATGGAAGTTGACATATGCATAACTTAATCTATGTGTGTTTGCACTATGATATTTTTACAACTTCTGATCCTTAACAGAACACCTCTCCGCCCCACCCAATTACTAATGTTGTCAAGTTTAGGTTACGAGAGATGTTATCTATGACTTTTATAATGATGGTGTTCGCTATTTGGAACTTCGAAGTACTCCAAGAGAAAGTGAAGGAAGTAATGAGGAGTCTAAGTTATAAGAAATTAAGTACATGTTGTCAGAAGTTTATTTGTAAGTTTGATATCTTTGTAGACATTACGAAAAGGTTATATGTAAAGACTATTGTAGATACAATTGCTGAAACTATGCAGGAGATTGATATTATAGTAAGGTAATGCCTGTTTGCTAGACATGTGCACAAAACCAATGGCATGATGCTTGTTAGCAAAATTACAAAGTCCCTCATGAAATACTTGTTTGAAGATTTTTAGTATCTATTGATCGGCGGAAAGAGGTGAAGGAGGCGGAAGAAATTGTAGATCTTGCTGTTAAGTTTAAGGAGCAATCTGATTGCATTGTTATTGGAGTTGACCTTAGTGGAGATCCAAAAGTAAGTTTTCCACATGATTTTCTCCTTCATTTGAGTTTAAAGCACTTACGACTTGCCACTTTTAGGTATCTGATGTTAAATGTTTTTTACCATGCTTGTCACGTGCTCGGTTCTCTGGACTAAAATTAGCTTTGCATTGTGCTGAGGTAATGAAAGAAGTTAATGTGAATCTTTGCATCATGATAATAAAATCTGAATAACTAATGAATTTTATAGATTCCATGTAAAGAGGAAGTAAGGACTCTACTCGAGTTTGGTCCAGATCGCATTGGACATGGTACTTGTATATATCCTGATAAAGGTGGTCATCAAGATCTAGTTAATCTTGTATTGAAACAAAAAATTCCTATAGGTAAAGCAATGTGATTATAAGATCAACTGCTGACTTTAAATGCTTCAGTTTTCATCCAATGAATTGATGTCATTTTTTTCTTGAGAAAGAAGTTTGCCTAACATCAAATGTTAAAACTCGGACCGTTAAGTCCTACGAAGACCACCATTTTAAAGATTGGCTAAAGATGAACCACCCTCTTATCATATGTGTAAGTACATGATGTAAATATTTCAAGTTTTTGTGCTTTATATCTCATTGACCATTTAAATTTTTTTAGACCGATGACAAGGGAGTATTCGTATCGTCTCTTTCCGAAGAATACTTCATTGCGGGGAGGACATTTGGATTGAGTAAGATGGAGCTTTGGGAATTAAGTTATAAGAGTATAGAACATATATTTCAGCCGGATGTTGTCAAACAGAAGCTTCAAGAGAAGTGGAAGAAATGGAAAGAGCAAAACGTATAGATATTAAAGCAAGATCTACACATCTTCAGAAAGTGGACGTGTTTGGTTTATGGGCCCTTTGTTAAAAATTAACATAAGTTAAAATATGTTACTACTAGCAAGGATCATTACTTAGATTTTCCTCTAGTTCTTCAAGTTCTTTCAACAATGCATCCTTTCTGGCTAATTTTTCTTTTTGTTCAATAGTTAATTCATTGACTTCACCACTGTTCTTTTTCGCTTCAAGTTCATGAATCTGTCGAAGTTTTTTCTTTAGGTTCTTTACCTTTTTAGCAACTATGTTCTTATCTGCTGTTTCTGATACGCCTTCTCCATTCTCTTGTTTGGTATTGGGACATTCATCAACTGTCGTGCTGAAATAATAATGGTGCCATAATAATGCAGATTGTTGGTGGTCAGACTGGAAAGTGTGCAACCAATATTCAAATTTCTCATTAATAAAAGCCTAAATTGCACACCCGAGATCATGTGTGTGCAGTACAAACTTTGAAATTCGTTTTAAACATTGCAAATACCATGGTGAATGGTAAAAGTAATAAGTGGAGTAGTACTGAGGAGTAGTCTGCCGAAATACATTGTGTCGTTTAGTTTCATAACATTTCTTTTAGAACTATTGGGTTAGTGCTCTTTTATTTAAAACAGTTCTTTGAAGAACTATTAACTTATTACTTTTACCATTCACCATGCTATAGGCAATCTTTAAAACAATTTTCAGATTTGTCACCACAACAAAGTCTCTGTTTTAATACAAACTTTCCAATCTGTGTCAGTGGTAATTGGGATGTATGATTCATATAAGGGTTAGTAATGAACATATGGGGATCATTAACCTAAATGAAAACTGGTGAACTTGATAAGAATATGAAATTTTCCCTGTTAAGTTTAGTGATGCAGTGATCGTATTACTGATCTGGGCTATCAATTTATCTGATCAATATTTCAAGAAACCTTAATAATCGTTCTCCAATTTCTGACACAGCATCAGTCTTCGCATTTTCGGAACTTGCTTCTTTTCTTTTCGCTTTTCTTCGCTCATTTTTCTTTTGGTTTTTGGTGAGTTTATGAACAGGTTTTGACTCCTCTTCGGCTCCAGGCGTGCACTGTATCTGGTTTTTCTTCCATTGCGTGCCTTTACTTTCGTATTTTTCTACTTCATCAGGTGGAACGTAGCCCGTTTTCACTTTAATAGGCTTCCTCCATGTTCCATCGGGACGACGGGTTGCAGGAATCCAATTTCCATCATCTGCAACTTCCACAGCATCTTGTTCTAAAGCGGCCATGATGTTTTTATTAACTGGGGGGGGGGAGTAAGAAGATCAGCGCCATTGATGGGGAGATTCCTCTTTATCCAATGAACTTTAAAAATATGAATACCACTTTGTATTTTAGTAATTTACCGCTTTACCAGACAAGCCGTGGAAAGATTTTGAAGGTTTAAAATCAGTGTGAAGATAAGGAGAAGAGGTTTGTTTTGGTTTGGTTTAACCCATAATCAAGTTCATGGCATTACATTCTGAAGGCCTCTGGGTAATCCAGTGGATGTTATTGATATTGGATTAACGGTTAGATTGAGTCCAATAAGCTACCTGTACTTTGTAACTTGTTGTATGAGTTGTATCATCTAATCTTTCGTTAAGTACTTGTTTGTATAATTATTAGTTAATAAAGCAAACTTTACTTATATTGTGTGGGCCGTCTTGATTTCCTAATAAGGCGTGCACATACTGCATGTTTCACCCATATTAAAGATCCTCTTTTCCTGTGGGCTTTACTTCCGCCATCGACTTGTTGTGCTGATGTTATATACAGTATTTTTTGAATGATCTTTATCTAAATTTAGTTTCATTCAAGGTTCGGAATCCAGGTGGTGGAACCTTTGTTTTTTTAGCAATGGTAATGTCAATTTTCTTGTTTAGATAATATGTCAAAAAACTCAAGTAGATCGTTCTACAACTTATTGTAGAATACTTTGTTAACATTAAATTATGAACGGCGAAGTTAAATGAATTGCATTTAGCTAGCGTTAATGGCAGTTTTCATGGAGAGACAAACGATTTGAAAGATGATGGAATGTGTGTATTATTTTAGGCTAACTACCATTGGCAGAGCAAAGGTACGGCGAAATCAAGTGGTGTCGAAGATATGGTTTTGTTGCCTAAAATTCAAGAGTCGTCGATTGTTGATAATCTGAAGAAGCGATTTATGGACGATCTCATTTACGTATCCTTACAGCGACGATTCTTTATATTTTAAGGAAATTTTTTATTTTTTAATGTCTAAAATCTTCTGTATTCTTGTCTTTCGTTCATTTGATGTAAGTTGTATAACGAAAAGCACTCAAGTTGGAGATTTGCATGGTTTACGTGTTTTACCGGGCCATTTGCTCACAATTAGCCTTCGTGTAAAAGAACTAATCATTTACATGCAATAAAGAAGTTCAGAGTTCATAGGTGTATGTGTGGTTCCAAAGGCAATCTGTTATTTGATATCCTTGAATATATTATTTCCTTAACCTTTGTTGCAGACATATATTGGTGATGTTCTTATTGCAGTTAATCCATTTAAACAATTGCCTTATTTTACTGAGAAAGAAATCTATCAGTATCAAGGAGCTGTATGTGTTTCTTTATAAACTAAATTAAATTGAGCATTGCCTTAATCCAAATCTAATCTGAAATCTCCATACCCAAAACCTTTTCTTAAAGGGCCAGTATAACGAAAGATTTGTGATTAAAATTAAAGCTTCATTGAAAAGAACTCTTAAAATGAAAGTGGACTTTCTAAAACAGTTTAGTCATATTTCTTTGCATTCTCAAGATATTGAAGTTTTGTGATGTTCGATTTATACAGAAAGTGATGTCACCTGTACATGACGAGAATTTGAATTATTTAGAATATTTGCTTGTATTTTATATGAACCAGACAGAGTTCTGCCGTTGTTAAGTTATATTGGTATAAAATCCTGCTTAGGTATTTCATCCAAAATCTTGCAAACTTGGAAACTAAAGGATATTTATAAATTTACAGAGACTCGTGCAATGTGACATCACTTTCTATATAAATCGTTCAACACAAAACATCAATATCATGTGAATGCAAAGATATATAACTAAAATGTTTTAGAAAGTCCACTGTCATTTTAAGAGTTCTTCTCAATGAAACTATAATTTAATAGTAATTTTTTTGTTATGCTGGCACTTTAAGATGCAATTGACCCCACTTATTTAGTTCCGGAGGATGATTTTAATTTTGTAGGCTACTTATGAAAATCCACCTCACATTTATGCGCTTGCTGACAGTATGTTCCGTAATATGTTGATTGACATTGAAAGCCACTGTGTTATTATAAGGTGAGATAGGCAACTTGTCAGAGTTTAAAATCCCAAAATTGAAAAAAATATGAGTTGGGTAAAAAAGATATAAACATGTTGATATGTAACTTGGTATAAATATATGTGTGTGTGTAATAGACTGATCTTCATATTTTTATCAGGGTGGGTGGGGGGTGGGGCATAGTTTTAGGAGTGAGCTGGTAAGGTAATGTTGTAGGGCAATGTATTATTAAATTACGGTAAAGATATAGGTTCTGTGAGCATCTACCACCCTCCTCTCCTCAGGGAAGGACATGAAAATATTGTTGTCAAGGGAGAACAGTTTCAAAAGGGGTATAAATTGATATTAGAGGGTGTGATACCCTCCTACATCCACAACTTTCCCAGTAAGTCCATCTAAGATGTGTGTCGGAGAACTTTTCATTTTCATGTTTTGAGATTTCCAATGGCTTTGTTTCTTCAGTTTTGATTGGTGAGGTGCTTCCATATGATAGTCACGTCTTTACTATGATTTTATGTAATTTCCTTTCCAGTGGTGAAAGTGGTGCTGGGAAAACAGTGAGTGCAAAGTTCATCATGAGTTATTTGGCTAAGGTGTCCGGTGGTGGCCCCAATGTCCAGGTAAATTATTACTAAGAAGTGAACTTTCAAGAGGTTGAAGTTTATGTAGGCCCCAATGTCCAGGTAAATTATAACTAAGAAGTGAACTTTCAAGAGGTTGAAGTTTATGTAGGTAGTGTGTATTAGTATAATGTGGTTGTGTTAGTTTTAATGATGTGGAATTTATTCAAATTAGGAGTAAAACAGAAAAAGATTAGATTCAAGGTACATAGTCAGCTTAGTTTTGATGGCATGAAGTATTTATATGAAGAGTTATATCAAAAGAAATAGGGTTTTCAGGTACGTGGGAAGTATTAAAAGCTAGAACAGTTGAACCTTGTAATAGAACAAAGGTAGTTATTCAAGTGTCATGAAGTTTTTTAGTATTTTATAGCTGTACCTATGCGTGACTGTCTCTATTTGTTAGAAAAGGTTTTCATTTGATATTCCAGAGAGTGAAAGATGTCATTCTTGAATCCAATCCTCTCCTGGAAGCATTCGGAAATGCAAAGACTGTGCGAAATAACAACTCAAGTAGATTTGTATGTTTAACAATATATTTTAATGTCTGTTCTTACATAAGTATGTGTTCATTAACAATTCTTAAAAATCTTAAGGGAAAATATGTCGAAATTCAATTCACAAGAGGTGGTGAGCCAATCGGAGGAAAGATTTCAAACTTTCTGCTTGAAAAAGTAAACAAATTTGTCAGATATTCATGCACATATTTCGCCTCATTTTGACCTGAGATCCTAAGCAAAGTTTCTATTCATAATAGTCTAGAGTTGTGCTGCAAAATCAAGGTGAAAGGTCCTTTCATGTATTTTATCAAATTTGTGCTGGCAGCTCAGATGAAGACAAAGGTATGTACATTAGCATTTAATGAAACTTTTCTGCTTCTGGTAATTCATGTAGTTTTGAACAACTGTTTTTGCATTTTAGAAATGCTTGGGGTCTCCGATCCCAGTTATTTTTATTATCTTAATCAAAGTGGAACATATGAAGTTGAAGGAACTAACGATAAGAAAGAATATGAAGAAACAAGGGTAAGTTGATCTCACCAAAGCTTATACGTGGGTATTATGGACTGCGTCATTCACTGCTTTTTATGTTGCTAACAGCTGGCCATGGAAACGATGGGCATAAGTTTGGAAATTCAAGCAACTGTGTTTCAACTGGTGGCAGGAATTTTACACTTGGGAAATATTGGTTTTGTCGAGGAAGGCAACTATGCTAGACCCGAGAACGATGACTGTATGTTTTTTAAAACTTTCCTTCCAATCAAGTTTTCCAGACTTTTTCAAAGAGCTTGTGCCGGTTGCACGAAGCCTGGATAGCGTTATCCATTGGATAGCAATTTTTTTTAAACTTTTATAAAACCTTTTACCAAGCAAAAAATATAAGATTTGAATTGAGAAACCACTGAAATAAAATATTGTTTCGAAGGTTACGAAATTTCTTTGTCGTATGAAAAATATAAACACCTTTTTTATAAGTTTGAAAATTTTTGCTATCCAATGGATAAGCTATCGATGAGCCCCTGTTGTTTCATTTTATCCCGTACTTATTCTTCCAAAGATCTAGAGTTTCCTGCGTACTTGCTTGGTATAGAAACAACTTATCTTCGTGAGAAATTGGTCAGGTAATCACCTTGTGTCATAGACTATCCTATTTAGTATCAAACTGAGTCGCTATCATTATTTTTTCAGTCGTGTTATGGACAGCAAATGGGGAGGAAAGTCGGAGATTATCAACATGACACTCAATGTTGAACAGGTTCGATACGGTGATATATATACATAAAAGATAAAAGATAAAAGTTTCTCCGGACTTAAAGTGAGTTTTATTGAGTTTTATTTACGTGTAAATAAATATTTTTCATTCTGATGAAGGCTCGAAGCAACGAGTCGAAAGCTCAATAAAAATCACTTTAAATCCGGAGAAACTTTTATCTTTTATGTATTAAATGCCTGGATTACAAATTTTCAAACTTATAAAATCGACATATGGTGATATATATATATAGGAAATAAATATCCTCATTCTGATGAAGGCTCGAAGCAACGAGTCGAAAGCTCAATAAAAAATCAATTAAAAATCCGGAGAAACTTTTATCTTTTATGTACTCAATGCCTGGATTACAAATTTTCAAACTTATATATATATATATTTATACGTAACTTAAAATAGCCACTTTAGCTGTTTTTGATTGTATATGATATCTAGCATCAGTCACTCTGTTTTTCGAGGGGCTGATTACATGAGCCTGCGGTTTACGGGATTCAGCGAAGCGTTTAATCCTTCAGGCAAATGGGAAAGATTAAATACTTCACAACGAAAAACTTTTTTTGACTCCTTTCAATGACTCAAAATCATTTTACACCTCGCGCTGACTCTCGGTTAGCTAGGATCATGTAAACAGCCGTTAAGTTCTGTTCTTGTGGTGATGTTTGGCACATATCTCTTGTGCTTGCGACGGATAGGATTGATTTGTCCCTAGCTATGACATTATTTTTTTTCTCAGCCATAATTTTTATATAAAGTTTTATTACATTATCCAGGCAACCTATACGAGAGATGCGTTAGCAAAAGCTTTGTACTCGAGATTATTTGACTACTTGGTCGAGGTGAGCATGCGCATGGCGCATCATGTGTCTGGTAGTTTTCTGAGCCAAGTCATTCTAAAGTTTGCTTTCGTTCGCAGTGCGTTAATTTGGCTATGCAAACCGACAACGAAGAGATAAACATTGGCATTTTAGATATTTACGGATTTGAAATATTTCAGGTGGCTATATAGAGAGGTTCTCTGGCGCCTTTTTGTAGTTTATTGGCTAATGAAAGACTTAATATTTCCTGGTTTTCAGAGAAATGGTTTTGAACAGTTCTGCATCAACTTCGTGAACGAGAAACTTCAGCAAATCTTCATTGAGTTGACCTTAAAAGCCGAACAGGTAAATGTCAAACGATGTATGCGCGACCTATTGAAGAAATCTCACCTTTTGAAACACTGTTTTGTCTTCAGGAAGAATACGTCACCGAAGGAATAAAATGGACTCCTATAGATTATTTCAATAACAAAATAGTTTGTGATTTGATCGAGGAAAGGGTAAGAATTGAATGTGGTAATGTGTTGGGATTCTTGCCAACTTTTAGCAAGATTTTTCCAGGGGAAATCCTGTAGGATCAGACTGCGCATGTACGACATATTCGCCGAGTTCTTGGGCGACAGCAGAATTGCAAAAAAGTTTTGCTGAGTGGCTGGTTAGCACTCCCTTGAGGGCAAACTTTGAGTGCTTTTAATTGTAACCTATGGCGATGGTGGGGGGGGGGCGGGGTGTTTAGGGTTAGGGTTTGACTTAGACTTGGAGGAATTTGTGGGCTGATGTAACTCACAACTAATTATTTACGGGAGGTTAGGTTCTATTTGTTTGAACTCGGGGTGCAGCAGTCTTGCTTGAAGACACGATTTCTGTCGGTACTTTCTTTTAACGTTCAACTTTGAAATATTATATTTTATTATATATGTTATATCAAGGAACGCAAGGTTCAATGTATTGAAGAATGCGTCTTTCTATTTCTTTTTTATAGAAACCCAAACCTGGAATAATGTGTGTCCTTGACGATGTGTGTGCCACCATGCACGCACAGGGGGAGGGTGCGGATATGACATTGTTACAGGTGCAATGATCACGTGATCTTTTTCCTTGGTAGTGTGTGAAGTAACCGAACGTTGATGTTGTTTAGAAACTTGGAGGTGCTGTCGGTAATCATCAACATTATAATGGCTTTAGTACCGGGTTTACCATCCATCATTATGCAGGAAAGGTATTTTTTTCAAATATTTAATGTTCGATATTTAATGATGTAATCCATGGCCGTTGACGTATTCACGATGTTCATCAGTGACGTAATGGCTTTTTATGAACGTATAGTCTTTGAGCTATGTGTACATCATGTTGGGCTTCACTTTTTGACCTGAAGTGAGCCTTTCATTTATATTTATAAAATAAAAACAATGAAACGCGTGCGGTGATTTGTCTACAGCTGAGTTTGCATTAGCCAGTGCAAAACACATCTGAGCTCAACTAATCTTCAAATCAAAGAGAATTTGCAAATCGACTTATACAATTTAGAAGAAGAGTTAGAACGTTTCTTTGAAATTTGTCTGTTCCACATTATTGTTTTTTTATAAAAGAAATAAAAGATGTTTTTCGTGTTTGCATTAGCTTAAGCAAACCTCGAAATGAAAATGCAAAGTGCTTGAATTTACGAAAATACGAAACCTGTTTCCCTTAGGTAACGTACGAAGCTGAAGGGTTCTGTGAGAGAAACAGAGACGTGCTTTTAATGATTTGATTGAACTGATGAAGTCGTCAAACATTCCATTTATATGTTCTTTGTTTCCCGAAAATACGGAACGTAAAGGAAAGCCCACGACTCTAGGCAGCAAGATTAAGGTATGCTTTTTAAATGTTTTCCTTTTATATGTGAAATGTGATGTGAACATAGAGCATGTGAATATCTTCATTTTTTGTGTTAAAAACTACAGAATTATTTTCGTGAAGTGCTCAGTAATCACTTTATAAAACTGACAATAGCATTGAAAAAGGTGAATTTGGACGTTGGGATCAGCTTTGATTTTGTTGATGGGGAGGACTTTTATGATTTTGAGGGACAATGTTGAATATGAGAGGATAATGATGATGATGATGATGATTCTAAAACTGGAATGGGAGATTGACTGTTGCGTGATAAAGAGACGTAGATGTTTGTGGATATCGGAGTTCTGTAAACATATTTAACTAATTGTGACACTGTTGGTTATACTTGAGCATTCGGTCTTACGTAGCTGAAAAGAACTGAAATTCTGCCGCAGGTTGCACGAAGGTCCTAGAGCGCTAGCCACTGCGTATCATTCAAGAATCTCTAAAAAAGGGAAAGTCTACGTTTTCAACTGAACAATGAATGAAATACTATATTGTGTCTAGAAGTACAAAGTTTCATTACACTAAAGTATAATATAGGGACCTTATTCAGAACTTTGAAAAAATTACTACTACCTAACGTGCAAACGCTATCCAGGTTTTCGTGCAAACGCTATCCAGGTTTTCGTGCAAACGCTATCCAGGTTTTCGTGCAAACGCTATCCAGTTTCGTGCAAACGCTATCCAGGTTTTCGCGCAAACGGCCCATTGTTGACAAGTAAAGAACGGTATTTTGAATAAAGACATTTGGTATATTGTTTAAACATAGCTATTAGATATTACGCACACATTTTTAACCGTGAAACATTACATTAAGTTTATATTTTCCCCCTATTTTTTTTAATCTCTAGACACAGGCCAACAAGTTGGTCGATCGACTCACTCGATGTACACCACACTACATTCGTTGCATCAAACCAAACGAGACAAAGAGAGCGAAGGACTGGGAAGGAGACCGCGTGAAGCATCAAGTGGAATACCTGGGACTGAAGGAAAACATTCGTGTGAGGAGAGCTGGTTTTGCGTATAGACGAGAGTTTGAAAAATTCTTGACAAGGTGAATAAAATATGCGTTGATAATATTGGGAGAAATTGCTGTCTCTGATTTTTCACGAACAAGGTCTGCTGAGCGACTTTGGTGAAATACGTTTTGTTAGGTCTTGATTTCACGTGATGCGAATGATATTTCACGTGATATGAATGATATTTCACGTGATACGAATGATATGTCACGTGATATGAATGATATTTCACGTGATATGAATGATATTTCCGTGATGTAATTGACCGGAGTTTATCTTAATCATTTCTCGTTACAGCGTTTATGAAGTTGTTTCTAAGATTTTGAGAAACATTTTTTCGAAAACTACGAACTTGTTCTGTTTAGATACGCTATTCTTACGCCGGAGACATGGCCTCACTGGAAAGGACCCACGGGCAAGGTATTCAACATATGATGAACTCCGTAAACATGGAAAAAGATCAGTGGCAAATGGGAAAGACCAAAGTCTTCATTAAAGCACCAGAATCGGTGAGTCGAGGTTAAATGTGCGTACTTACTTTATAAAAAGCAGCTCGGAATACGTATGTTTTGTGTATGTAGATGTGGGAATGTATTGTTTGTGTAAATACTGTAATCAAGTTAATCAAGATCTTTGTTAAAGTTCAGTGGCCCGTTGCACGAAGCAATGATAGCGTATCCATTGGATTGCAAATTTTTTCACAAACGGTTAAAAAACATTTAAAAAAGGAAAAATGTAAGGTTTGAACTGAGCAAGCACTGAAATGAAATATTGCTTTTAATTTCTTTGTAGTAACGAAAATATAAACACCTTTTTTACAAATTTGAAAGTTTTGCTATCCAGTGGATAACGCAACCATTCCCATCTCTCAGGACCTGGTTTTCATAATGATCCTGACACTATAGTTCACAGCTAGAGTTCATTCTTAATGTTACGATAAAGGATAAAAGTAGAATTTTCAATGTGCAAATGATTCTGTTTTTTCATAGTTATTCTTATTGGAAGAGGTCCGAGAAAGGAAGTTTGATGGTTACTCTAGAAAGATACAGAAAGCATTCCGTCAATATAAGAATCGCAAGATGTTTGTGGATCTCAAAGTACAAGGTATGGATACTATGGTACATCCTGTTGAACATGAAGCCAACGTATGAAAAATGTTGATGTTCACCTTTTTTGTTTTTAGCTTCAGATATAGTGTACAATAAAAAGGAACGGCGAAGATTAACGCTAAATCGTAACTTTGTGGGTGATTATATTGGATTTGATAGCAATCCTGCATTACGGGCATTAGTTGGTAAGTCAAATCTTTTGCTAAAATTGCACGCCCTTATGCATTAACATGTTGTTGATAAGGGACAGCATAGACTTGTTTATGGTTAATTTAAGGATAGCAAACACTTCTTTATGGTTGATTTAAGGATTGCATACACTTCTCTATGATTGGTTTAAGGATTTGATAACATACACGTCTCTATGGTTGACTTTAAAGATAACTTACGCTTTTCTATGGTTGATTTAAGGATAGTGTACACTTCTTTATGGTTGATTTAAGGATAGTATACACTTCTCTATGGTTGATTTAAGGATAGTATACACTTCTCTATGGTTGATTTAAAGATAGCATACACTTCTCTATGGTTGATTTAAAGATAGCATACACTTCTCTATGGTTGATTTAAGGATAGCATACACTTCTCTATGGTTGATTTAAGGATAGCATACACTTCTCTATGGTTGATTTAAGGATAGCATACACTTCTCTATGGTTGATTTAAGGATAGTATACACTTCTCTATGGTTGATTTAAAGATAGCATACACTTCTCTATGGTTGATTTAAAGATAGCATACACTTCTCTATGGTTGATTTAAAGATATCATACACTTCTCTATAGTTGATTTAAGGATAGCATTCTCTATGGTTGATTTAAGGATAACATACACTTCTCTATGGTTGATTTAAAGATAGCATACACTTCTCTATGGTTGATTTAAAGATATCATACACTTCTCTATAGTTGATTTAAGGATAGTATACACTTCTCTATGGTTGATTTAAAGATAGTATACACTTCTCTATGGTTGATTTAAGGATATCATACACTTCTCTATGGTTGAGTTAAGGATAGCATACACTTCTCTATGGTTGATTTAAGGATAGCATACACTTCTCTATGGTTGATTTAAGGATAGTATATACTTCTCTATGGTTGATTTAAGGCTAACATACACTTCTCTATGGTTGATTTAAGGATAGCATACACTTCTCTATGGTTGATTTAAAGATATCATACACTTCTCTATGGTTGATTTAAGGATAACATACACTTCTCTATGGTTGATTTAAGGGTAGCATACACTTCTCTATGGTTGATTTAAGGATAGCATACACTTCTCTGTGGTTGATTTAAGGATATCATACACTTCTCTATGGTTGATTTAAAGATAGCATACACTTCTCTATGGTTGATTTAAGGATAACATACACTTCTCTATGGTTGATTTAAAGATAGCATACACTTCTCTATGGTTGATTTAAGGATAGTATGCACCTTTCTTTGGTTGATAACTTAGATAAGCTGCATTGATGGCATATTCTCCTTGTGATTGTTTTGTTACAGAAAAAAGAGAGAGAATCGAGTTTGCCATCTCTGTTGTTAAATATGACAGAAGATTCAAGGTATTTTTTAGAAATTATGTATTTGTGCACTTATTGACATTGTTCGTGTAGCATGCAGTGCTCTTTTTTTTGTGCGAAATTTTCATGAGTCAGTGAGTTTGACGCAAATTGAATTCTACCTACAGCAAGGTAAAAGAGAATTGTTAGTCTCCAGCAAACACGTTTATCTTATTGGCAGAGAAAAGGTATTGTACCTGTCTTTGAAACATGTCAGTTTACAAGAGGCGCTGAAAAGTTCTGTTCGTTAAATACTCTTTGGGTGAAGATACTAGAAAATGTTCTGTTTGCAAATACTGTTTAGGTGAAGAAAGGTCCAGAAAAAGGAAAGGTTTACGAGGTGGTAAAGAGGAAACTAGAACTTAATCAAATTGGAAAAGTTTCTCTCAGGTTAAAGTCATTTCATAAACATCAGTATTATCACTTTTGGCAAAGATTATGTATCTTACGTAAATGACTTTTTAACGCAGCACGCTACAAGACGATTTTGTTGTTCTTCATGTTCCCGGCGAATATGATACTGTTTTTGAGACTGTTTTCAAAACGGAACTTCTCACCGTTTTGACGAAGAAATACGAGGCAAAAGCCGGCAAAAAACTCCCCATCGAATTCAAAGACAAGTATGTTGGTTGTGGGTTTTTGCTTTAACGTGCAAACATTTTTTCACTGAAAGTCGTGTTTTGTTTTGTTTTATTTTAGCATAACAGTTGCTGTAAAGAAAGAAGGCTGGGGAGGAGGCGGTACTCGCTCTCTTGCATTCACATGCTCAGGGAAAAATGACTTTCCTCTTATTGCTCCAAGCAGTAAAACTTTAAAGATTACCGTTGGTCAAGGAATGCCTAGAGACTCGCGTGCGTATATAGTGGTTGATTTTAGTTGATTTTTACACTATATGTAACACTATATATACATATGTATGTGGTGTTCAATGTAGAGGAATATTCGTCTAAAAACTATGTTGAATACTCCGTCAGTTATTAAGTGTTTTTTTAAAAGATCCAAAGATCGTCGGTCATCAAACAATATTTGTTATTGATATTATGTTACAAGATAATGACACCTAAACGAAGATCGCTGCATTATTAGTAATTTTATCTGTTTGACTATATTTTTCTGTTCTATTGTGATCCGTGTTTGTATTTAATATATTTATTTAGGTATCTTATATTTATAGGTCCAGGACGTCGTCAGGCCACTAGCAGCAACTACAGCCAACCACGACGTACTGCCCCAAGTATTTCGACGCAAGCTAACGGTATTCAGAGACAGGGCACGCATAGTGGTTCGTTGAATCGTTACTCGAGAACTGGTAGTCAATCTCATCCGAATCTCCCCCAGAGCGGAGCAAGAAATCGAGCAAAATCACGTGGTGCCGATGTTAATTCAAATGCTGCGTTCATGCAGACGCCAGATTCTGGTGTTTGTGGGTATGTTTTTGTTGTTTTTTACGGCACCTTGAGTACTTGTACCAACAGAAAACCGAGAGAACTAGAAAGAAAGGATAGTGGAGAGGGAGGAGTGAAGGACAAGGGATAGGAGGGAAGGGAGGGAGGAGAACAAAGGAATGGAAACAAGGAGAACAAGGAGGAATGGATGGAGGAAGGAGTGAATAAGGAATGAGGGATAAATATGGAGGAATAGTGGATAACAAGGAGAATGGAGGAGGAAGATAAATGGAATGGAGGAATGAGAGGAAGGAGGGAACAGAGGAATGGAAGGAATGGAGAAACAGAGGAGAGTAGTGAATAACAAGGGAGAACAGAGGAGAGTAGTGGATAACTTGGGAGAACAGAGGAGAGAGGAAAATTAGAGAAAGGAGAGTAGTGGATAACAAGGGAGAACAGAGGAGAGTAGTGGATAACAAGGGAGAACAGAGGAAAGAAGTGGGTAACTAGGGAGAACAGAGGAGAATAGTGAATAACAAGGGAGAACAGATTTGACTAATTGGGTTTGTGAAGTTAAATAAAGCTGATGTTCTTATCTAAACTTTAAGAGCAGAATGTATTTCCTCGATCTTATATGATCAAGTTTCAACTTAATTTGTGCTAAAATCATTAAACATTTATTGTTAGTCATCACACTAAATCTCAGTGAAAACCAGCAATACTTGAAGATTATTCATTCTAAATAATCAAAGTCACGTGTGTCTTTCTAAGTATTTAAGAAGCGTGTGTTGTGAAGCCATATTTAAAACCTTGACGCTTGCATGTGCGCACGCATTATTTTTAGAGTAAGCCGTAACATAAGCGACAAGATGACCAACACCAGACGTCCCACTGCACCCAGTCGTAAGAAACCTGGTCTTCCTCCAAAGCCTTCTATACCTCAATGCCGTGCATTGTATGCATATGACGCTCAAGATACGGAAGAGCTGAGTTTTAATGCTGGCGAAATAATTGATTTGTTGAAAGAAGGTAAATTTCATTGTGTCACCTCACACGTGACTTTAACGTGCATCTCTATGCTTTGTCTTCAAGCGTCTATCACAGTGAGGCACACATCAAGGTCACGTGTGTGTGTGTGGGGGGGGGTGGGGGGAGGGCAAAACTTGCCCGTTAAAACGCTATGACGTTTATATGATTGGAGGTTTACGGTATCAGGGAAAATGTAAAACCAACAATATTTGAACTATTTTTCAGATCCTTCTGGTTGGTGGACCGGAAAGGTTCGTGGAAAAGAGGGTCTCTTTCCTTTCAACTATGTTGAGAAAATTTAATTTCGTATACGTCACATCAAACCACATCGACGCAAAACAAAAGGAACGTTTGTAATGATGATAAATATATTTTCGTAGAATTTTAAAGTTTCGAACATATTTTTCACAGATAAGTGCATGCTGTAAAATATAAGCCAATTTCTGTTTTAATTTACAAACCGCACCAGTGGTGTATTCATATTTACTCTAAACGTTGTTATTACGCATGCGCACACGAAGTTTGCATTGTCAGAATAATCTTACTTCAGAAATCGTCATATCATCCTTTTCGCCATGATGGAACAGCTCTGAAAATATAAAACCGTATTATTTCAACATTGTTTGCCTTTTAAACATTGTGTTCTCTTGGAAATGTAAATAAAACAGTTAAACGTTGCACCTGTGTGGTATACTAAAGACGACAGGAACATTGGACTGGGGATTTGAAAGGGTCTTCTTTCGTTCTTTCAAACCTTCTGTTAACTGTAACAATCGTGAAGGATCTCTTTCCACGTGGACCTCAACCTTTAAATGTTGACATCAACATTTTCAAACAATTTCCAAACTGTTTCAATGCCTGCTCTACATCTCACCTGATTTCTTAACTTTTCCAATCGCCTTTCTTTTTCGACGTTTTCCATTTCTTTAAGTTGCATTTTCATTTTCCTCTCCTGAAGCATCTTTTCATTCTAATGAACAACAGACATCACACGACAGACAACAACATGGTTTGGATGTAAGCTTTCAGACGCAGTTACCCTTTGATGAAGTCGCGAGATATCTACAGAATCGAGACGTCTTTTCTCTCGTTCTATTTCTTTTCGTCGCCTTTCCGCCATTTTCATAATCTGTTTTTCTTCCTCGCGATGACGAGCGTACTCTTCAACTTTTTCCTTAAGTTCTTGCTACATGTGTCACAGAACAATTCACCAACGGTTACATCTGTTTTGCTTGCCAATATGACAAAACTACGACAGTTTACAACATACGCATACGGGAGCTATCATTTCTGGGGGGGGACAGTAAATATATTCCCCGACTCACAGTTAAGGTTCCGCCATATTTTCGCCCGACTAACATTCAAAATTTGCCCAACTTCAATCTTCAAACTTTCTTGAGGGGAGGGCAGTTCCTTCCATGCCGCCTCGTTCCGTACGCCTTTAGTTTACAGACTTCTAAGATCACTACAATAGTTTTGGACACAAGATCGTCTATTTTTTAATGTAATAAGTACATATATTTCTCATTTTCATTTTTTACCCTTCTTTTCTCCTCCTTTTCTTGAAGTCGAAGTGCTTCTTCATCTGCCCGAGCCTCATCTTCCTCTCTTTGTTTCTTTTCCAATTCACGTTGTGCCTGTACATATAAAAATACGAGAGTTTAAAAATATGCTTCTGAAACATTTTAAACAACTATTTACCAACGAACCTTCCACGCATCAAGTTTGTACAATCTTTCCTGACGTTCTTTCTCCAATATCTTGGCTTTTTTCTCTTCGTTTTCATCTATTTTGTCATCTTCGTTCACCTTCGATATCTTTTCAATCTTTTCAGCCTTAAAAGCAGGAGTTTCTACATCAAGATTTAACTTTCTATGGACCACCTACATACGTAAATTGAGATGAAAGCCTTCACATCTTTTTTCTGTTTCCACTGTTGTATTGCGTGTTTCTTTTTCTCCAGCAACGCCGAATACTCACAATACCAATCGTCATGTTGTCTAACATCATCAAATGATTTACCAGGAAGGCTCTTCAATGCATACCGTATAAATTCATCTTTTACCTGCGTATAAATAAACTTTTGGTGATGCATACTGCTTCACTATGAAGAGATCATGAAATCGTGTAAAATTTTTACCTTGATCTTGTTATGCTGCTTCAGTTTCAGATATTCCTGGTGATCAAAATCTTCCCATCCACCATTATGGCCACCAGTTTGGATTAAAAACCTCTAAATGTAACAAGTCATCACATACGTCCATAACATTGAATGATGAAGTGCTTATCAATGTAATATACCTCGAAACCAGCTATTGCAGGAGGTAATGAGTTTGATTGATTCCTAGCTTTCTTTAAGGCATTTGTTGATTCAACCACTGGTGTTTTGTCGAGACCATGAATCAAATTTCTTTACTGAAGCTGTTAGTTCTTGCATTATCACACGTTCATCACGAAGCATCTCTTCAAATCTGCACAAAAAATACTTCAAATATCAAGCTACTCAGATAAATTTCAACACATCATCAATGGAATAATTTTGACATGAAATAACTCTCACTTTTCTCTTTGCTCTTTCTTGAAGTTCATGATTGAATTTTCAATATTTTCCATGATCTCTTTCAGTTTTTCAACAACTACATAAGCAAATCAAAGAAATCAAATATCAAGGTCACTTAGATCCGTAAAGCCTCGAGAGTTATTCACATTTTGGAGATGGTTTGACATCAGTTAGACTTCGTTGAAGCTTTTCCACCTTCGTCTTTATCATCATAAGTTGCTGCTTCAACTTCACGACTAGAAATTTAACATGGAAACTTTCATCTTTTACTGATAATGAATTTCAGAGGGTTTTAGCTATCATCTGAAGGGATTTTTTATACCATCCTTCTTTTCATTTTCGTTGTATTGTTCATTCAGCTCTTCCAAAACAAGAAAATCTTTGCGAAATTCACTTCTCTTGCTAAATATTACACTGTTGCATTCTCTCTGAAGTCCAGCAGCTCTGATAAATAAATTTTAGAAACAATGGACAAGTGGACTTGTATTTACATGATTACATTATAGTCCAGGCTGTTTAAGTATTATGGCTATCACAAAATACGTACTTGTTCTCAAGTTGACGTTTCTCTTCAAAAAACCTTTTCCTTTTTTGCAGATCCGCAAGGTTGGCACCATTATACATACCTGTTGCCTCATTTTTCATTTTTTACGAGAAACATGCTTCCAAAAATCCAATTTTCAAAGGCTACATTGTTGTGCTTATTTGTTTTTCTTGTATATTTGTATATTGACAACACTGAACGATTGTGGTAACTGGAGTTCAATTGGTTACCACTGACCTCAATGGGACAAGAACTGACTGAATTAGCTTTTTGACTCTTCTTCCCTCGCTTCTTAGTACAAACTGGTCAATTATAAAACTTGAAGATAGAAGGATTTTGAACAAAAAATGGTAATGTTTGATGTTTATTTCTCTGAAAAAATTCACCATAAGCTTATACATTCTTTCCCCTGACTTCAAGGTAGATGCTGTTTTAAACAGCATGACTATAAACACCATGAAACTAAAATATGGAAACTTCACTTTTCATTTTTTGATTCTTTCTGAACCTTTAGTGACGAAGAATTATTGTTTTTAGTTTAGGAATCAATACGATAACGATGTCAGCATATGGAGTCCACAGGTTTGTCAAAATTTTCAAAACCACGAAAAAAGCTAGTATCATGTGAGTACAATCTTATCTGAAACCTTGATAATGAAATCATTATGTTATTTTAGGGTCGTATTCATCAGATTGAATATGCTATGGAGGCGGTTAAACAGGTGTTTTTTCCTACTAGGATGGTTTGTAGTCCTACGTACATGCGTAATGATTTTATTGTTTGTTAACAGGGATCTGCTACCATAGGAATAAAATCTTCGACACATGTTGTTTTAGTTGCTTTAAAGGTGTGAAATGTTTTTGATTATCGTTGATTATGAGGATATTATTGTTTCTTAGCATGATTAATATCTTTATTGCTCATAATTCCATCTTCTTTTGATCCTCATTCTAATATAAAAGTGTTATGGTTGAGGTAGGGTTTGGATTCCATCGTAGATTCATTGCTTAACTTTACATTTCTCCGTATCCAATAGAGAGCTGCCTCAGAGTTATCAGCACATCAAAAGAAAATCATTCCTATTGATGATCATATTGGTGTCTCCATTGCTGGTCTTACAGCTGATGCCAGACTGTTGAGGTTAACATACATTTGTAACTTGCAACGTATTCTTAGGAGAACCTTTGATTAAATCAGCTTCATCTTTTTTCAGTAAGTTTTTGAGGACAGAATGCTTAAACTCCAAATATATATATGATACACCACTACCTATTGCAAGATTGGTAGGAGCCATTAGCGACAGTATCCTTTTCCTAAGACTTAATGTAGTTTGCATTATAATGTGTTTCATCACTTATTTCATAAGAAATGTGATCTTAACTTTGTGCCAGAAATGCAAGTACAAACACAGGTCTATGGAAGGCGTCCTTATGGAGTTGGTCTTCTTGTTGCGGGCTTTGATGTAAGAATATTATAATTGAAACATTTATGGTAAGGGGGAGGACATATGGCTACCTATAATAGTACTTGTAGTGGTGGTCCCTTTTATGGTAAGGGGAATGACATATGGCTACTTATAATAGTACTTGTAGTGATGGTCCCTTTATGGTAAGGGGGAGGGACATATGGTTACCTATAATAGTACTTGTAGTGGTGGTCCCGGGGGGAATGACATATGGCTACCTATAATAGTACTTGTAGTGGTGGTCCCTTTTATGGTAAGGGGGGAATGACATATGGCTACCTATAATAGTACTTGTAGTGGTGGTCCCTTTTATGGTAGGGGGAATGACATATGGCTACTTATAATAGTACTTGTAGTGATGGTCCCTTTTATGGTAGGGGAGGGACATATGGCTACCTATAATAGTACTTGTAGTGGTGGTCCCTTTTATGGTAAGGGGAGGGACATTTGGTTACCTATAATAGTACTTGTAGTGTTGGTCCCTTTTATGGTAAGGGAGGGACATATGGCTACCTATAATAGTACTTGTAGTGGTGGTCCCCTATAAGCCCACTAATATGTTTCATTTTTTGTGTGGGATGTAAACTTACATCATTAAAGTGGTGATAAGGTAGGTTTATGAGATAGATGTTCCTCTACATGTATATGTATCTGTTTCAATTTCTAAGTTACAAAACATAATGGAGCCCCCATAATTTAGTCACACCTTGTTATTGTTTTCTTATTCGTTTTTTTTGTTAAATGACATTTGGGGCAATTATCTTATCACATAATGCTTAGTTGTACATGGTTTTTGTTGTCAATCCTGGGTAGAGCAGCTAAAGAAGCCCATGATTATTTCACATTTTTGCTTCTAGTGTTGCATACATATATTCACTCATGATATTGAATTTGATGTTTGATGCTAGTGTTGTAGGTGTATTTGTTATATTTGATGCTTCAGGATGCAGGACCCCATTTGTACCAGACATGTCCATCTGCAAATTTCTTTGATTGTAAATGCATGGCCATTGGTGCTCGCTCACAGGTGATGCATTTCCTGTTTGTTTTATATCTCACATTCATTGCTATCTTCATTATTTATTATATTTGTCAACAGTCGGCAAGAACATACCTGGAAAAGATGCTTAATGAATTCCCCAATTGTGAGTAAATTTCTTAGTTGTTGAAAACTGCTGAGATATATGTAATGTTTCCTTGTAGCTTGTACATAAGTCTTATTTCTATTTCTCAAGGTGTACTCTTAAGCTATACCTAATGCTTGCTAGCTTGTGCATCAGTCTTTTTGCTTCCATCTTCCAAGGTACCCCAGAAGAATTGATAAAGCATGGTCTCACAGCACTTCGAGAAACCTTACCAAATGAACAAGAGTTGACAAAGGTATTGTTTAAGTTTTTTACTTAGGTAGATATATACAGTTGAACCTTTATTATTTGGTGCAGTATAAAGCTAACTTTAATTTTTGTGAAATTGTTTGAATGGTCTGGTGAAGTAAAAACAGCAAACAATACACTATTTATTGTTACATAATTGTTTGGAAAATTGCCTAAATCTTTATGTTTGAGCAGTCTGCTACAGCTAAGAAAAATTCATGTCTGTTTTGTGGTAGTTTCAGCTCGGAAATTTTCTACCTCATTTTCTACAAAACCTGTGTTTAAAAGTCAACCTGTATTAGTTGGTCATATAAGAAATCCCAAATGGGAACTTTTCACTGTAAAATGTAACACTATACTAAAAAAGAGTCCTGTTGGTGATATTGCTTTTGTAATTGTCAGAATTCCTCAATCTGTCTCATCGGTAAGGATCAAGACTTGGTGATATATAATGATGATGATGTTGCCCCTTATGTATCCTTTTTTTCATTGAAATGTTGGAAACTTCTCTTGTCTTTATCTTCTTCATGATTTCATGTTATCACATTTAATTTATTCCTGATTTTTTCATGACTATTCCTTAATAAAATACATAGCTGGCATTGTTAGATACTTTAAAAGGAGGACGTGCTGGTAAAGAAGAGGTAAGACCATGAGGTTGAGGTCATTGAGAAGGAGGGAGGAGGAATGGACCCTAACCATGTTAAGCATAGGTCTGTAATTCAAGATGACTCTGTAAAATGGACAAAATAAGCCAGCATTTGTTCACATTCCTTACCAACCACTTGCCTATTGGTATAAACAAGCTTTAGCCATTGTTGTCTATGAATGAAATGCTAAAAGGGTTAAGCTTATGGCCCCGGGGGTGGGGCGAAACGAGAACGTTAATTTGGGGTAGGGGTGAATATTCATATATTCAGCTCTGCCCGGCAGATTTCTTTTGAAATTAGTATTGCCAACAAAAGAAATCAGCATGGCAGAGCTAAATATATGAATATTCACCCCCCTCCAATTGGCATTCTAGTTTCGCCCCTACCTGTGGCATTGGTGCTCATGTTCTTACTGCAATACAGGTCATCCTCTATTGTCTGTACATAGAACAGACAGCTTGGGGAAGAATTTTCTATTCCCTATTTATAGCATTGAGTGTGTTGTGTTTTCTAAGTGCATATTTGAATGTTTTAACTAATGAACTGTCATCAATAGTTTCAATAAGTAGATTATTTCAATCTGTTACCTGTTGGTAGCATACTTCATAATCTTGTGTATGTATTTACAGATTAAAGGCGATGAGACAGGCGGAGAATTTTCCATGGAACAGGATACAGTAAGTCATCATGAATGTACAGCTATAGCTATTCTGAACATGCTTATGTCTTTTCCTTTAAAAATTACCAATGTTTTTGTCATGCCTTTTTTACCTAGGCTGGTGTAGCTGATGAAGGTCCAGTTACTTTACCAGAAGATAAGTCAATGGATACAGAATAACGACAGTTCGTGTATTTAAATCGTGCGGACTTCATTTTAAATCGACAAACACAAGCCTATTGTCATCCATTGTCTAACTTTCAATTAGATCCTTTGAATGAATTCAAAATATTTGTACGCGGTTTTTGTTTACATTTATTCATGAAAAGTGATTGACCTTCAGGAATGTTTTAGTTCTTCAAAGCAGTTGGTTACGTACGTACATAAGGGATTGTTATTCTCAACGTTTTTGATAACTAGGGTGAATGGTTTGAACCCTGGAGTATCGTTACATGTTTGTAGATGTAGATCGTCCGGGTTAGTAAAGTCCTGAGAAAGACTGTTGGTGTTGATGTAGACTGACGTTTTGACAACCTTAGTGGTTGGTCAACAACCTTAGTGGTTGGACAACCTCACTTGAAAAATAGCCTGATTGGTGACGTCTTGATCTAGTTCCACGTCGAGATGTGAATGTAACCTACTTTCGAGACATATTAATGCTGATATTAATGTGTCGAAAATACTTTCTAAATTTGTTCGTCGGATTGTTATACTTAGTTGCTATTTATTTATTTTGTTGAGCGAATATGGTTGCCTAATAGCAATTAAAGTTATGTATGAATGAGTATATTAAAGTTTCTTAAAGTTCTAACATGGGTTTGACCATGCGACGATATTGTGGATGATATTATGGAGGCATAGACATGGTGCTATTGAGGTATGGACACAATACATGGTGTTAGTGAGGTATGGACATGGTGTTAGTGAGGTATGGATATGGTGTTAGTGAGGTATGGACATGGTGTTAGTGAGGTATGGACATGGTGTTATTGAGGTATGGACATGGTGTTATTGAGGTATGGACATGGTGTTAGTGGGTATACATGGTGTTAGTGAGGTATGGACATGGTGTTAGTGATGGATGGTGTGAGGATATGGACATGGTGTTAGTGAGGTATGGACATGGTGGGATTATGGTACACATGTGTTTGATATGGACATGGTTAGATATGGACATGGTGTTAGTGAGGTATGGACATGGTGTTAGTGAGGTATGGACATGGTGTTAGTGATACATGGACATGTTAGTGATATGGACGGTGTGTGAGGTATGGACATGGTGTCAGTATGGACATGGTGTTAGTGGGGTGGACATGGATGGTGAGTATGGATGTTAGTGATGGTATGGACATGGTGTTGAGGTATGGACATGGTGTGAGGTGATGGACATGGACATGGTGTTAGTGATATGGACATGGTTGAGGTATGGACATGGTGTTAGTGATATGGACATGGTGTTAGTGAGGTATGGACATGGTTAGTGAGGTATTATGGGTGTTGTAAGGTATGGACATGGTGTTAGTGAGGTATGGACATGGTGTTAGTGAGGTATGGACATGGTGTTAGTGAGGTATGGACATGGTGTTAGTGAGGTATGGACATGGTGTTAGTGAGGTATGGACATGGTGTTAGTGAGGTATGGACATGGTATTGAGGTATGGACATGGTGTTAGTGAGGTATGGACATGGTGTTACTGAGGTATGGACATTCCATGCAAGCTTATTTAAACCTGTAAACGTTGGTATTAGGTTTGCGAAATTTCGCAACATTTTTATTCTTTATTAGGTGACGTGATATTCGTACAAGGACGAAATTCAAATCCTCGAAATTTGCGAATATGGTAACGGACGATGAAGAATTAAGGAGGTGAGTGTTTTCAAGATTGCTATTTTGTGTAATATTCATAACATACTTTTCCATGAGAATTTTTTGTATTATTAAACTATTCGTACATTTATCTATTGTACAAGCAAGGTATGTTTAGTTTAAAGAAATTATGAATAAAAAAATTATAATAAGAAATCATTTTATATAGTCTTTTCTAAAGTGATGTATGTGCTGTCGTTGTTTTTCTCAGCTTTTTTTCGTGAATATAACCAGTAAATTATCTTTGTACGTACACAATTTTTGGACATTTTTGGCTAACTATTAACGTTTATGTGAATAAGGCAATTGACTATATAGCAGTTGAATTTTTATGGTATTTACAGTAATTTACACAAAGGAATTTACGATGAGTATTTGAATAGTTCATTATGAAAGTTGTTATACTTACAATGGTATGCTCGATTTCATTTTTGCTTTTTCTTTGAGATAGTTAGCTCTGGGCCAACTCAAGGATTATCTGCGATGTAAGACTTGGCGATGAAGCGATACTAAAGAACTTGGAGCTGTTGTACTTTTTACTGACGGAGAGAAGTCTTGAATCTTTTTTTTTGGATTTCAATACAAGTTGGCTCATCTTTCTCATACATGAAACAAGTTCTTTTTCGTCATGAAGGCTGTATTTCACCATCGTTGTATTCTAGAAACATGCCAGGAAAAAAGTTTACACGTAAGTAAGATTTTTTTCGTCAACAACGTGTCTTTAAACACGCGTAAATTGTACAATATAGTAGTATTTCATCGGAACTTGCATGATCTTCAAATGTCATAGAAAGACAACTTTCATTGTTGTCTTTCTCTGACATTCAGCTGCTGTAAGTGATTTGTTTTTGATAGTTTTTTCGTGCTGTCGTTTTCTCAATTGTCTGCTTGCATTATTTTTGCACACGAAGTCATTCTCAGATAAACTTTTCGCAAATGGTGTTTTACGAAGCGTTTTAGGAATCTTACCCATGGACTATTGTCTGTGATCTTCATAGCCAAACATAAAGCTGCAGCTGCTCTTATAGAAGGAGGAAATAATAAACATTCGTAATCTGGTAACATCAATTCCATAAAGTATTTTGCGAGAATGTGTTTCTCTGCATCAGCCTAAAAGGAGTTATGGAAGAATGGTGATTTTATAAGAATCGTTTGTCTCATTTAACGTATTAGTGGAGACCTACCTTTGCCGCTTTTGAATTTCGTCTCAAGAACGATATGCACAAAGGATCACCGAAATCGAACTGTAGCATCATGGCCATGCGGGATTCGGAAGCTCTGATCTCATCCGGTGTATACGCATTGTCAGTGATGTAAACAAAATCCCTGATCTCAGGACTATAAATCTCCTCGATCTTGGACGCGAGTAACATCGCCGTCACACCAACCAATTGGAGATTGCTCTTCTGAACCGCGGTTTCCGTCTAAAGACAGATGGTAACAGGATATCTCTTGCAGTTTATTGTTGAAGTCATTCATAATCAAAGACATTCGTAGTCTCATAGACTTTATGCATCTCTCAAAGTGAGATAACTTACAGCAAGATATCGATCAAGAAGAGATATCGTCAAGAACAATGTTTCTTGTAAGAGGCGGAATTTATCATGGACTTGTACCAACCAGTCGACCAGTATTGCTCTCATTCTTTCGTTGATGTGTACGTGAGATTGGATGTAGTTGGGTTGAACCTGATATAAACTCTGAAAAATGTTTCAAACACGTCAGAAATCAAGTATCCTCTCGTGCTTTGTCCACTAAAAGCAATTTTATGAACTGTTGTCACTATAAATTCAGATCATTGAACCATGGAAAGTATTTTGGAGGGTTTTATAATTAGGGTTAGAGCTCTTTTATCAAAGCAGCGTGGTAAACTTTACCTCACGGAATTTTAGATAGTGACTTATGTGTTTTGCATACTCTGCACAAGCAAACTCTTTATCGACGTCTTCTGTATCGATGTCAGACACTTCAGAAAACTGCACGGGTTTTCCTTTCAATTTTTCCAAGTTTGATTCGGTTGTCTCGAGTGTGTAAGCTCGAGAACGGCCTTCATCATTTGCACGGTTGCGTTCCGTAACATCTCCGACTTGAGGATGGTGTCCATCCAGATTCAATGGTTTGTCACTGGCCAACTAGAAAAAGTACACGTCGTCTTCATCATAGATCAGTGCAAATTTCGATCGGTTTCAAAGTAGTTGGGTTTCGAGGATTCTACGTTACTTGACAAGAAATATCTTACTTTAATTACAGCCGGTTGTTGACCAAGTTGAGCGAATGCTGATCTTGCTCTTGAAGTTCTATGACCTGGAATCATTGCTTTACCAGCTTTCTGTGAGATGTGAGCATTCTCCCCTAGACGAGGATTGCACAGCTATAAAAGAATAACGCGTTAATCATCAGTTCACAGTGTTTGGTCTTTAGGCTCTTTCGCATGTAGCCGATTAAACTAATTTTGACATTTCCGGCGTATAACATGTACGTGCAAACTCGCTTTTAACTAACAGGGCTCTCGTATATTCGCTAGAATGATTTTTCTTGACTAACTTACATGATCAACACGCTGCTGAGCCATAATTGATGTTATGGAATTTTTCTTACCCACTTGCAAGAGCCTAAGAATGGTCCGTATCGTCAGTATAATTTCTGATTTTAAACTACTTAACTTTGCACTCATTGGCTATCTACGTATGACGTATATGCGCTATAACATTTCAATAGAAACACCACTTTCATTGATCTGTCATCCGTTGAGAATGTATTCCCCTTTTCAATGTATGCTTTGTTTTTTTTTTCAAATCACCATCGTCGTTGCAGATTCTCGATAATTTATCTCCAACTTATTAACAGTTATGCAAATTTTGAGGTTAATTTTGTATTAAAGCGGAAAATATTCCTTCTTCCTGAGTATCTTTACTGTCGACAACTCCAGCTTGTCCATCTACCAAAGGAAACATGTCTCTCAGCGTGGTCAATTTTTACCAGTAAGATATCTTGTAGAAATCATTGTGGAGATCGTGTTATCTCTCTGAGCTTTTCCTAACATTCTTTTACCTAGATAAATGATCGTATTGAAGGAGAACAATCGCTAGATAGCACTAAAGATGTTATAGCGCACAAATCTCACAGTAGAAATGTTCTTGGTCAAATAACAAATCACGTTTCTCAGGTATTCTAAAAGGGCGCTTCAAAATATTGTTCACTAGTATTTGTTGTGTAATCTTTTTTTTACGATCTCAGCGAATATGTTCAAAGAAACTGTGCGTTGGAAAGGCGACAGGTGCAGAGGGAAGGGAGCAATGTAAAACAGATAAGGACACGAACATTACCGAAGAAAGTGATTTTTCGGATGAAACAGCCGCACAACATGAAGAAACAAATGTTGAAAAGCTTGACACGACTATGGCGAAGATTGAAATGCCACTTATGAATGCAGTCGATATTGACGCTGAAGATATAAACAATCCTTTCTGTTGTGCCGAATATGCGGAGGAAATATATCGTTATTTGAGGAAAAGAGAGGTATACTTTAATTTCAATGAATAGTTATGTTGTTTTTTACGTGAGTTTTCCTATATGTATTCGTTTAGGACTTTTATAAAGTACCGAAAAACTACATTCAGTTGCACAAGGAGATCAACGTGAGAATGAGGGCGATACTTGTTGATTGGCTAGTTAGCGTTCATGAGAAGTTCAAATTGACACAGGAAACGTTATTTTTGGCAATCTCAATACTGGACAGATATTTAGCGGTAAGTCTATCGCAGACACTTTTTATCATACTTAAATTAGAAATTCTTCTCATATTTTTATAAGAATACAAAAACTAACATAGCTTCATGTTGATTTTTTGTTAACTGTAGTGCTCGCCACCATAACTCTGATTTGCAATGCATGTAGAAAGTCTCTCTTGAGTTCTATTTCTGCTTTTCCCTTGTAGGTCAGTAGAAAGTCTCCCTTGAGTCCTATTTCTGCTTTACCTTCGTAGGTCAGTCACAAAGAGACAAGATCCAACCTGCAGTTGATAGGTGTTACAGCCATGTTCCTTGCATCAAAGATTGAGGAAATATATGCACCCGATATCTCAGACTTGGTCTATATAACAGACGAGTCTTGCAGCCCGTACATGATCAAGTTGTACGAAAAAAAGATGACGTCATCATTGGATTTCAACTTCGGCGATCCGCTCTGTATACATTTCTTAAGAAGAAACTCGAAGGCCTTAAACGTACTTTGTTCTTCATTATCCTTTATGGTCAACGAATGTTTTATTTTGTCGAAACTCTTATATTTTTCCTCCTTTTCATAGGCAACAGCAGAGCAACATGCTTTGGCAAAGTTCTTTATGGAATTGATGTTGCTTGATTACGATTGCTCTGTGAATTTTCCTCCTTCTCAGCGAGCTGCCGCATCACTCTGTGTTGCAATGAAAATAACCGATAATTCATCATGGGTAAGATGAAGTTTTCACATTCTATGCGTACTAACGAGATCATCGAGAATTCAATTACGTTACCTAATGCAGGTTATTACCGTAAAATGAAGGTAAATCATAATATTTAAGGGGCGCGCATTCATATATGCGTCTTATTATCCGTAAGACGAACTTGAGCCACACACCCCCCAATTATCGATCTTGATAAGCCCATGATCTTTACTGAAAACGCTAACAAGGCTTTTCTATTAAATATTCTTCTGTTTCTTCTAGAATTCAACTCTTGTCCATTACAGTTCATATAATGAAGAGACTCTGGAACCATGTATGATGAAAATTAGCCGTCTTGTGTTGCGGTCACTCGACAAAAAATGTCGTTTGGCTTCCGTGAGAAGAAAGTATAGCGGATCACGATTTTGTAATGTTGCCGTTTCCCATCGTCTGAATTCAGCGTTTATCACGGAGCAGCCTAGTGAATAGAATCAGTTCGCTTTCATTTAGATCGAGTAAAATAGGAAAAAATCAAATTACAAAAAGCTTGTTAAAATACCCTGTAAAAATGTAAAAATAATTCTTCGTAATAGCTCATTTATCTTTAATATTGTACAAGAAATTTTGAACTAAGAAAAATTGCAATGGACATGTTTAATGGTAAATAATGAATTTTCCCCAAAGCTGAACACGGCATTTGTGTATTATATGAGTTAACAAAAGAAGTCTATTATTGATTTAGAAAAGAAGTACTCAACGGTTATCCGTACCCCTGGGGGTAGAGGGGCAAACGAAGAATTTTAATGAGAGTAGTTTAAGTTGTTAACACCCTTGTTGCTTATGCGGATTGGCCTTCTGTCTTGTTTTGGTTTTCCCACGAGAATTGCGAGCAATATGGGTACGCTTCAAAGAAAAGAAATGTGTGAGGGGGAGAGGTGTTACTTCCCATATACACCTTCAATTATATGTATGTTATATATAAACATTGTGATCGTCAATTGTTATTTTGGAAGATGAGAACACGTTATGGGAAAATGGAGGCATTGGTCAGATTAGTCCATTCATTATTGTAAAAGAAAAAATGCCTTTGCTGATGGATTTCTTGATCGTTTTTGTTTCTCAAGGATTTTTCTTTGGACTTGGTTGGTTATTTTTCATGCGATGGCTGTTCAAAGATTACGAAGTTCGACATCACATCGTGCAGTTCGTGTTTGCAATCACTTTCAGTTTATCATGTACAATGTTTGAACTGATCATTTTCGAAATCCTGGGCATTCTGGAACCCAGTTCACGAATATTCCATTGGAAAGTTGGTTTATATTCCATGCTTTTTACGTTGATTTTTCTTTTGCCGTATTACATCTCGTTCTTTATCGTGAAAACATTACATTTTGCTCATCATAAAAAAACTGTCATTTGGCTCGCGACACTCGTCTGGCTTGGCTTCTTGTTCTTATTCTGGAAATTGGGAAATCAATTTCCTATATGGAATCCAAAGCATGGGATGTTTTCAATAGAGCAAGGCATCAGTCGTGTTGGTGTAGTTGGAGTCACTGCTATGGCAATTCTTTCTGGGTTTGGGGCTGTCAACTGTCCTTATACTTACATGGAGTATTTCATGAGGCATGTTACAGATGGTGATATTCTTGCAATAGAAAGAAAACTGACTCAAACAATGGACATAATTGTCAGAAAAAAGAAAAGGATTGCTTTATCAAAACATCAAAGTCAACGGTTTGCAGCTAAGGATTCAAAAATGTCAAGTGAGTCATTGTGAGATTGGTCGCCATTAATACTGTTCATAATTCTGTCTTTCTAATTTTACAGCAATCTGGGGTGTTTTCAGCTCTGTAACTGGAGGGTATGGTGAAAAGACAGGAGCAATTCAAAAGGAAGTGGAAGCATTAGAAGAACTCAGTCGGCAACTGTTTTTGGAAATTGTGGACTTACAACAAACAAGAGCAAGAATGCATTTCTCAAAGACTATCCAGGGTCGATATTTCGATGCTGTGGGACATATTTTTTCTGGTTACTGTATATGGAAGATATTCATCTCTACTGTTAACATCATATTTGATCGTGTTGGTAAAGTTGACCCAGTGACACGTGGCATTGAAATTACTGTGAAATATATTGGTCTACAATATGATGTGATGTTTTGGTCCCAGCAGTTCTCATTTATTCTAATAGGAATTCTAATTGTTACATCCATACGGGACTTCTAATAACAATGACCAAGTTTTTTAACTCTATTGCCAGTTCAAAGTCTTCCAACATAATTGTGTTGTTCCTTGCGGAGATAATGGGCATGTATTTTGTGTCGTCGGTTCTTCTGATGCGTATGAACATGCCTGAAAAGTATCGTTTAATCATAACAGAAGTTTTGGGTGATCTTCAGTTCAATTTTTATCATCGATGGTTTGATTTGATATTTCTTATCAGTGCTTTGTCGAGCATTGGTTTTCTTTACTTAGCTCATCATCAAGCCCTGAGAAACATATGTACGATGACTATAACTAATTCAAGGAATGGTGTAGTGTTGATTTGTTTTTTTGCAACTCAGTGTAGCTATTAAAACTAATTATATAAGTTAAGGTAGAAATTAATAAATTATGCAATGCTGGAAACTCTTCCCAGTCGTCCCATTTTAGTGTTGCGCGTATTGTGCGTATGGTTCATTGAGTTCTATTGAGTTCATTGAGTTCAATGGTATGGTTCAAAGTTCAAATGCACTTCCAATACAATGGGTCAGCAGTGTACCGCATAAGGCGGGAAAATTATGCTAATGAGGCAACTCCATTGGGCAATTCTTCGTTTTCAGAAAGACAAAACATGTAAAGAAGCTTATCTTGTTGTGTTTTCTCGAGAAATATTTGGCTGAGCGGAGATACGGTTCAAGGGGAAGACACTTTCACTCGTGGTGGTATGTACTTTTGCGTAGAATAACAGTTACTTCTTAAATATCTTGTAGTCAAGCGCCTAGGAATAAAGAAACATTGGCTATTTTGTATTTATACTTATATCCACCCAATTCGCAAACGTATGTACTTGACATGTTTTTTTGCCCTCTCTCATACATCAATAGAACAAAATTAACTAGGCAAGGGACTGATTTTGAAAGCTGAATTTGATGGCAACAGTGCCATAGCGAGCTTGTTCACTTAGTCATGCTCTCAAGCCAAAAACCTTAGGGGAGGGGTGATTTTGCTCTAGGCCTTCAACCTATAAAAGAGCCCCTCAATTTGGGAGATGCCCCAAAACGTTAACCATTATTTTCACAGACTTTGCCTCGGGCCTCACATTTTCTCACAGTAGCTCTTGCATGCTATTCAAATATTTTGGCGTTGACCGAAAACAAAGTAGCAAAGTTTTTAAAGTTCTAAAGAATGAAAATGTTCTGAGTTATCAATAGCATGCTGTCAAAGCTAATGTCAATGAAATAAGTAAATAGTTAGTTATATATTTTATTCAATATTTTGTGATATTTTTTAATTTCATACTTTGATGGTCGGTTGCAAATTAGTTATATATTGCCAATTGCAATATATATTGCCAATTTAAAATATTTCACAAACAATTCTATGCGTAAAATTTGGCTCTTGAATAGTTTTTAAAATTTCAAACTAACATCTGTATTATAGTATTTTGAGTTAAAATCAAACTGATGCCGGTGTTGATTTGATAGCATATTAATGAAACCTGATTTGATACAGACCAATCAGAGGTCATTGCATTAATTTTTGGTGTACTATTCTTAATAACATATGCACTCTTCAATTACAGTTGTTCTTTTGGAGCTTCAGTTTACAGTGCTTATATCAGACTCAGGAAAATAACATTTTTAATCAATTTTAAGAACATTTGCAATTAATTTGATGCAAGGTTAACTTTATGTTTGTGGATGTTTGTGCCTTGAAGTAGGTGACTCTGTGCCAGGTGTGACATTAAAAAGAGAACATTTGCATTGAAGATATAGCTTCATTATATTAGTGTATAGTTTTAGCAGTATAGCTGTTCTAACAAATCTTCCTAAGAAAACTGCAATATAAATTTAAGATGCTGCATCGGTCATTAATTTGACGACATTGTTTGAGTGAATAATCAAAGAAAACATTTATAAAAGTAAAACTGTGTGAAAGCTATTTCCCACAGAAATCTGTATTATTGTACTGTGTTTATTATGATATGAGCGTTTGCTCCTTTTTACAGCACTTCCAGTTCGCAGTTACCTACTTCTAGGTACAAGAGTCTGTTAAGATAAAATTTTTGACCAATCAAATTAAGCTGGAAATGTTTTTAAAATTGATTTAAATATCGAAAGAAGTTATTTGCCTGACATGATTTGGGCACTTTAGATTAATTTATTGCTGCAAAATATCTTCATAAGCACCTCAGTTATATATTGTCTTTCTGTGATCCTTTAATGTCCCATACTTGTGTGTACGTACTTACACTGATGCTATTTGCAAGGTGTAAGAATAATTGATTGAAAGAGAAAATTTTTGGCAACTGTTATAGAAGACTCTTTGTAAATGTTTGTATTGAACACCGTGAGTCAAGTGTCTTAGAGTTTCTTACAAGGCGCTGATTCATTCGAGGCAATTATCAAATAACGTAGAATAACTATTCAAATCACGTAAACAAAATAATATATTTATATTTTTTTGATTGTTTTTGTTTAAATACATAAGTAAAGTTATATTATTTTCTTTAACAATAATCTAGTTGGTTACATTTTATTCAGCGCTTATATTAAGTTCAAACGTCTTTATACATCAATACATTAAAATCTGGTGAAGTAAATTTGACAAAGTTGACAAAGTTTTTATACAATAGAAAGTATGTCAAAAGTTTTCTTTTTTGAAGCATTGTGTTAATTCGTCATTTCCCATATTGTGTAGCTAAGTTTTCTTCAATGTTCGTATTTACAATACTTTAGTAAGTCTTCAGTAGCTTGCAGGTCGTGTAGATCCGTTAGAAAGTAAATTTTCGACATCAAATGGTCTGTGAAGTGATTTTTCACCTTCATCTTCGCTACACACGATCACCTCTTCTTTAACTTCGATTTTATCACCAGGGATGTGAATAACAGTTCTTCCTTCGCCAACAGGCGAGGTGACGCGAGAGCTACTTGCGTTCTCATTCCTGTCAAAGGACTTTGAGTTATAAACATGAGTTGCTGAGCCTGGCGATGCGACATTTCTTTCTGATCTGTTCGCTGGCCACGGAGAAATTGACGCCGCGTTTGTCAATCTTTCATTTTGGGAACTCTCGATCACCGTGTAGTTGCCAAACTGGAGTATTTCACTTGGATAATAACAATATTTTGGTGCTGGCTTTTTTTGGAACTTTCTTTGATGTGATGAACCGCGAAGGAATTCTTCATAATGTTGTGGACTTAGTGTCCAAAAATGACCCTTACCGTTGGGACTTCTTCCTAACTTGACGAAACAATCGTTCAAGCTGAGGTTATGTCTAATGCTGTTCTTCCACCCGCTGCCACGATTTTTAAAGTATGGATACTTGGTCTGAATGGTTTTATAGATTTCGCTTAAGACTAGTTTCTTCTCGGGCGAGTTTAGTATCGCTTCACCTATGAGACGTACGTACGATTGTTTTGGCTTTTCTTCGTCACGGTGACTAGATGTGGGATAGCCAGTCGTTTTGTAGCTTTCAAGGAACGTTCGTTGGTCGTACATGCTTAGTAGAGCGCGAGTGAACGCCTCTCTCTGCGCCAAATGTAGTAACGTTGGATTTATTGTCAACGGTTGTAGTCGATAGTGAATGTTACCTTCGGAATATGGCCAAGTGTAAGCGACAGTTGATTGTAGATCACGATAACACGTTATTGGGGTGCTCTCGACCGTTGGCATTGTCTCGACCACTGGTATGGAATTTTCTGTTTCAGCACTTGGCATATTTGAAGTGTATACGTGATTTGCTTTTACTTGTGTGAACCACGGCTCTCTTTTGAATACCTTCGCTTGTGTGTGTGTTGTGCTTGAAGCTGCCCTGCGTCTTATATTTATATATACACATAAATTCCAAACGCCGGATTTGAAATAATCTATATAAACAAAAATATTGTACTTGTTAGAAATGAGCATTCATTGCTTTTGAAATAGCAAGTCATAATAGACCGTCACTCTTGCTCTTGACGTGCAGGTTTTGACAGGATCTACAATTCTCGAACACTTTTATATTTCCTTCCGTAGTGTAGGTTGTTAATCATCATTAAAGTTCTTAATAAGACACTACAGCCGAGCTTAGAAACCTTCCTGTGCAGTCTTTCAAACAGCGTTCTCGCCAAGAGAGACTTTCATGAGAAAGACCATGATGCAATTGTGCGAATATATTTATTTTGTTACAGTTTCATTCACAAAAGATACCACAACATCCTACCTCGCTTTCATGTCTTAACCAGGTCCCATATACATACAAGCTCAAAGGAAATAGAGCAATTCCAACACAAAGATTCCCACTTAGACTTAATTGCGTTTTCATTTGCACGATTTCGTGATTTAGATTTAAAAATGGGTACGCAAAATATACCATGAGATCGCCATTATATGTTAAATTAGTATATGATTTTAAAATTCCCGTTGCAGTCGAAATAGGAGAATCAGAGTAGACAATCTTTTCAATGAGAAATTTTTATCCTAATATCTCCAAACGTATAAGTTTTCTTAATTGCCAACAGTGTAGCTACGACCTTCAATAACGGTTAATTCAAATATTTTGTAGAAAAAAAAACACGTTCGTAGTTGATCTTGATCATGGACGAATCTCATAGTTCACAAACGCAAAGTTTGCTTCAATTGTATACATTGTTTATATTCACTAAGCGTTCACTGCAGCATCAGCAGCATCCATCCTGCGAACGTTAACATTGATATTGATAACTTATGGGTGTTTTATCATCCACCGGACTAAAGGTCCTTTACCTTTTGTCGTTTGTCTTCATTTCTACCGCTTTTCATTGTGCACAGAGTTTGGCTTATGGGAATCTCTTTGCACATTTAAAATTTCTCATTATCTTCGATATTGTCCATCTTTCTGCTTTCCCTGAGACAGCTTGTTTTAAACATTGGCATTTAAACATTAACATCACATAGTTGCGTATGTTTATTTCTTGCGAGTTTTTAGTATATATTTGCGTTCAGAATTATCATTCCATGTTGCTGTCAAATATCACACATTTTTACGTATTGTTTGTGCAAACCACCAACTGCCTAAGAATTTCGTTCGTTCCTTTTTGTGCATTATTTTAACTATCATTGAGTCTTTTGTTGAAATACTATGCGATGTAAAATAGTATAATGCGTTATAAAAACCGTTTCAAAGAAAACAGTGTTTGATACAAACGTATATAGATGTTTGAACTTCACTTTTAAAAGACAAAACAACAGAAACTTGGAGCACATGTTAGCTAAGTTTGGAGTTAAAATTTTTGCCACGAAGAACTTTTTAGTTTACCTTGAAATGTTTAAAACTATTTATTTGATCAAGTAATGTCTTAGTAACTCATCGCGTTGCAATAACGAAGAATATTTACTTTGAACTTTTCGACGTTTTGTATATTCGATTATAGTTAACGTGCAATTTTTCATGCAATTCTTCAAATACCATGAAATACCACGAAGCCCATCAAAGTTTATATTTTATTGCTCTCCCTCTCTATTTATTTATCTTTTGTTTCATAATATAAATAGTTTTACGATATAAAAAAATGCTTGTTACAACATGCTAAGTTATAATGATGTTTCAGTAACTTTAACATGAATTGATAAAATCATATCTATCACTGTACCTATTAGGCGTTTATTCAAGCAATTGTTATTCAACTCGAAAGCGTATTATTTAGCCCTGAACACGAGTCACATACTTTTGTATACTTATACATTTAAAATCTGTTTTTGAATTATATCTATATAGTATAAGCATCAATTCACCCCAGTAGTTGAATACTTCTTGTATTTTTTCAATGCGAAATCCTGATCAACACTGCGTTTCGTATACTTTGATTGTTTGTTCTTTTCATATACTACTCATCGTTATTTCATTATTTACTCTGAGGTACCAGAGATTGGAACACCTTTATAGAATCCATAAAATATAGAAAAGTTAGCTACGTATATTTCATCAATTGTCTAGTGCTGCGTCAAACAAGTCGATCGATATTGTATTATAAAATCCAAAGTCGTATATCTATTTTATTTTGAGTTTTTGTTGTCCTTTTGTTTGGTGTTGATATAGTTTACGAACACAAAAGTGCTGTTTTGGAATTTTTGTATAATAAATCTCTAACTCCCTGTTGTTTTAATAGAATTTTATATTGAAAACCTTGGCGATGAGTTGTTGTATGTACATGAAGTTCTTCCCATGCAAAATAAAGTAGGGATATATGATGGAGGTGTTTTATAACAATATTCCTCTTTTCGGATTCATTATACAAGTTTGGGCTGACTGAATAATTTCCATGGTCGTTAAAAAAGTTCCAATACAAAAGCTTTTTCTCCTGTGCATGGGTAAACTAAAAAGGAAAAGTAAAAATATGAAAGGCAGTTCATCTTTTGTAAAAAAGCGGTCGCTCTTTGGGGGTCACGAATACAAAAATCGTGATGTGTGCTTGTTTTTGCGCCTACACTATCCTCTATGAATTTCCGCTGGCTTCTTGACTAGCAAATTTTTAATTGTACGGGCCACCAAATCAATTTTGTTCTAGAAATCTAGCTGAAGGAACGCACGCACAAAATAGATATACATTAGAGAAATATATTTCGCATATTATTGAATGAGCGCTAAGTAAATTGTCGTCATCGAATCTTTTATTGGCTATGAAATGTAATTCTATGGGGAAAAACAAGGTGGTTTTTACGTCCAGTTTCTGAATGTCCAGTTTTTCAAAGGAACTTTTTGTTGCAGATTAATGTTGATTTTTGGGCAGATTTTCCTAATTTTACCATACAATACTTTATACGCTCTATATAGAGTTGCATCTCAGATCATATACCGTATCTTCAAATCATAGTTTATTAACGTTTGTTTGACCTGAGTCATTGTTGCTCGATATAAAAGCTAACATATCAAAGCTTATATCTTTTAATATTACCGATCTTTAATGAAATAGTATTTTAGATGTGATGGCCACTGTCTTCAGAAGTACATTTTTAAAGATTGTCTTTTATTACATTATAGTTTTTAAGTTGGCGTGTGTTAGGGTTTTTGAAGAGTGATAACGGTTAGAGTACTCTGTAGCGTTGTAGCGCTTCAAAGCTTAATTGATTGAATCAAAAAGACACGCATGTAGAGCAATATAGCCCATCGTGTGAACGGAAAGGATACAGGATACATGAGATACCGAGGAATGTGGTTTCATTATAAACAACTAAAGTATATAGCGTTTGAGACACACTTTAATTATGACCAAATAAACATCAACAATGTATTCGTGTCACCTTATGTATGTATATATGTCACCTATGTAGCTGGTGTGTTTTCATTCACGAAATTTATACATACGTGTTTTTTTTGTGATGGAAATAACATAGGTGTGTGTGTTTTTCTAATCTTTGCTTGCCGTAGAGGTAGCTGTGTTATATAACTATCCTGAAAATTTACATTAGCTACATGAATAGTTGTAGTTTCAAGTGTAATACAAAGTTTGCCTCTGTCGCAAGTTTACCGTGTTTTAAAATGTCATTGTATAGGTTGATAAGATTTACTCCTGTAGACATCCATGCATGACATCAAATATTTTTTGGATGATCTGAATTGATGTGGTGCATTTCCTTTCATCAAATGCTTGTTACTTATGCTCAACACTATAATATTGTACAGTTTTGTTCACTCGTTCCCGCATAACGGGTTACGACGCTCATCTATTTTTGCCCAAGAATAAGCCTCAACAAAGGTACTATGAATAAAAAAAACACGTGATTTTATTGTAATTTTAAATTTTTTCGTAATTTCTTTTCTACTTAGTGATTTTCGTGTTTTATTTAGTATAGTTATTTTTTCTTGAAAGTTTCGCCTTTTTTGGTTTTTTTACGTTTTTATCGTGAAGAATAATTCGTTACGTAATGCAAAAGAAGGTGAAAATCAGAGCTGAATACTACAACTTGTGACTATAATAATTAATATAATGATAAAACAGTATGTAACGGTTATCTTTTTATGATCGTTATCTTTAATTATCAGAGTTTTATACGTAGCAGAAAGCTTCATATGAGCTCAGCAAACTATACGTTTTGCTGAATGAATGTAAATGCTGGAGTCACAATACAGGGGATTCTAAAAGTTCTCACATTAAGACTTTTGCAACTATTCAAAATGATAAATATCGTGAGAAGGAAGTAGAGTGAAGAGGGATTTGCACTTGGAAAATGTAAAAATAGAAGAAACTGTACGATGCTAATTACATAGCAGTTATAGGAACACCTAACTAACTAAAGGGTGTTGAATTTCTTCATCTGGTTTTGGTTTGTCTTCAGAGTGAAACAGTTGTAAATGTCATTGTTTAGCAAAGATGAGTTTTACTTAAACGACAATTGAAAATCATGCAGAGAAAAGGGCTCTTTCATACATACCACAACCAAAACTTGGCATAGTTTTATGTTTCCCAAAATTCCCTTGCAACACTCAAAACCTATTTTACTTATACATTAGTACTTTCACGGTCATTTTTTCTTTGCTTGGTTCTCATAAATTACTTGAGGTTTTGCTGTCGTGTGAAGATAATACAGGGCTTTATTCAGTAACATTACTTAGATATTTCTACATTCTGCGAAGAACCGTATTCCTCAACCAGACGATAAATGTAAATTAAAATTCATGAATTCTATTCATACATTTTTAGCAAATATAATTAAAATTGTACAAAATTAAAAATGCTATTTAATTTTAAAATTCCAAACTAGAAAGTGGAACTTAAAAACCTAGAAATATTTATAAATAGAAAAATTTTCTTCCCCTCAATTAAAGTTTTCCCAAAGAAATGTTTTAATTTGGATTCATTGAAAAGACACGAGTGTTTTTATAAAACCTAAAAGTTCACACAGCGACCATGGAACGATCGATCACAAAGTGTTGTCTTTGCTTCAATCAACCGTTGACTTTGCTGCTTTATATTTCCCTTTACATCAGATAAAATTATACATCAGTTAAAATTATACATCAAAGCAATACTGCAAACCTTAAGCTATAGACATCTTTCTTATTGTAATGATACACTTTTTGGCTATTCATGCTGCACTATACATCACAAAGAATTGTCTTCATTCCTACAGGAAACTTCTAGTTTCATACAACTTTCTCAAGCATGAATATAACTTGTCTAAAGCATTGAAGGAAGTCACTCTTATCATATTTCTTTTACTTATAAATATCATATACAAATTTCCTTCATTGAAAATATTTTAATGTATCCGGAATGCAGAGATTAATCACTTCACGTCTTTTGTTGAATTTGTATAATTAAGATTGGGAAAATATTTAAACCTAATGTAAATTCTAATCTTTACATGTTTGACTTCTGCTTATACGGCTAAGGATACTGACTACATAACTCATCGGTTAAAGAGTAACTTATAAAGGTTCTCTGCTGTGTATAGATGTGCTAGAATCAAATTTCCCTGTTGTATAGATCGATATATTTTTATGAAGTTTACAACTAATCAACTTTTCTTCTTTAGTGCACTGTGCAGGTGTAAAAAGAATTGTAAATGGCGTATGTGGCTACAAGGAAGTCGATGTTCTTTCAATACGTAAGTGCTTTAAAGTTAATGATGTACATATTGCTTGATATTGTCAATGGAACATATAATCGCCAGTCTTTGTGAATGCCTTGCTTACCTTGCATGCAACACGAATGCACCTGGTTTTCATGGCTCAGTCCATTGTCGCGTCAGTAAAATGAAGTAATTACTCATGAAGCTAGTTAAGTGGCATTAAATCATGTTAATTGAGGTGTCAAATCGTTTTGTATGCAAACCAGCTGTTTTGCGCAATGTTGTCTCCAATGAAAGCAGAGTAATGACACGTTAAAGTAATTAGAATATCGATAATCGATGACAAATTCAATTAAGACTTTATCTCGTTGTTTCTTGGATGTTTGTAGCTAAGCGTATATACGGCCTATAGAGTGAGCCTGCCCACACACAGATGGTTAAAAACTAGGATACGACATGAGTCATGAATTTATAGATTAATTTTGATAAAATCGCAAAACTCTATTCACTATACACGTATGTTGTTATGGTTATCTTACAGTGTGTGCTTGTTGATCTCTACGTTAGTTCGTTTTACATGGATACTTCTTTAAGCAGAGACAAATTTGGTAGTTTTATTCAATTTACTTTCATGTTCGATGATTAACATTTTTTCGCGTTGTTAGGAGCTTGTCTCAAACAAATATTCAAAGAAAAGCTTCTTGTACGAATTGTTTGTAAACCATGTTGACGTGCTATTAGAAATTAGGTTGAAAGTTAATCCACAAATGTGAAAGAAAATATCCTTATATGACCTTAGTTCGATGTCATTATATTTTGTTGTTGACAAACGAAAAGAGAAAATGTATTTGAAGGACTTAAATTGAATTGTTTGTTTTAAATCGTTTTTTATTGATGATTGGTTGATTTCACCTGAATGTGAACCTAAACACTCCGCGTTTTTCACATATACACCTGCCAGCCAGGGCAAAGTTGGAGATTTTTAATAATGCACTTTTTTATTTAACTTTACCTGTAACGTGGTATATAAATTGACAGGGTCACAGCAACTGTTAATTATCAATATACTGCGCAATCTAGCCGTATTCATAGTTGTCCTCTTCATTCTACGAGTTTACTACTTACGATAAAATAAATCTGATGGTTGAATAAATGGCCATTATACCACATAGCTTGCGGATTATTGAAATTAGCGAGCAGTACAAATATGGTGAAATCGTTAACAGTTCTCACATTTAAATTCATTAGAGAGAGTAAGAACAAAAACATTACGTCAAACTTTTTGTCGCATTTTTTTATTAGACATAAAAAAATAGAGTGCTGAAAGTCTAAATTCGTTGATTTGTGCGTTGTCTTCGCAAAGTGTGGGGTTATTTGACATCTTTGACCCTCAACTAGTTGATTAACCAGTTCAGTTTTATAAAGTTCAAACGACTACAAATCCAATTTTTCATTTGTTTGTGTGCTGTGTCAAGTTCTGAAGACCAATATCATGTATGAAAGAGGTTGTGTAAAGTGCCATTAGGAATAAACAATGCTTTTCCGTTTACAAAACTAATAGAACAACGTCTATATAGGTGTGATTGATTTATCCTTGCTTGTACTTGCCTATAAAAACTATAACATGACTGACTGCATTTAAACCGAAATTTTTTTAGTTACAAACATTTATATATTGTTTTTTTCCCCAAACTTTTATGCATTCTTGACATCATGTGATCCGCCATACAACACAGAATCTTCGTGTTTTCGATTTCGCCTTATTTTGAATTGGGTGTCTTGGCTTCCTTTCAACAACCCACGGTTTTCACATTGGACAAAACAAAGACAAATATCATGCTAGCTTTTTCTTAGTACATGTTAAAAGAGCTCATATAAAATATTAATGCCAATTATAAATTTCCGTTGGAAACAGCCCAACAAACAAACCCATAATGTTTATCTGTTCCTTTCATCAACAAGTAATGTAATGAACGTACGCTAAATTGTTTATATATATATATATGTTGTATCTTCTCACTGATGTCTCTCTGACTGACTTGACCTCTTGTCGACGAGGAAGCGAACATTTGATTGTCTTTAACAATAAACTGCATTGAAGTGGTTCCTTTGAAACCTCTAAATGGCCAGAGTTGTAAAAGCGAGGCGGGGTTGCATTAATTAAGGATGTTTAAATTGATTTTTGTTTGGTAAAAGAGAATACAAATTGCTTAGAGAAATTCTCCAGCTATTTGGCATATGGAGGAGAGGAGCTTAAGCCAAAATGATACAGCTGATGGGAATATATAGACTGGCGATAATGGAGTGGATGATATTAGGCAATCTAAACAAGATTGATTCTGTTTGAACGTAAAGCTTTTTAAAGTCAACACACATATATGGTACGCATGGCTAGCAGCCAATCAGAAGGCGTTGTTACAACGCAGAGGCAATACTAATTCTGTTGTGTCTACTTTATTTGCAATCACATAAAAGTTTGCTTTCAACTGCTCGCACACAAATATCAACATCAATTCTGAAAGGCGAGGAACACAAGCAGAATTAATCTCTCATTGGATGAACGTGCTCCTATACACTAGTCGTATTTGAAACAGAGAGGTGATCATTTGTTCAACTATTTGTCAACTAAAAGGTACTTTGTTGAAGATTTTTACAAGAAAATAACGTTGTCTAGTTTTCATTTCGAGTGATCCAAGTTCACTATTGAGAACAGTTAGAAGCTGTTTGTAAAGATAGGAGGAAGTCAGTGAACAAAGCGTATAATCCTAATCATCGTCATTCAGAGGACGTGTATATTAATATATCATGGCGATGTCTTGTCTTCGAGATTCTCATACTGCTTATATAAATCTTGACACTGACATGTCGAATTTCACACATTATCGTGGCGCAGCACATGAGAGTACTTTTCCCCCTGAAAATTATCTAACTGGCTATCAACATACTGCATTCACACGTATCCCTTGGGATTGCGGAATGTACGGAGTTGATCCCTACTATCAAACATTGTTCCCGTACGGCAGCTTTCATGGGTCTAGTGCCTTCTTCCCACGAGCGTTCAAGTCGTTCTACATGGATGAGGAGAAACCAAACCAGTCCTACATCGGTCTCATAGGCCAAGCCATTATGAGCAGCCCTGAAAAAAAGATGGTGCTCAGCAATATATACAAGTGGGTACTGCTACATTATCCTTATTTCCGTAACAAGGGACCTGGGTGGAAAAATAGCGTGCGTCACAATCTATCCTTAAATGATTGCTTCGTTAAAGCTGGACGAAGTCCTAACGGTAAAGGGAATTACTGGGCCATCAACCCCGAAAATTATGACGATTTCAGAAAGGGAGACTTCAGAAGACGTAAATCCCAAAGACGTAGTAGGAAATGTATGGAACTGAGTACAAGAGAAAATGGTGACAGCATGAAGCAGGTTTCATTGTCTACACCTGAACAACACACAATAAATAATGTCGAGAATGAAGATTGCGTTAAAAAACAAAACCTCTACGAACTAGAGGCTCCAAAAGAAGATACAAAAATTCGTCGAATCTTTGATGTGGAAAACCTGTTGCGGATGGAGTCGTCTTCTTCAAATTGATGGAATTACGAAAGAAGATTGTTAAGTCCATATGTTGTAAATATGGTAGGTAGTACGTGTATATATTCTGTCTTGATCAAACCAAATGAAACTCTGTTGTCATATTGTGTTTGTGGACAAAGACTGCTGAACGTTGGCTTTTTGTGAGTGAGAACATATCATGTGATTTAATCAATAGAATAAATGACATATAAATATTTAACAAATAATATATATATCTGGAATATATTTGTGGATAATGAATGGTAAAAGTAAACTTTAATTCTTTATTTGTGTTAATTGTAGCTTAATTAAACCCCTATTTATTCTACACTTCATATAGAATACTCATATTCTACACCTTATATATCATACTCATGAACTCAATATAGTTCTCTTCGTTATTTAATGACAAATAATGTCATATTGCGCAAACACGAGAGCCAATAAATTTTGGATGAGATTTTTTGTTTTGTTTTTTTATGATGTTAGTAGAACTGTTTATTTATATATGTTCTATTTGGCGGTCCTTTGGTCGTTGCTCGAATTAGTATTTATTGTCGATAAACGTAGCTGTCATGCATGCTTATTCAGTTCGTGGACATAAATTAAAAACATTCCTATTGTGAATTTGTCAGTCATCTATATAGGCCTGAAACCAAGCGAGATTGGTGTAGCGGTGAGTATTCGTTATTAGGAATAGTCGAGCTTGCTTCTGCTATTTCGTGAATGCAAAACTGGCATATTGCAGTATTCAATATTATCCATGTCAATAATATAAAAGACATGAGAGACTATGAATGTTTTATGATATACAACGTTTCGTTATTATAAATGTTTTTACTGTTATGTTATTACCTTTTCTTTTAAAATACTAAAAGGTTCATCTAAAAATGTTCTTCGAATGAGGCCAATGAGCTTCATTATAGAAAAATAGCTAAGCTAATATAAGAAACACATATGCGGCAAATCAAAGTTGATATATCATATTGAAGTTTTTAAACAAATGGTTTTATTAAGCAATAGGTAGAAGACCAAAAAAATGAATCAATTTTATCACTTTTCATTTCACTGGAGATGCTGTTAGTATATGATCATCACAATTAATGTACAAACAAACAATGCATATATAGTCGGTACCAAAAGCAGTTAATATTATATTGTATATAGCTATTTACTGACGGTACCATGCAACAAGTCGTCTGGACGGTTCCCTTACATGTGTGGTTTTTTACGGAAGCTCCTAATCAACTCCATCCTTTAGAGTTTTGTCATTTTTTGCTGCTTATTATTTGGTTATATGGCTGCATGTGTTTAACACACACAGTTGCAATTTATGATGTTACATACGCGTCATAGATTTATTGTAAGCAAAAACATGCATCAGGTCAACGATGAAATTCCTACGATCTTGAGGTGACGATCTCGTTGTTTGAATTTTTTATATATGCTTTCATAATATTTCGTATATATTTATGCTGGCATGTGATTTTCCTTTATGATTGGGGAACAAAGAGAAACCTACTTTGATATTGAGATTTCACTCTGTTAAGTTGGCGTTGAAAACTTTTAATTTAAGGAATATAATGATATCTTAATATTTTTGGCAAGTGCCATGTGAATTTGGTGCATGTCCATATATGAGCTTTTATACAGATAGTGTCACACTTTTTATACATGAATAAGACAAGTATATCTTGAATAGCGCTCAGTATATCATAATTTCAGTGTAACATTGGAAATACTGTCATAAAAACTCAATAGTTTATTTTGTTTGTTTTTTTTGAAAATTTTTATGGCTTGCATAAGTTTTTGCAAAAACTTTTACACAGTTCGATCTGAGTGAAAATTTTCTGTAAGTGTAGAGTGTGGGAATTGCGTGGTTGTCTTTTAATACTTTAGAGTTTGTCTTTATAAGCAAATGCTTTATAACACAGGAATGTTTGTGTATGTATACATAATATTGGCTTTCTGTTGATGTATTTATTTGTCTTTGTGTACCCCTGTAAAAGTGTAGAATACGTTAAGATGATTAAACAGATTAGTTTACAAAGAACATCTTTTGTACATCTGGTTATTACATTCCTTTTTATTCATACTTCATTGTAATTGTGCCATTGATTATTTTATCTAAAGGACATATAGGAAAACAGGGGACACACCTTTTGGTTGACTGCACATTGTTTAGTATATTGCTAATAGGGAGGGTTTAACGTTCCCATATTTGTGCTGATTTTCACTTGCTTTTCTGATAAGACATTAATTTCAAGATATGTCTTTCTTTTAGGCGTAGTTCACCACATGTCATAAATTAACTTTTTAAGTGTATGTCATTGAAACGCATGTTCAATGATATCGATTGTTCTATTATTAATTTCATATTTATTCATAACCTAGGACATTCACACTGAAGTCCATTTCATTTCTGTGTTATGTCAGTTTAAATACTGATGACCAAATACAAATGTAATGACTGATGACATACATGTTATATTAAAGTACATATGAACTGTTCCTGTAGCTATAAATATAGTACAAATAATTTGTATTACATCGTGCCCTCCCGTCTATCACAATAGTGCAATGGTGACTTCTGCTCTTGGGAACAGTACCTACGGTTACACATTCTTGGAATTATATTGTAGAGTCACCATAAAGTAAAATATATTTGTAAACAGCACATCTTTTTTTCACTGTGAATGAAAAGAGTGCTCAATACAAAAGTAGAGCAAATGTTTGAATTGTAAAAATCGTTAAATTAGATTTCATACCACATCACGACGTTATTAGCTATTTAATGCGATGACGTGTGTAATATAAAATCAAATTCAACTGTTTTCAGTTACCTGTTACTGATTACACGAAACTTTAAGTTGTAACGTTAGAAAGAATTGCAACATTTTGTATGAATAAATAAATATTTGTAGCTCTACTTTAGTATTGACCACTCTTTTTATCTATAATAAATATTTATAAAAGAAAGATACATAAAATATATATTAATGGGAGAATGTTCCTGGATAATATGATAAAATTTACATATGTTGAAGATACGATAAAATTTACAATGAATGGTAAAATAGTAGCTATTATTTTTTACTTCTTCGATTGTGGTGCATCTCTGTGTCATCTTGTATGAATATTATTGTTGTTGTCCTTTCTAAATAAACATAACATAATGAAACATGCCATTGTTGAAACAATGCGCAATTTTTATTGGATTGAATCATAACAATTAAAACACTGTCGACTCTTGTAGGTTGCTTTGGTATTTTGGATTTTCCTCGCAATCTGACCTTGCTTACTAGGGTCTTACTACCCACTTGAAATATGTCATTATTATAATTTATGTGGCGTTAAATGTTCGTTCGCTGGTTTTACTTTTCAACTTTTCTCTGATATTTTATAATATTTAATTACGTTTCGTAGCTAAGTCGTTTTCACTGTTTAACGAAGAAAAATCTTGTAGCCTATTTAGGAGGTGTATAAAGCTAATTTGAGCGTTGCATGTCAACATTACTCAAAATTCATAGCTATGTTTGCAAATATTTTCTTTGATATTTAACCTTCTGTTGGTCTTCTTGAGAACGCACTCGGAAGCTCTCCAGCGATTCATGAGCTATTTTTTAAAAAGGATGGAGTAGGGCTTCATGCATGCTTTGTTTCGCATACCAACGTTATCATGGCAATATTAGAAAAGAATTTGCTGCAAAATGAACTTTCTGGTAGCTTTATTTATTTATCAGCGAATCATCATACAAAGCATTCATATTCAAAAAGGATAGAGTAGGGCTTCATGCATGCTTTGTTTCACATATCTACGTTTATCATGACAGTATCAGAAAAGAATTTGCTGCTGGTAGCTTTATATTTTTATCAGCCAATCATCATAAAGAGCATTCATATTACTTGTAGTGTGTAGGACAAATATACATGAAAGGCAATTAAACAGTCATTTTCTTTCAAAACATATAATTATCTCATTCGCTTTCTGTAAACACTTAAAACACACATAATTTTGTCAACTACCACTTGATATCCGATGTTTTATGACTTATCAATACATCATTCACCACGCAATATTTCATATTTTTGTTGCTTAACTTTGAGAATTTATTACAATATTTGCTTTATTGTGCCCATTGTTACTACAACACACGGAAAGAGGTGCCTGTAAACAAATCACGATACAAAAGGAACTGGTTTATTGATATTTTTTAAACAAGAGGTTGTGTAGCAATCACGGGAATTTTGAAAGCGTTTTCAGTCTTTTAGACATGCAACGTCATCAATTTTGTGTTGAAAATTCAATGACGCGTGATCTCCTGCGTTTGCCTGATAGCATATATTTAAAGAATGCGAGTCATTCGTACTCAACATTTATTTAAAAAAAAAAATGTATATTCATATTTGAATTTTAACTTCAATAATGTTATGAAGGCTTCATTTTTCTTCATTTAAATGTTCAAATTGTTCGTTATACGTGGATAAATGTGTATAAATAATTCTAATAATAATTGACATGTTGAATTTGTTCTTATTGGTTGGTTATGTAGTAGTTGGTTTGCGTGGACACATGCATTTGTCCTTTTCCCTCCCTCATCACATACGTTTGTACTCAAAAACACTGAATCTTTCATATATAATTTCCTATTATTTGAGAAAGAGCTTTTAAAAAGTCAAAAGGTTTACATGTTTTTGGTTTGGTCGTTTCCTGCATGTAGATAATCCTTTTGATATTGTCATAGTACGTCAATTAATCACAAAAGAATTTGTCCATAATTGCTTTTTATTTTTCGCACGCGTAACTTCATAACACGTGATTTTTACTTTGGTAAGGATTCCTTTTAAACTCTCAAACATGTTTTTATACATTTTTTTGTGTATTATGTTACATAAGTGAAAATGAATGTGCATTCAGGTAGAATATTGGTACACCATAGTAAATCATATGTTTTCATCTAAGTATACCATAGTACATCGTGTTTTCATTTAGTGAGTTAAAAACAAAGTCAAATTAAGCGTTTAAATTAATCATGGCTAGAAAACTCGGGAATGAAGTTATTTCTCTATCTTGTTTGGCAAGAGAGGCAGCCGACGTGAAAATAACAACAAACATTACGTATGAAAGTATACTTGCGTAACGTTAAAATGAATCTCTCAAAAGGTTTCATTAATAATTTAAACTAATTTTTGTATTCGTTTATTGAAAGTTCGTCTAAAATTACATTTTGCATGAGCATGCATATGCGTATTTCAAGTAAAGGCATCTGCGTACAAAATAAAGAGAAGTATTGAAAGAGCACTTAGAGTGATTGTGCTCGATCGCGTTATCAATAAAGTTTGTTTTGACCAAATCAGAGGCAATATTACTAGGATACCATTAAGTTGAATCAGGAAAATAATGTTGTAGTTTACTTGCTTCAAGCAACTACCATGATTAATGTCTTTCAGCGTTGAAATTAAGCACATCCTTTGTAAGATATTCAATTTTTAATTATCTTCTGCTGCTCACGCGCATCGTCGTTAAATGTTACATTCGATGGCTTTGCAACATTTACGATGCTCGATTTGCATGTATATTTATTAATTGAAAATATTTTAGTACTGTGCTATTGCAATACACCTTAATGAAATGCCACTTGAATTGTAGGAGTAGGGATCCGTATATAAAAATCTAGGTTATCTTATACACAACCATTTTGCCATATGTCAATCTTAATGATTGTTTTCGAAATATCGCAATTATGTTGATCAGTCGTGATGTATAAATGAAGCAAGTCAACCAGTCATTGTCCATGACACGTTTACCATTATAGTCATTGAATAGAAACTGGGCACAATCTAAGTAAAACGCGAATCTCAGTCCGTATTTGCACAATGTATTGCTAGCATTAAGTCTGTTGATATAGGCAATGAAATCTTGCGGTCTAGACTAGTTCTATTGTATAAGTAGGCTCATTTTGTAAGAACAATGTACATATATATACTTATATGTTCTGATGATCAATCTTGCGCAAACTGTATAAAATTGTGTGACCGTAAGGAAACTAGATATTGAAACGATAGTCATCCCAATGCTAACAAAAGGTCTGTTATTACGTCGCTTGTCCTTCGACCACATTGTACATTTTAATGAAGGTTTGATTTGATTCGTTATTGAAACTTGACTTAATCACTTTCGCTCTTGTAGTTTCATTAAAACTAAATAAATAAACGTTTTAATCTGACGAGATGAATGAATCATTTATATGAATTATATTCAGCCATAGAGTCATTAGATATGTATAGGGTGGGGCACATATGTCCCAATGATTTTTTTCCTCGGAGCGGGAGGGGGTTGCTCTCCTTTTCATCTTGTCTTCAATCAACACATCAGTAAATCGTATGATGTCATTTATCGTTCATATTTCTGTCGTAATTGGCTTGCTTGCATGTTTTTATTTCTTAGTTGCCGACAATTCATATATCGTTGATAATAATCCTCGACATACAATAAGATTAAACTTAATTTTTTATATAATCCCAGTAACATCCTACACGAAAGAACTTGTACGGCATTTGGCTTTTTTCTACAACCACGTGATGTTTATTTTTTGGGCGAGTTCATTTTTTACGTTGAGAAAGATGGTTTTGAAGGAATTTTATAGTTAGTTCATTAACAAAAGCGTCATTTCGACAAACTTATACGCGCTGGGTGGCCACAAGTCATAGTGAAAACTAGGCGGGAAATTATAATTGAGTTGATAGAGTTATGAAAGATGAAAGAACAATGTTAAGTGTCTTCAAACAAAGAGTTTTGACAATATGCAATTAGCGAAGGTGTTAACATTATCTACTGACTGTGTATATAGCTTAGCAAAATAACTATGTTTGCTATTCAATAGACAACTGTTTTCTTCTACTTTCAACTTCTTTCACGTCTCATCTTTGGATCGCACAGTCAAGAAGTTTTTGATGAGGCTACGAGGGGTTTACCTATAATTGGCTGAACGATTTCCTGCTAGCAACGTTTCAATTGGTTCCTGGTACGCCCCGTATGAAGTATACTAATTATGATCGGCTATATAAATGACAATGTTTAGGCTTAGAGGGACACACACGTACTAACACAACGCTTGCTGAGAACTTGGCAAAGGAAATATTGAAAAATAACTGCCAAAATAGTGCATGAGATGACTGTGTGTCCACTTCTTGACGAGAAAATGGAGACGAAAAACGAGTTTCATAACACCAGCGTCATCAAGAAGATGAGTGATTTCACGAAATCTCGAACAATACTAGATGGCATCGTCGATTCAACTGACGAAGAAAAAATCACAGAACTTCTTTAATATTAAAAGAATCGCGAGAACCAGAGGACACAAGTGAAAGCAGTGAAACGATCAAACATCCTGATGAAGATGTCGATACTAAACCATCACACTCCTATATAGCTCTTATAGCCATGGCTATATTAAGTAAGCCCAGTAGAAAGGTATTATTGGGCGATATTTACAGCTATATTTCAGAGAACTTTCCCTACTATCGTAGCAAAGATAAAAGTTGGAGGAACAGCATTCGACATAATCTTTCTCTCAATGAATGTTTCATAAAAGCAGGTCGAAGTGAGAATGGTAAAGGGAATTACTGGGCAATACATCCAGCTAATGTTGAAGATTTTGCCAACGGTGATTTCCGACGAAGACGAGCAAGACGTCGCGTGAGGAAAAGTCATTCAGCCTTATGTACGAGATACGCTCCGTTTCCCTTTCAAAATCATCCTTTCTACAGAACAATCGATCCGTATTTACAGTCGTACTATCTTACTCCGTTTAATTTACCACACTGTGTACGCAAAAGTAACTTTCCTGTTGAGAACTTGATTAGAGCATCAATGGACTATATACCATCAAACATAATCGAATGTAGTCCTCGTTCCGATAATATCTGTCAATCTGCTCTCCTTCGAGCAGGCTGTCAGACTTCAAGGATACCTTATGTATCAACGGCCGTTTCAACGCAACCTGCTGTAATCACAACGAATTCAATCACGAGAAGCAACGACATTCCAACTGAAAGTTGGCAAGACACTTGGAGGAAGCTAAAAGCTCAATTTAATCAAAATCAGAAATAGAACAACGCGAAGTTGTATTCATTGAACAAGGAAATATTTATGAATAGTGAACATAGGTTTTTATATTTTGCCTTTGGGGTGAATATTGTTCAATAATCAATATAGATATATGTATATTATATATTGCTGTTTTGTTAAAACGTACTGATTGGTCTTTATCTCGATCGACATATCGTTACAAATATTTATCCTCGCCAATATTGACACTTATACAAGTTTATTAAAATGAAAACATAAATTAAAGTTTATATGTACATTTTATTTGTTGAAATATACAATGTAATTCAATAGTATACAATAACAAAAAAGCGTGTATGGTGTTGTCGATAGAGCTTTGTTGTTTTAAACGTTTTAGCTTTATTATTTTAAATTGAGAGAGCACAAACTCAAAATAACAAAATTATTTACCAGTCTATAAAATTTCCAATTAGCACATTTACAAGGTCATTCATATGTCATTTTCTTTAAACATAAGAGGCTGTTTGTTCCCTTATAAATTATTGACGTTTTTATGCGCTTATATGACTCGAATTTTTGTCACTCAACTACCAGAAACTTTATGTATATCCGTATTCCCCTAATAATTAAAAAGATGTTGTTTGGTAGATACAACCAAAAAATTTCCATACGTGCAATACGGTTTGTGTAGTAGCAGCAGTTAAATATCTTTTAAAACTCTTTGCGTCTATTCAGTTAAATATCTTTTAAAACTCTTTGCGTCTATTCAGTTAAATATCTTTCAAAACTCTTTGCGTCTATTCAAGTACTTTCAATGTTAACTAGCGACGACAATATTACTGACAAACATCCCCGGTTCGCTCATATGCATATGCTAAGATGCGCTAAGAAGTGCAACTCGATTGTGATCACTATAATACAAATATTAAGGTAAAGAAGATTTTTGAATTGCCGACACATATTTATTGAGCTTACTGCCATATAAGTGTGATATTTTAATGGAATTAAAACAGTAGAAAGCAGAACGACACGCGAGTCGTGCTTGTTTACATTTATATATCTAGCTAGCTACATGATTTATGAAAAAGAAATTAAAATTTTTAGCTTATGGAAAAAGTTTTAAGGACAGTGTAATTAGGGAGTAGATTAAGTGTTTGTTCAGAACATAAAAAAGTGTAAATGTTATTTATCTTTGATGCGCTTTGTTTGAATATCAATTTTTCGACCTAATTTAACTGTATCAGTAGAGAGTGGTCATAAATATTATATATGATTTTGAATTACAACTTATATTTATTCATATAACCGTGCTAACCTCGTCGCCGCGTGCTGTGATTTAAATTTGAATTGTATTTTCCGTTGTTGTAATGAAGTTGGAAACCGCTAACTAGCTTGGTTTGGACGAAATTTCATTTATTTGTATAATGCGACTTTTTGATAATAGAGAAACTCGTGTTTACGAGAAACTATTTTACATAAGTTATCGCTGTCTAAAATGAAAATAATGCATATCTAAACTTAATTTTATAAAAAGCTTTTTACTCAATGACTAAACGCCTGTCGTAATATATATTGGACGCACTGACAAAGTTTTTACTTGATTTGTGTCTTTGTCATGTGAATGGAGCTATTTACACATCATTATCAGTTGTTCCTAAGCAGTTATTGCGACTGTAAACTATATATTTCAACTTTATACTCATATCTTGACTGCGTTATAGTTATTATTACATCCCTTTCAACGCTTATTCCGCACGGAAACACACTAGATGTATGTCTGATGGATCATGCAATGTGACAGGTGCATGCATTGACGGGACGATGATAACTTATATACGTCTATATATTTATCGAAACATTGAAAAAATTGATGCCATTCAGTTGTTCATCTGCGGAGTTTTTTACTGAAAACCGTTTTAGCTACAAACATACGTTATGTTTGTGTTTGATGTAAATTGTCAATCAGTGTGAATCAATATAGTTAATATTTTATTACATGTGTGGATGTTTCTTCAAAATCATTGTTGCCTGGTTTCAAAAAAAATAATTATCATTATGCAAACTAGGCGACGACCTCTAAACCTCCGTCTCTGTCTCGGTGATTACATGAAATTGAATTCATATTAATAGCAACCACCTAAAAACTTATTGAAAACATGTATGTATGCTTTAGGATGTTTAAACATAATCATGCGTGCAGAACAGGGCGAACGACAGTGTCTGGACAGGAAGGCTCATGTGTTAATTTGGGTTAACTCAATTGGAAACCATGGGAAAATCTATCTTTACTTTCCTATTCTCAAATATAATGGAGTTAATCCTGTAAGACTGCACGTGGGGATCCGTAAAACGTCAACAAACATTAGACACCTTGGTCTTTTGTTTGAAAAAGATAAAGTACAAACATCAACAATGTGGTTTAATCATGCTGACTTTTTTTAACTCAAACGAATTTCTGTTTGTTGTTGTGAAAACATGGAAAATGACAGATTATTTTGTCACGATTTGCTCCCGTCGAGAAAAAATGCTTTTTTCAAATCGTTGCTTTTGATTTAATCAACATACAAAAACAGGGAAAATGGACTATATATAGCGTGTTTAACGTTTAATAGAAATGTATACTTCTTGTTTGTACTCTTAAAGGGCTTAAAAAATGACAGTTATTAAAAAAATAAAATCTCTTCGATATAAGAATTAAATCCTTCTTCCTTGGAATTAATTTTGGCAGGTAACCAAAAGCTCAACATATATTCCATACACAAAGCATTGTACATAAATCTCTGTTTTTACTGTATGTGTATATAAAAAGCTCCCGTTTTGTTTTTTTCTTGCTTTGCGCTTGTGAAAATACCTATCTATTAATGTTCGTCTCGTTTCAAAATGTCAAGAAATTGTGATTTGTGAGCACATTTTATACACGACCTGTATAAAATGGATATGTATGTAGAATTTTTGTGTGATTACTTTCATCATATAGATGTCATAATACTTGAAATTTATTTAAAAGAAAAGTGATACAATGATCTGATTTCATTCCATTTATGTAGGCTTTAGCTTTTTTTTCCGGCGTGCCCATACGAAAATAGTACAACATAATTAATTTAGAACCTAAATAGATATAAATTTCTTGAAACAACATTTACAGTCGTTTGCGGCACAGTTTGTTAGGATTAATTTTTGAATTATCAAGCGTCAATAAACGTAAATAAATATTTGTCTTATAATAATTATTTTTGCTGCATCATACATCAACACCTTTTTCTATACACATTCAGTGATATCATTATTTCGAGCGACGGAAGAATGACATCCTTAGAGATAATATCCATTTATTTATTTTTTGTTCTAGAAAAACGACATACGGTCTGGCTGTTTTCTCGTTTTGGTGCACCACAAACACCGAATTATCTCTTATTTTATTATTTATGAATTCTTTTGTGTATTGATTAGGCTAAACACATCTCACAAAATTTTACTATCAAGTCAAACAGCGCAAAACTGTGTAATACACTGCTATAAATACGTGTCAAATAGTGATTATTGCTATACATTCATAACGAACTAAGGACGAGAGGAATATGCCTATCCGCCCTATTTTGTTTGCAATAAGTTTAATGCTCTAGTGATGTTGTGCAAAAGAGAAATAGAAATGTTATTTTACCTTAAACATTAAAGTAGACTGATACAGGATGTGTCTCTAATAAAACACTTTGGAGTATTTCGTTTAAAGTTTTGTCCTGATGGGAAACTTGGGAAGCGTCACACGTTTTCTATAAGTTACGTGTTATCTATAAAACTTGATAAAACTATATCAATAAAACTCGAACGTATCATCGTTTCTTTCATAAGTTTTCAAGCTCTTAACTTTTAGGAAGAAGAAAAAAAGAAAACCGAAACCTTTTTATGTTAAACTTATGCTATGAAACATTATTGATCTGTTGGATTGAAAGTTAAATAAGTTAAATTTAGAAAACCAAGCAGTAGCTATATGCAAGTTATACCTCATATACAGCTTATATAGCTTATATATCTGTTCTGTGTAGGAATGAATGTTTGAAAATTCATTCATATTTCTTCCTTATTTTTTTATTTTTAGGCAAGAGGCAATTGTATACCTTCATAGAAGGCAGACATGAAGTGATCTCGCTGTTCTAGTGTTATTGTCATCATTCACAACTCCTTCGGCAAAAAGTAAGGATAACTCCCATGTGTTTGATTATATTTTTGACCTTGCAACTGTCAAAGCTAATTGAAACAAAATTTTCATGAAGACTTAATGACTCTCTCTTTTTTTTTGTCCAATTTCTAACTGACATGGAACGCGTGACTTGATTCTCGCTACATTCTTATTTAACTGACATGGAACGTGTGACTTGACTCTCGTTACATTCTTATTTAACTGACATGGAACATGTGACTTGACTCTCACTACATTCATATTTCACTGACATGGAACGTGTGACTTGACTCTCGTTACATTCTCATTTAACTGACATGGAACATGTGACTTGACTCTCACTACATTCATATTTCACTGACATGGAACATGTGACTTGACTCTCACTACATTCTTATTTCACTGACATGGAACATGTGACTTAACTCTCACTACATTCTTATTTCACTGACATGGAACGTGTGACTTGACTCTCACTACATTCTTATTTCACTGACATGGAACATGTGACTTAACTCTCACTACATTCTTATTTCACTGACATGGGACATGTGACTTGACTCTCACTACATTCTTATTTAACTGACATGGGACATGTGACTTGACTCTCATTAAATTCTTATTTAACTGACATGGAACATGTGACTTGACTCTCACTACATTCTTATTAAACGGACATGGTACATGTGACTTGACTCTCACTACATTCTTATTCAACTGACTTTGGAGTAGTAACAATTGCAGCTGATAAAAAATTGCACTACGCTTTCACTCTTAATAAATTTTTGTATGCCTTATTTTAACGATTATATTTTTTTGATGTGCGGCATTATATTTTATTCAAAATTTTTCTATAATCTTGGGTCGAGATCTATAATGGTCAATTTTATCACATTATGTGTAACACAAAGATAGAGTGGTGCATTAAACACAAAGATATACAAAAGATTAACACAAAGCTAGACGAAAAGGTTAAAATAAAGGTAGACATAAAGGTAGACGTAGAGGTAGACACAAAGGTAGACATAAAGGTAGACTTAAAGGTAGACGTAAAGGTAGACATAAAGGTGGACATAAAGGTAGACATAAAGGTAGACATAAAGGTGCACATAAAGGTAGACATAGAGGTAGACACAAAGATGGACATAAAGGTAGATGTAGAGGTAGACACAAAGGTAGACATCAAGGTAGACTTAAAGGTAGACGTAAAGGTAGACATAAAAGGTATAAAATGTAGACAAAAGGTAGACACAAAGGAAGACACAAAGGTAGACACAA